TACTTCTTGTTCTTCCATCCATGAAGAGAAAGTCCAACAGGTAATAGATGTCCAACCACAAATATGATTGTATTGAACAGTAAGCAAAACATTTTTAACAAGGATTCAAAAAAGAGGGGAAAATAGGAGGAAAAAATAGGAGGGAATATGGGGATAGAAAAAAAATAAAATAAGATAAGGAGCGGATGGGCAGGTTGGATCGAGGTTGGATCGAGGTTGGATCAAGATTGGATCTACGCTAGATCAGGGTTCGAGAGACTTGGTAAAATTTATAAAAAACTGCAACTATCGAATTAGTGTGCAACGAAGAAAAGGATGTTTCGTCCAATTGATAATTGGGTACAAATAATGTATGCCATATATTCTGCAAAATGTAACTAGTTAAAATGTAAACTGTTTCAAATTGATGTTAGCCTGTGAAAAAAAAAAGGAAAAAAAAAAAAAATCCATTTTTTACGCAAAAATTTTATGTTTCTTGATCAAACGGGAAATGGTTGCAACTATAATATTGTTCTCCCTTCACTTGTGTAAAAACAAATATATATATATATATCTGTTCATATACATATATGTAATATTATAAATGTACATATGCTCAATTTCTTTTTCCCTCCATTAAGATAATATAATATATTTCTCATAAACATTATGGTTAAATGAATTTTTCCTTTTCCTTTTGAAACTCTTTTTGGAAAAGTGTGATCGATCACAGGGTGGAAAAGAAGAAATATAATCCCAATTGAAAAACTGCCAAATATGCAAGATGCGTCAATTTGGGATTAGAACTTGGTCTGCTCATTTTAGCTTACTTTCTAAGGTGGGGATTTGGTTGTTATTTTATCTTAAATATCTTTACTCGAGAAAAATACAAAAAAGTAAAATAACATATAATAAAGAAATATGGAATAACGAAAAATATAATAAAATAAAAGGCAAAGTAAAACAGAGAAAAGCAAAAAGGGCGTAAACCAAATATATAATATGCGCATACCAATAAGTTTCTATCGAAGAGACTTTTGCTAAATAATATTCTGCATATGCTCGTGCGAGACCATGTATAACTCATGTGTGATATGATACATATGCATAATGTACAAGAAAAAATTAGCTGACTATGCTAGTGTGCTAGTGTACATGCAAGATAAGAAGAATAAAAAAGCCATTCATCCTTTCACTAGTTTTTACTGCTTCATTCGCGATTCATATAGGATTTATGTATCTGTTTATTTGTTTATTTGTATATTTGCATATTGATATATTTGTATATTTGTTTATTAATTTATTTGTTATTTGTTTTATTAATTTATTTATTTGCCATTCGTTTTACTTAGTTTTTTATTTTTACTACTTTATTATTTTTTATTTTTCTGCTTAAACATATTGTTTAAAAGTTCACAGTTCGATGAACGCATTGTCCGAATCGCGAAAATTTTATAAAATTAAAAAAAAAAAAAAAAAAAAATGTTCATATCCAATCGGAATTTCATTTCAGGGAATCATGGATGAAATTTTGTATACGCATAATTATGTATGTATTGCATATATACATACATATATAAATACATATATATACATATATATATGACATATAGCGTGTTTTTCAAAAAAAAAAAAAAAAAATTAAAAATGTTCTATTTTGTATTAAGAGTATGCTGAGATATATATGCAGCTTTGCCACTACTGCTGGATAGAGAATATGATTCAACCGTTTTTTGGTTTTAAGAACCGTTTCATATCCCCAGACACGAGTAGTAAATAATCCCTAATTGCAGCTATCATTTCAGCCTTAATTTTCGGTTTTCATTGTTTTTTTTTCTGTTTTTTTTTTTAAAAAACAAATTTTTGCATACTCAGGTTTATACAAATAAAACCAACTTTTATACTTCAAACAAAAAGCACTTTTTTTATTCCTTTTTTTATTCCTTTTTTTATTCCTTTTTTTTTTTTTTTTCCATTTTATTCCTTTTTTTTTTTAAATTATAGTCTTCATTAAAATTTGTGTAATGTAAGGTAAAAAATTAGTGCCAAATGGGTATATACCCAACTATGGATACAGTTATAAATATATATTTACATAAAGTTACTTTATACATATATCCGCTTGTCTTTATTGTTTTCTCCTTTATAGTCGTAAATAAATACAAATCGAATATGTTGTTGAGGTGGTGATGGGAGAGGGTAAGCACATTATATATACATATATATTTATCATCTACAGAGCATAGCGCAAATATACAATGCTTAATGCTGATTAGGAAAAGAAAAACTAAAAAGAAAAAAGTCAGCAAATATTGTAATACCTCTATTCTCTTAAGCGAAAAATCGAACACAGTAGATCTGATCGCCTGACTATGACAGACAAGTTTGCCATTTAACCTGACCGTTAATACTTTTTTTGCTATTTTTATTGCAATTTTTTTTTTTTCTAAAAAGGCTAGTTTATTAATATCTTAAGAACGTAGTTTTGTTCGTCCCCTTCTGCTGGAACGATATGGGAAACTCGCAAACATAAGTGAGATGATTAATGAGTCGTACTGTTCGAATTACATATATGTTGGCCATTTTGTTTTTCCCTCCCTTCTTGCAACGTTTTCGCAAAATTGCCATATCGTGAATAACATTAAACATCTATAACTGCATGAAATTTGGGTCAAACTTGTATGCGCATGTAGCAGTAGACAATCTGCATAATTTTTACATGCACGTCATTTATAAAAAAAGAAAAAAAAAAAAAAAAAAAATGAAACACATATAATGTGGATAAGTTTTAAAAAAAAAAAAAAAATTGAATGCACAGATTTGTTCAGGTTGTTATACTTTAAAAAAAGAAAAGAAATAGTATATCTATACTTGCATACTTGTTCCCACAGCCTTTGGTAGTGATGTCTGTGGGGTGTGTGTGTGTTTTTTTTTTTTTTTTTTTTTTTTTTTTTTTAATGCAAAAGTAGAATAATAAACATAAAAAATGATTCAAGTGCAAAAACGGTTAAACGGCCACTTTTCCCCACACGGAACATTGCGGATATCCGATCATATGGGACGAATAACTTGTTTGAATATAATTCATGACAAATGGATAAACAGAACGAACTCTTTTTAGTGCTCTGTAATATCGTTCGAGCAATCGGAGATCGCGCAACTCCGTAAGTTTGTTAAAAAGGGTCTTGCATAAATATGTCTGAGAATGAAAATCAATAATATTTTGCGAAAGTAATGCCTTTTCCAAATAGATGGAATAATCAAAAAAATGTATCCAGTTCTTATTTTTTTTTATAAACAAGATGTGTGTTAAAAGATTTAAAGACTTGATATCAAAAGGGTTATTGTATAAAATTTTAATTAAACATTTTTCTGACTTGTTCATATTTTTTTGACATAAATAATAAAAAAGACCTGAATTGTACAGGAGAATTGAGAGAGGGAAAAATATACAAGGGATTGAAAAAAAGTCATGTTTTAGAAATATTTTATTTAAGACCATTTCACACTGAATAAAATTCATTCGTAAGAAATTATAAACAAATAATTCATTGTATATAAAAATATTTTCATCATCCAAATTTGTTGCTTTTGTAAAAATATCCTTTAAAAAATTTGTTGCATGAATGATCATATTTTTTTTTTTTTGCTTTTCCTTTGTATCCTTTTTCATTCTTTCATAATTTAAGTCCTCTTGCATTCTTTTTATTACGCTAGAGCAGTATATTAGGTAGGGTAAAATGTTGAATGGTTTTAGTCGGATACATTCATGAAATATTCGTTTTTTCTCTCTTCCCCAAATGTCACACTTTGGAGAAGAGAACGACAATATGTGCAGTATGTATATATACGCAAGATAGAACTTCCCCCCCTTTATGCTTAAACATTTTTTAAAGCAATAAAATGATTTTTTGAAATCTCCTTTTAAAAAATAAATAACTCCACATATGTAATAATCAAGATGATCCTTCCTATATATATAATTTTGACTTCCCTTGGAGAAATAATGTTCTTTCTGCTGCACTGTATGATTTACCTTCTCATTGTAAAGACGTACTAGTTGCACAATTTTGTGTTTTCTACCTTTCAAAATATCATGCAAATTTGTGAGTGAAGTGACGAACAGGAGAATGGCATCTTCATCCACGTACACATTTTCTCTACCCATGGCATATTTACTTAAGCAGTAAGAATTCACAAAATCATAATTTCGATGGCAAAATGAAATGATATGCAGGACATCTATCAGGGTTATTTTTCCAATTCGGCAAGTACTGTAAATTGGGTTGCGTTTGTCAATATACATACGATATTCCCCTAAGTGTATTACTCTTTTAACACAAAGTGAAGGAAAAATTTTGCTACGGATTAGTCTTTCTCTTTTTGACCCAACCTCATCATCTATATGTCCCTCTTCAGAATAAACATCAATAAGGTTTAATCGAATTCCAAAAGTTCGTGCCGTGTTTAATATATTTTTATTCGAAAATTTATTTCTGACAAAATTCCTAACCATCCTTATTACCCACTTATAATTAGTGTGGAAGTATACACGAAATAAGTATACACACAAATCTTCGTAATGGATAAGAACCTTGTTGTCTTGTTTTATATATCCCATTTGTATGAGATTATTAAAATACATTATGAATTTTTTTTCTTCCATTTTGGAATAATCAAAGTTTTCTCTTTTATCTTGATCAATAAAGTTACACCTATCCGTTTTCCACACATCATCTTCTTCATATAATAATTCATCACTATCGCTAGTAATACACATGAGATGATTATTCATGTTTATATAAACTTTACTGTTTTTGATGCGACTCATTTGTAAGAGTCCTATATTTTTCCTTTTCTTTTCTGGAATATCACCTTCGTAAGACATTATTATTTCCCTGTTTTTATCTCCATTTTTATAGATTCTTTTTGTTTCTCCTATATGACAAGACTCGTTCATATGCATTTCCATTCGTTGTATTTTTCCATCTAGGATTTTATCGATATATCGATCTCTCCATGGATGTACCTCTTTATAGTATTCCATGTCCCCACGATTTGTCGCAACTGAATTGCTTATACATGTGTTACATTTGCTTTCCCAATAGGATTTGCTGTTCGAATTGTTGGTATAATGCACATTCGTGGGATTCGAGCAGTTTGCTAGATCTTTATTCACATTCTCCCTTCCAAAAGGCGATGAACGAATTTGCCTGACCATGTTCATAAAATTCTCATTTTTGTACCTGTGCATTGATAAGTCGAACGTTATTTCATTTTTTGTGTTCATGTAGTCCCTCGGATTGTGTAAGGAGCTGTCTTTGCAATCCACTTTGCAGAAATAAAAATTTATGACTCTCCTCCCCTGGTGGTAATTCTTCTGGACATATTTCAACATTGCTACTTCTTCAGATTTTTTCATTTGTCCTGTTCCTATTAACTTGTCCAAAGAGGAAAAAATAAATGGATGAATTTCTATCATGTTGATGTCATACTCTTTCTTCCTTTCGTGTATCGGTGCATGAGTTTCTAAATTGGATATGTGTTTCTCAACATGAGTAAAAACTACCTTAGAATATTCTGCTGCACTGAGCTTGTACATTTTTAACTTCTCATATAATTTTGCAAAAAGGAAATTCTTCATGCATTTAATATTTACATGATCGATATTCCAGATTTGGTTAATTTTTAAAAGATAATCCAAGCAGTAATCATATTTTTTTAATTTTATTAGTGCCTTTATATACACATAAGTTAAATAAAAATCTATATATATGTACTCATGTCTGTACAGATGTCCTACCATTTCATAATTTTCATTTAGATAAAGAAAACAAAAATGTACTTTCAAAATTGATGGCCATGCTTTTGCAATGTTAAATTTGGGAATTAGTTTTTTTTTGTTGTTTTGACTAAATTTTTTTTTGTCGTTTTGACTGAATTTTTTTTTGTTGTTTTGACTGAATTTTTTTTTGTTGTTTTGACTGAATTTTTTTTTGTTGTTTTGACTGAATTTTTTTTTTTTTGTTTTCATGGAATTTTTCTTTTTTTTATCTTCTTCTATTTCTACATCCATATTCAACACACTTTTCAATTCCTGATTAGTTAAAGGTGCACATTTTCTACTAACCATTCGTTCGAGATGACCTGGATCGTATTTTCTTTTGTTTAATCCTTTTAAAATTTGTATCTTCAGTAGTTTTTTCTCATCCTCCCTTTTTTCAATCATCAAGACTGGGAGTACCTTTGTCTTTTCATTCTCTCCACTTTCTACCACTTTGTTTGATATTGTAGGTGCAGCACAATTTGCTCCTTTTTTCTTGGCACCGCATAAGTGGAACGCATTTATTCTACATATTTTATTCACTCTCGTCATGGAATGGTGATCTGATTTTCTTGGTAAAATGGATGAACATTCACTAAAGCTTCTTTTCTTCTTGAGTTGCAACACATCATTTCTATTCATTCCAACTATGCATCCTGTCAACTGATTTTCCTTGGAATTTTCGCATGAGTTATTATTGAGGGAAGAAGCAGAAACATTTCTTACAGAGGATGGATTGTCAAATTTTTTTGAAAAAATCCATTGTGTCTCGTCTTTACAACCGTGGTCAGGCAAAAAATGATGAGAAGTAATTTTTTTCTCTTCCTTAAAGTGGGTGAACTTGCAATTGCTTACACTTCTTTTCCTCGTTTTTTTAAAAGTAAATATTTTGTTTTTTTTGCATAACTGTATAATATTATTAAAAATGGTGTTAGCATCGTGTTCTGATTCTTTGTTATTAGTTTTCCTTCTCTTTGAGGATGTTGATTTGCAATTTTTTTTTTTTTTTTTTTTTTTTCTTATCGAGTCAGGTAAAAATTTAGAAAAGGACATAATACTCTCCTCACTGGAGGTGTAATTGTACAGACGAAATTTTGACCTCTTGCCCAACGATTGATAATTTCCTTTTTTTTTTTCCTCTACGTTTTGGAACATGGCTCTGATTTCAGATGTTTTTTCATCTGCGCTTAGAATATTCCCCTTATTTCCACTTGATTTTCTGTTCATTCCAGTTGTATGTTTACTCTCTTGCCACTTTTTATTCTTAGATGTGTATATATATTTTTTTATTTTTCCTAGGTCGTGGGAACGCATATTTTCCTTCTCACTGGAAGTTACACTTGGTTCTGTGCATTCTGTATGCGGGGTGCAGGGATGCATGTGATTCACATTTATGACATTACTCACGTTATCCATTTTGCTTTTATTTAGAATAAACTGATTAGAATATCCAACTGGAGGAATGTAATACTGCAGAATGCTACTTTTCAAGTTGCTGTAAGCCAAGTTATGGAATATTACATCTTGTTCATTTTGATATTCAATTTTTTTTGTCCTTGAAGGTTCATTAGTAAGAAACACATTTCGTCTATTTGGAAGGGTGCTATTTGTGTTTACACTTGCTGTGGAGGCACATATGTATGTTAATTTTTTTTTTTCATTTTTCACATTTATATTTTTTTGTTTCTCCTTTTTGTTTTTACTCTTGTTACTTGTGGAGTGACATAAATTTATGTCCATTTTCAACTGCTTTTCAAAATCACAGAAATGTAAAAATAATTTATCATATATATATTTCATAGATAAGCATGATCTTTTGTCATATGTGAAATTTTCATTATTAACAAGAATTTGTAAATAGGACTCTTCCATAACATCGTAATTGAATGTTGGAACCTTCGAGTTTTCATAATAAGTAGAATAACATTTAGTTGAATTTTTCCTTAACTTATCATTATATTCCCATTCTTCTTCAAATTTACAAAAGAAATTTATGTCATCTTCTTCGCACAGGAAACTTAAATATGGCAGTGTAGCTTCATCATCTACACCATTTTTCCAACTTTTTATATTTTTTTTTTTCTTTCTTTTCCTTTTTTTTTTTAATTTTGTTTCTATCCCTTGTTCTCTCATTTTTTTTTTTTTATTTACATCTTATACGGAGGATTGGGAAAGTAAAATTTTTTCTTTTTTTTTTTTTTTTTCACGCTGATTCTAAAATGAGTTTCAATGTTTATTTAAATATGTCTTTGTCAGCAGGCAGGTGTTGAGTTTGTGTTTTGCATACTTTTTTTTTTCTGTGTAGTATATTATTTTTGTGGTATGTCAATTTATATCATTTTATTTTCCGTATTTTTCCATATTTTTCCATATTTTGTCATATATTTATCTTACTTTGTGCTATATTGTCTTATTTTTTCCTATATTGTCTTATTTATTTGTTCCTATTTACTAATATATATACATACGATTCGCACATGAATCAGGGAGGAAGGATTCATCCAAGTCCCCCACTACAGAAACAGATATGCACTAATATACATAGGATAGACCTTGAAATAGATTTGTACGTCCAGGTGTGCAGACGTGGAAGAAGAAACATACCAGTACAAAATACAAGTGTGCGTTGAGTTATGTGATAAAAGGAGAATTACAAACTCAGCTATAAATCAAGTAGCAGTTTTTTTTTTTTTTCTTATTTTTCGAAACCTTTGCAATACTGCCAAAAGTACAATTCCCCAGATGTCCCAGATGTCTCAGCTCCTCCAAATTATGATCTTCACACAAAATAGGAATATCCTTTACGTGTTATTTCTTCACCAGTGAATTTTATTAAAAAGGGTCAATACATATGTGTATACATATATGTGCATATCCTTGTAACTACTTTGTGTATAGATACATATTTACATATGTGCTGCGAGGATCAGTAAAGGTTGCATCACAGGGACGTGAGCATTATTCGTCCAGTAAGTTGTAAGACACACATTCTCATTTTCTCCTGTGCAGAGGTACATATAACTTGAGGAAAAAAAAAATAGGAAGTAAATAATAAAAGAAAAAAAAAAAAAAAAAAAACATGGAATTCTTCTCACGCGTATAACGATTTAATACATGTATCACATATACACATATATAGAACATCTTGAAAAAAAAAAAAAAAAAATTTAAAAGAAGAAACGGGAGGGGAAATTTTTTTTTTTTGTTTTTAAGGGGAAAAAGTATATTTCTTGCAAGTAGGAAGAAAAAAAAAAAAAAAAAAAGAGTTCAAGTGCACACAAACATGTCTGAGCTAGCAATAGATGAGCCATTTTTTTTTTTTTTTTTTTTTTCTCCCTCCTACCATGTAAGCAAGTCAGACAGATTTAGATAAATATAGGTGCCAATCATAATTACATATATGTGTATATGCATACATACATACAAACATTTGTGCTTGTGCTTGTGCGTGTATGCTGGTCATGCTGAAGAATGCATACACCTGGGAGAAAGGAGAAAATGAAAAGAGGTTGAAAGAGGGTGAGGTGATTCCATGGTGTGACATGTCAGAGGGTGATCTTCTTCTGCTTTTCCTTTTGGTAGACCTCTTTCAAAAGCTTATGCTTGGCCATAAGTTTCAGAGAAGACATAATAAATGGATAAAAATTAAAAAATTTAAAGGTGAGTTCCTTATTCCATGCATTTTTAATCTCTATTTGATCGTTTAAAAGTCTCTCTAAATAAGTAATTTCTAATGATGCTTTTTTCTCTATATCATCAAGTTCAGGTATACTATCAGGAAGCTGTTCTATAGTTGGAATATTTAGAGAGTTATAATAATCTTCATTAATTTCATCGGTTAATGTAATGTTTTTTCCTAGACTAATTAATTTAATATTCACTCTTTGTCTTAGAACTCTATGTATGTTAATAAATTCTTGAATAATAAATTCTTTATCTTTTGTTACAGCTAAGATATTGAATCGATTGTCTGATTCCCTTTCTCCTTTCCCATTATTATTATTATTACTGTTGCAAATATCGTTAATTTCTTTTTTTATATGTTCTCTAGCGATGTATATCCAGCTAGCTTTTTCATTAGTTCCATTTTGGAATCCTGTTGTTGTATCACCTATCAAAACTGGACCCTCCTGTAGTCCATCCAACATGTATACATTGTTATCATATTGTATATATGAAACAAAGTGAAAAGAATCATTAGATTTTCCTTTTTCTTCATTTAAATTTTCTCTTTCAACATATACTGGAGCTTTGTAGGAATTGTGTATATTACGGAGGAAATTACAATTGGATAGAGTAAACCCTTTCATGGAACTGTCAAAATTAGCGCTAAATGATTTTATATTTTTTATTTCTTCATTTAATTCTATATTTTTATTTAAAACAATAGATAAAATTGCCTGCGTTGCACATGCATTGGGAATAACTTGTTTTGCAAAAAAAAGATTTTCAGGAACAACATGTTCTATAAATTTATTTTTATTATAATTGTTTCCAATATTGAATAAGAAAATAATTCCATAAAGATAACTGTTATTTTTTAACAATTTATTATATTTCGTTTCTCTGCATATATTATTGTTATATAACACTTTTTCACCTGAACTGTTCAGAACATTTTCGTCTACATTATTTTTTTTTTCTTTCTCACTTTTATATTCCTGAATACTTAAAATATTTTCTATATTTACAACGTCTTTGTTATTTATATAATCATCAAAAAATTCTAAATCGTACACATCTTCCACTGAAAGCTCTTTTGCACCCATTCGATTAAGCATGTCATTAAAAATGCACGGGTTGCTTTCAATTAGGCACCATTCACTCATGTTCTCGCTCCTTTCTCTTTGCATCTTCTCCTGCACGATGTCTGCTCGTTCGGTCCCTTCACGGGTAGGAAAATAAAAATTTGCAGAAAAAAATTGCAGAAGAATGTTGCAGAAGAATGTTGCAGAAAAATGTTGATGAAAAAAATTGCAGAAGAATGTTGCAGAAAAATGTTGATGAAAAAAATTTACGCAAAAAAGTTTGCACAAAAAAATGCAAAATAATTAAAGGCAGTTGCATCAAGCGTGTCTTAGAAAACAGAGCAGCCTGCGTGAACATATATACATGTATAAACACGTGTATATATTTATTTGGGCATATTTTACACATGATTATACATTCTTGTAACTGCACATGTATATTTTCGTGTGCATATATGCTTGCCACAACCAAGTGTGAGAAAGGGAATGTTGTTACACATACATAATGCCCAAGTTGTCGTGGTGGTAAAAAGGAGCTCTCGTTCAAGAGGAGATATTCATGTATTAACACTTCACGGGTTCGAAGAGCTCATAGGGTAAGAGACAAGTAAGAAGAGTGCAATGAATGCAAAAAGCATGAAACGTGAAAAAAATGCTCCTCAGGAGGTATGGGACAATACGTGGGTGAAGTGATATAGTGTCTATTCAAGTGCAGGCTTTTTCTATAAGATACTCCTTGAGTCTCTTCTAAAAATTATTGACAAGGGATCAAGTGACATACTTGGAAACACCATCAGAATTTATTTTAAAAACGAAGTATGTTTCTTGATACCAGGTGATACAATTTAAAAAATATTAAAAAAAAATAAATAAATAGAGCCGATAAGCAGACGCACTAAGCAGAAATAGAAATGATAAATAATTTGTGCTTGCATTTATTTAGCTTATAGGGGCAAAGGAAAAGTTACAATAAAAAAAGAATTCTTTTTTTTTTTTTTTTTTTTTTTTTTTTTTATTATTATTATTAAGGAAGTTTATCCAAAATGTATATATAAATACATTTTGTTTCGAATAAGAACAAAAATAAAAAAAAAATTTAAAGAAAGCGAGGGGTAACAGAGAAATGCTTGTTTTCATACCTTTAAATGAAGTAAAAAAAAAAAAAAAAAAAATAATGAAAAATGAAAAAAGTATTCTTCTCTTGTGGAGGGTTGCTTAAGGGCATGTGTGTTTCTGCTCCCTTCTGCTTGTGGTTGATCTTTGTGATGACTTCCGTTCCTTGATCCAATTCTCTTGTTATGAAATTAGAGAGGCACGAAAAAAATGGAGTAAAATAATACAATAAAATGATACCTTAAAATGAAACAATAAAATCGAACAAGAAAATCGAACAAGAAAATCGAACAAGAAAATCGAACAAGAAAATGAAAAAATAAAATACAATAAAAAATAAAAAAAAAAAAAATGAAAAAAAAAAGCTAAAGTAACAGGGTTGGAGTATATGTATATGTGTACAAAATGTATGGTGCTGAAAAAAAAAAAAAAAAAAAAAAAAAATCACATCACATTAAATCACATCACATTAAATCACATCACATTAAATCACATCACATTAAATCACATCACATTAAATCACATCACATTAAATCATATCACATTAAATCACATCACATTAAATCATATCACATTAAATCATATCACATTAAATCACATCACATTACATCACATCACATCACAGGGAAATGCGCTTGTCAAAGGATGGGACATAAATAAAAATCATGAATGTTTCTGGTGTAGGTATGTGGTTTATGTATGCTTGGGCAAGTACGAAAGATGATATAGGTAATTTCTTTCCTTCTGTTGAATTGACTCACACACACCGCTGCCAAAAAAAAATTACTCCACTCACCTACATAGTCATGTGCGCAGGATCATAGGGTTATTCATAGGGGATGTTCATAAGAATGGTCATAAGAAAAAAATCATAGGGGTGTTCATAAACATGGTCATATGTGTGTTGATCAGCGTGATCATATTCATGTATGTATATGCTTTACTGTGTCTATGTTTTACTAGTACACACACATACAGGCATGATAACCTTTTCTTTTTTTTTTTTTTTTTTTTTTTTTTCTTTGGCTTTTTCTCTCTTCATCTACTACCCCATCAAGTAAACTGAACGACAAGTCCACTCAATAGATTAGGTCCTTTTCTACATAAAGCACGTCAGTGTTGTATTTAAATGGATGCGTAAAGCAAAAAAAAAGGAAAAAAATGGAAAAAATAAAAAAAATAGAAATAAAGAAAAATGTGGAAAAAAATGGGAGAATTTTTTTATTCTTATATATATATATATATATATATATATATAACAAGGTACAATAGGGAAGAAAAAAAAAAAAAAAAAAAAGAGTAAACAAGAGGAAGCAGGAAAAAAAGAGAAAGGACAAAAGGAAATGAACAAAAACTCCAAAGGCAAGTTGTACAAGCATATTTGTAGGGGTTAATACATGCACCACAGTCCCGTTAATTGATTGAAGAAATAGGAGATTTTTACACTTTCATATATTTCTTACAAAAATAATAGTTGACCCCCACGCACTTTTTCTTTTTTTTTTTTTTTTTTTTTTTTTTTTAATATCAACCATTAGTACTACATAGTTGGGTAAAAATACAAACATACGGGTGATCTGATAAACCCAAAAAAAAAAAAAAAGAAAGAAAGAAAGAAAAGAAGAAAATCCAAAAAGAAGGAAAGCCAAAAAGAAGGAAAACCAAAAAGAAGGAAAGCCAAAAAGAAGGAAAACCAAAAAGAAGGAAAACCCAAAAGAAGGAAAGCCAAAAAGAAGGAAAACCAAAAAGAAGGAAAACCAAAAAGAAGGAAAACCAAAAAGAAGAAAAACCAAAAAAGCAAATAAAATAAAGGCAACATTTTAAGAAAAAATAAAAACACAAGCGTACCCAACCGCACAACATAAGCACTTAATATGCTGCATGATGAATTCAGAGAACATGCACAGGAGGTAGAAGCCTGACAGAAACGAATCCCAGAGGATTGGAACCATTCCACATATCGCACCTCACTCCAAATATAATCCATAAAAATTATAGCAGCATGTGGCACCTCCTAGATAGACGCACAGGTATATCCGTTTACACATGTAAACATATGCATTCTGCATGTACAGCTGTTCCTATTCTCAGCAGAAAGACCAGCGTTTAAAGATTTTTTCTTTTATGGAATTCCCATACCTCGTTCTCGCAACATACTACTCAAGAACACAGACACGTGCGAACTTACGTGTAAAAGAGAGTATTCCAAAACTTCTCCCTTTGCATATCTGTCTTTGCACCACCCCCAAATCACCATGTCTGAGTACAAAATCAGCAGCGCCTACTTTTCCAGAAAAAATAAAATACTGCTCCTAATATGTGTATTTTTTTTCTCGTGCTCGACACACATATTCAAAAATGCCTTCCCCTTTTTGTTCATGTTAACTGGGGTTCGTAACGAAATAAACACTAATAAGAAAACAGCGTGTCAAATAAGCAAATTGTTGTACTCGAAGAAAGGTTCAGATGTAGAATCAATAATTGAAGATAACGTGGGTATAAGCGCGAAGAAAGACAGAAATGGAAGCCCATGGAAAGAGCACCATGTACCTACTATTGGTAATACCTACCTGAGGGAAAGAATTTTCCTCCTGAACAAGGTCAGACAAAATATCACAAACAATGGTCCATACTCATGTAATGAAAATGACGGCAAAAATAGCAAATCGATATATCTATATAGTAATATTTTATCTCTAATTTATTGTAGCTCCCTATTGACATATATTTTTATACTTATATTCGATTTGGGAAAAAATAATTATTTTATAAACAGCATTTATATTGTCAATTTGATTTCTCATTTTATTATTTTCTTAATCTTGAGTGATATTCAAAGTAACAATACCAATTTGAATCATGACTTGGACATGTTAAAAACTGTGCAAAATAAAAAAATGATTCATGTTGTTGTGAAACCTTGGGACATAGTTATCAACCAGTTCGAGAACTACAATGATGAAATTGAAACAAATCAGTATAATAACATATTCCAAAACAGGAAGAAAATAAATTTACTTTTTCGAAAAAATCTTCAAGACAGATTAGATTCGAAGAAATACTTAGCTGTAGGACCATTAGAAATGGGTGCAATGAAAATTATTCAGAATTTTCACTTAATTAAGAAACTGTGGATGGTTGAAAAAACGGGGACCTATTCTCGTGATAAAAAAATCGGATCCATTCCTACCATATGGAGAAAAAAGCGTTTAGAAAAAAATTGGAAAGATGAAATGGAAGTAACTAATTCAAAAGGAGGGAAAAAAAACAGCCAAGGAGACAAAAGATATGAAATAGAGGCAGAGGAGGGAGAAGACGAAGTTGTGTACACATACGAACGGAATTACTTGAATTATTTGTACCTATTCATCATTATCAGTTCTATATGCAGCGGGTATATAAAGATATACCAGAAGAAAATAATGTATTGTATATTTTATGTAAACATAGGTGTGATAACATCATTACTCATATTGATGAACAATTTATTTAAATTATTAGCACACTCTTTGAATTATGTTGTAACAAATAATAATTCCAATACAGACATTAGTGATTATATAATATTATTTTTATTTATAGATATGTTTGGACTATTAATGATTTTAATTTTTACATATAATTGGTTTTATCAAAAAACATTGTGGATAAATATGCACACTATATTTTACAATTACAAATATATTTGCTTCTACCACAGTGAAACGTATTACATATATTCGGTTGATAAAAATATTGACAACATCCTAGTTCATATTGATTTATGTCAAGATAAAAATATTCAAATAAGTTTCTGTGCATACATGAATTTACAAAAGTCCATTTTTTATGACTATTTCCGCCTGAACACGTTCAGAAAAAATAAACTCAGAATTATTCAAATTGACGACCCAAAATTTGAGGTCAAAAGTACTTACAAAGGAATGGACTCACCGAATGACCTAACTTCTACACAGAATGGACTAACTTCTTCACAAAATGGACTAACTTCTGCACAGAAGGGACTAACTTCTGCACAGAATGGACTAACTTCTACACAGAATGGTCTAAGTTTCACACCGAACGGAAAATGTAGTACCAGAAACCATGAACATGTCACACCCAAGTTCACCAGAAAACAGAATCATAGCTATACCATGAAACCATACAAAATTTGCATAGAATCTTTCAACATGTTAAATCCAAATAGTGTGGAAACTACTGATAAGGAGAGCTTAGAGATCAATGCTTCGCAGGTCCCATTAACAGCAGGCCATTTAAACACAGAAGTAGTGCTTACCAATGCAGTACCTTCACATTGCAATCGTCCCTTTGAGGATAGCGCTTACAACTCAAATGATGACGTAAATGAGGAAGTACAAGTTGGGCTAGAAAAAAATACATCTAGTTTTAATAGGGGCGATGTAAGAATAAAAAATTCTAGCAATGAGAATAATCAAAGCTGTATAAGGAAACAAGGGAAAAAAATATCAAAAGGTGATTCAGTGCATTTTTTGGATCAACACAAGGAGGGAGAAGTAGAATCACAAGGAGAAGCAGAGATGAGTGCTGTAGAATTGTCTAGCCTTATTTACCATGATAGATGTACACAAGGAAATGCTGGTGACAAGGGTGATTTTGAAAATTGCTTAAAAAAAAAGAATCATGATAGTGATTGCTTTTTGGAAAACTCGGGAAATTTTGAAAAGGAAGAGAAAAAGAATGTTTTATTAATTCCAAATTATGAAGAAGAGGGAGATATAGATTTACACCACTGTGACGAAGAGGGAGATATAGATTTACACTACTGTGACGAAGAGGGAGATATAGATTTACACTATTGTGATAAAAAGGGTGATATAAATTTACACTATAGTGACGAAGAGGGAGATATAGATTTACACAATTCTAACGACTTTGAATTATCTCATAATAAGGATGAATCAAAAGTTTTGTTTATGAAAAAAAGAAATGAAACATTTTACAAAATTAAACATAAAATTTTGAAAATGTATGAAAATATAAAAATATTCCTCTCCTCTTTTACCTTTTATTTCTTTTTTTTTATATTCATATATGCATTTCTTTTATCCGTTATGCACATATTTATTAATTACTTTTTTTATATTTACCTGTTTGTGTTTAATATAAATATTTATGTCTCAAATGTGTATACAATTATTATGACATTCGTTTCATTGATAGCTATTCCTTTTTCTGGATATATCATTGATAACATAGGATCTTTCTTGTCTCTTCTCCTGTGTTCATCATCTTTTATTTTAATTGCAATATCTGGGTCTATATATTGCTACAAGTTTAACATGAGTAAGTACAATATTTAGTGTGGCAAGCCACACGTCCAATTAGATACCCTTCTTTCCTCCTTCCCTCTCACATCTTTTCTTATGAAATGTGGAGAAGCACATATATGTATATATTTATTTTCCCTTTTTAGATTCAGAAGCCCTAGCGTTCCTCTTTTTCAACCTCATAGGTAGGGGGAAAAAAAAAAAAAAAAAAAAAAAAAGTCCAAATATTTGGAACATATAGAAATGTTGAAATGATGAAACATTGTTGCATATAGAATAATGCACTTTTCCCAGTTACATGCACAGAGAACCCTAATACTATGTCAAAATTTTTTTTATTTTCCATCCTCATTTAGAAAAGAAACATTTTGAAATACACATTTTTTTTTTTTTTTTTTTTTTTTTTCCTTCCCTTCCCTTACGTAACAGGAATAAGCGAATCCATCATCCCCACAGTTATTATTTCTCAAATTCCCACCCACCTATGGTATGTTGCAGCGAGTGGTTTGTTACAAAAAATTTGTTCATATGTACATGTGCATGTATATAATGGTTACCTACAGCATGCATGTTTTATACGATACATCTGATATTAATCCTCCTATGTGTGTTTTTTCGTTTCGTTTTTTTTTTTTTTTTTTATTTTTCATAAATCTCTCTCCCTATCCTCCTCGCCTTTTTTTTTTTTTGGACCCCTTTATATAGTGTAAAAAATAATGAGAACATCACATCAGCCTTTGCAATATTCGAATTGGTAACAATGATAATTATAAGCATAAATAATTACGTTTTTGGTTGTTTTCTGATAAAAGAAGGTAATATCAAAATTTAGTTCAAGGAGCAACATTATGGACTGGAACCTTTGCGCTCAATGGATATGCATTGCAGCATGACAAAATGTGCATATGTACAAGTATATATATATACATATACATAAGCATATATATATATATATATATATATATATATACATATAAATACATGTACTCTTTTTCTTCTCCCCCCCCTCCTATGCGGCAGAATATTTAAAGGGACTGTACATTCTCCTTTTTTTCGTCATTCTGGTAATCATCCTTATCTTCTTTTTAATAATCACCATTTACCTTAAGAAGAAGCAGAAAGCACATGTGTACATGAGTCCAAGGAACTCTGAGCTAGCGCAACCACTCCTTTGAGGCTGACCAGACCTTTAACACCTGTGTCAGCAGAATTGCAATACGCTTGCACATTGCCTTTTACGTGAACTTAACGTTCACCTTCATTTTGCTGCACGTTATTTTGCCACACGCTGTTTTGTTTCACTTCATATCACGTCACTTTATTACTTTAATATAACCCAATTTAACCACTTTAAATTTTAAACTCTTTTGATTTTTTATTTTTGATTTTTTATTTTTATTTATTTATTTTTATTTATTTATTTTTTTTTTTTTTTTAAATCAAATTATAAGACCAGTCTTTTTCACTTTTGTAGTTTTCTGCATAAAACATTTAAACAAATTAACTTCCTCATCATGAACAGTAAAAATATGCTATTTATCATTCTCGTATTTTATTGTATTTTTACCTCCCTTATGTGAGCCTAGCGGAAATGTAAGCAACGGGAAAAAAACAAACTGAAGTGGTTAACCACTATATATGGAAAAATTTTGTATGCAATGCACGGTCCCTTCTGTCTTAACATAGACCTCCACCTGAATCATATACATTTGAACCTTCATTCACATATCCTTGGACATGCATTTCATAATCTTCGTTTCGGGACTCAAGATATAGTTTCTAATTGGAAATTTTCAAGGTTGTCATTTTTACATTTTCAGATTTAAGGTTTCACATATGCATCGATATATATATATATATGCATGCATTCGTATCAGCATATATGTACATAACTAAAATGCTGAGATGTGACAATTTTTGGAACGTCTTTGGTGGTATAATCAATTAAGTGATCCAAGAACGGGAAGACAACTAGAAGGATTGTGGAGGAGACAGAATTGAGCCCAAATCACAAATTCACTAAAACCGAACATATAAAAGAATAGCACTTTAAAAAAAAATTAAAAAAGGAAGAATTTACATGCCTCTTCCCAGCCTTATCAGCTTTTTTTTTTTTTTTTTTTTGCAAATTTTTAAAATTTTCGCATTTTCGCATTTCCGCCTTTGTAACTTTTTAGACAAAATTTTATGCTTAACAATGAGTTCCATGGGGGAAGCACACCCAAAAGGTGAGCATGTGACCTTCATGAGTGAAAGGGAAATGGTGAGAAAAAAAAGTATGAACAAAAGTCAGGCGGAAATTCTTCAAATGGGCATGCCAAAAAAAAAAAAAAAAAAAAAAAAAAAAAAAAAAAAAAAAAAAAAAAAAAAAAAAAAAAAAAAAAAAAAAAAAAAAAAAAAAAAAAAAAAAAAAAAAAAAAAAAAAAAAAAAAAAAAAAAAAAAAAAAAAAAAAAAAAAAAAAAAAAAAAAAAAAAAAAAAAAAAAAAATTCATACGAAAAAATGCAACAGCATTATACTAATATACAAAATAGTGTAAACATATTTGTGTATAAAAAAAAAAAAAAAGAAAAAAAAAAAAAAATTATTAACAGTCAAGTAGGACAAAACGCGCAAATTGACTACACAAAAAAATTAAATAAAATAAATGAGTAAATAAATATATAAATAAATGTAAGCAGATATAAAGCTAACAAAAGCTGATATAAACAAATTTGAATATATTTTTAAATCTCATCTTTTTAAAAGTAAAAGATTTTACACTTGTGATATTGTAAAAAAAAGTCCACAAATGTGTACATATATGTACATGTGTACACACACGTACGTGTCGCTTTTTTTCCTTTTTTTTTTTTTTTTTTTTTGTAATACATATATATATGTATATATACATGTATATACTTCTTATAAACGATCGCGTACCATTTTTCGAATTTTAACGAGCACCAACCAACTCTGGTTGTTATCCTCAACTTTCCTACAACATTTTCTAAAATTTGTTTACGCACATTTATTCCCTATTTCTGTGGAATCATTAAAAAAAAAAAAAAAAAAAAGAACAACGCAGTTTAACGTGTTTTTCCAAAATGTCTTATAACAAGAATTATGGAGGACAATTCATGGGACTTCGTCCAAAAGAAGGTAAGAATAGAATCGCACAGTCGTCCCTATTGCGTCTGCTCCCACGCATATGTAAATACATATATATATATATATATATATATATATATATATATACTTATTTATTTATTTCCTTACTTGTTTATTTCCTTACTTGTTTATTTCCCTACGTGTTTGTTTCCCTACTTCTTTACGTCCATGTGCGAGGGTTTGGATTCCCTCTGAGAGGGGAGAGTGGGCAAAACAAAATAAAAATGATAGAGATAAAATTACACTACATAGTTGGGGGGGGATGAAAAAATATGTAGAAGATATTTGCTCGAGACTACGATGGAAAAAATGATATGCATTGACAATAACATTGCTGCTAAGTATGACATTATAGGTTCACTATTCCATCACTCTCTACAACAAGAATGTAAATCCCGTAGTGTTTTATGAAGTTCCCTCGATTTGTGCATAAGCAAATGTATAAGTATTCGGATCGTATACCTAGATCCTTAATTTGATAGAATCTTCCCAATAAACTCAGAGACACGTCTCCTCTCCCTGAATAGAGAAATATTCCATTTTGCTTGACATTAAAGGGAGTAGTAATTCGTTTTTCAACCTCGCACAATTTTCCAGAAATTTTCACTAATTTTGGAGATTCTCACTAATTTTTGTGACCCTGACCAATTTTTATGACCCCCACTAATTCTCATGTATTACTGCGCCTTTTTATTTGCCTATTTAGGAAAAGACAATCCGAACAGAATATCAGATGATAAGCTAAAAGAAATGTTTCAAAAAAAGGAAACAAAGGAAGCACATAAAGTTGTTTTTATCTTATCAGAATTGAGGTATTTTTTTTAAATGTTAAAAAGTATTTCAGAGATAGAAAAAAAAAAAAAAAATTGTCCCATTTTTTTTTTTTTTTTTATGTTTTCTTGTAAATATTCATTTATATTTACCATCCTTCGTCTGTTCAATCTACACCATCGACATTTCTAGCTGTTTTTTTTTTTTTTTTTTCTAAGAGGAATAAATATACCCGAAGTGGAAGATGGGCAAATTTTCTTCTTCTGTACGGTAATATTTGACAATGACGATGTGAAAATGGTAAGATCAAGGAATATGCAACCATATTTATTCACATCATAAGTGTGTGCAAAGAAGACAATTTTTTTTTTTTTTTGGGGGTGGGGGGCATCCTAATAGAATTCTTTTCTCGATTTTGTTCATATCATATGCATTTTTATTGCATGCCTGCATATCAAATGTATTTCTTATTACATACCTCGTTGTTGTGTTCCTTCCTCCCCATTTACAGTCTATGTCGAAATCTAATTACAACTCTTCTTTTGTCCGAGGGAAATACATCCTTGAGGCTTACTCACTTGAGTTTAAAGAGGAGGTAATATATACTTTTCAACCTAAATGACTAATCATTTATGTTTCCACAGAAAATAAATATAACGGGGGCGCGCAACCCCTTTCACATCACCACCATTACAATGTACTGCATATACATATACCTGTACACACATATACCTGTATATACATATATATATATATATTTAATTTTTCATTTTTATTTCTCCCGTTTCTAATTTCATCAGCTTACACTATATATCCCAGAAGGGGCCAATTTCGCACGAGTATACGTATCATATTTAACCGTTCTAGATGAAGATGGAAAGAGAAATATAAAACTTGAAGGGATAGGATACACAGATCCATTTAAATTAAAAGAATGTCATGTAAGAAAAAGATACAACAAGTTGTAGCACTTTGCTTTGTTATAACAATTTTTTTTTTTTTTTTTGATTTTTTTTCCTTTATAACGTATGAAATATGATAATGAAAAAAAGAGTGTCTACGGAATGGGACTCTATTATGTGTTCATTTTTTTTTTTTTATATTTTATTTTGATGTAGCGAATGTAGTTGATTTAGATCGCTTTCTCCTGATATAGATCGTTTGCTATGTTTGGCCAATTGAGTGTGCTTTAATCCACTTTGCTTTTCCTATTTTCATTTTTCGACTCAGGTTTATCCGTATGCAAGGTTCAAGCTAAATACGGCAGTTGGGGCTGACGAAACAAAAGGTACGTGGATGAAACACAATCAACCATGAGTGGTGTGTGAGCGTTTAGATATATGCATACTGTAGTAAAAAATAATTACACAATAAGGAGGCATGAGTTTATATCCTAAGATGTGTGATGATTATGCAAATTGAACAAAATGAGGAATCATATAGATATGATTTTATTTGTTTAATTCTGGTTAACATACACATGCACAAACACACGCACACCACTTTCCTTCCCCATGCTTTCTGTACACACATATATAGCAACGCTCAAAATGTGTGTCAAATGTGTAGAAAAGTGTCATCCTTCCGTGGTCAAGGAAACAGAAGAATTTAATGTCATAGATAAATTTAGAGATATGTGTGAAAATTAGAACATATGTCTTTATCCCTCTTTTGTAATGGTACCTAAGAGGGTGAATTAATTGTTTTCCTTTCTTTTTTTTCTCCTAATTATTTTCTCCTATTATTTTTAAAATTATTTCAAAACTGTGGCTATAAAGTAGGGGCTATTAACTTAACAGATGGGGAGAAAGAGTGAGGATCGTAACTATTTAAATGTACTTTAATAAAAATGAGAGAAGGAAGTTTTTTACTGAAATCATAATTTTTATGGATATAACAGAATAAGTCACGGAAATATATATATATATATATATATATATGTACATATATGTCTACACATGTATTAACAATATATTTGTCTCCTGCGTGGACTAAATTTGCATCATTAAATTTTGTCACATTTAAAATTTTTTTTTTTTTTTTTTTTTTTTTTTTACTGCTTTTACTTTACCCCCCCCCCCCCTTTTTTTATTTCACTTTCGATTGGCTTTTATTTTGTTTCCACTTAATTCTATTTCATCGATATGATTTTGTCCTGTTTTTGCTAATCCTTTTTTTCCCCGTTTGTCATTTATTTTTAAACTTTAGAACTGGCTCTTACGTTGGTGTATATATTTGTACCTGTACTATTTTTTTTCTTTCTTCTCTTACTCTATTTATTTTTATTTTTTTCATAAATGAGTGAAAGGAAAACATATTTGCAAATACGGCTATGAATATGAACGTACAGGTTTTTTTTTTATACGTATATATATATATATATATATAATATCCACGAATATGTGTAGTATATATACCTTCTCAAGTAAGCCCTTTTCCTTTTTTTTTTCCTCCATAATATTAGAGGGATATGAATTATAAATATCTCTTTTGTCCCTCCTATATCCATATCTTAACAAATAGTAAAATTAACTAAAAAACATACACATGTTCAAGTAATCTTTTTATTTGCTACTAAGAAAGAAGAAAAAAATTGTATACCTTAGAACGTATGTTACTTTTTTTTTCGAAGCAAATTTTTAATTTATTAATGAGTTATTGATGCTAGTATCACTTTAGGACTTTTCGCTAGCTAGTGAATTATCTGTATGTTTCTTTACACTATGTTGCGGATATTTTTTTTTTTTTTTTTTTTTTGAGTACATTTTTATAACATCACAACTGTGAGATGCAAAATTTCTATCCATAGATAATTATATGAACCATTTTTTTGCATTTGTACGTATGTATTCGATGGTTATGGGGTTATAAGACAAATGGTAGTATCAAAGTCACGTTATCATATTTTCTCCACTTTTCTACGTTACTTTGTTGAGTCAGCTGTTAGTAGCTTTGCACACGTCGCCTTGCATCGATGCAATTGTATACTCAATGATTATTTCAGCACAAGGGACAGTAAACGAGGGAGACGAGTGAAGAAATTCAATTTGTGAGGTTCATTCATGAGGAATAATCACAACAAACAGGTGGTGATGTTGCGTTTATTTTGTTTTATGTCTTGAACGGGATTTTACTTTACTATTCTGTTTTATTATAAGATATTTTTAATTTATTATTATTTCATTGTGTCATTTTTTCATTATACCTATTTTTTACATTACTATTATTTTTTTTTTTTTTTTCCCGCATTGCCCCCCTTGCTTCTGATACATACACATTGTGCACACACAATCAGACCTCGTTAGATTGAATTTTCATTTCCTCGCCATACATAAAATGCTTTTAACAATTTCAGAATTGTTAAAAGGAGAGTGAGAGTGATGACTCAGACATGGTGTTTTTTCTTTCAGAGGAACGAGGTAAATTATTTTCTTTTTAAAATGGTAAAACTGATATATGTGCAAAAAAAAAAAAAAAAAAAAAAAAAAAAAAAAAAAAATGGCTAAAATATGAATGAGAAATAAATCCTGTAAAAAGATCAAATAGGAACAAAAACAAAACGTTATAATGAGTCCAAATTTTAGAAAAATAAAATTAACATTTAAGCCTTACCCAATAATTTTTCACAAAATCTTTTCTTAATTTATAATTCACAGTTATTCTATTTTTACATACATTTTCTTAACTGTGATGGTTTTAGAGAAATCTAAGCTGCCTTAAGCTTCTCCATTTTTTTCTTCTTTATTTTTTTATAAATAAAACATTGCTCCTCTTTATTCTATATATAACAACATTATATGCATACCACCGTACCTACATGTACATGCATAGATATGGAGCGTATATATGCACATTCATATGCATATATATATACATACATACACTCTTTTTTTTATGCATTTTTTTCTCCTTTTCGACACTATGAAAGCAGGAATGCTTTTTCTATAACGTTAAATAAAAAGTCCATTGTCGCAACCCGATCTCTCAGAACTATCTTTCCATCTTCCCTCGTTACATAGATATATATATATATATATATATATATATATATATATATGTACATATATGTATTACTAAGGTTAAGCAAAAAAGGGGGAATGCTAAGCTCAGAAGAAGGAAGCAACAAACACTCTTTTCTTTTTTTTTTTTCCTTTTTTGGTTGTCCCTTTTTTGGTTGTCCCTTTTTTGGTTGTCCCTTTTTTGGCTGTCCCTTTTTTGGTTGCCTTTTTTTCAATTGTTTTTCTCCTTATATCTCAATCTTTCCCTTTTCTTTCTTTCTTTTTTTTTTTTTTTTTTTTTTTTTTTTAAGCCTTATACGTAGCGTTAATTACTGCATGCGTTTTCGTTTATGCAAATTGGATTAAATTTTTCTCTTTTTCTACTAGATTTTTTATTTATATATAAAAATGCATGAATATATTGTTATTATATATTGCGTAGATATTTTCTGAACATGTTATATATGTTATTATGTGAATATATTATTTGAGTAGATATTATATGAAAATATACTAGTTATATACATGCGTGAGTGCAATGTATATAAAACACGTTTACTGGATTCACATCTACTCTAGGGTCAATAACATATATATTAATTACGCATTAATGCAAACTCCTGTTTTCTTATCATCCTCTCCACTTGTTTATTTTTATAAAAATGTATACATATATAAAAATCACATATACCACAACGGGGCTCGTTTTTTATTTATAGCCCCCCCCATTAACAATTTTTTTTTTTTTTTAGCTACTATTAACTCTCCGCCTACCCTATTTTATTCGACTGTGTTTTTTTTTTTTTCTTATAAATTTTAATTTATTATTCCCTTTCCCTTCAATCTATTAAAATTTTTTTTCTTTTTTTTTTTTAAAACCTTCAAACATTTCAATGCCCAAATTTATTGGTTAATCGATTTGCCAATTTGGCACTCTCATTGTCACTGTCACTTTAACTTTCGCGCTAATTTTCATTTTTGTCATAGTCCATTTTGCAATTTGCAGTTTTGACATTTTACCAATGTAAGTTATTTAAATCTGTCAAATTTTAAAGATTTTTTCATATTCAAATCATTCTTTTCTTAAATAACATCCTACGATCAAATTGAAGCACTTTTTTTTTTTTTTTTTTTTTCAATTCTACACGTATATATATATATATATATGTTATATTAAGATTACCAGCTAATCAATAAGTTTTTTTCAGTGCACGCTAATCTATATACCATGTTGTGTACATGTAAAGAAAAAAACATATAATTAACTTTTTGCAAAAAGTAAAAAAGTTATATTATACATGTGTATATATGTACACATATATATATATACATATAATATGTGTTATATACATGTATACACGTACGTAGAAAAAAACTCCATGTCACATCATCCCTTAATCCTTCAGAACCTCCTGAACTCTGAACAATTTTTGCATGATTTTTTTTTTTTTTTTTTTTTTTTTTTTTTTTTTTTTTTTTTTTTTTTTTTTTTTTTTTTTTTTTTTTTTTTTTTTTTTTTTTTTAACGTTCATGAGTAACATTACTCTCCCATTGCTTATTTTCACTGTTTTAATTTTAATTTCTCTATTTCTGATTATTTGTTTTTTTTTTTCATTTATGGAATGTGAAAATAAGTTTATGACATGCATTTGCACTTATCTAATATATATCTACGTACGTGCGTACACGTATTGATGTGCTTTAAATGTTTACATATAAATTCTACATGCAGTATATACATAATAAATATTATATAGTTGTATACATATTTTTATATTATTGTATGCATATGCTATGAGTATGTGTGTGTGTGTATATTATATATATATGTATATGTATATATATATATATATATATATATATATATATATATATGGTACACACAATCATATGTACCTTGCGCGACTACGCAAAAATTACACTTAGAATCATACGTATATGTTTCATATGAATACATAGATTATCTATACATATGTGTGTATATATATATAAATAGAATATGTGTAATCATGCATGTTCACACACACACACACACATAGCTTGTTAGTAGACCTATATGAATTTCTCAACTTTTCTAATGTTAGTTATGAAACAATCAATACCCATTCTTTAATAAAAACAGAAAGAAAAAAAAAAAAAAAAAAAAAAAAAAAGGAAGAAAAAAACACAATTTCATATCTATGTTCAAGTTAACGAATTCGAGTTTCATATGAACATATAGTTTGATTATTTATGTATAGACATATTTTATGAACAGTTTTTATAAAATTAATTTTTTTTTTTTTTTTTTTTTTTAGTGATGAACCCCTTGTGTGAATATGTTTATTTGCACATTTTTCTCTCTCATGCATTGTACATACCTATGAGGGCACACTGTTAAATGGTTAAGATCATCACACATGTACACAAATACATAAGCATGCAAACAAATACATAAGCATGCAAAATACATACATAAGCATGCAAAATACATACTCATATACACACACACGCAAACACTTGGCTAAGTCACTTTTCAGTTTTTCGAATGTATTTCCGACAGCATATTTCATTTTATTGTGTTGTATTTTTTTCAATAATTTCGAATACACATAAGAAGCGCTTTTTGTATGTACATTTTTTCACATTATAATAAATTAACGTCTGCACAAAATATTTTTTTTTTTTTTTTTTTCTCTCACCCAAACTCCCCTCCGTTTCAACAGTTCCTTTGAATGAACATGTCAATTTATGAAATCTAATTTTTGAATTAACAATTGTTATGAATGAATAAATACTATATATTTCTTCTGTGTAGAGAATATATTTCTTTATTCTACTTTTTTTCCATTTTCCGTAAACATGTGTGTTATCTTATCATTTTTGTATACATGATAATAGAAATACCTCATTTAAAAGTTTTGCGTGTGCACGTGTGTGTCTATAATACCTTTTTGTAGAAAAAAAAAAAAAAAAATATATATATATATATATATATATATATATATATATATATATATATATATTATAATAAAATATAGTAATAATAAATGCTTTGCTCCCTTCCCCCTCATATATCTTATCTTTTTTTCTTCATAATGTACAAATATTATTTTTAAAAGAATAAATGGTTATTGGACCAGCCCCCATCTATCTCTCTCTCTTTCACTATTATCTTGCTTTTTTTTTTTTTTTTTTTTTTTTTTTTTTTGCTTTCACTCTCTCTCCCTATATAAATAAACAAGTATATTTGGAATGTATGCAAAAGGAGTTGAAGAACAGTAGCAAACATATATTTGTGTATCAGTGCATTTACATATGTATTTATACATATACCTTATGTGCATGTATACATTAGACACAAAAACACGTTCTTCTTGTTTTTGGTTCCCAAGCATATATCCATAGAAAATAAGAAAAAACAAAAATGACATGGTGAACTTTCTTACTCTACACATTTTTTATTTATTTTATTTCTCCTTTTTTTTTTCCGCCCACTTTTAATTTTGCCGAACTATAACATATAATACACATACTTTTATACATTCGCATCTTTCTTTCCCCACGCACCCACCCCCGATTTAGTATACATAATATATGTACATATTTAATTAATAAGACTTATTTGAATGTATTGTTAAATTTATGCATACCTTATAAATATATATATATATATATATATATATAGCACACGCAAGGACGTCATTTTATTATCCAATATTATACCTTCTTGACTGTTATCAAAAATGTTAAACCGTATTTTTAATTGGATTCTTTTTTCTTTAACTTTCTTTTTTGTGTATAAGAATGATCTTGCTATATGCTCCATAAATAATAATCAGGGAGTAAGTATATTTTTTTTTTTTTTCTTTTTTTCAGCAATTTTTTGAGAGATCTATATAAAAATTTATCATGTATATATAGTAACGATTGTCCACAGAATGAGAAAAACAAACGTGTGGGTAGTCTCAAAATTTGAGTCGTGTTTTTGTGTATTTTTTTTTTTTTTTTTTTTTTTTTACAAGATGATATATCATGTATCACATCTTTCTAGTTTCTACAGCGAGTATTTGTAGAACGTACAATTCGCACGAGAAAAAAAAAAAAAGTTTTGCTTATGATTTCTCACGTGTGAAAATGTTGATTTTACTTTATTTTTTGTTATCATCTTACTCCTTTCCTCCCACCTTTGTAGAAGGACAATTTCCTGAACAGAACAATAAACATTTTGAACTCTGGAAAAAATATAGCAAAGAGATATGGTCATAGCCAATTGAAGCCGGTTCATATTTTGAGTGCCATTGCAAAAAGTGATTATGGTAAAGCACAAAAAGGAAAAAAATTCGAATTAAGGCATCCGTGATAGATATAAACCTTGCTTCTCCCGTTTTACATTTCTAATCACGTGTTTATCGTCTGATTATTACCACCCCCACTCTCTCCTTTAACCGTGCCGTGCATGCAATTTTTTTTTTTTTTTTTTTTTCCGTATCATTTTTCAGGATCCAATTTATTTAAAGAAAACAGTGTAAATGCCAGCAACCTAAAGGAGTATATAGACACTGCCCTGGAACAAACCAGAGCTGGAGCTGTAAGTTCATCTACACATGCATCTATAGATTAGCAGTTTTACGTAACTGATGTTTTTTTTTTTTTTTTTGCGTCTGTTTATGTACTTTTCCATCCCAACACTTCTAAACCACTTGATGATTTTGTTATCCCACTCAAACATATCCCTCTTCAATGCAGCCTCTGGATGGAAAAAGTAAAATTAGTTATTCTGACGAAGTTAAAGAAATATTAGCTGAGGCAGAAATGTTGGCAAATAAATATAAAAGCCAAAAAGTAGATGTAGAACACTTATTAAGTGGTCTAATGAATGATGAACTAGTTAATGAAATATTGAATGAAGTGTACCTTACTGATGAAGCAGTGAAAGGAATTATGAAAAATAAATTTGAAAAAACAAAGAAAGATAAGGATGGAAAATCAGGAGGATTATATATTGAACAATTTGGATCTAATTTAAATGAGAAGGTGAGAAATGGAAAATTACAAGGAATTTATGGAAGAGATGAAGAAATAAGAGCAATTATAGAATCATTATTAAGATATAATAAAAATAGTCCTGTATTAGTAGGACAACCAGGTACTGGTAAAACTACCATTGTAGAAGGATTAGTATATAGAATTGAAAAGGGTGATGTTCCAAAAGAATTACAAGGTTATACAGTTATCAGTCTTAACTTTCGAAAATTTACATCCGGGACATCTTATAGAGGAGAATTTGAAACAAGAATGAAAAATATAATTAAAGAATTAAAAAACAAAAAAAATAAAATTATCTTATTTGTTGATGAAATACATCTACTTTTAGGAGCAGGAAAAGCAGAAGGAGGAACAGATGCAGCAAATTTATTAAAACCAGTATTATCAAAAGGAGAAATTAAATTAATCGGTGCAACCACTATCGCAGAATATAGAAAATTTATAGAAAGTTGTTCAGCTTTTGAAAGAAGATTTGAAAAAATTTTAGTGGAACCTCCATCAGTGGAAAATACTATAAAAATATTAAGATCGTTAAAGAGTAAATATGAAAACTTTTATGGAATTCATATCACGGACAAAGCATTGGTTGCAGCCACCAAAGTTTCAGATAGATTTATAAAGGATCGATATTTACCTGATAAAGCAATAGATCTATTAAATAAAGCTTGCTCATTTTTACAAGTACAATTATCTGGAAAACCAAGAATTATTGATGTAACTGAGAGAGAAATTGAAAGATTAGCATATGAAATTAGTACACTAGAAATGGACGTAGATAAAGTTTCTAAACGAAAATATAATAACCTAATTAAAGAATTTGAAAATAAAAAAGAAGCATTAAAAAAATATTATGAAGAATATGTCATATCAGGTGAAAGATTAAAAAGAAAAAAAGAAGCAGAAAAAAAATTAAATGAATTAAAAGAATTAACACAAAATTACATTAATGCTAATAAGGAACCCCCTATCGAATTGCAAAATAGTTTAAAAGAGGCTCAAGAAAAACATATGGAAGTGTATAAAGAAACATTAGCTTATGTTGAAGCCAAAACACATAATGCTATGAATGTTGATGCAGTTTATCAAGAACATGTTTCTTACATCTATTTGAGAGATTCTGGTATGCCTCTAGGTTCTCTATCATTTGAATCATCCAAAGGTGCATTAAAATTGTATAACAGTCTTTCCAAATCAATTATTGGTAATGAAGACATTATCAAATCTTTAAGTGATGCAGTAGTGAAAGCAGCAACAGGGATGAAAGATCCTGAGAAACCCATAGGAACCTTTTTATTTTTAGGACCTACGGGTGTAGGTAAAACTGAGCTAGCCAAAACATTAGCTATTGAATTATTTAGCTCTAAAGACAACCTTATCCGTGTTAACATGTCAGAATTTACAGAAGCACATTCTGTTTCAAAAATTACTGGTAGTCCACCTGGTTATGTAGGATTTAGTGATTCTGGTCAGTTAACAGAAGCAGTTAGAGAAAAACCACATTCAGTTGTTCTTTTTGACGAATTAGAAAAGGCACATCCAGATGTTTTCAAAGTTCTTTTGCAAATATTAGGAGATGGTTACATTAACGATAACCACAGAAGAAATATTGATTTCTCCAACACAATCATCATTATGACATCCAACTTAGGTGCAGAATTATTCAAAAAGAAATTATTTTTTGAAGCAGATAATTCTGATACACCAGAATACAAACGTGTTTTTGAAGATATCAGAATTCAACTTATAAAAAAATGTAAAAAAGTTTTTAAACCAGAATTTGTAAACAGAATTGACAAAATTGGTGTCTTCGAACCTCTAAGCAAAAAGAACTTACGAGAAATTGTAAAACTAAGATTTAAAAAATTAGAAAAACGTTTAGAAGAAAAAAATATACATATATCTGTTTCGCAGAAAGCAGTGGATTACATTATTGACCAATCCTATGATCCAGAATTAGGAGCTAGACCAACTCTTATATTCATTGAAAGTGTTATTATGACAAAGTTCGCCATTATGTATTTGAAGAAGGAGCTAGTTGACGATATGGATGTCCATGTAGATTATAGCAAGTCTACTAATAATTTGATTATAAATCTTACAACAGTGTAGTAGAAGAGACGTCACGAAGAAACATGCAAGTGGGAGAAGAGACAGAAAATGAAGTATGTAAAGATTTGAAGATGACATAATATAGTATACACATTTATTGGAAGTGAATATCACATTGATATGGTATAGGAAGTTGTCTCTCCAGTTCATTTCTTTTCGTTCATTTTACATTATTTTACGTTATTTTAGTTTATTTTCATATTTTTATTATTTTTTTTTTTTTTCTTTTTTGAATTGCCACCCCATCTAGTACTTTTAAATAATTGTAGAAAAATGCAGGATATATCGCACATGTGAAAATGTTTTTGTGTTTTTTTTTTTTTATTTTAATATAACACTACATTGTTTAAAAGCACGTGTTGTGTATTATATCCCTATATGTTATATTCGTATGTCTATATGTCTACATTTTTTTTTTTTTTTTTTTTTTTTTTTTTTTTTTTTTTTTCTCCTTTTTTTTTTTTTTTATTTTTTTTTTTTTTTTTTTTTTTTTTTTTTTTTTTTTTTTTTTTTTTTTTTTTTTTTTTTTTTTTTTTTTTTTTTTTTTTTTTTTTTTTTTTTTTCATTATCTTCCTGCATTTTTATAATTAATACTTTTGTTTTGATCCCCAAGCATATGTTTGTATTTATACACCTATTTGTGTATGTTTATATTCATATGTATTTTTCACAACTTTTTAAGTTTACATTTATTTATATATATGAGAAATTTTGTTTTTCAATTTTTAATTCATTTTGTTTAACCTTCTATAAGTAAAATTTTTGATAACTTTTTAATTTTTTCAATTTTTTTTTTTAAATTAATATAACTAATAACAGAAAATCATGGAAGAAGGGAAGGTGTGGAGAAAAAAAAAAAAAAAAAAAAAAAAAAAAAGGTATTAATTATCCTCCCTCCCCCCTCACACACATTTCATAACTCTGTAAGATAGAGTGGGTATCATCATAATATATATCTCCACCCCTATTCGTATCTCTTTTTTTACAATAACATTAAAGCTGATTTAATGGAACTAGGTATAAAAAGCGACAGTGAACCAAACACTCAAACGCACCCCATTGTTATAACAAACTTTTTTCCCCCGTGTGCAAGCATATATTTTATACATGACTATTTTTATACATATTTACTTGTTCTCATACAATTTCATTTATTAATTGATAACACAAGAGCTAGGGGTCTTTTATTGTTGAACACGGGATGATAAGGACAGGTGAAATTTTGCTGACCCTTTAAAAAAAAATAAAGGAATAAAATGGAGAACTGAATTGTCAATTTGGAATAATCTTTCTTTCAAATTGTGTCACTTTATCACAGGTTGAACTGGCACGTTGAAGGAGAACGGCAAAACTGTGTGAATACATTGATACATACATTCATACATTCGTACATTCATATGTATGTGCACGTGCATATATATATATATATATATATATATATATATATATATATATACATATTCATACAACGGAGATTGAACTTATTACTGAGTAGCCTGCGTGGAATCATATCGTGCCGAACACTGTGGTATGTGGCAAGCATTTCCTGGTTATCATTTTCACATATATACACACACACACTCAGAACTTACATAATCACTCATTTTAAAATGCCTCTATGTGCCAATTGTAAAACTACTCATTTGACAGCAGCAGAAAAACGTCGTGTTGTCTGTATTATATATAAAAGATATGTAAAAAAAAAAAATGTATACCACGCTTTTCAGTTTTGTCCCCTTCATTTAAAAAAAAGAAAAAGTACAAAACGAACAGAATGGACAAAATGAACAGAATGGACAAAATGAACAGAATGGACAAAATGAACAGAATGGACAAAATGAATTGTATAAGCAGAAAATGTATCCAAAGTACTCTCCTCTCTCCCCTTTTCATCATTTCCCATCAAATAAGCTATGTGGAGAAAAATGTAACGACATTTAATGTTCTTCATTTTTCCTCCATTAGGAAATTACTCTGATTCGTGGGGGGAGTTGCTGGTAGTGAAAAAAGCTGGAAAAATTCTCTCTTTTTATTACCTAAAAACCGTATGAAATTTTTTGTTTGTTACAGTGCGTTGTACATTTGAAAAGAAACATTTTTTTTTCCTTCTTTTCCCTTAAAATGTAGCAAGCAATATTCATTAGCTGTTGATTTGTTTGTTTGGTTATCTGTTCGTTTTTTAAGTAGTCTATATCCCTGTTAATTCCACTTTTCTCACTTTTACAACATCAATGTGTCATTTCTATGGAGGGGCAAAAAAAATAGTAATCCCTCTCCCATTCCATCAGTTCCTCAAACACTCATTCATTTTTTTTTTTTTTTTTTTTTTTTTTTTTTTTTTTTTTTTAAAAAATTTTTTTTTTTTTTTTTTTTTTTTTTTTTTTTTTTGTTTGTAAACAAAATAAGTGTGTGAAATGAATCATCGAAATGATATTGGAATTAAAATGCGCGTGAAAAAATGAAAAAAAAAAAAAGAATGAAAATCATTTATTTCACACAATTTCGTTATATACATAACATTTGTCATAAAATGGAATTAAGCTAATTTGTTTTTAAAAAAAAAAAAAAATAAAAGAAAAGGAAAAAGGCTAATTTTATAGGTTTTTTTTTTTTTTTTTTTTTTTTTTTTTTTATATATATAAGTAGCTAGCTAAAATATTTTTTTTTCATTTTTTTTCCATTTTTTTTCCATTTTTTTTCCATTTTTTTTTTTATTTTACACTCCCCTTCGTTTCGATCTATACACGCAAATGGTGTTGTATATATTTTTTTTGGGACTTGTGAAAGTTTATATGTTTGTATATGGAATTTATCTCTACATAATACGTACATATATATATACATATATACCTATGTAAATGTCATTTCCCATTCCCACCCCCCCTTTTTGTGTAATACATCCAGATGAAAAAAATGCAGGAAATGAAAAACAAAACTGAGTGAAATCAATTATTCAGTACACTAACATAAGCAAATTCACAAACAAAACTGCATGAAATATATGTCAAAATGTTGTTTCATTCAGATAACTTGTAGCTGTAGCTGTTGCTGTTTTTTTTTTTTTTTTTTTTTTATGATTTTTTCCATCTAATGTGACATGCGTAAAAATATATACAAAAGTGAAATTTTTAGTTATTATTAATTATATATATATATACACTTTGCGTTCGTTTTTTTTTTTTTTATTTGATATAAGTGGGGACAATACGAATTAAGCCGCGTTCAAACCCCCCCCCCCCCCTTCTATTTTTTCCTGTTTACATTCCTCCCATTTTACGCTTCCTTTTTTCCTTCAAATATAAACCTCGTTCAACTTTTCACTTCACTTTCTCACAAAAGTGTTATTATTGTATATTTGTACGCGCATACACACGTATATATATAATTCATGAATACTTATCACATAAATAATACATGCATAACATAACATTATATGTATTTAAGCCTCTTTAGAGAGAGAGGGGAGAGTAAAAAAAAAAAAAAAAAAAAAAAAAAAAACACTTGATAGCCAAAGCCTTTTCGCTACTTGCGCTATTTCGTAAATAAATATACATCCATATATATTTTATATTTTTATGTTTTTTTTATTTTTTTCGTTTCATATAATAAATGTAAAGTAAAAAATTTTGGATTGTTTCTCACAACAGCATTTGCTGCAATTTTGTAATAATATTTCGCTAATAATTTTTCCGTTCGATAATAAATAATGAAATAAAAAAAAAATGATTCGACCAATGGAGGTATATTTTAGAACATCCATATATTTTTAATGCTCATACGTGAAAGCCTATATTATATGCTTTTATATGTCATATGTATGTTTATGAATGAAAAGAAGCTTTGTCCCCCAATTTTTAGCACATATGAACGTTACGAATTTTTGGGGAGATAAGCCGGCACCATGCTATCTCGATACACATATAATATACATTCATCTAGGTAGAGCTTGTATGCATACATAACACATGCACGAATGGAATATATATATATATATATATATATATATATATATATATGTAGATATAGATAGATCTACGTGTAAATAAATCTACATATACATGCACCCAACATCAGGCCGTATATATGATCCACCCGAATAAATTCTGATGTTGAAGCATAGAGATACTATATATATATATATATATGTATATCCCTTTTGTTAAACATGATGAAGGAACAAATATAAGATGAAAAAATTTAAAAATAAAGTACATCGCTATATTTTTGTACTTCATTTCATGTTACTACATATTTTAAACTTTTTCCCCTTATTGAACATTTGTTTTTGAAGTACAACTGCATGTTAATGAAGAGACAAGTGTAGGAATATAAATCCATGTACACTCTTGACCCCTCAATAACGTATACTATTGTCATTCATTTATACACCCTGTGGTAGTACATTCCCTTTTTTTTTTTTGCTTGCATTTTCATAAAAAAAAAAAAAAAAAAAAAAAAAAAAAACATGTACGTACACGTGTGTATACTTAGTTAATCCGATTCCCACTGTGTGTACATTATTTTATTATTATTTAATTTTTCTGGCATATATATAAAAAAAAAAAAAAAAAAAAATGAGGAAAACAAGGAATATTTTAAGCATTGGTCTGATTTTGTTGAATACCATTTATGTAAATCTAATACGAGGTGATTTGCCATCACATGTAGAAATAAGAAACATATTAGGAAAATGGAAAATATATAAAACCCAAACATCTCCCACAATGACTACGTGTGGATCAAGTCAACCCAATAGCAATTCTCTCAATGTGAAAATTACAGATTATAAGAAATATTTACTTGATAACCACTACAAATTTACAGAAGAATTTCATGTGATTTTATCAGATGACTTTGTACATTATGGTGATATATATGACACAACCGGCAATGAACATCGAAAAAATTGGAACGTTTTGGTTGTCTATGATGAATATAAGAAAAGAATTGGTACTTGGACAACCATATGTGATGAAGGGTTTGAAATAAGATTAGGTAATGAAGTATATACAGCATTTATGCATTATGAACCAACAGGAAATTGTGATGGAATTAGGGATGATGATTGTACAGATTCGAATGGAAACACGGATTGTTATGTGACAAATTTTAATAAAATTAGATTCGGATGGGTAGATATATCAAAAAAGGAAGGTGAAAAATTGTATGGTTGTTTCTATGCTGAAAAGGATCATAAAACCGGAGAAAAGAATAAAGACATTGCTAGTAATAATAATCAACCTAAGGAGCCTGTGATAAAATCAGAAAAAGAAGCAGTACAATACAACAATTCGGTTCACGTAGAAATGAATAAGGACTCTGCAAATAATGAGACAAATATTGATAGTTCATTAAATGCACACAATTTTTTACAGAACTCAAAATCCCGTGACACAACGATATTCAGTCCTGTTAATAAACCAACATATACGAAAAAAAAAAATATGAAAATAAATGAAAATAGTGAATTATATTGGCATAAAATGAAACACCATGGGAAGAAAAAACCAATAACGAAAGAAATGGTCATGAATTCGAGACAGAGATATGCATGTCCATGCAATAATGATGAACAGGTAGATGATGTTATAAACAATGGAGGAGATAGTCCAGATAAACCAGTTTCACCAGTAACACTTGTGCAGTTAGGAAGTAATAGCAATGATAGCCAAACGAATGAAATGGATTTAGAAAATTATGAAGACACAGAAAAATCGCCACATAGAGAACTAGAAATATATGAACTTCCAAAAAATTTCACTTGGGGAGATCCATTTAATAAAAACACAAGAGAATATGATGTGACCAATCAATTGTTATGTGGTTCTTGTTATATTGCATCCCAAATGTATGTATTTAAAAGAAGAATTGAAATAGGACTTACAAAAAATTTAGATAAAAAATTTTTAAACAATTTTGATGATGTTTTGTCTATGCAAACAGTTCTTTCTTGTTCATTTTATGATCAAGGATGTAATGGTGGATATCCATATTTAGTTTCAAAAATGGCAAAACTTCAAGGAATTCCATTGGATAAAGTGTTCCCATACACAGCTACAGATGAAACATGTCCGTACCATATAAATAAATCTTATGATTTGTCAGAAGCTGATAAAAAAAAAGATTCTTCAAATAAGAAAGGAGGAGAAGTAGTAGCACCAACTCCTACGACCAATCTGAGACAAATAAACGCAGTAATGTTCAACAAAAACAAGAAGCATTATGATATGCATGAACATTTTTCTAATTTCATAAATGATGATCCAGATAAATGGTATGCAAAAGATTACAATTACATTGGAGGTTGTTATGGTTGCAATCAATGTAATGGAGAAAAAATTATGATGAATGAGATGTATAGAAATGGCCCTATTGTTGCTTCTTTTGAAGCGTCCCCAGATTTTTATGATTATGAAGATGGAGTTTATTACGTAGAAAATTTTCCACATGCAAAGATATGTACGGTAGATAGTAAGAAGGAGAACTATATTTATAATATCACAGGTTGGGAAAAGGTAAATCATGCTATTGTATTAGTTGGTTGGGGAGAAGAAGAAATCAATGGAAAACTATACAAGTATTGGATTGGTAGAAACAGTTGGGGAAAAACTTGGGGAAAGGAAGGATATTTCAAAATTATCAGAGGTATCAATTTTAGTGGTATTGAAAGTCAGTCACTTTTTATTGAACCAGATTTTACTCGAGGTGCAGGAAAGGTTCTTTTGGAAAAACTGAAGAATGAGTGAGAGAGGACAAATGGGAAGGAAGAAAGCAAGCTTCTCCCCCCCCCTTTCCCCCCCATAATATCTCCCTATGTATTTCTTTTTATGTGTATAAACCCGTAACTCCAAAATTGGAAAAAAATGTTTATTTATGCTAAAGTGGGTGGAGGGAAAAGGATAATACAAGACAAGACAAGACAAGACAAGACAGCAAGCCCATTTTTCCCCTTCACAAGCCCCCACAGGGGGGGGGGGGGGGGAAGAGCGGGTCTACTAGCATATATAATTATGAACTCAGAAATTTTTAAGTCTCAAATTTAAGCCATTACTGATTCTGTCTGCATGCTGTATGTGTATGTATATATTTACATATTTACATACGTATTTACATACGTATTTGTATATTTATTTGTATATATTTATTTGTATATATTTATTTGTATATATTTATTTGTATATATTTGTTTGTATATATTTATTTTTCCGTCATGTTGTTATGTACGTATTTATGATGTACACATATATGCCCTTCCGCTTTTCTTCCATTATTCGTCTTTAAATGATGTATTACCCCCCCCCCCCCCCCCCCCCGTATCTATTAAATTAAACTTTTAAAGAAAAAACACTTTTTAAATGTATATATAAAAGGAACACTCGCAAAAACCGCTTTTAATTAACCCCAAACTTATATGAAAGTTCTTATTGTAGTTCAGCAATGCATGTTATTATAGATAACTAATGCAAGGTTTTTTTTTTTTTTTTTTTTTTTTTCCCCCCCCCCCCCCCTCGTTAAAATGAGCTGTGTGTCAGAAATGATCATTTTTAAATAACCATATGGAAGGAAAATAACCTAATTTCTTCATCCCTTCTTATGGAGAAATGGAAAAAAAATGTCGGTGCATTTTTGCCCACTAAGCACACATGCACTGTCGTATGTGAAAAAAAGAAAAAAGGAGGGAAGGGATGAAAAAAAAGTCAAACATTCATCTTCAGTTGAGTAAAATCTGAAACAAAACCTAAAGCAATGGTCACCGCGTACGTAAAGGCAACATAAACACACAAAGGAGAACATATTCTTTTTTTTTTTTTTTTTTTTTCTTATCCGATTCGAATTTCTCATGGATTCTGACCAGTGTTGATTTCATAATATGCCTAACTGAATTCTTTTTCCTTTTTTTTTTTTTTTTTTTTTTTTTTGCACATATAACTATAACTTTGAGTTTTTACTAACGTACAGTTCTTATTTCTGAATGTTAAAGAAAAGGAAGAGAAGTTCCGAGTTGATATATAAACTGACACGGTGTGTTTTTTTTTATATATAGATTTTTCCAATACCACTCAAAACAATCTGAGAAACATGAAACTGCACAAACCTAGGGTATATGTATCCTCATCTCTATTTTCATATTCACACTAACATAAAATAAAAATAAACTAAGGCTCCAAAAAGGGTGCTATCAAGAAATGAGAAACACAGGAAGATAACACACAACATTGAGAAGAATCCTCAAAAAAAAAAGAGAAAAATATCAAACGAACTGACAAACACCAGTGCACCACATTTCGAAATGGGGGTTCCCAATTTGCTACAGAATTACAACATTAATCTCCTTTGCTACAAAAATTGTTGCATCTAGGAAATGTAGAATATATGAAATATTCACGTGCGAACAATTTTGTGACATTCTTATAAGTTCACGAAGCTGTCCTTACAGACATACACAGAGAATACACACACACACACACATATATATATATATATATATATATATATATATATATATATATATTATGTACTACATGTAATAGAACAACTGTGCATATTTACAAGATGGTTAATAGAGAAGATCTGGAAGAGAACGAGGAGGAGGACGATTTGAGGCTTAAGCCTCGTTTTGTCTTAAATCGATTCCTGCACAACATATTTTGCTGCCATGCTTTTCGACGGGTTAGTTTAAAATGGAATGCATAGATAGAAATCATCACAAGGATTTTTTTTTTTTTTATTTTTTCTTATCAAAATTATGTGGAGCGTCTTTTTCCATTCCATAAGCATTAATCGATGCCACATGAGGGGGGTGGGGGGGGGGGGGCATTCTCATTTTTGTGTCATTTGTTTAGTTGCTCCATGGTTCATTTGCGTTTTCTCTACTTCGACTCTACGTCTCTACTTCTTCTCCACTTCTCTACCTTTTGGCTATTTTTGCACATTTGTCTCCCTCCGTTCACACGCAGGCGATGAAAGAGGCCCCAAAGTGGAGGAGGAAAATGGAAATCCTGATCCTTCTACTAATCGGAGTGCTGAGTTTTCTAATTAGACTCTTCTCAGTCATCAGAAATGAAGCAATAATACACGAATTCGATCCATATTTCAACTATAAATTAACAAGAATATTAAAGGAAAAGGAATTCTATGAATTCTGGAATTATTTTGATGAAAAATCTTGGTTTCCACTTGGAAGAACAACAGGGCAAACGTTATTTCCTGGGTTGATGGTAACTATTCTTTTTATTTATCAAATATGTCATTACAGTAAATTCTTAATTGATTTAAAAAATTTATGTATATATATAGGACCCATATTCAGTTTTTTAACATGTATAATAACATATTTATTAACAAAAGAGATACATCATTTTGGAGGAACAGGGTTAATAGCTTCATTATTTGTTTCAATATCTCCATCTCATGTTTCAAGAACAGTTGCAGGTTCTTATGATAATGAATCTATTGCAATATTTTTATTACTTGTATGTATATATAACTGGGTTAGATGCTTAAAAAAAGGTACTCTATTGTCTGCTTTGATAACCTCACTAAGTACATATTACATGGCCTTATCTTGGGGTGCATATATATATATTACAAATTCGGTTAGCTTATACATGTTGATACTCATAATAATGAAAAGGTATACTGTAAAAAATGTAATTGTTTTTAATGTGTATTATGTGCTGACAACAGCTTTATGTCTTACCATTCCATGTATTCATAAATCCGTTTTTATTAGCATTGAACATTTAGGTACTCATGCAATTTTTGTTTTAACCAATATGTTACTACTCTTGCGTCATGTAATTCTTTGTTTAAATATGGATGAAGAAAAATTTGCAAATAATTTTATTAAAATATGTTTTATTTTTTTTATTTTAATTTTTAAATTTATAATCTTTACGAACAAATTGTCATGGAATCATAGGTCTAGAACATTATTAGATCCCACATATGCATCTAAACACAATCCAGTTGTTGCATCTATATCTGAACATCAACCAACTACTTGGTCTTCTTATTTTTTTGATGTGCATCTAGTTTTGTTATTTGTGCCAATTGGTCTATATGAATGTCTAAAAAAACAAGCATCAATAGAGTCCTTTTTTTTAGGTATCTTTTCATTACTCTCTTTGTATTTCTCAGCACTCATGGTTAGACTACTCCTCATATTCTCACCCATTGCCAGTATCTTGAGTGCTATTGGATTGTCTTCAATCATATCTCGGTACGTCCGATTTCTGAGAATCCCACCAGACACATTTATCGCATCTCTCTTCGTGGGACCCGAGACCTGCACCGGCACCACTGAGGGAAGCGAGTTGAGCAAGTTAAGTGTGATAAGTGATGAGATGAGAACCGAGTCAATTGGTGAGACTAAAATCGAATCAATTGGCAAGACTAAAACCGAGTCAATTGGTGAGACTAAAATCGAATCAATTGGCAAGACTAAAACCGAATCAATTGGTGAGACTAAAATCGAATCAATTGGCAAGACTAAAACAGAATCAATTGGCAACTCCAGTAGCTTGTTAAGTGGCTCGTCAAGCGAGGAGATGGGAACGAGTGAAGAAGAGGAAGAAATAAGAAAACTAAACTTCAACAGAACCGAGAAGAACAGCGTGTCGATCGTGCTAAGTTTGTGCATATTAATAGTGCTAGCATACTTTGTAATTTTGTCTGTTTTGCACTCCACATGGTGTTCATCCGTTGCATATTCAGAATCGAATATAATATTTTACAGTAGAAATGAAAATGGAGAAAGATATATAAATGATGATGTAAGGCAGATGTATAAATGGATTTATGAAAATACGGAACCCGATTCTAAAATAGTAGCTTGGTGGGATTACGGATATCAGTTAAACGTTATGAGTGATAGAATAACCTATGTTGATAATAATACATGGAACAATATGCACATAGCAACAGTAGGTTTGATTCTAAGTGTAAATGAAAAACAAGCATATGAATATTTGAAAAAGTTAGATGCAGATTATATACTAGTATCATATGGAGGATACTCCAAAAATTCATCAGATGATTTAAATAAATTCTTATGGATCCTAAAAATAACAAATAAAAAGTTTAATCATATTAACCCATTGCTTTATTATTATCATGATCAGTATCACCCTCTTGGAAAAAATGCATCCACTTCCATGTCTAATAGTCTACTATACAGACTTTCATATTATAATATATCCAACTCTAAAATAAAAGGATATGATTATGTACGCAAGCTGCAGGTACCAGAGATTAAAGAGTTAACTCAATTCGAGGAGGTTTTTACATCAGATGTATGGGGATTTAGATTGTACAAAGTTAGGGATTACATCTAATGACCGGTAATAAAAAAAAAAAAAAAAAAAAAAACGGAACGTCTCAAACGTAGGCACAGTTGTGTTCAGATGTCAACTTCTATATGAACATCTATCTGTTCCACGTCACATTATGTATGTATGCATGTACTTTTTTTGTTTTTATATTTAATTGCATTATATGCATAACTTAGTTTTTTTTTTTTTTGAGAACTTGTTACATTTTGTGAAAATTCATGCTCGCTAACAACTTGGACAACTGGTGTGTATTACGACTGCCAAATTAAGGGGTAGCCATTCGATCATTATCTTTCATTTTGTTTTCTCAATACTTAGTTGTAATGTTATTAAGGCTGATCAAAAAGAACAGCTTGGTAGAAAGTGTGCGTGGGAGAAGCTAGTATACATGGGAGTGTTATATGCGTGGCATCTGATAAAAAAGCACAGATTTTTTTTTTTTTTCCATCCCACATACACACTATCTATATGCAGATGTTTGTTCATACAAACGTTCATGGTGCATAGATCAAATTTATTAAATTGATTTGTAATCATTCTGTTGCATTAACAAAAACATGTGAAGACAAGAAGACGCCTGCAGGGCGTGATGAGTAATGTGGTGAAAGTTCTTTTTGAAGTTATGACAAAAATTAGGACAACAAAAACAAAGCAAAATATGCGATAAATATGCTAGACATGTGTGCAGAAATATTCAATGAGGAATATACAATGGATAATGTATTAAACATATGCAACAACAAAATGGAAAAAAAAAAAAAAAAAAAAAAAAACTAAATCACAATGGTGACACAAAAAAGGTTGTAGAAAAATAACAATAATTTCTACTCTAAATTTTCAAAATAAAAACACACTTAGCAGATGTGAGATTATGCATCTGTTGGAGAAGGGGTGTATATCTGATGACATCTAAAAAAGGTGACAAACTAGTTCCACTGCAGGAAGGGGAGGGGAGGAGAAAAAAGGGCTCAAGATAATAATGTCGAATAATAAGCAATGGGGGATTTCAAATCAAGAAGGATGATGTTATACATACATGCACATACATACACATACATACACATACATACACATACATACACATACATACACATACATACACATACATACATATATGCATACATTTTAAACCTTTACGCAGCACTGCAGAGAGTAGGATTATTTTTTGAGTTTGTCTATTTTTTCTTCTTCCGGCAAAAGGGGAACCAGTGTGAGAGATAACAAAAGGCAGAATCCACAAATAAAAATATAAAAACTTAAATTATCAAAATTGTAACTATCAATTTTTAAGAGATATGTTAAAAAGGATGAAGTTCCTTTTTTAGTTAAGGAACCCATATTTTTAACACTTAAAATAGTTGCAAAAACACTAGCTTCTAACCCTGGTTGACATATATTTGCTGTTAAAATGAATAGAGGTAAAAGTTGAATTTCTGTAATGGCTTCTATTAAGAAACCTCCACTTAAGACAAATAATTCATTTGAAATTCCAAAATATGTATTTATTTTTTCAGTTAACATTATAGGTGATATATAAATTGGAAAAGAAATGAGTGTTGTAAGAATTAATGTTTTCTTCAATCCTTGATTTTTTAAAAATAATCGATATATTATTATTCCAATTAATGAAGCAATACCATATGTCAGTCTCAATGTTCCCATAAAGGATGGTCTAAATCCTAATTTATTTGTACAAAAGAAAAAAAAAGCATCATCATAATCTGGGCCTGACATGTATACAAAAATGTATAAAAAAGGTCCTAAGAATATTGGTGTATTGACAAATTTTATAAGATCTTGTAATTGACTAATTATATTTTTATTAGTTGCATATTCCTTTTCTTTTAAAAATAAACAAGATATGGATATGATTAATGGAAATAAGGATGTAGCTATAAATATATATTCTCTTGGCATTCTTTCCAAAAAATATCCTGAAAAATATGCTACTGATAAACTACCTATCGCTTTGGATGCAATAAATTCAGTTACTTTATTTGTTCCTTGAGAGTATGTTTTCCCAATCGAACTTTCAACAACTAATGCTTCTGCCACTGTTGTACAGAATGATGCACATAGAGATATAAAAAATAAAATTAAGGTTGCTTGGAATACTGACAAATGTAAAAATGCTAATGCTAAAAAATTCAATGACTGAAACAGACTAAACAAAAACAAATATGGCTTTCTTCTCATCCCAAATACTGAAACAGAATCTGTAACTAAAGCAATCGCTGGTTTTAAAATAAATGGAATATATGGATACATCAATATCAGTGATACTTGATATGGTGTTAATCGGAAATAATCTTTAAATAAATAATATATTGCTAAAGATGCCAGGTGTGTAAGTCCATCTGACAAACCAACTAGGTACACAACAATCTGTGTAAAATCCACATTTCCTTTCTCCTTGGAATCTATTAGTGGCAACTCTTCTCCATTCAATTTGCCTCTCTCCACTATTGGGTCTATAGTCAGATAGGGGTTATTAGATTTCTCAATCATTATCTTGGCTCGTCCTCATGTACACTGTCCTCCTGACATGCAATGAAGTGGTGAGACGGAGTGGTAATGAGGTGACGTGATAATGAGGTGACGTGATAATGAGGTGACGTGATAATGAGGTGACATGATAATGTGATGAAGAGCACACTAGCAGAAGCTGGGCCACGAACTAAATTCTTTTAATTCCTTCATATCGTTTATGCATCTAATAAAAGTGTTAATAAATGCACTTTACAACTTCGTGTAGCTTTCAGAGCAAAAGTTCATATATATATATATATATATATATACATATGAACATGTGCATGTTCGCGTATGTGGTTGTATTTCGTTTTTCTGCAGAGTCTTATCTTTTATGAATAGTGTGTGTTTATTTGGCCGGATTGAGTACCTTCTTGCAGAGTCTTGGTTCGCAAAGTTATCAATTCTGAAATGTCTCCCTTCCGTATGAGAATATGCTGTACCTGCCTTACTTCTGTGACACAGAAAATGGCTCTTTCTAAAGGAAATATATGAATACGTCAATATGACAAATGTTACCCGTAAAAAAAAAAAAACAGCGTTTTCATAAGTGGTGATATGTGATATGGTTTACATGTGTGACAAATAAAAGAATTTCATCTCATTGTATTTTAACGAAAATTGTCGTAAGGGGTATTACATCAACGGTAAAAACAAAACAAAGAGGTGTATACAAGTATGTATATGTACATATATATATATATATATATATATATATATATATACATATACTGACAAAAAATGGACATGAAAAAATTAAAAATTTTGTGTATCTATGTTCTCGTAATATGTAGTGCGATATTTTTTTTTTTTTTTTTTTTTTTTTTGCAACGGCCGAATTCCTCCAACTTCCACAAAATTTCCGCGTATGTTAAAAAAAAAAAAAAAAAAAAAAAAAAAAAAAAAAAAAAGGGTGGAACGACCCCAGAAATGCAAAACAATTTTCCTTTTCTATACATTTGTTGCTGTGTTTTGTATACCAAAGTTGTCATCGATGTTATCATTTGCTTATTTATTTGTTGACTTGTTTACGTGTCGATTTTTTTTTTTTTTTTTTTCCCCCCTCCCCCTCTCTATTTTGTATGTTTTTTTTGCGAAAAAGCGTGGAGAAAAAGTGGGTATATTATTCCAGAACTGTTCCACACAAACGCACGTAAGCATGTGTTGGGTATGCAAATCCATATACACACCTCTACCTATGGATACATCCACTGTTACATGCGTTGCTACACCTGCTGATATGGGGAGTGGATGCACATATATACCAAACATAACTAGGCGAGAAATGGAGACAAAGTGGGGGAGGTGCGAATTTTTGTGATTGAATATACAAGTAGAGGGGACATTTGTTTTCTTTCAAAAGTCCCCGTGGTATTATATGTATGCACATGATACTAATCATCTGTTTGTGTGGATTCGGGTGAGCTGCACATGTGTACATAAATGTATTAAAAAGGTATATGTGCATATGTTCATGTGTATTTGCATTTATGTGTATACCTTTAAAAAGTTTTTCAAGGAGACCAAATAAATTTGTTTTTTTACGTAAAAACGGGAATTCAAAAATTTTACTCATTTATTCGTCCATTCGTTTGTTGGTCCATTCGTTTGTTGGTCCATTCGTTTGTTGGTCAATTTGTTTGTTGGTCAATTCGTTTGTTGGTCAATTCGTTCGTTGGTCAATTCGTTTGTTGGTCAATTCGTTTGTTGGTCAATTCGTTCGTTGGTCAATTCGTTCGTTCGTTTGTTCATTAATCTATTTATTATTTATTGTTTTTTTCCCTTTTTTTCCTTTTTCTTCCGCTGATTTTTCATGTCCGTTGCGAATGTTGCATTTTTCAAACACTCGAACACAACCCTACGGAAAAAAAAAAAAAAAAAAAAAAAAAAAAATGCAGAAATGCATGAAGCACTTGTCTGTTTTGTCAAATGTGAAACGGCTGTATTGAACACTCCTCCATGTGGTATAAAAAAAAAAAAATTTTCATCATTAGTAACACAGGTTATTCTTTCATGAACAAAACAGTTATTGATCTGTTTCAGGAAAACAAATAAAAATGTATAACTGGTCAGGTAGCATAACGGGAATTCAATTTAGTTTGTACCTCTCTACAGTAATACGTAAGTGATACATATAAGGGGTACGTATACACATATATGCACATTTACATATATACACACATACATGCATATGTATATACTTGACAACATGTGAAGGTAAGTGTACATTTAAGAAGAGGAAACTGTATAGTGTGTGTTATGGCCCTGTAAGTTAGAAGAACTGGGGGGAAATCAGTGATAAAAGCACAGGAAAAAAAAAAAAATCTAAGAAATTTAGAAGATTGGCAATTTAGAAGATTGGCAATTTAGAAGATTAGCAGTTCAGAAGATTGTCAATTCAGAAGATTGTCAGTTCAGAAGATTGTCAGTTCAGAAGATTGTCAGTTCAGAAGACTGTCAGTTCAGAAGATTGTCAGTTCAGAAGACTGTCAGTTCAGAAGATTGGCAATTTAGAAGACTGTCAGTTCAGAAGATTGGCAATTTAGAAGATTGTCAGCTTACATATTAGCAGTTACGAAGCCATGGAAGTAATAAAATAAGAAACAAATCGAAAAAAAAAAAAAAACACACACACACAAAGGCAAAAGGAAAGATTAAAGCAAGGATATAAGAACAAAAATTTGAGTTACGCATTAAGCTCATCATTTCTAACTACTAGATGATTAGCTTACATTCATCTTTTTAATTTTCAAATAATTACACATATGATTGTGCTATTTTATTTTTATTTATTATTTTATTTATTTATTAATTTTTTTTTTTTTTTTTTTTGTACGTTTCTCTTCGTGCAGCTTTGCTGCAATTCCGGATAATTCATCTAACTCGAAATTTTTGTTATTTTCATTTTCTTCTTTATTTTCATCTTTATTTTCATCTTTATTTTCATCTTTATTTTCATCTTTATTTTCATCTTTATTTTCATCTTTATTTTCATTTTTATTTTTTTCTTTATTTTCGTTTTTTCCTTTTTTCCACTTAACGCATTTTGTCCATGACCTGTGTACCAACTTGTTGTGCTTCAGAAAAGGAAAAAAGAAAATTCGTAAAAAAAATTATAATGAGAAACAAAAATAGTTCCTTGCTTATTTACCCGCTTGACTAGATAAAACTCTGCATGCGTGTAAAAAAAAAAAAAATAATAAAATAAAGTTCTTCAGATATAAACAAAATATATGCATTAAGAAGAGTATATTATTGATCCTAAGAGTATAAGAGTGTATCTCATATGTCAATTTAATCACATATCACTATTTTATATGCACACACAAACACACACAAAAACTCTCCTCATCCCCTTTCACTAAAGTGGAAACGGCTTATAAAGCTCCTCCTTTTGACATACGTACAATTCTACCCTATGTATCAGTGATGTGAAACTTCCTTCCTTGTGTGGTTTCATCCGTGATATTTTATATGCATATATATGTATCCGTATGTATGCGTATGTATTTTTTCTGACAAACCCATGCAGTGACGCAAGTGGGGCAAATAAAGGCCTACCCATAAACTCAGAAAAAACAAATTGGTAAAATAAAAAAATTCGACTTTTGATACTAAAGAATTATAGAATTTAAAGAAATATATATTTTAAGAGTACTTATGTTTGCAATTATAAAGAGCCGCATGTGCGAATGTGCTTAAATAGATGTCGAAAAAAGATAGGGAAAAAAAAAAAAAAAAAAAAAAAAGAGAAAGTAGAAGATATTCCACATACTAAGGACATATAAAAAAAAAAAAAAAAAAAAAAGCCGAGAGAGAAGAGGGGCAGCACCACCAAGAGGATGCAAATAAAATCAATGAAAAGAAGAAAAAACACACACATTAACCTCATCAGCTTAGCATGAACGAAATAAAAATTTCGTATTTGAACTATCCAATATATGGAATCGGATCCAATGATAAATATGTGGTTACATCAGGAGGAGGGGGAGGAAAGAATTATGGAATAGAAGACTTATTAGATATAAACACATTTAATGAGAAAGCCAAAAAATTACAAGTTGTGTGGTCAACTACACAACAAAAAGGTGTTGTAGACTCTATAATTTATGTGGATAAATATGACATCTGGTTTGGATCAGTAAGAAATGAATGTGTTATTTTTCAGATAAATGAAGAAACAGGACCAAATATTATTCATAAATTTTTAACAGATTTTAGTGAAAAGAATGCAAGACAAGTAGTTGTAAAATTTTCTGATGTAAGTAATTATATACTAACTGGAGGAGAAGATAAAACTTTAAGGATTTGGAAATTAAAACTTACAAATGATAATAAAGATGGAAACATTGCTGTCGGTAAAAAAAAAGATATATTTATAGAAAATCCATCATCTAGTGCTGTAGAACATGTTGGAGATTTTAAAGGACATGAAGAGTGTATTAAAGATTGTGATATATCCCATGATGAGAAAATAATATGTACTTGTTCAACTGACAAGTCCTTAAAAATTTGGGATGTAAATAATTTTTCTAATTTACATACAGAACAGATGATGAATCCGAAAAATAAGAATGATAAACTAAATTTCCGTTGTTGTAAATTTTTAAAAAATTCTCAAACAATGGATACATTTTTTTACATTTTGTTAACAACTGCGTATACATCTAGGGGAAATAGCTATCTTGTCATTTGGAACATCCATTTTGATGATAAAAAAGAAAAATTTACATGTATAAAAGGAAAATTTATATGGTTAGATGATAGACCATGTTGTAATATTGCTATAAGTAAAAATGAAAAATATCTAGCCCTAGGGTTTAGTACTGGTGCACTCAAAATATACAATGCAAGATATTCTTTATTAGCTCATTATAAAAAACATGATTTACCAATCACTGCTATGTGTTTTATTAAAAATGATAATTATCTTCTTTCTGCTGGGGCAGACTATAGCATAAGTTGTGTTCATATAAATTCATTCAGTTTTCGGTACCTCAGGAAAATATGGAAGTTCTTTATTATTTTCCTTATGATATTAGCACTGTGTATTATTCTCTTGGATTTTTTCAATGTTGGTTATGATCTACGTATGAAGAGTATTATTCAGAATAAGGGAGCAAATCTTAGCAAAAAAAAAAATGTCCATAAGAACAACAAGGGGGGGGGTTCCGGATCATCACCAACAACGGCCTCCCCGGAGGAGGAGTTATGATGAAGTAATATGCACGTGCTGTGCAAAGGGCAGAAGTGCATCCTTGTATCTGTGTGAATCTGCAATATGTGTGAACACAGTTGAATGGATTGAATAAATTACCCACAAAAGTCATTCAGTTTTGAGCTCATCCCTCCTGTCCCCTACCGTTATCCTCATGGGTGTATATATGTATGTGCGAGAGAAGGAGCGAACAGTGCACACGTAAGCAAAAAAAAAAAAAAAAAAAAAAAAAAATTGGAAAAAAATGGGAATAATTTCCTTCACAACTTCCATAAATAGGGGAAGAAAAAGAAAATATTCCAGATTAGGGGGGTATACCCACCTTTTTTTTCACGATGGCAAAGATGGCAAATATTCAAGTTGACACAGCTTCATCTTCTGCAATAGGATTTGCATGTATCGTCACGGATTTTATCACAATATCTTTCACTGGTCTGTTTTTTTCACCTACTGGCTCTGGCATGGTAAATAAAATGGTCGAATGGAGAATGGAAAAATCAGAATCATATATGAATTCCTCTTTCATGGTAAATCACAATTGTGTCTAGGCAACACCAGTGAGGAGAATTCAGACAATGTACTATGGCAGAATGGCAGCAAAACGTGGCCATGCCACAATTTGATCAATATGAGCAGCTCCAGTGGAACCTCTTTCATAGAAGAAATAGCAAAAAAAATAAAATAAAATAAAATATATACATATATATATATATATATATATATATATATGTATAAACATGCATACCATTTTCTAGAACTGATAAAACATCCATTCCATCTATGACCCTAAAAAATTTTATTTTAAAAAAGATGGAAACAATTTTGTATTTTACATCATCCTCTATGAAATTTTTTTTTTTTTTTTTTTTTTTACTAATTTTATCATGTTTTGCATGTGCAATGTGTAATCTATGTGGGGAGTTTTGTTTCTCATGCATATCCTATCAGTTGCACATATGTAAAATATGAATTTCTGTCTTGTCATTTTTTTTTTTTTTTTCTTATTTTAAAATAAGAAAAAAAAAAAAAAAAACATGCTCGAAATATTTTTTATACATATATCAACATAAAACAACAGAATAAAAGCACTAAAACTTTTAATAATTTCATAAAACCCGTTCGAACTATGAATAAATGTTTATCTCAGTAGTAGATATAATTTTTGAAAACACATTTTTTCTCCTTCATGTTTTTATATCCCTCCATTTTATTTGTCTTTTTTTTTTTTTTTTTTTTTTTTTTTTTTTATATTTACTTTCCAAATACTGGGTATACTCCATTAAGATGTGGTTGTCTAGAGTAAGTTATGAAAAACTGAGACCCGTTTGTGTTTGGCTTTCCTTTATTGGCCATGGACAAGGTTCCCCGTTTGTCGTGCTGCATGTGTGAAATTGACAGTGTTTACACACGAGGTGTAATAAAATTGATTTTGTGAGAAGTACAATGATGGTTACATGCATCACTGAGCAAAACATTCGCTTAAGAATACTTAGCGCACGTGTGATGATAACTGTTCAAGGAGAAGTCATAGACAGCTGTGTGTAATCCTTAGTTCAAGAGAGAAAAAAAAAAAATAATAAATAAAATAAAACGAGATAAAATAATGCATGATAAAATAATGCATGATAAAATAATGCATGATAAAATAATGCATGATAAAATAATGCATGATAAAATAATGCATGATAAAACAATGCATGATAAAATAAAGCAAGATAAAATAAAAATTTTAATTTTATCCATTCAAACCTTTAATACTGAGTGAAATTCATCATCGAAATATTTTCCGTAAATACTTTCCCCGCCTTTTCCTGTATTTGTTGGGTCTCCCCCTTGAATGGCAAATCCTTTTATGTTTCTATGGAAATAAGAAACAGAAAAAAAGAAGAAAACATGGAAGAAAAAAAAAAAAAAAAGAAAGAAAAAAAAGTGGGTTATAATGAGGGGATCGATTCATATGTCCATTATAGTACATTTATTAGATATTCTCAAAAAAATGGAAGATTTTTTTCCATTACTATATATATTAATTCAATTCTTAATATAACCTATGAAACTTGGTATTATCATAATATCCTGAGGCACACAGGGCTAAGAAGTTCTGATTGATAAAATGACAAAAAAAGTCACAATGTAATATATATATATATATATATATATACATATGTAGATAGATATATAGATAGATATATAGATAGATAGGTAAAATCATGGCTTATGTTTTTTTGTATCATCAGTTTTACAACACACATTGAGTAAAATAAGGATATAAACTCATTTTATAATCACTTCATCCCCCTCCCCCTTGTTATTTTTTTAATTTTTTTTTTTTTTTTTCTATTTATACCTTGCATGTTTTTGGAGTCTCATAACAAAAAAGTTCTATTTTGATATCTCCATAATTTGTATGTAATGTTAAAGACATTTTTTTAAATATATAAACAAGGGTATTTTATGCTAAAAGGTTATGTTGCTGGGAAAACAATGACTTGGGGCTTTTGTAAACTACGTTAACTCTTATTTGGTTTTTCGATTAAATTGAGCTTCTTTTCTTTAGTTCTATTCACATGTCCATCTGTTCATATCTTACATCTCCTTGTGCATGTTCATGGATTTTATGTGCTTATGTGGATATGAGCCATATATCACATCCCATCTTATTATTTCTCCTTTTTCCAATTTATTATTATCATTTTATTGTTTTATTATTATTTTATTTATTATTTTTTTTTTTTTTTCATATTTATATCTTTAAAATCATGAATAACTCGATAGTTTTTAGCCCTTTCAGGTTTTCACATCATTGGAATTAGCATAATTAACAATATATGAAAACGAAATACAGTGTAATTCTTTCTTCTCATCCTTTCTTCGCGATCCGGCACAATGTTGTGAAAAAGAAGTATATGTAGCAAGTGGAAGTGGAATGGAAGTGCACATATCAGTTCTCACACTATAATGCATTGGAATTGTTCAAGATGGAATTACACTGCTTTCGCTATAATTTCTTCCCGTTTGAGCTTTTTATTTTATTTTTATCAATATGGATGAACTATCCCCGTTCGGCTTAAATGCAAATTTAAATTCTTCAACTACTCTCCTTTTTTCGCATTATTTGTGTAGTCATTCTTCCAAGTGCAAGAATTACTAAATGTATATATATATGTAAAATTTCTATTTTTTCTTTTTCTTTTTTTCCTTTCCCCCCCCCCCCCTTTTTCACACTTTGACACCCTACAACTTTCCAAATAGTCACTAAAATATAAGCTTGTTTGTGTATTTTATTCGACCAAAATTACAACATTTTCTGGGGTCTATAAATTTATGATATTAAGGGTGAAGCTAGCTAAATTGGAATAACATTTAATAGTATTGTGGCAGGGGCAAGTAAAGCATAGATTCATGTAAATAACAGATGTTGCTGTGCAGATAGATGCATGCTGAGAAGATACTGATGGAAACGAGCATATATAGTACATAGGAACAAATAGAAAACAAAGCAATTTTATTATTTTAATATATATATATATATATATATATATTTTTCATTGTATTGTTATAAACTACATGCTCTGTTTAAAAAATTCACACATATAGTGCTAAATAATAGTACATTTTTTTTTGTTTTTTTTATATGTTCGTGTATCTGCGTTTTTTGTAAGTTTTTTTTTCTAACAATGACAGAAATCACAATTGGTGTTATATCTCTCCAAGGGGATTTCCAACCACACATAAATCACTTCCATAAATTAGAACAACCGTCATTGAATGTGGTAGAGGTGCACAAGTATATATATGCGTGTGTGTGTACACACATGTTTATACATTCATGCTTCCATGCTCACTGTGGTTTCCCCCCCCTCGCATGAAGATATGTTCTTACATCTTTATATACTATTAATTTATCATTAGAATGCTCATTAGAACATGGAAAAGTGAATAATCACACCTTTTTTTTTTTTTTTTTTTCTATACCCTTGCAAGGTTCGAAATAAGGAAGATTTAAGTGTCTGTGATGGTTTAGTTATACCTGGTGGAGAATCAACGACACTAAGGAAATGTTTTGCATATGATAACGATTCCTTATATAAGGTAACGAAATGCTAGATATGTGTAAGGTTTATTTGATTGCACTAAAATGTGTACATTGTGGACCCACACAGTGTGCAATACCCATGTTTCTTCTTTTCATCGTTCCACCATTTCTTCCCACTTTTTATCATGTATATCACCCTTTTCATGTGAAAATGTTTTGTAGGCATTAAACGATTTTATTCACGTGAAGAAAAAACCAGTATGGGGCACCTGTGCGGGTATATACGAACAGAGAGAGAGAGAAAACATTTGTGACGCTTATACCTATATGTATACATACACGCACACATATGTGTGCACTGTGTAAGTAAAATCCTATTCGAATATTTTCAAATGTAATTTTTAGGTTGCATCCTTCTGTCGAATAATGTAGAGAACAATGAAGTGCAAAATAAAATGTACGAAAATAATTTCTCCTTGGGGGGGCTCGATATAGTCATAAGCAGAAACTACTATGGGTCACAGGTTAAAAAAAAAAAAAAAAAAAAAAATGACCCTCACCATTATTCATTTCTTCCACTCGTTTACAATTTTTTTTTTTTTTTTTTTTTTCTTGCACAGAACGATAGTTTTATATGTTCGTTGAATGTAAATTCTCAAAGCAGTGTGTTTAAAAAGAATTTACACGGGGTCTGCATACGAGCTCCTTACATAAAGGAAATTCTCTCGGATAAGGTATTATTTTTTATTTTTTTTAAAACGCAAAGTGGTCACTTGAATATACATGTACGTGTGAATGTGTGTGTATTTTTTATTTGCCCCTTCTGATGACAAAATGTTGCTTATTTTTTTGAAGGTACAAACACTGGCAACATTTTCACATGAGCCATTTGGATCCAACATCATAGCAGGTGAAATGATTATATCTCTTTTGTTATGCACTTACTGATCATTTCTTCATATCTTTTTTTTTTTTTTTTTTTTTTTTTTATTACGGCCTTATTGTATTCTCTTTTGTCTACAAACAAAAAAACGTGTTTTGTTATTTATTTTACCTTACTTTGTCCTTTTATGCTTTATTAAGCTGTTGAGCAAAACAATTGTTTAGGAACAGTTTTCCATCCAGAGTTAATGCCACATAGTTCCTTTCATCATTATTTTTATGAGAAGGTGAAAAGTAGTAAAAAGGGTGTGTAAATAAGCATATACATTTTGAACAGCATTTGGATATCAGGGAAAGGAACTCCAGAAAATAAGTATGTGTGTTTTTATTGAGAAGACATTATACTCTGCTAATTAATTAAATTTTTAAAAATTGTGATATGCATATTTTTTTTTTTTTTCGTGTATTTTTTATTTCCACCCCATGTTTATTTAATTCAATACATACATGCTTGTGCATATTGCATTATTTTTCATCTCATACAGGGTATACATGTCTATATATATATGAGAGCAATATGTGTATTTTTGTGACAAAATGGACAAATATATTCTTCATCACTCCTACTGCTGGTTTATATTCTACACCTAAAGCTGTTTCAAAAAAAAAAAAAAAAAAAAAAAAAAAAAAACTCCTTTTTTTTTTTTTTTTTTTTTTTTTAAATTTTTTTATTTTTTTTTTTAATTTTTTTTTTTTTTTTTTTTTTTTTTCCTTCAAAAACTAAGATATGAACTTTTGAACACCTTTGAATTGAGGATGTTATATCTTTTGAAAAAGTTGTGAATGGAAATTTTTTATTTTTCTAGTTAAACGGACAAAAAGAATAATTTTTTTTTTTTTTCCCCCTCCATGAACTGTTTATAAAAGGAAAGAATATTTACAGAAATTTTTCTACTTTTTTGCACAAGTTGTCAGTGTAATAAAAAGTGAAAATAGGGGAACACAAGAGGTAAAGGGAAAATGTGCATATTTGTGACAAAATGGACAAATATATTTTTCATCACTCCTACTGCTGGTTTATATTTTACACCTAAAGCTGTTTCAAAAAAAAAAAAAAAAAAAAAAAAAAAAAGAAACGCCACTTTGTATTGTAGAGTTAGGTTGGTCACTTAGTTTGGTCATTTTATTTAGTTGAGCTTCATTTTCTAAGTTTAACATTTTTTCAAATGATGAAAATCTTTTTCATTCACTTATGAACATACGTTTTTATAACTGAAAAAAAGAGGAATAAAATTCATCATTCTTTCTTTTTTTTTTTTTTTTTTTTTTTTTTCTTTATGTTTCCCACTTTATGAATTTTATTTTATTCTATTTTATTTTTTTTAAATTATTTCATTTTATACTTTAATGGCTTTTTTTTTTTTTTTTTTTTTTCCTTCAAAAACTAAGATATGAACTTTTGAACACCTTTGAATTGAGGATGTTATATCTTTTGAAAAAGTTGTGAATGGAAATTTTTTATTTTTCTAGTTAAACGGACAAAAAGAATAATTTTTTTTTTTTTTCCCCCTCCATGAACTGTTTATAAAAGGAAAGAATATTTACATAAATTCCTTGGTCCCCCCACTCATCATATATATGCACATTTTGCTCACTGTTAATAATTTTTTTTTTTTTTTTTCGATTTTAGCTTTTTTAAAGAAATTATCTGAATTGTTAATAATTTTTTCTTATTTTTTTTTTTTTTTTTTTTTTTCTTTTTTTTGTGTTACTTATTCCCTTAAAATCATTTTAAAAAAAGTACAATTATTTTATTTTATTTTTTTTTTTTTTTAACCAAAGAAACAAAAGGCAAAAATGAGTAAACAACTATTAATTTACATATATAACATATTCAACATATCTGTGTTAAAAAATTACGGAATATTATTTATAAATTTCTTAATTTATTTGTTATATAGCAAAATAAAAAGATTCTATGTTTACAAACGCAGGTATAAAAAATTAAAACATTTACTTAAATGCCTAAATGCACAAATGATTTTTATATACTTTTTTTCAAGTTTTTTTTTTTTTTTTTTTTTGAATGTGTTTAATGTTTATTCATGTATACATATATATTTGTGCCATAATACACGTAGCAGAATTAACTTTTAATATTTTATTTTTTAAAATTCAAATAACATTTGCTTTTTTTCCCACACATTTTTATAGTACTTGATTGTATGAATGTGTTTGTGTTTAATATGTAAGATAGAAGATTTTTGCGGGGAATGTTTTTACGCGCGTTTACGTTTTAACATTCAAACGTTTTAATACTCACAAGTTTTATCATTCAAGCGTTTTATCATTCAAACGTTTTATCATTCAAACGTTTTGCCATTCAAACGTTTTATCATTCAAACGTTTTGTCATTCAAACGCTTTGTCATTCTAATGTTTTGTCATTCAAACGTTTTATCCATCACACGTTTTAACACTCACACATTTTTTCTAGCTTATACGTATTCCATATATATGCATGTACCGATTCGATTCACACGTACGCACACTTTTTATTTTTTTAATTGTGGAGAGAGAAAAAAAGAAAAAAAAAAAAAAAAAGCCTATCTATATAACATATTTTTTTTTTTTTGTTTCCTGTAAGAATATTACAAATATAGAACCACAGAGGCAAACAGAATGAAATAAAACACACACAGAATAAATAATTGTATATGTATCTTTTAAAGTGACATATCCATGCATATAAAAGTTAAGAAATAATTTGAAGTTTTTAATATGCATTTCACATACATATAAAGTTCCTAAATGAAAGGCATATCAAAAATAAGGATGCCCATTTAGAAAAATGGAGAGAAACAAAAAATTGCACACATACATATTTTTAAATAACATTACTTATGTATATGAATGTATCCACTTATACATTTATATAGAATCATTTTAATAGAAAACTTTTGCTTTACTTTATATAGTTTTGTTTTCTCCATATTTTTTTTTTTTGTTTTTCTCTATTTTGTTTACTTAAATTTTGTGTGTACAATTTTTATACTTTTTTCCACTCTGAACAAAAACCGATTTATACCATCATTGAGCTTTAACATTTATAGAATACATAAGAAAAGATAAACAGAATAATAATCTTAGATCCTTTAGTAGCATATCGGGCGTGCATTAGTCGGAGCAGCCACACAAGGAAATAAAAAAAAAAAAAAAAAAAAAAAAAAACACGCACACACACACATATACAAACATAGGACAGAAATGACAAGATGAAATGAAAGAAAAAAATTTGAATTATAGAAGTGAATCCATATTCCCGGCAAATAGGAATTTATTTGAAATGCTTGAAAATATTGATGACGAAAAAGAAGCAAGAAGAAGTGCAAACTTTTTTAATGACAATAAAAATATTCTTTTAAATTTATTTGTAAATCCAAATAATAATAATAATGTGGATAATATATTATTAAGAAAGAAAAATCATATGAATAATGTTACAAATTCCAAGCAAAAAAGTTTTAAGAAGAATGAAACTGATAAGAAAGTAGAACAAGAAAATAGGAATACTAAAAGTATAAAAAATGACCCAGACTGTCCAACGAAAAAATGGATTAAAAATTTTTGTTGGTTCTGTTCCCTTAATCTGTTAGATGAAATTTTAGAAAAAGAAATATATAAAGAAAAAATTCATCAACATGTGTATGATTTGATTTATGATGAAAATACCTATTTTGACACAAGTTCGATGATGAGTGTGCCTTACGAATTTGCAAGATTTATGTTAAATCAGTTGGATAATAATTCACTACATGATATTAAGATAAATAATATAATTAAAGAGGAGAAATACTTATTTAAAAAATTTTGTGGAAAATATAAGTACAATAAAAAATATATCAAACATAAGGATTCATCCAGTTCTGATATCTCCAGTAACAGTGAAAGTACAAAAAGTGATCTCAGTTTGATTTATCAAAATAGGTATGCCAATATCCGTTATAGCAATTACTTGAATATACGTAGGGAATTGTTTAATAGTGATAAAGGGTGTGGAACTGAAAATAAGAACAACATTATTCGCAATTCCAAGGACACAAGTAGTGTTCGTAAGAGTAAACTGTTCTACGATAGTAATGATTTGGGCAATTGTGACAGCACAGATCTGTTTTATTATAAAAAGGATCAATTATCCGATGAGATGAGTAACAATAACAATTCGTGTGACACAGCTTTTTTTGAAGATGAAGGGAAAAACAGAAAGGAGGGTAACAGTTGTTCAAGATTAAATACTGTAGAGGATGGCATAAAATATAAAAGGATTGAAAATGAAAATCCCTATGTAAGAAAAAGTAGCAACAGCAATATCTTGCTCAGATGTAGACGAGGTTCCTATAAAAAGATGAGTGATCCGAATTTTCCATACAGTGAATTTTTAAAAAAAAAAATGGATGAATCGGAGGAAATTACAAAAGGGGGTAAATCCAGTAAGATTGATAAGAGAGGTAGAAATGGAAGAAATGACAGTAATTGGAATTACAATCGAAATAGAAGCAACTTTTTAAGTAGTAAATGGGTTCCATACTATCAAGATTTGTTGGCACAGGACGAGAAAAAAGATGAAAAGGAAAGAAACGTAGTTGATAGGAAAAATCTCGATAAGAAGTATATTCTAAAAAAAAGAACAAAGTATAATTATTCAAAAGATTTAATCTGTAATCGTTTTCTAATAAGAAGTAATTCCTTCAGCATACTTTGTAGAGAACGTGATGACGCTTCTGTAAAAGATGCACCTCATCTGATGAATGGTGATTTTCAAGAGGATTTCAACTCCCAGTGCATGTCCAAAGGTGGATGTAGTTGCAGTTCAGGTGTTAATGTTGGGGGGACAGCATTATGTGTAGGAAAAAAGACAAACGAAGGAGTGCAAAAATATGAGATTGAAAAGATTGAGGAACGGAATGAAGAAGAGGAAAAGGTTTGTCGATGTAAACACAACCAAAAGATACACAACAAGTACAAAAACAATCTGAACTATATTAAAAAATTCTATTATATAGAAGAAACACAGAAGAAGCCATTCCCATTGTGTTTGTATAATATTATAAAATCATATGGAACGATTAAACAGTGTTCACGTTGCTACTGTTTCTTTAATTCCATAAGTTGTCATTGTTTAGAATGCAAGAAGAAATCAAACATGTCTCTTAAAAATCCACATTACTTCATTTTCCAGCATGGGCTAACTGCAAGTGTACATGATTTTCAAAATATAGTAAACCCATTACTGACAAAATATCCACATTTATTTATATACATTACTTATAGTAATCAGAGTCACACATTTGAAGGAGTTGATGTTGGTACAGAGAGAATATGCACAGAATTAAAATGCTTGTTCAAAATAATAAATGATAAAATAAATATTTCTATGATTGGTCATTCTCTAGGAGGAATATTAAACAGATCTGTATTGATAAACTTGTATAGAAAAAAGGTTTTCAAAAATAAGAAATTAATAAATTTCATTACTTTTGCATGTCCTCATATTGGAGTACATGAAAATATGGCAATCATGAAATTATTTTCTACATATTTGGGAGCCCATACCATTGACGACTTAAATAATAAGACAACACTATTGTTAAAAATAGCTAGTGTTGAAAGCATAAGCATTTTAAAAAAATTTGAAAATATAATATTCTATGGAAACAGCCAATCAGATTGGCTAGTTGGAATTAGAACATCTTTAATATTACCATATACCCTGTTTAATGAAGAACTTATTTTATTTATAATAGAACAATCCAAAAACATTCCAGAAATGCCTATTAATATATTTTCGATGGTCCATCTATACATGAGGAAAAAGAAATTACTTTTTTTTTATTTTTATCAAGATTTGAAGAATCCTAATTATTTAATTAACAAAAGGAAAGATCAAAATAAATTTTTAGATCAGATGTTACAAACGATAATTTCTTCACGGAAGTTACTAAACTGTTCGCAGAAGAAAAAGAATTTTCACACTTCTATCAGTTACCATAGCACGTGGGGAAATAACAGAATAAAAGAGAAAAAGAATGATAATTACACTTTGAGTGATAATAGACCAAAGAATCTGTGTTGCAACCAAGGGAGGGACAGCAACAGTGGAATGAGTAGCGACAACTGGACAGGAAGCAACAACAGGATTGGAAGCAAAAATTGGAGTGGAAGCAACAACTGGATAGGAAGCAACAACTGGATAGGAAGCAACAACTGGATAGGAAGCAACAACTGGATAGGAAGCAACAACTGGATAGGAAGCAACAATAGTTCCGCGAGATATCGAAATGTGTCAAGCAAAAAGGAAGTTAGTCGGTTATGTGATAAAGCTAACTGCAGTAATATTTTTTTAAACAGGAACAGAAACCATTACGCAAAAGAAACGGAAAAAGAAGAAGAAGATGATGAAAAAGGAGATGTTGTGGTACCGTTCCGAAGCAGAAGTGATAAGTGCATATCTGATGAGGTACATGTACAGAAGCTTCCAATTCATTTTAGAAAGAATGTCAGTTCTGTACAAGTAAAAAGAAAATCTCATAGAAGAAGCGGTCAGCATTCTTGTGTAAATATGTCAAGCATGAATTTGGAAAAAAGTAGAAATACAGAATCTCAAAAGAATAAAAAGGAGTCTATTTTTAAATCACATACGTATGAAGATATCCATATGGAGGAGAATGAAAAGATGGAATCGAATTCTTTTTTTAGAAGAGATGTAAACAGGAATATTGAATGCACAAATGGTAAATTAAATCAAATTGATTATTATTATAAGAAGTATCATGATGATATAGGGGGAAATTATAAAATTGAAAATACTTATAATGTCTCCAGTAATTTAGATATATATAAGAATGAGAAAACAATAATTTTTGAAAGTAATTACATTGAAGAAAAGGAAAGTGGAAAAAAAGTGCTTATGAAAAGAGAGAAAAATATAGAAAAGGAAGAAATTCCAATGGAGGTGTCTTCTACCCTAAGGGGTAATAATAATCCCTCACATATTTTCATGGAAAAGAATAATCACGCTACAAACCAGGATGAGACAATGAATTTTCACAGGATTAGAGACGATCCATATAATGGAAATGAGAATGGAAATGGATATGGAAAAAGCCAAGGGATGAACAAAAAGGAAAAATTTGGAGATTACAAAAATTTCGAAAAGTTATTTTTTGAATGTTTAAAAACGAAGATAATAAATGACATAAAAACCTTGGACAATAGTTTGAAGAAGAAGACAAAAAAAAAAAAAAAAAATAGTGCTACCCAGAATAGAATTTTTTCTTTGCAGAATACAATAAATGCATTAAGAAATTACTCCTTTTTATATTACTTAAAAAATGGAGATGGAAAATCAAGAAACAATTGTGAAAATAACGAACAAAATAACTCTAGTTTTAAGAGGGATAAAAATTATGAACAGATCACAGATGAAACCTTCAGCGCTGCTGCAATGGATAATAGAAGTACTATTGGTGAAAGTCCAGAAACGGGAGCAAATTTTAAGGAAGAAAATGACAAGCATATTAAATCATTAGTTGAAGAGGAAAAGAAATTGAAGAAAGATTCATATACCAATGAAACCAACAAAACTGAAGATGATTTTTATCAACCATGTGATGAAAAAAGTGAAGAATATGATTATATAAGTGAATTTTTCTATACAACATCAGAGGATAATTATGAGGATGTCCTCAGTGATGAAAATTTGTTTTATGATGAGAAAAGAATGTATGGGAATAATAACAATAAATACCATCCCTATGATGTGCATAACCATAACTATAACCATAAAGATAATTATCACATTCACCATGCTGAAAAGTTCAAACATGGAGATGAAAATCCTAATTCCACAAAATTGCATAACAAAGTGGAAAGGAAGAAAACGAAAGGAAGTACTCTCTTAAAAGGAATTACAAAAAATGATAAGAAAAAATATAAACAAATTCTTTTTCACATATATACAATTTCGAATGAACAACTGATAGAAAAATTTTTCAAAAATCCTGAACTCCTCTACTATGAAGTTCTGTTTTATTGTTTAAATCAACTCCCAATTCAGAGATACACCATTTCTTTACCCATATATTCAAATGCCCATGTTCAAATAATAGCTCATCCTCGCATATGTTCAGAAGAGTCTGCAACTGTCAAGCACTTTGTCGAACATTTGATTCTTTGACATTTTTATTCCTCAAAAGGGTGTGATTGTCACCTTGATTATGTGATTGCAAGATCTTCTGATTCGTGAAGCGGGTCCCTTTTTTTTTTTTTTTTTGTTATGGAGAAATGGAAAAAAAAAAATAGGACGCACACACACATGCCAAAAAAAAAAAAAAACGAAGATATACATTTTGCTCCCATTGCAAAAATCCATGTCGCACATTTCGTTCCCCTAAGTTTGTACCTATTTTTAATGTTTTAATGTTTTTATATTTTTTTTTTTTTTTTTTTTTTTTTTTGAGATTTAAAACGAAACCCACCTCCACCCCGCTCATATCCCGCTTTTGAAAGTTGCGTTCATTTTTTAATTTTGCATTTGTTCTTGTGTTTGTTGGGCCATTTTACTGCCGCTCTTGTTTAGCGTCCCCACTTGTTTTACTGCATCTTTGCCTGTGCGACACTCGTGCATGCATAAGTTGTGTGGTAATTTTTTGAACTCTGTCGCTTATCAAAAATTACCACTTTTTAATTTTCTTCACCTTTTCCAGACACGTTCATTAGCAAATCGTGCATATCATAGGGAAGCTTCTCTAAGAAGAAATATGCCAACTAATCTGCCAACACATCTGAGCACTTATCTTTTTACATGCTGTGCAGCATCGGATAGTCTCTATGCATCTAATGTTGCTATATCCTAAACCTAGATACATAGACGATTAGACACACACATGCTTCTACTTTGTAAGTACCCTTTTTGAACAACTTGGCTACTACGACATCCCATCCCCTATATTGTATTTCTCTTTTTTTTTTTTTTTTACAAATTGATTAGTCTTTTCTCTCCCTTTTTAAAAATATACGTTACATATATGAAATTTTTTTTTTCTTTTTTTTTTTTTTTTTTACACGCCTCTTTTTACTTATACTTTTGTATTTTCTTGAACAATTTTGAACTTTTCACACATTTTTTTTTTTTTTTTTTTTTTTTTTTTTTTTTTTTTACTCCTTTTTTTTTTTTTTTTTTTTTTTTTTTTTTTTTTATTTTTTTTTTTTTTTTTTTTTTTTTTTTTTTTTTTTTTTTTTTTTTTTTATTAGATTTTTTCTGGTTCTCCTTTCCCCCCCCCCATGTGTATTTCCTTTTTTCACACTATGCGTTTTTTCATTTTCAACGCATTGCTTTAAACCGCTTGTATATTCAGCATGTGTACCACATTAAAGAGTGTTTTTTTTCTGAGGGTACATTTTTGCATGAATGTGCAATTTCGTTGTTCTGCAACTACCCATTGCATACATAACACCTGTGCATGTATCTGTATAAATGTATTTGCCAGATGTGCTATAATATAAATATATATATATTTTTTTTTCATTTATGTATGCACGCGTGTGTGTATGCGGCATATATATATGTATATTTTCAGTGCACTTTCATGCACCTGTCTTGATAATTGCTAGCTTTTACAGTTTCTTAAAAAATGAAAAAAAAAAAAAAAAAAAAAAAAAAAAAAAAAAAAAAACACAAAAAAAAAAAAAAAAAAAAAAAAAAAAAAAAAAAATAGCAACAACCCCTCTAAGGGTAAAACTTTTACATTTCATAAATATTCTGTCATAAATCAAGGTGGTTCTAGGAATTTTTAAAAGAAAAAAAAAAAAGAAGAAGAAAAAAAGAAGAAGAAAAAAAAAGAAGAAAAAAAAAGAAGGGAAAAAAATACAACATTTCTGTTTGCCCCAGTATATGCAAACGTGTAAAAAATAAAATTGTCATTTTTTTTTTTTGCAGACAAGTTAAAGCAAATTAAAAAAAATAATAGTAAAAAGACATAAAAATTTAACTAAGGAAAAAAGGTAGAAAAAGGAAAAAAAAAAAAAAAAAAAATACAGGTCAAGAAAAAGATGTTTTCTATTTTAAAATAACACATCCAAAACAATCATGTCTCATAAAAGGGTTTTTTTTGTGTTCATTTTCCTGGCCATTTCTTCATTTCAGGACAAAGTCAGATCGATTAAAAGTGAGTAAAACAGTTAAAAAAAAAAAAAAATAATAAAAAAAAAAAAGGGAAAAAAATAAAACATTTCTGTTTGCCCCAGTATATGCAAACGTGTAAAAAATAAAATTGTCATTTTTTTTTTTTGCAGACAAGTTAAAGCAAATTAAAAAAAATAATAGTAAAAAGACATAAAAATTTAACTAAGGAAAAAAGGTAGAAAAAGGAAAAAAAAAAAAAAAAAAAATACAGGTCAAGAAAAAGATGTTTTCTATTTTAAAATAACACATCCAAAACAATCATGTCTCATAAAAGGGTTTTTTTTGTGTTCATTTTCCTGGCCATTTCTTCATTTCAGGACAAAGTCAGATCGATTAAAAGTGAGTAAAACAGTTAAAAAAAAAAAAAATAATAAAATAAAATAAAATAAAAAAAAAAAAAAAAAAACCAAAGTAAACTAGAAGAAAGAAAAGTAAACTAAAACAGAACAAAACAAAGCAAAGTGAAACAAAAAATAAAACCAAAAAAAAAAAAAATACCTCCATTTTGACCATAGCAACTTTGCTTTCGTCCATACAGGCATTGGTTGGGTATTCCATCTGATGCGTTATGTTATATGTGTATAGTGTCCTTCATAGACCTGTACCAAAACGGGGAACATGAATAGTTACATCATCTATCCCTTACTCTTGTTCACGTATTTCTGATTTTTTTTTTTTTTTTTTTTTTTTTTGTACACTTGCTACATGTTAATTCTCATTGATCTTTCACATATATAAATAAAAACCAAAAATTCTCATTTTCAGAACAAGATGGGGCAACGAATTTTTCCTTTCTGAGCGTAGCAGCAGATACTAATTCTGAACATGGTCAAGCAGCAGATGTTAATTCTCAGTCACATGAATACCCAAATGAAACCATTATTAACACTAGACCTTTGCAGGAAAATGTGAATGAAGCACCTAACAATCCAGAAGAGTCAAATGAAGGAGGAAATGCCACTAATACAAATGAAGTTGGTGTGCAAAACGCAAATAGTAATAATCTGGGAGAGGATAAAAAGGAGAGAAATATAAGAAACGGTACCCAAGAGGTAGAACCTAACCATGTCAGCGGTAGTAGCGGATACGATAAACAACATGATAGTCACCACGACAATGGTCACGATAGCACCCATAGCAGCAGTAGTGGTGGTGACATCGGTGAGAAAAAGAATGATGATTTAATCAATGAAGAAAAAGAGGGTCATGCAAATCATTCTCATGATGAACAGCATACAGAAGAATTTCCAAAACAGAAAGGGGAGGAAACTTCAGAAGAGCAGACGACACATGGAACAAATGATAGAAGCACTTACCACGATGAGGATTCAAAGAACGATCTGCAAAGTGGCAGCAACACGGACAGCTCCAATTTGAATGTCGATAATATGCATGTGCATATGTCGGGTTCTTCAGTTAAGGAAGAAAAAACAGAACCCAACATTACCTCTGGATACCACGAACATGAAGAGAAGCACACGAATGAACATGAAGAGAAACACACGAATGAACATGAAGAGAAACACACGAATGAACATGAAGATAAGCACAAGAATGAACATGAAGATAAGCACAAGAATGAACATGAAGAGAAACACACGAATGAACATGAAGATAAGCACAAGAATGAACATGAAGATAAGCACAAGAATGAACATGAAGAGAAACACACGAATGAACATGAAGAGAAACACACGAATGAACATGAAGATAAGCACAAGAATGAACATGAAGATAAGCACAAGAATGAACATGAAGAGAAACACAAAAATGAACATGAAGATAAGCACAAGAATGAACATGAAGATAAGCACAAGAATGAACATGAAGATAAGCACAAGAATGAACATGAAGATAAGCACAAGAATGAACATGAAGAAACACAAAATGAACATGAAGAGAAGCACAAAATGAACATGAAGATAAGCACAAGAATGAACATGAAGATAAGCACAAGAATGAACATGAAGATAAGCACAAGAATGAACATGAAGAGAAACACAAAAATGAACATGAAGAGAAGCACAAGAATGAACATGAAGAGAAACACAAAAATGAACATGAAGAGAAACACACGAATGAACATGAAGAGAAGCACAAGAATGAACATGAAGAAAAGNCACGTGAACGAACATGCAAATGAGGGAGTTGAAGAACACGCATCTGCACCAAGTGCATACAAGGGGGAAGGTGTAGAAGGGGAGAATACCATTATGCCGATCTCCCAAGGTGAAAGTAAAATGACAGAACTGAATGCACATCATCAAGAAACAGAGAAATATATTGATGAAAGCTCTCCTCCAACAACGAGTGACGAAGAGTCGGATTCGTCCACTGTTGTAAACAGCAGTGATAGCGAAGGGGGTTTTAGGCATAGTAGTAACGAGATATATGGAACTCTTCACCCTGAAGTGGAATCAACAGTTTTTTCTTCTCTCAAAGAGAAGGGAATTCATGTTTCTAGAAGAGAAAGAGTGATACTTGAAATTATTGAAAGTGCTAAGGAAGGAATAAAAGGATTGTTAAAATTAAGGACAAGTAGAGACACTGGTAAAATATTTGAAGAAGCTTTGGAAAAATTGAATATAAATCCAAGGCATATTCATCCAAATAATAATTTTATTACTCCAGAGATGTATGATAGAATTTTGTCCCAGATGTTTAAAATATTAACAGAAATGTCTTTTTATAAAGATAGCAATTTTTATGAAACATTAGGTTTGAACAAATCTATACTAGATCAATCATTAAAAGAAATAAAAATACAGATGCTAAGAAAAATTGGAGTTCCTTACTCTAAATTGCCACCAATTATTAAAAATAAATCTGGAGAATGTGCTGTTAATAACCTAATCATTAGTTTAACTTCAAAAGAGTTAGCTCAACGATTAGCTATAATGTTTTCAAAATGGCTAGCTCCTGAAGAATATGGATCTGTAGTAGATTATGATAAAAGTGTTGAAATAAATGTTCTTTGTTCAGGTGCATCTATTCTAGTACAACAATGGAAATATTATCAAAATATGTTAAATTTCGAAGTAGGAAATGAACATGCATTTCTAAATTTAATTGATGAATTACTCGTGATAGATAAAAGACATAGCAACAATGAAAGCTATTCAAAAGTTTTAAAAAAAACAAAAAAATCAAAAGTTTTTAAGCATTGTACAAAATTAATGAGAATGGGAGGAAATATATCATCAGTTCCGTTTAATCATGAAAATGTTAAAACCCCTAGTTATTCCATTGTTGGTGCATTAGGAAATTTAGTAAAGGCTCACATTGGGAATTATTATGTTGCCATAGCAAATCGAATAAATTCTTACTTTTTATATACAGAAAGAAGAAGCAAAAAGACAAGTTCCTTAAAAGTTATATCCGTTTGTACTCTACTTCATTTAACAGATATGCTCTTTAAGTGTTCAGATGAACATGTACATAATATAATGGATTTAAACAATTTGAAACTGAATATTCTCAATATGCAAGGCAAAAGGGTTTTACATCCGCTTATCACTATGAGTTACCTCAACTCTACGAACAACAATGTCCTCAGGGAGATATGTGAACCGAACAACAAGCTAGTTCGTAAGTCCACGTTCAGAGGGCAGTTATGCCACCTTCTGCATTTTGTTTATTTCTTTATTTTTTATATATTTATTTTTCGTGAATACGTTTAAGAATTATACCCAGAACATATGATATCTAGTGTGTACCATATGCCTCCCTCTCCCCCATCCTTTCTTTCTAACCACATTTTTTTTTTTTTTTTTTTTTTTTTCGCAGAAGAGACATTGTCCAAGCTCCTAAATTTACTTTCAATAAATTCTCATGAATTGTTAGCAGCTGAGGTAGAAAAGCGAGGTTTTGATGATGAGTATATTAAAGAAGAAATAAAAAATATAAATGAAGGTGATAGCGACGTTAAGGATACGGGAGAAGAAGAAGTAGAAAAACTCATTTTTGATGATTTATAATAATCAATTTATTTATTTTATTTTTTTTTTTTTATGTTTTAATCGAATATAGCAAGTAAACAATATATGAAAATAACTCCGATAAGGTTGTGCCTCCAAATGGATTTTAATCAAACGGAGTTTTTTAAAACACATACATGTCGTGTTTTGACCTATATAAATCAATTTTTGACGAAAGGATCTTTTTTTTTTTTTTTTTTGGTAACATAAAATATTTTTAATATAATGGAAGATGGGGAGTATACGGAGGCAGGTGATTTCAATATTAACCTTTAAAATCATATGACGTCTCTGTGCTTCTTTAAAAATTATGAATCCAGAAAAATGTGGAATAAATCTGTTACACAATTGTCCTTTTGCACACTTATCATTTTTTAAATTTGAGTTTATCATCTCATTCGGGTGTTCTGGGGATAACATCATCATCAATGTGTTACTACCCCACCACACACACACACACACACACGTCCCCAATTGACAGAAGAGTGTGTGTTATTATTATCGTAGTTTGTAGTAGTAACTTATAAGTTTAAACGAGATTTTTTTTGCCCTTGTAACGACTTTTACATTTACCATATTTTGTTCCGTATTTTTTGTACCGTATTTTTGACTTATTTTTTATTTATTTATTTTATTTTTTTGTTCATATATTTTTCTCCCTTTTATGAACTATTCAGGTTTTTTTCGTGTTCTTTTTTAAATTATTCAAAATTTGTCTATCCCCCTTTTGTCCTTTTTGTTCAGAATTTTTTTTCGAGCTTTTCCATCTTTTTTTTTTTTTTTTTTCTTATCTTGTTTTTTAGTTTTTAGGATTTGCACTGCACAGTTTTAAAAATCACATATTCCACAAAACTATTTATATTGCGAAAATAATTAACGCAACATTAACATAAAAGAAGGGAGAGTAAAATATGTTTGTAAAGAATATAGAATATATATATATGTATCACTTGAACATTTTCATATTAATGCATTTGTTAGTCCTTTTTATTTTTTTTTATTTTACTATATATACCTATACGCTTTTACTGTGATAATTTTGAATTATGTTTAAAATATATAAAAAAAAAAAAAAAAAAAAAAAACGTAGCACTTCAACGAGGCTTTTTTTTTTTTTTTTTTTTTGAAGTGTGAAAAATACTGGTGTATGGAATTTACTAAAAAATAAAAAATGATCACAAAAATTAGGATGAACAAAATAAAAAAACAAAAAAAAAAAAAAATGTAAAACTCCAAAAATGTGTAAAAGGAGTTAATTATTCTAAGATGTCGAAATGTACATAAAGTCACACACTCTGCATACATGTAAATGAAAGAAATGGATTCAGACATATTACACAAAATTATGTCTAATTAATAAATTATGCTTCTTATAAACAAAAAAAAAAAAAAAAAAAAAGAAAGAAAAAAATGATATAAAAAAAGGACAAAAAAATGAAATTGCTATAAAATATCATAAAGTGTATCATGATAATATGTAAAGTAACAAACCACTAGAGGAACAAAATAAGGGCTTGAAATACGTGTATATTACTCTTCTAAAAATTATGAAATAAGTTAAAAATAGTGCATATGCAAGAACATAAAAAATATATTAGTAGACACACACATGTATGATCATAAGGATCTGTTCACCATCATAACAAGAACACTTGCATTACTCTGAAAATGTACAAAATATCAGACGTTTTCTTCATTCAAATTTTCATTGTGACTAGATAAAAGTGTGTCTTCCATGTCGACATTATTGATGTTCATGTATATGTCGTTTACAGGGTATAAGTAATCTTGTGGAGGGGGGGGAAAAAAAAGAAAAAAAAATGAGACTAAGCTATTTACTAACACATGAATATATATGCATATATATATATAATCCAATCTGCGAAGGAAAAAGGTTAAATTCCTTTATTTGAAGTTGAGAACATACTCGTTATATACATATTGTCAGGGTTAAGGGGAAGGAACCATTTCCACTTGAATTCTCCAAACACCTAAATTTTGAATTATTTTTATGCGAAAAAGTAATGGGTGTGTGTGGTGGGTGTCGTTGTAGTTTTCCATTTTATTTTATTGCTATGACAATTTTTATCATCTTTTATATTATCCGAACCATTTTCCAGTTGTCGTACGTGCCCAAGTCATATGGGTTCTGCAAGTGATAGGGGGCGAATATGAACACGGAAAAAAAAAAAATAGAGTGAAGCAAAATAGAGTGAAGCAAAATAAAGAGAAGCAAAATAGAGAGAAGCAAAATAGAGAGAAGCAAAATAGAGAGAAGCAAAATAGAGAGAAGCAAAATAGAGAGGAGCAAAATAAAGAGAAGCAAAATAGAGAGAAGCAAAATAGAGAGAAGCAAAATAGAGAGAAGCAAAATAGAGAGAAGCAAAATAGAGAGAAGCAAAATAGAGAGAAGCAAAATAGAGAGGAGCAAAATAGAGAGAAGCAAAATAGAGAGAAGCAAAATGTAACATAGCGTATGGAATAAAATAACCGATTGTATTCACCAACATCACAATACTTATTATTTCCTCCTTTTCACACCTTATCTGTGTAAGACGACTCAATTGCTGTGATGTTATGAGATATGAAATAAAAATACTGACAATTCATCTGCAAGTGGGAAAATTGAAGAAGACATAAGTGCATGAGTAACAATAAAAAAAAAAAAAAAAAAAAAAAAATTCGGAGCTGATAGTTATTTCATTCTACAAATGAGCTTGTCAATTTTTATAAATTTTTTTTTTTTTTTTTATATGCTTATCATTACAAATACTAGGGCTATTAGCAATGTTAGAGAAGCACATACAGCTAAAAAAAAAAAAGGTCATGTATAGGTGTCTGTAAGGTTTGTTCGTATATGTGTACTCATACACATATAGATATGCATTTTTAAAATGTATCAGGTTGATACATGGTGTTCTGTACATATGTATATTTTTAATTTAATGGGAAGATTAATTTTTCTCTTTGTATACTAATTAGTTGGGCGCAATGGTTTAACGTTTCAGAAGCCTATAACAGAAAAAAAGGAATATTCAAAATGCAAATATGAATAACTGTAGTATGGTACATAATAAAATTGCACCAAATGAATAGAGGTAAAATTTAGTATTGCACCTAATGGGTTAATAAAATAACATATATATAAATTTTCCCTAAAATCCGTGTACCTTGTTAACTTCACTTTCATAAAGGGACATTACAAATTTCGGACTAATCGTCACAGTAATATATATTGTTGTAAGCAAACCATAAGACAAGAAGAGAAAAAAAAATTTCAGATTCTTTTCCCCCACACAGGTACCTATCCATGGACAGTGATGATCCATCTTTAGTACACATCTCTTACAGGTCTGAAAATTTTAAAAGTAGCATTGAAAGTTTGCATACTTGTGTTGATACACTTTAGTTTTTGCATTTGTATTTGTATACATATTGGAATATATACATGCCTTTGAGCATACATGTTAGCGTAGATATTAAAGGAGTATGATCTAACCCTACAATGGTGAGCCCTTTCTGGTCTAACCAAAAAGTTGCATTTTTCGCAAATCGTATATTTATTTGGTGTGTAGTTTCTTATTTTCCTCTTCTCTATATGTATGTTGTTCTCCTCTGCGTTTGCTAAGCAGTACCATACATAAAAAAAAAAAAAAAAAAAAAAAAAATATGAACAGGTCAGATTATTCCTTTTAAACAGATTAAATGAATGAAAGAAAAAAAAAAAAAAGGTTATGACACATATAAAAAATAAGAAAAATATGCTGTGTCTTTCACCTTCCCATGTGTTATCTACATATCCAGGATTATTCACGGAGCATTTTATAAAGGACCAATAATAACAAATAAAAAATGGTGCACTGAATGCTCCAAGCAGTATACGCACGGTTTCACTGTAGACATTTAGGTATTCATTTTGTAGGCAATCTATGAATGGGAACACGTGAGAATAGACAAGAAAAAAAAAAAAGAAGTAATGAAGGTGGTGTGATACTCATGTCGTACATTTTCTATAGCAGAATGTATGTATTTGTTTTTGTTTTTGTTTTTGTTTGTGTTTTTTTTTTTTTTTTTTTTTTTTTTTTTTGTTCTACTACACATGTAGGCCTATACAGGCTCAACTACTTAAGGAAATGCACACATGTGCTTCCATAAATGGACATGATTCTGTCCTTACACAAATAACATAAATAAATGAAGAAACTCAGAAGTGACACAAAAAGGAAGGAAAGAATATTATTCATGTGGGATATCTCTTAAATTGCAAAAATTGGGGGAGGGGACTGTGAAAAAAAAAAGGGGGGAAAAAAATGGGAGAAAAAAAAAAAAATTATTAGTAAAGTGACATTTGCAAAAGGTGATAAAACATACAGATTGCTAATTGTAATGCAAAATTTTCCTATAACGTTTTTCAGCAAAATTCATTTCTATGTGTTTACAAAGAAGTATCTACCCTTATGTGTGCTACTACCTATGCTGAATGCTCGTAAATTATGCTTTTTTTTTTTTTTTTTTCTTTTTTCTTTTTTTATTGTTTATATTCTGTTCCCTCCTTTGGGTCTACATAGACTTTATTTCTATTGTCCTGTTCTCAAAATATATAAATGAATATGTATACACCTATATATGTGCGCAAATACATTTACACATACACAAACGTATGAGTAACGTCATTTAAAAAATTTATGCGAAAATGTGTCTATAAGCTTGAGAAGAAATTAACTTTATATTCATTTTAGTATAAAGTAAAGCCTCTTCAATAATATGACAAAAAAAAGAAAATGTAAAACGGGGAAAATAAAAAAGGAAAAAGAAAATAAAAAAATAAAATAACTTCTCATTCATATATATGCACAAAAGATTTTACAAAAAAATGCGAACAATTTGACATTTTTCTCATTTTCAAATATAAAATAAAAGGAAAAACAAATATGAATGATCTGTTGTATCATGTTTTTACAAAATATATCACATGTTATTCTTTTTATAGATATATCTAAAAAATTATATTTTTTTTTTTTTTTTTCAATTTTCTCAAAAATGTGCAACACACATGCATATATAGTGTGGTCATGAAATTAGTTTTTTTTTTTTTTTTTTTTTTTTTTTTTTTTTTTTTTCTCACACATTGTTAATTGGGTCAGAATTTTACAGATAACAAATCTAACCAAAACATACACATGCAGTTGAGAAGTGACATGCATTAAACTTGAAAGTATAAACATACATATATATATAAAACTATTCTGCAAAGAGAAAATATTTGGTAGATATTGCAACTCCTATTTGTTGTGCATTACGTACAAGAGTTTAGAAGTTATATGCTACTCGCGCTGTTCTTCCTTAGCAAGCGTTGTGCAACAATTTTTTTTTTTTTTTTTCCCCCGTCTGTTGAAGGAAGTAACAAAACTGTCTGTTTTAAAGTGACCAAGATTATGAAAGAACTTCTGAGAACACGTATGAGCTTGTGTATGAGCATGTGTATGAGCATGCGTATGGGTTTATTTTACGTAGCATTATTTCGTTTGTTTTATATACATGCACCACATGGGGTTAGAAGTTAACTAAGGGCATATGCCTTATGGCAAATAATGAACAGTTTTATTTCCCCCCTCTGTTCCCTTTAATGCACCACCATTCAGACAAAATATGACAAAAAAAAAAAAATTCAGCAATTTTTGTAGATCAGGCGATTTAAAAAAATTGATCATCCTGCACAAACAGGAAAAGATAATTACCTGTCTTTCCACTTTGTTATGAGGAAAAAAAAAAAAAAAAAAAAAAAACATTGCATATGGGGTACCTTTTGAAGAGAAGTAAGACGTGAGGAGACATACAGTTAATTTTCAATGAAAGGAAGCAGAGGAGATGAAATAAAAATAAGACAAGACAGACAACAAAGTTTGAAAGAACGTAAACTTGCCCAGGTATTACATAAAGGAGAAAAAAAAAAAAAAAATATACATATATATATATTATATATACATCCATACGAAGGGCACACCCAGGGTAACTGAAAAATAATGCACGGTTAGATACGTTGGAATTTTAATTAAATAGAAATTGATGCGGCGAACCAAGTTTAATGGTACAAGAAAATTTAAAATTTACAATGGTTCTGTAAAATTCCTTTGCTACTGAACACACATCACGATGCGTGATGATGAAGAATATATGAGGTGTATACTAAGACAAAGTTGCTAAAGGAGATTATTAGTAGGACGGCCCCTGTCGGTGGATAATATGAAAGAAGTAAACACATAAATTACAGCGGATTATATATATAAGCATATCTTTATATACGCTAGTCACATATAAACAGCTGCTTGTTGTGAAAAGCCGACTTGAACGAATAAATAATTTTAACATTTTACTGGGCACTGTGGGCTCACAAAACTCCCGTCATGTTTCTAATTTGAGGTTCTCCCCAATTTTTTAAAGTAATGTAAGTTTTTAATCTATTTTGAGCGAGAAAAAACAAAATAGAGTCAAAATATTTTAGAATGAACCATTTTTAATTAGTTTTTTCATTTTATTTTTTTTTTTAGCTGTAAGAAATGTCCTATCGTTTAAGTATATATATGCATGCAGTTAGGTATATATATATATATAGTATATACGTATGTGCGCGTTTTTTTTTTTTTTTTTTTTTCTTTTAAAATTCATCACATAAGTTTTTCTAAAGACTTCCCCTTCCAAGGATATGTATGTGGGAATATTTATGCATCACTATGATGTATATTCCATTTTTTTGCTCTTTCCCTTTTTCCTATCCCTTTCCCATTAAGGGTATAAAAAAGGCACCTTGTGAAATGCTGTAACTCAAAAGAAAAGTAGCAAAAATTACAACATCTTACAAACATATATATGTGTGTATACACGTAAAGGATTATGCACAAATTTTTTATCCATTTGGTGTCATTCCTGGTTTAGTAGGAACAACAAATGGGAAAATTTAGGGGATGCTTCCTTTTTATTTTTTATTTCCTACTTTTTTTCGTTCGGATAAAATTCAGCTGCGTAAGGGAATTTGGAACATCTCACTTAAAATGGTGATGAAATGGTGTAACCGTTACAAAAAAAAAAAAAAAAAAAAAAAAAAGGGTACTCATATTATTGTACAAATTTTCATTATTGGACCAATCCACACATGCGCTATCTTATACATAAACAAATTCACAATGTTTAATTCTTCATCAATTTGTGGTGCAAATATAGCCTTATAAAAACTGCCTAAAATTTTTTTCAAGTCCATTCATGTGTTACATTTCCTAAAAAAAGAATTCATATGTACAGCAAAGAACGGTTAATTTTTTTTTTTTTTTTTTTTTCATTTTTTGAAAAAACAAGGAGAATTAGCTACTTTAGTAAAAATATTCTTACACCCCTAAAAAGTCATCATATGTTTTATTAGACCTTTAAATAATAAAATAAAAACGCAAATCTTTAAAAATGAACAAATTAGTGAGATAAAATATATATATACAAATATATAAAGAAAAATAGGAAGAAAAGATGAATGGAGATTGAATATTCTTTTACTGATGATTTGTATTTATACAAAAATATGTTTTTCATTCCTTTTTTTTTTTTTCAGCTCTCGACAGTTTTAGTCATATTATTTTTGCTGCAAAAGTGTTGTGTTAAGGCAGAGAATCATGAAATTACTCACAAGGTAAGAAAAAGGGATAAGAAAAACATGAAATGTTATGTTTTAAGAAATGTTATTTTTATCGATAAGTAACATCAGAGGGCGTGATATAATGAGAGCAAAAATAGATTGTGAATTAGCTAAAATTGATGGAAACCTACCTTTTTTTTTTTTTTTTTTTTTTTTTTTGAGCTACTGAGCTTTTTCCCTTACCTGTTCATAATTTTTTAAGGGTACCTTTTTTTTTATGCCTGTCTGTTTATATATATATATATATATATTTTTTTTTTCTCTTTGTTTTAAATTCAAAACAACGTTAGGCTTATTTCGATATAAGTATAAATAACAAGCCAATCGGGAGAATAACGTTTGGGTTGTATGGGAAAGTAGCCCCCAAGACAGTGGATAATTTCGTGAGCATATGCAAAGGAACAGTAGTTAATGGGAAAATGTTGAATTACACGAATTCGATATTTCATCGTATAATACCAAATTTTATGGCACAAGGTGGTGATATAACACACTTTAATGGAACTGGTGGGCTGAGCATATATGGAGAAAAATTTAAAGATGAAAATTTCACTTTAAAACATACCAAACGGGGAATGTTATCCATGGCTAATGCTGGAAAAAATACCAACGGAAGTCAATTTTTTATTTTATTTGTTCCGACTCCTTGGCTCGATGGAAGACATGTTGTTTTTGGGGAGGTAATTGAAGGATTGGATAAATTGGTTCAGATTGAAGCTGTAGGTACAGATTCAGGACAACCAGTAAAACGAGTTCTAGTAACAAAATCAGGTGTGCTTTAATGTCGCTTATGTACATGATTTATTTTTTGTTCGTTTTTCGCACATACCACATTTATGCTTATCGGAAATGTAGTACTAGTTTAGGTTTTATGGAAATAGCTACTTTTTTTTTTTTTTTTTTTTTTTTTTAAACAAAATGTTAAGACGATACATAAGAAAAGCATAACAGAGAAAAGATAAAAAATGAGAAAAAAGTTAATTCTAATGATGAGCTTAAAAGATAAAACAGGTGAAAAAAAATGAATAACAAAAAATGAAAAAGGAATAATTACACAATCCACATATTCAATATATTCCATGTGGTATATGAATTGTTTATTTACTTAAGCTGCTAAATATACCGCTCCACTCTGAACTGTGAAGGGGATTTTATTGCACATTTGAAAAAAAAAAGAACTGAAAAAATAATATATGTCTGCACGATAGAACAAAATGAATTCCACTGCAATGAAAATTTCCTCCACAATAATTCATTTTTCTAGTTCACTGCAAATTTGATATAACCTCTTTGTTCTAATCATACAACGCTGATTACATCTTGGATAGTGCTTCTTTGATTCGTCATTGCTTATATTTATTAACCCTATCTATAGCCAATTTTTTGGCCGTTTCGAACCCGTGATATTCGGCCGAAAAAGATCTACACACAGGAAAGTTCTTTTCTCGATAAAAGGACATCCAGCAGTTGGTGATAACATCATAGTGAACCCCTACATGGGTGGGTAAAAGATGCACGTTAACAAAAAAATACATGTGTAAGTGGAACATATGGGAATCTATATACACACACAAAGCACACACATAACATATATGTGTGTGTTCTTTTAAGCATTTCATTGTGTACATAGCGCAATGCATAAACTACACAAATGTGCGTTCTGAGGAGAGTCTTTTCATATAAGACGAGAGTTCTAGGCCTACCTTCTATTCCAGACTTATATTGTGGCTTTGTATTGATACGATCATTTTGCTAAAATGGGATTTAAAAAAAAAAAAATACGGATTAAGATTCATGCATCAATCATGAAGGAGAATATTGTAATGAGAAAAAAAAAAAAAATTCCAACAAAGGGGATATCCGAAAAAGTAAAATCAAGGTTGTAATATATTATTCTAAAGGGAACATGGATATTTTTTAAATATTTTTCTATTTTCTATTTTCTTTTTTACTTTCAAGGATTCGTAAAATTTGATTGCTTCTTTTTTGGCTGATTCAATTCCATATTTCTTAACAGGGAATGGTTTAGCATTTAGTTTGTTGTTTTCAAACCAGAAAACTTCCCATTGTTCATTTAATTTTTCATACTTAATATTTTCATTAACAGAATCAAAGTAGTCTTTCCGAATGGTTACTTCCTTGGAGCGACTAAGATGAACAGGGTGAAATCTAAATTGAAAGGAACACGTAAAGGAAAAGTACAAACGAATTAGTCCTTATAACCGATAATTTTTTTTTAATAATGGCACTGTAATATGGTCATGCATCAATGGTCATTCAATCTTCTTTTCATTTTGTAGCATTTCCACTATAGCTATATCGACATAGGTGCTATACATCCTTCCATGGTGGCTTGTTCGTTTTTTTTTTTTTTTTTTTTTTTTTTTTTCTTTTCTTTCATTTCTCTCTCTCTTTTAAGTTATAAAAGTTAAACCTGTTTTCGGGGTCCGCACGGAACTTGTTTCCTATTCCCCACTTAAAAATGTACTGAATAAAATCCGACTTTTTGTTTATGTGTGGATTTAGAGCATTATCACTAGATGAGTTCTTGTCTTCCAATCTTTCTACTAATGGGTTGTTTTTAGTAGTATTAAAGAGTGTTGAACTTTTTCTATCTTTATTTACGATGCTAGTATGTATGTATTGGTTTAAATATGAATGAAGCAACTTTTGGTGAGGCCCTGACGTCCATATTAGTTGATTACCTCCTTTGTATATATTCATACTTGCGAAGAATGATTGTATAGAAAATCCATAACTGAACACGCGCACGTATTACTATGTATACATGCTACTACATAAATATGTATATATATATGCGTATCCCAAGAAGTGATGAATCAACATGTCCTATCTAGTGATGAATGAACATCTTATTTTTTGCTGCACAAGTTGCCTTTCCATTTTTGTTACGACGTGCTAGTAATGTGCTTATACATAAATTGGCATAATATGGTGGGCAATATGGAAAAAAGAAAAAAAAAAAAAAAAAAAAAAAAAAAATTACAATTTTTTGTTTCTTTTTTTAAGAGTAACACCTCTCATATTATGCATAAAAATGAACAATTTGTTGAAATGTTTTTTTTTTTTTTTTTTTATTTTGTGAATAAATATCAGAAGTATCCTCAGAGTAATTTACTTTTTTTTACAAAATTTTTTTTTTTTTTTTTTTTTTTTTTTGTTTTACATCGTCCATGTATAGCAAGGGGGACAACCTTTGCTCTAAATAGGTATTCATTTGTGTGTTCACTAGGTTACACCTTTCTCGAAATAACACAAATTAGTAGATGTGTATGGGTGACACTTTCACAAGTTCTTCACGTATATATGTGTTCATATAAATACACTGCTTAATGTGTATAGCATGAACCTTTTGATGGGCTCAACTTGTTCCATTTTTTTTTTTTTTTTTTTTTTCTTCATTTTTTTTGTTCACCCTTTTACACATTATAGATAAAACACTTTTTGGGTTAATCTTAATCACTATGATCTGGGAAAATTTGCTGAAGGGGAAAATGGATTGGAATTTCTCTACCTTTTCACCAAAAATTTACAAAACCCATAGTTTGAAAAGAGAAAAAAAAAAAAAAATACCCTTTAAAATGTATAATATAAATATATATATATGTTCAGCGCAATAAACAGGTCGGGTATGTTATGCACAGTTCAGGAAAATTTATGCGGTAAAAACAAATTTTGTTTAAAAATTGTATTTTACAGCTTGAGCCCACTTTTTCGTTGCTTACAAAAAAAAAAAAAAAAAAAAAAAAAAAAAAAAAAAAAACATATATTATATGGGCCATATGTATGTGGTAATAAAAATGAAGTCAAAATACTTGTTCCATTTGTACATTTTTACATAATTTTTACTTTCTCCTTAGGGTTTTTTCCCCTCACCCCACCTCCTCCCTTACACACATACCGTGTAGTTGCTTTGTTTTCAATTCCTTTTTGTCTTATTCTCGTTAGTCTTATCATCCATTGTAACGTCAAACAGATTCTTTTTTGACATTACAAGCAAGTGGGTATATGCAAAACTGTGAGACATAAACATATCAACTTGAAGAAGAAAAGGTAAAGATGGAATTAAAATGTCCTATTATTCTTTCATAACAGGTTTTGTACTGAAGTTGTAGGTTTTTTTTTTTTTTTTTTAAGAACATGTTGTGAGGGTATTAAAATGTATTTTATATATGTCCCTTGTATGAACGAAGTAATGAAATGTTTTCTTCGAGGAGAGTATAAAACTATGATAATTGTGTAGGTTTTTTTTTTTTTTTTTTGTGTACAAAATTATAATGAAAATATTTCAAAAAAGAAAGAAAAACAGCATTGTCACATATTTATGTTTTATTATTCACATTTTTTTGACTTTTTTTTTTTTTTTTGTTTTTTTTTTTTTTTTTTTTTTTTCTTTATTGAAATTTTCTATTTTTCATTTTTTTTGATTGAATTGTAAGTAGCGCATTTATTTGTCTTCCTATTATAACCTATCTCCTCCTCCACTATGTCCCCATTGAATAAATTTTTTTTTTTTTTTTTTGAGGAATTTTTTGTTTGTAACCATGTGAAGTTGTCATGTAGTGTATGAGTTATTCCACTAATTATAATATATTCGTCAAAGTATGTAACAAAAAAAAAAGATTTAAAATGTTTTTTTTTTTTTTTTTTTTCCCCCCCCATTACTGTTACTTCTTTCCCTCAAATTCTTCTCTCTTCCTTCTTTTCTCACATGCATGTAAAACAGATAGGTACATCATTAGTGGCATCCCAACCCCATCTTCGAATATATATTCCACTGAATGTGATTTTTATAAAACAATTTTTTGATGTTTTTTTTTTTTTTTCTTTTTTTTTTTCATTTTGATTGAGAGATCATGTATACTCATTAGCACATGCGAGATTAAAAAAAAAAAAAAAAAAAAAAAAAATATAAGAAAAATGAACACCCTTTCTTTTCCCTCTTTTTCTTTTAACTTTTGGCTCTTATTTTTAAAAATCTTCTGTGTTTTTTTTTTTTTTTTTTTTTTTTTTTCTCACCACTTTTTATAGTATTTTTTTTTCGTACTTTTATCTTTGCTACGAGAACCTTTAACTTCAAATGGGAGAGTTATTGAAAGCCGATTTTTAGTTTTTGTTCTTATTTGTTTAATTTTTGTAAGGGATATTTTTTGTTGTTTCTTTTTTTTTTTTTTCCTCTTTTTAATGTTTAGAATGGGTTATAAATTTATTGAACATTTTTAGAAAATTTGTGCAGGCTTTTAATATGCAAATGTGAAAGGAATGAGCACTTTTTTGTAAAAACCCCAGAAATTCCTTTTTTATTTTATTTTTTTTTTTTTCCAAACGTTCCGCCTGATTCAGCAGTTAAGCTTGAATCATAGATAAAATTTTGCATACATTTTTTGAGAAATTGAGATATATGAGACTTTTTTTTTTTTCCACCCTCCAACCCCATCAGCATTAAGCTGAAACATTATGTAAATGTATTAATATATACTCTACACATCCACACAAACAAACCCTATATCTCAGCGACACAAGCATATTTTTGATGATATATATTTTATATGTATAGCAGTTCTTACATTCATAGAAAAATATATAATCTCCGATCTTTTAACTTTTAGCAAAAAGTTTTCCATTCTACATACTATATACCATTCTGTTCTCTTCTTTTTTTTTTTTTTTTTGAACTATGGAATACCACGTTGAATACTCATCAAGCAGGTCGGGAAAAATAGAAAATGAGTCATTTGTACATAAACCATTGATGGAAACAGGTGTGAAAAGAAATAAAAATATCTTTATAGCACTTTCTGTTTCAACAGTATGCCTGCTGGGTGGTTGTGCAATTTATTATTCTCGTACACAGAAGGAAAATTATAACCCTGTGTATGGCAATTCATTGGATGAACAAAGCAGTGATGATTCCATTATAAATTCCTTTTTGAATAGTGAAAGTGGAAAAAAATTTATTGCCTCCAAGTTATCAGAATATCTGGCATCCTATGGCAAAACTGCTGATACGTCAGAAGATATGCAAGATTCTAATTTCGGTTATGAGCAACACATTGATGGAACTGAAATTCCTAGCATAAATAAGGAAAGTGTAAAGGATGGAGGAAGAGCAGAAGAACACTACAAGAATCGATTTGGGAATTTGAAGGTAACCCAGAGGAATGACATAATAAACCTAGCCGATCCTAAATTTTTGATGGCCAACTTAGAATCAGTGAACGCCTTTTACTTGTTTGTGAAGGAATATAAAAAGAATTACACTACTGCTGATGAAATGCAAGAAGGGTTTATTGCATTTTTGGATAATTTAAAAAAGATTCAAACGCATAACCAGAGTAAAAAAAAAAGCTTATACAGAAAAGGGATGAACAAATTTGGAGATTTAACCTTTGAACAATTTCAGAAGAAATATTTAACTCTAAAAACATTTGATTTGAAAAAGAATGAAAATAACATAAAAGGTCTTGTTACATATGATGAAGTAATTAAAAAGTATAAACCCGATGATGCAACATTTGATCGTGCTGCTTATGATTGGAGATTACATAAAGGTGTTACTCCTGTGAAGGATCAAGGAAATTGTGGTTCATGTTGGGCATTCAGTGCAGTAGGAGTTGTTGAATCACAATATGCCATTAGAAAAAATGAAATTGTAAGCATAAGTGAACAACAGTTAGTTGATTGTTCAAAGAACAATTTAGGGTGTAATGGAGGTTTGATTCCATTAGCTTTTGAAGATATGGTAGAAATGGGTAGTCTCTGTTCAATTATGGATTATCCATACTATGCTGTTGATACAGATGTATGTAAAAAGGATACTTGTAAAAAGAAGTATAAAGTTAATAACTTTTTAGAAATACCTGAATTTAAATTTAAAGAAGCTATTAGATATATTGGACCCATAAGTGTTAGCATAGCTGTTTGTGATGATTTCACTTTTTATCAAGGTGGTATATTTGATGTAGATTGTGGAAATAAACCAAACCACGCTGTCATTATCGTTGGTTTTGGTGTTGAAGAAATATATGATGAGGATACCCAAATGAACAAAAAACACTATTATTATATTATTAAAAATTCGTGGGGTATGGATTGGGGTGAGAAAGGATTTATGAGATTTGAAACAGACCTAAATGGATACAGAAGGCAATGTGCCCTTGGTGATGAGGCAATGGCAGCATTGGTAGATTAACAAAGAAAAAACAATGATATTCAAGGGGATATATGTATATATATATATATATATATATATATATATATATATATCATATGTACCCTTACCTGAATTATATATTAATCGTCTGGAATTACTGCTACCACATTTTCCCATTTCGCACGCACACACACGAATGTGCATACGGAAAGGGCGCATATAAATTTTTTTTTTTTTTTTTTTTTTTTTTCTGAATTTGCAAATTTTCACATCCAACTATACGTATTATGCCGTAATCCTTAAATTCCATTTCAGAGTAGCTTTTTTCAACTGCACGAATTAGTGTATTCTTGTCAAGTACAGAAACACACGCCCATAAAACATGAACATGCGTCTTTATAAACTAATGGTACAGTGCATTTTTGCTTGACACACATTATTGCAGGTTCCATTATAAGACATCCCTCTTTTATTTCGAATATGAGAAAGGTTTTTCCCGCGCTCGAATTCGGTTTTTTTCACCCCACGTTCTTTTAACCACATATTACAATGTTACTCCTTTCTGCACTGCACTGTAATTGTACACACCATTTTAAAAAAGAAGTAAAGAACAATTAAATACATACCAGTTAAAACAAAATGTGTATTTTTATCTGTAATATATGTTGTGTACATAATAATATACTCACAAGGAAAAACGATTCACATATGGTTTCACCAGTTTTCATTATTTTTTTCTTTTTTTTTTTTTCTACATGCATTCCAAAGATAATTAGCCCCTTACTTTTTATGTAAATAAGAAAAAATAATAGGAATTTCCGTCAACCTTGTTTGTCATGACGACACATTTTTCCTCCTTTTTCATCTGTAGAGTTGAGAAAATATACTCAAAAAAAAAAAAAAATTACACAGGACTCTATCGAACGGCAGTGGTGCAAACAAAAAATACACAAACACGAATGGTGCAAACTTGTGTAGTTGTTCCAATAAGAAATAAGACATATCTCTTACTTTTCCTTTAAAATGAATGTGAACATTTTTCTTCATATAGATAGGAACAAGAACATTGCATAACGAGGTCAAATGGTTGTACGAGAAGGTGGGGGGATATGTATGCGTGTTAAAATTATGCCTTTAGGGTCACGCATTGTGAGGTTTCAGCAGAAGGGGAAAAAACAACATCAAATAAAAATATATGTATATATATATATATATATATTTCATAAAAAAGTGTTGTAAAAAATTTCCTCGCCTTTTTTTTTCTTGTATGCTAAAATTTGCACGAATTTGAAAAATTCACGCACTGATTACATATCTCTCTCTTTTTCCTATTAAATGAGAAATAGATTATTTGCCAACATCTGCCTTTAATGTAATGATGTGATATATTGGGGAAGGTGAAGTGGGGACACCATGTATTTTCTTCACTGCTTTTTCGCTTTTATTTTATTTTTGCGAACCCTTAGGTATTTTTTGGAACAAAAAAAAAAAAAAAAAATGATGATAATGATGCGAATATGACGATGCAATGATAACAAATGCAATGATGAGATTTACCTTTTTAGACCCCCTTGTAGAAGCAAAGAAAATAGCGCAACAGACGTGACAAAAAAAATAAAAGAAGAAGCAAGTTGAATGTATATACTAGCACTAGAAAAAGATCATATTATGCATATGCACAAAAATCCATAATATTGTTCATATACACTTATATATATGTGTACGTGCAAACATGCATTGTGTGAATAACACCTAAATAAAAAAAAAAAAAGTATATACGTTTATTTTATGACAACCATACTCCGTTTGAAGATTTCCAAATATAATATCTATACCTATTTAAGAAAATAGCGCTTCCAATAATTTTTAATATAAAAAAAAAAAAAAAAAAAATACGTTTTTTTTTTAAATTGTGCAGAAGGTAATAAGGGGGTTACAGAAGAAGGAACCCTACTAATATTACTCCTCCTCCCCCGGCTCTCCAATATTAGGAAAAATAATTATGAAAAGGTTTTCAGTTTAACGTTTCATTGTTCCTTTTAAATAAAATAATTTTTTGAACACATAAGCTAAGCATATGTTTTTTTTCTTCTATGAATGTAAAAAAAAAAAAAAAAAGAAGCCCGTTATTTTTATTTATTTATTTTTTTTTTTTTTTCCCCCTCCACTCTCCATGTACCTTTTATAATTAGGTGGTACAAATTTTATAAGTAACATATTTTAAGTTTTTCTTAAAAATAAATAAAGATTTAATATATTTCCGATTTTTTATGTACATTTTTATATTTATAGGTTATGAATTTTGGTTTTTTCATGTTACTTGTACGTTTAGTCCCTTTTGCCCATTTTTTTTTTTTTTTTTTTTTTTTAGTTCTTTTTGGTTTTTTTTGTTTTTTTTTTTTTTTTTTTTTTTTTTTTTTTTTTTTTTTTTTTTTTTTTTTTTTTTTTTTTTTTTTTTTTTTTTTTTTTTTTTTTTTTTTTTTTTTTTTGCTGTCATTGTGATGGCACCTAGATCATAATAACTCTAGTATAATCTAAGAGATCCGAAGTTTTTCCAAAGAGGATGAATAAAATAGGCCCCAACACATTTACGTGCAAGTGTACGTGTAACATAGCGAACATGTACATCTACGTGTTGTAAATATATATATATATATTGTCGAGAAAAAACACCAGCACACAGACCCTTTTTGCATCTCGTTTTTGTCGAAGCGAACCGCTAACTGCCTACTGCCACAACCTACCACTTACCGCGTATTATTTTTTTTTTTTTTTTCACAATGGAATATCATATGCAATACAATTCCAAGCTTCCTATAAGCGATGAAAAAGAGTCTTTTATGGAAAAGGGGAATTATGGTAAGGTAAATTTAAAAAAAAAGAAGCACTACCTTATCGCTCTGTCCGTTTTAGTTATTTGCATATTCGCATGTACTACATTTTACTTTTCAAAATCCGCAAAAAATGATGATCTGTATAAACAGACACTCGAGGGAAATGCGAATGATGATTACATAATTAATTTCATATTAAGAACAAAAAATGGAAAAAAATTCATTGCATCCAAATTGCAAGAGTTAATATTAAATTATGACAAAAAAAATGACAATCGCGAAAATAAAACTACATCTCAGAGGTTTGTAAAAGAGAAAAAATGTAATGATGGTCGATGTGGTATTAGTCCATATGGAAAAAATGTACCAAATGTGGGAATAATACCCAATCCGAATGCTTTGAATACCCACATTGACACCCAATTCATGATGTCCAACTTAGAATCGTTGAACCAATTTTACATGTTTATAAAAAAACATGGAAAGGAATACAAAACCCCTGATGAAATGCAACGAAGATTTATGGCTTTCTCTGAAAATTTAAAAAATATTCAAACACATAACAGCAATCCGAACAAGCTATACAAAAAAGGAATGAACCATTTTGGAGATCTAACATTTGAAGAATTTCAAAAGAAATATTTAACATTGAAAAAGATTGATTTTAAAACCAATGTAAATAAAATGCCAAGATTTAAAGATTACGAAGATATAATTACTAAGTACAAACCAGAAGATGGAACCTTTGATTATGTTAAACATGATTGGAGAGAATTAAATGCAGTTACACCTGTTAAGAATCAACATATGTGTGGTGCATGCTGGGCCTTTAGCACAGTAGGAACTGTCGAATCCCAGTATGCTATTAGAAGGAATGAATTAGTCTCCTTAAGTGAACAAGAAATGGTTGATTGCTCCTTTAAAAATTATGGTTGTAATGGAGGTACCATCCCACTAGCTTATGAAGATATGTTAGATTTGGGAGGTTTATGTAAAGAAAATGAATATCCATATGTTGATATAACACCAGAATTATGTGATATTGATAGATGCAAGAATAAATATAAAATTACGACATACACAGAAATTCCTCAACTTCGATTTAAGGAAGCAATTAAATTTATAGGACCAATAAGTGTAAGTATTTGTGCAAGTAACGATTTTTCTTTCTATGAAGGAGGTATTTTTGATGGTCCATGTTCAATTTCAGCTAATCATGCCGTTATTTTAGTTGGTTATGGTATGGAAGAGGTATATGATGCTATGACAAAAAAAAATTTAAAACATTATTACTATCTGATTAGAAATTCTTGGGGAGATAAATGGGGAGAAAAGGGATATATGAAAATTGAAACAGATGAATTCGGATTACAAAAGACTTGCGGTCTAGGTGAACAAGCCTTCATTCCTTTAATTGATGAATTTTAAAGTCATGGCTTATAACGAATTTGTATATAAAGGGAAGAGAAGAGAGTATATATGAGGTGGTATATTTTAAGAGGGGGAGAGGAAATAATGTTGCGTATTACAAATTTTACACGTGTGCATACATCCACAAGGTATATACAAAAACATGATTAGTTTTTAAGTATTATTGTACCTTAAAATTGTATGCAAATTCACTCGCTCACCTAACCCTGTTTAAAGAAACAAACTTATGCTATATACAATCGTTATATATTCGTACCAAGTTACAAAGAAACAAAATGGATATGTTGTAAATACATTCTGAATGAACATTTTTTTTATATGATACTTTTTTAATAAACGTATATAAAAATGCACACCTATTTTTTTTTTTTTTTTTTTTTAATAATAAAAGAAATTTGCTAGACTTTACGTTTTTTCCCATTTGGCTAGTTAGTCCATTTGAGCCCCTCGTTATGTGCATTAAATAAAATGTAAATGGAATAAAAAAAAAAAAAAAATAATTAAAAAGCATGAACTGTTAAGAATAATTAGACTTAACAACGCATGATCATAAAAAGGGGAAAGGAGAGGAGAGGGAGCCATGAAATAAAAAAAAAAAAAAAAAAAAAAAAAAATTAAAAAGCATGTACTGTTCAGAATTATTAAGCGCGTTCCATAGCAACACTTTGTCTCTGAAGGGGAGAGAAGGAGTGGGCCACGAAATAAAAAAAAAAAAGTAATAAAATAAAATTTATGATATTTCAACCTGCGCGCATGTTTGGTATGATGCTTTATTTTATTTTTCTTAAGAAAAAAATCCTTTATTTAGGGTGGGGTGTGTTATTTATGTTGGTTTCTTTTTTCCCCTTTTTACATTATCGAGTAGGTATATAATATAACTTTTGAAGATTTTCCGAATTTTCTGCTTATGCATATATGAAGGAGACTTGTTGAGGGAAAATTGGTAAGGGGGGGGTATGGTTTTTTATTGATAAATTCTATTAAAACCTAAGTTTAAGGTATCTTTTATTTTTTTGTTCGCACCCGTTTTATGTGATATTCGACATTATTCTCTAGTGTGTGCAGTTATGTCGACATTTGCTTATTTAGTTCGTGCTTGTAACAATTTGTGTGCAGTAAAATTTGCAATTTGCATGGCTTTCACTGTAGTTCGCACACGATCTTTATTGTCTTACTACTTTATGTTGAGAAATGCCTTTGTTCGAAATTTTATTGGTTCAATATTTTTATAATTTTTTTTGAAAACGAGAAGGATTGGTATTCGTGGAGGGGGGTGGTGGGTAAGACAGATTTAGTACATTTTTTTTTTTCCGAAAATGGTGAAATTGGGGAATAGAGGAAAAAAAAACAAAACAAGAAAAAGCAAAACAAAAAAAAAAATTTTTCAAACATGCCCATTGAAGCATGATACTAATTAACGAAAATAAATGCTCACATAGAAATAATGAGATATATAGAAGTATACATATAAGTGCACTAAAAAAAGGGTCCATTTTTTCCCGAGTCTCAATATGTTTATTTAAGAAAGCGAAACTTAAGCAATTATGTGTTTATATATTTATGCGCTAGCAAATTAATTACATGCGGACATGTATATCAAAAAGTTCTGTTTTAGCTTATGCGAAAATGTGTAAAATTCTTTTATTCATCTGTCCCTAGAACTGAATTGTATGTATATATTTTCCCAGCTTCACACGAATAGATCGAGTGGCTAAGGTACCAAGGCGGAGGGGGGCGCGCCCTCGCAAATTGAATTCTCTCCATCACGTGCCATGTTACTGTTTCGTATCATATTGTCCCGTGTCATTGTGCCAAGTTTTTAAGGAAAATATATGAGGAGTTCGTCGGAATAAAACAAATGATGGTTGATGGGATGCATACATAAATATATCGAAAATGTTACGAAGAACAAACTGAAAAAGATAAATAAGAAACTGCACTTTTAGTGGAAAAATTTTGTTGAAAATGTACATACATATATAAATATATATAAATATCCATATTGTATATATATTTTAGCACGTTTTTTTTTTTTTTTCTCCTAAAAATACTGTTTTCCGGTACGTGCTTTTTCGTTTTATTTTATTTTTGTAAAAACTGCTTAATTTCTTATTCGCATGTAAAGAGAAAAAAGATATATTCAACACATATATACGCAAATTAACTATATTATATGCACTTTGCAGTTTTCCAATGTAATATGGGGTAATAAATATATGTACCTTATTTTTTTCACCCCTCTCAACACTCGCTCCAACCCTTTTCCTTTGATGTCCATTTTAAGTATAATAACAAAAATGTGAGATTCAAAATAGTCTTCACTAGGTCGTTTTTTTTTTTTTTTTTTTTTTTTTTTGATTTTATTTATTGCATTTTTTTTTTGGAAAAGTTACAAAAAATAGTTTTTATTTGTTAAATAATCAAAGGGGGCTATAGGAAAGATTTTTTTTTTTTTTTTTCATTTTTTTAAGCACCTAAACTTAACGTTATAGGTATATACATTAACAATTTAAAAATACAAATTTTTTGACACAAGCTTCGCAAGAAAATAACGAAAGAAAAATATAAAATTAAAATAAAAAGCATAAAATATTTTTCAAGTTGAAAAGCTTCCAAAGTGCAGTATTGTACACTTTCGAAGAAAAACGCCTCTTTAATCTTGTGGTTTTTTTTTTTTCTCAAAATTGCACTTTTGCAAAAGTACGAATAAAGGATAAAAAGTGAGAGGAATCCAAATATTTTTAAAATAATTTTAATAAAATGGAGTATCACATAGAATATACCAGTGACAAATCTCATAAACCAGAAAAGGAGTTGTTTGTAGAAAAATCATTTAATGAAAAAAGTTCGAAGAGAAATAAAAACATCCTTATAGTCCTCTCCATTTCAGCCATATGTTTATTTGCTGGATCAACAGTTTACTTTACCCGTACAGGGAAGGAAAATAATAACCATTTTTATGGAAATTCCATTGATGAGCATAACAATGATGATTACATTATAACATCCTTATTGAAAAGTAAGGGAGGAAAAAAATTCATTGTTTCTAAATTAGAAGAATTGATTGTGACCCATTTGAAGAATGGCGAACTTGATAGTGAAAAGGAACAACTAATCAATTTGAAAGAGAAGAAAGGAGATGATAGAAGATATAATAATGCAGTTGTTTCTGAGAGTAAAAAAAGGGTGGGGAATTTAAAGGCATCTAGAATAATAAATGATATAAACTTTTTTGATACTAGATTTTTGATGACCAACATAGAAACAGTGAATGCATTTTACCTGTTCATGAAGAAGCATGGAAAGAAATATAAAACTTCTGAAGAAATGCAAGAAAGATTTCTTGCTTTCTCTGAAAATTTAAAAAAAATAGAAAGGCATAATAGCAACCCGAATATTTTGTACAAAACAGGACTGAATCAGTATAGTGATCTATCATTTGAAGAATTAAAAAAAAGTATTTTAATTTCAAAACGTGATTTACGTAAAATATTAGGAGATTCTCCATACATGACTAGTTATGATGATGCTATAAAGAAATATAAATCCCCCAATGCAATTGTTGAAAATATACATTATGATTGGAGAGAATTAAATGCAGTTACACCTGTGAAGAATCAAGGTATGTGTGGTTCATGTTGGGCATTTGCAGTTGTAGGAAGTGTAGAATCTCAATATGCTATTAGAAGAAATCAACAAGTTTCAATAAGTGAACAAGAATTAGTTGATTGTTCTGCTAAGAACTTAGGATGTTATGGTGGTTTGGCAGGATATGCATTTGATGACATGATTGAATTAGGTTTTTTCTGTGCAGAAGAAGATTATCCATATTTTGGTGTTCAACCATTACAGTGTCGTACGAATCAGTGTAAGAAAAAATACACTATTAAAAGTTATGTTCAAATTCCAAGTGATAAATTTAAAGAGGCTATTCAATTTTTAGGACCCCTCACTGTGGATATTGATGCTGATGATGATTTTGCAATTTATACTGAAGGTATTTATAACAGTGATTCCAATGATGAAACTAATCATGAAGTTATGCTTGTTGGTTATGGTATGGAAGAAATATTCAATAACCAATTAAATAAAAATGAAAAACATTACTATTACATTATTAAAAATTCATGGGGAACTACATGGGGTGAAAAAGGATTTATGAGGATTGAGACGGACGAATTAGGTTTGAAGAAGACCAATAACATGAGTGTTGCATACGTCCCCTTACTTGATTAAAATTGTTAACCACATTTCTCATGCTTGCCAAAAGATATATTATTTCCAGCTTTCTACATATATTCACATTAAAATGAGAAAAAAAAAAAAAAAAAAAAAAAAAAAAAAAAGGGGTTAAACTGTTTCCTCCTTTTATTAAATATTCAAGCAACAGAGATCTACGAGGTACAATGCATATTCTTTTTTTTTCTTTTTTTTTTTCTTTTTTTTTTCGGGTATATATACATTTTACCTAGAAAAATGTAGAGAAAAATTAAATAAAGTTCCCAATATATTTTCCGCTATTATATTACAATGCCTATGTACCAAATTTTCCGTTTTTGATTTAATACTTTTCCCCTATTTTTTTTTTTTTTTTTTTTTTTATGCTACTATATATTAGTGTTCCATGATTAATAGCTTTTTTTTCTGCTTTTTCCTCATTTTTACATTGTTGTAAAGTAAATTGGTACATAAAAGAGGAAAAAAAAATTATGCCAAAAATTAAGCCAAAGATTAAGCCAAAAATTAAGCAAAAATTAAGACAAAAATTAAGCAAAAGTGAAACAAAAGCTAAACAAAAATTAAATTGCAGCAAATGGGATTGGTGGTGTGGATTTGTGCATTACACATGGATTCTTGAAACAATTTTAAAATTTTTTAAAATTGAAAAAAATAATGGTACATTATTAAATTAACAAATAAGAAATTTTTGCCACCATTAGGCGCGTTTTTCTTCTTTTTGTTTTTTATTAGCATGCAGTATAGCAATCAATGTGACTCTTTAGCTTCGATTTTTATTTTCTTGCCTTTATCCAATTTAACAAGTATATACATGTATATATATATATATATGTATGCATTTTTTTTTTTGATTAAGATATTTCATTATGTTAACATTCCTCAAATGATGATATACACGTTGTCTTGATGCTTTCACTTTAATATTTTTCCCTATGTGCATACAGATGGTTTCTGTACCGTTATTCGGTCAAGGGTGTGTCTACATATGTGCATGTATACATTTACGTATGCATGTATGTGTCCTCCTTTAAGGGGCCCTCTAAAATACACATGCTTTCTTGATTACTTAAACATGAGTGGGGAGAGTGAAGGTACATGACATGATTTAAATCCGATTCTATCCGTTTCACTACTCCTCGATTTGTGGTGCATCCGTACACGTTAGGCTGTCAATTCGGTAGTATTTGTTCTATAGGAATTGGAAGGGGGATAAAAAATTCGTGTCACATATTGGGGTCACAAAACATTTCCACTAAGTAGATGCATCTTCACTGCATAGCACGCGTGGCATTGTCATTCAGATCTAGACATTACACAAAACACAATCACAAACATGTGTCTATAGGTGCTTATGAAGCAAATCAGATAGAAATACATAATCATGATGGTATACTTACTAGTGAATCCTTCAGATAATCGTGAGAATATCCGCACAGTATTTCCAGCAGGTGGATAGACTTCAAAAAGTGAGAACATATTCTTTTTCTATAAAAGGGTAAACGGATGGGAAAAAAAAAAAAAAAAAAAATTACAAAATAATTAGCACCATTTGCAGTATTTGCAGCATTTGCAGTATTAGCAGTATTAGCGGTATTAGCAGAATAATGAACAAAAGAATTAGCGATTTTTGTGCGATCCTTATATATTCAAGAATTCGTAATGTTGGGAAAAAGGTTCTCCTATTCTTCTCTCGTTAGTGTACATGCGAAGAATTATTTTCCACACTAGGGGCGAGATGAAAAAACACATCAATGCCTCCCACACACACACATAGGAAAGTGTGCACATATATATATATATATGCACATTTGCAAATAAGGCACTCCTTTTGCTATTGTACAATTATGAACGAAAAATAAGCGTCCGCAGAATCACACTAAATGAAATAAAAAAATATATATTTTTTCTATTTGCTTGTTTACTTCTCCTCATAGGAAATGGTAAAATCCTTCTCTGATAGTAATATGTCTGTATTTATCGAATTCGCCTGAGCTTCCCCCAATTCTTCGTATAACCAAGCCAATACATAATTTGCCCTAGGAATGACATCTACAGCATATTTGATTCTTTGCATCTGATAGTATATGGCCTTTTCCCAGTTACACTTATCTCTATACCCCTCAAACAATATTGTATACAATTGATACATAATCCAATGTTGTGTAAATATTTTATCAGCTTGAATATAAACGGCCAATGCATCTGAAATGTCATTTTTGTCTGTTTCCTGTAATCTTTCTATGTAGCTATTTTCATATTCGATATATTCATATGCTGTAGCTTCTGATATTTCGGACTCACAGATGTTGCACTTGGTAATAATAGGGATTTCGTCGTGGTATTCACTTTTTATGAAGAACGTCCCTGGGAGGTGGGGGTGCAAACAGAAATTTGTTTATCATATATGGCCGCTCCTTGGTAAATAACCAAATCTCGTGTCTACTCGATGAGCTGCGTTCACTGATGTGTATGTCAACTCAGATCTATATGTATGTGTGTGTGTGTGTGTACGTATGTGTGTATGTATGTGCATGCATGGGTTGGGTGTATAGACGCTCCTTGCATGTCAATGCCTTTTTTCCTTACCTATCCCGCAAGTTGAGCATTTAAACCCCCTTGAGTAATCAATTGGGTTCGTGCATCTACTGCACATGCACACGAATAGCCAATTTGTAAGTTTCTCTCTTCTAACTGTGTATCCAGTGGTTGATATATAAAAAGAAAAAAAAAAAAAAAAAAAAAAAAAACACCATTAGGGAATAGTAAAGATTCAAATAATTCGTTTGTCTTGGGGGGAGTGTAGTGCACATCTTTTTCCGAACGAAAAAAAAAAAAGAATAAATAAAAAACATTAACTTTAGTATATGAACAGGCACAATTTTCTTGACCCATTTACTCCTTATTCTTCTTCATCTTCTTTTTTTTTTTTTTTTTTTTTTTCGCTTTTTTCCTCCCCTTACTGTTGCAGGATTTATACAAATCATCGTCTCCCAGGTATGATATTGTTAATTCGTCACCAACTGTTAGCTTAACTCTAGCTCTCAGAACAAAACTGTCATCGTTTCCATAGTGCCAACAGGCAGTTGAGTTGCAACTGTGTGCAAGCATAGAGATCCCTTTGGAAAGTGAAAAATTATAATTAAATATGAACGGGAGGAAAAAGAGATATGTGTAATGCTACATGCCACATCATACATGCGCATGGACAAGGGGTACAAAGCTCGTCCCTTGCAGTGATATCTCGCTCTTGGACATTTCTGTCTAATGCAAGCTGAGCAGACATGTAGAGTAATCCAAAACACATGTCTCCACTGTGTTTCTCCTTACGATTGTACAGAACCAATCCCTCGTTGTCTGTATGATGGCCAAAGGCATTGTAATGCCAAACTTGTATTATCCTGTCGTATATTTGTGGATCTATCAATTTCTTTTGGTAATAATAATACTTTTTTCCATTTTTGGAAGTTTTTTTTTCGCACACCTTTTCTAAAACATTGAACACATCAGCATCTGCCTCTCTATTTGGTTCTGGAATCCATTTATCGATACACGCCTTAAAATCACGTTCGTCCAGTAATGTTATAGTACATAATGCAGCATAGTGCCATTTGAGAGGTAATTCAAAATTGTCTTCGTTATTTAACTTATTAAGATACGTCCATAACTGTTCATTTAAGCTAGGTGTAATTATTAATAATGGTTTTTCAATAAAAATAATAGAACCCGCATCTAAATTTTTTCGTGTAAACATACATCTACCTTTGCCTTTAACATATGCAATTTCAACTTGTTTATCTATTTCTTCATTATTATATATTTCTAATTTTTCATCTACGTAATCCTCGTTCTCCTCTGATTCTTCAACTACATCTGCAGATTTCTCGTCCTTTATACTTATTTGATTGCTTTCCTCTGGCACAATTCTTTTATGTTCTCCAATTTTTACTTGTGTTCTACTTCCCTCGCACTTTTCTCTCTTGTATTTAGAATTCGTTCCACCATCTGACTCTTCCTCTATCATTTCATTTTCATATTGGTCTTCATACACATCTTCGGTTTCACCATCAACGTGTTCATTAATCGCTTCTTCATCTGGGTATTCCTCTTCTTCTCCGTACTCTACTTCACCTGCCTCAAATGCATATTCCCCATCTACTTCCTCCCCATCTGCATATTCCTCTTCTCCTTCCTCCTCTTCTCCTTCCTCCTCATCTACATCCTCCCCATCTACTTCCACCCCATCTGGGTATTCCTCTTCTTCTTCCTCGTCCTCCTCATAAGACTCCATATCATCCTCTACATCTGAATATTCCTTCGTTTCACACTTGTATTTTTCAAAATCATGATATGCATATGGTTCCCTGCTTGTTACTCCTACACTTTCGTGTTCATTTTTACCTCTACTCTTATGTTTGTTTTTACTTCGATCGATATATTCGCCCTCATTGGTGCATCTATTCCTCTCATCTTTTTTGTTTTTAATGTAATATTCATTGGCAAAATCGGTGCTTTCATTAGTTCCATCTTCATTCATGCGTGAAAAGGAGCCTACAAGATATTTTTTCTTCTTGTAGTTTTTAACATCCCCTAAATCATCATGTAACATGTAAAAGTCATCTATACCAATTTCTCTTTTTTCATTTTCGGTCTTTTCAACATCATTTCTATGCTTTTTCTCAGAATAATCAAATGAATCCCCTGTAAAGATGGAAAAGAAATTTGTAACGAATGAATGAAGATATTTCCAGAATTTTTTTTTGCACCTGGGAAATGGATTAAACTATTATGCATGCAATGTATAGCATATGAAAAGGAAAAAAATAAAAATAAAAATAAAATAAAATAAACGTGAAAGTGAAACAGAAATCAAAACCGAAATCGAAATCGTAACTAAAGTCGAAACCGAAATCGAAATCGTAACTAAAGTCGAAACCGAAATCGAAAGTGAAAGAGGAAATGTTTAAGCAAAAATCATTTCCAGAAAAGCATAATTTCAATCACAATGATATTGAATGGTTCTACAACCAATCCATGCATAAATTTCACATTTCCTTTGAATATTCTTCAAAACGGAATATAGAGAAGCAGGAAAGGTCATTCCACCATAAGCCTACATATTTTGACTAAAATTTACCCCTCCCCTCATTTACCCCCTTTTCAAGAGGAATACACAAAAATACATGTACTGACTGAAAATATATTCTCTCCCAAATTCATATGAAATCCTTTTTGTGTACATTCTTGAACATATACATGCATAATGAATAAGTTAAGTATGGAAACAGTACCTTCCAAATCGAGCGTTTTTGCATGAGCCCAATCCTTTTCATCAATGATGTCAACTTCTACCATTTCTTTTTTTTTCCTATGGGATCTCCTAAGTTTCCTAAAAATTGTCTCCATATCGTTTCTTTGTCTTCTTGGTGCTGCTTCACTTTTTCGTCTCTCTATCTCTGTGTGTGCGTCTTTTTTTTTTTTTTTTTTTTTTTTTTTTTACTTTTCTCCCCTTGGTAATATGCAAATTTATATTTATATTGTGGTAGAAGGCAAGTTCATAACATCATCAAATTTTATGAGTTCTTGGTAAGCATATATGTAGAAAGATAAACAATGCTGTATGCTGTTAAACATTCAACTCAGGGGATATTAGTCAAATGAATTTTCAGAGTGTGAATTCATCATACAAAGCAAAAAAAAAAAAAAAAAAATGTAGAGTCCCTAAAAAATTAGCACAATGTGAAATTCTAAAGAAATAACAGTTTTTTTATTTTTGCGTCTCAAATGGGTGATAAATTTAATTATAATGGTATGTTTTGGAGGGTGAGGTGTGAGATGTTGTATATACCTTTTGAAAGTCTGCAATAATTTTTTTTTTTTTTTTTCTTTTCAATAATGACTTGACAAATTGATAGAGGCGATATGACAAAAATAGAAATGTGTGAATCAAATTTAACAATTTCAGTTTATACCTACATGTATACGAACAAACGTGAATATACGTATGTATGCATAATGTATGAGGACGAAATGTATGAAGAAAAAAAGGCATGAACACTTTTTTAATTTATAATAACAAGAATGATATAGGGAAATCGGTTCTGTTAGTGTTCCACCGTAAGGAAAAAAATTTACCATACATGAACATATGCATATATGTGTGTATATATATGCACACACATTTATACATATTAACGATTATACATTTCATAGGTTGACACATATTATATTACATGCAGGAAATGTACAACGAACACTTTTACATCAGAAATGAACCGAGAGACAGTGCAAATACACCATAGGGGAAAATATCATCATAAATGAGACTATACATACGGGAAAAAATTTTGGAAAAATAGAGGAAAAGTGAAAACAAAAATAATACAGGGTGTTCCAAACAAGGAAAGCACAACAGATCGTGCCAAGCGGGGAAAGGACAAAAGAACGTCCTAAATACGAGAAAAAAAAAAATGATAATAATAAGATTAATTAAACAAAAACAAAAACAAACACTTAATGTAACACTTTCCAAAAAAAAAAAAAAAAAAATTTATCAACAACGCAAGGACACACAGGAACTTTATGCCTATGTATGATAAAAAAAAAAAAAAAAAAATAGAGTTACTTGAAAAACGTTTCTGGTATGACAAAGTACAATAGAATAGCTTTTGTTGATGGAGGTGTCGTAAATGTGTCTATATAAATTGGGTTATATATGCATTAAACATATATAATATATTTCATCACATGCAAACTGCACAATGATAAAATTACACATACATCGAAAAGCACGGGAAGTTAATCATTATCACAACGAGGAGAAGTAGAAAGAGACAAACACATATACACGCACAAACATATATATACACAAACACTTATATATACACAAACAATTATATATATATATATATACACTCACGTCTTCTTATGAGTTCGCACAAAAATTACCCACACCAACGTACCCACTGTTGAGGTATGTCTACATCATTTAATTACACACAAAAGGTATTACATGCACACACATAAAAAAGTGAATTGTATTTCGTCTAAGGACTTTTTAATTTGAATATGCATACATGCGTACATATTTATATGTAAATATTTACATAATCCTTTCCACTGATTATTTATCTATTCACGAAATTTGCACTAAGCGGAAGTAACACATTGTCTGCACACATGAGTAAAAAAAAAATAAACAAGTGAAATATGCACATGTGTGGGGCTAAATATAAATATACACATGTACATATGTACATATATATATGCACAGGTACATGTACATTAGCTAATACACAATCGTAATTTCACATTTCTACAGCTTGTATTCTTACGTTTTTAATCATTTATTCGTTTGGCATGTTAGGTGCAAAAAAATAAATAAATAAAATAAAGTACAAATAGAATAAAATAAAGTACAAATATAATGAAATAAAGTACAAATAGAATAAAATAAAGTACAAATAGAATAAAATAAAGTACAAATAGAATAAAATAAAATACAAATAGAATAAAATAAAATACAAGGAAAAAATAATAAAATAAATAAAGTTAACCCCACCGTTCACTTTACCCTTAAAAGCAAACTAATGGAAAATTACAATTGTCAAAGAGGGAGAGAATTGGATCACATGAAAAAAGAAAAAAAAAAAAAAAAAACATCTGGTTTGAGTATTACGCGAGTGTGTACGTGTTTGTGTGTGTGTGTTTGTGTGTGCGTCCATCATGTAAAAAAAACCATACGCATAAAGACGTGTGCCAATATTTGCACTTTTAAAAGTGGACATATTTCGAAAAAGTTGAAACTCATTTATTTTATTTATTTTTTCTTCCTTTTTGAAATTAATTTGTTTAACTTCAAGTTAAATGCCTCGTTTTAATGAAAATGCGGAGAATTACCCAAATTTATTTTATTATTATATTTTATAATTTTTTTTTTTTTTTTTTTTTTTGCATACCCATTTAGTGTATATATAAAAAAGTATATCCAGAATTAAAGCATGCATGTATAATTTCTATTGAAAAGTGTAACATATGTCTATGCTATTCTTAAGCGGAAAAATGTTACGACTAGTATGAAGGTAATAAAGCGTATGCTGGCTTTTTTTACATGGCATGCTTGGTACACTTGTCACGCATGACACACTTAACATGCATGGAAACGCAGTTAATAGTCCTTTCCATTCAATTTAACGAAGCAGAGAGAGCGTAAAAAATGGGGGAGAATATAATCTAAACAATGAAATAGTAAAGTACTAAGCAATAGACGAGTAACAAACGTAAAAAAACCTTTTCGTGCATCTCCGTCTTGTCCAACTTTATTAACTCATTTACGTTACCATGTCAGTATAGCGAAATGGAGAAATAATTTTAAAATTCCTTGACCAAGATAAAAAAAAAAAAAAAAAAAAAAAAAAAGAATATTCAAAAGAACCTTACAATTTGCATTAAATACAATTAAAGATACTTTTTTTTATCTTATATTTTCCTCGGGAAAATTTATTAGGAACACTTTATAATTTTACATATGATGTGTCACATCAAAGAATTCCTCTATATGCACCAGTATTTGTATATATAAGTATGATTTTATCTTCCTTTTCTTCCTCACCAAGTTGTTGTTAAAATGGATTATCAAAAATTGGAAAAACATACATTTCTGTGAAGGGAATCGTAAAGAAAAAAAAAAAAAAAAAAAAAGAGTGGGGGACTCAAGCAGATTAACGAAGCACCGCAGAAATCATCCCACACCACTTCCTCCACAAAAAAAAGAAAAAAAAAAAAAAAAAGATCTATAATTATTCGATGTGTATACCCATGCAACATGACTGGGGAATAGAACAAAAGAAAGGAACATCCTTCTTGTTTTTTTAGAAATTTTCTTTTTTTATTCATAATATTACTCACCAGAGGAAACAACAAGATGAATAAAATTTTCGACTTGATTCTAACCAAAGTATAGACTCATAAAAATTTTCATATCTCTTTTTAGTTTTATAAGTGTGTGTTTTTCGCACGTCCAATGTTAATAAGAAAAGGTTTTCTTTTTATTTTTCCTTATTTTATTCTTTATTTTTGACATAACTCTAATTTTTTACATATAAGACACACTGGACCAAAAAAAAAAAAAAAAAAAAAAAAAAAAAAAAAAATTATTATATTTTCAAAACATGAACATATCCTCATAGTGAAAAAAATTTCCTATACCCCTACTCGCCCGGTACATACACGTATTTTTTTATTTACTCAAAAAAAAAAAAAGAAAAAAAAAAACGCTAGGAGTAAAATGAAATAACACATATACGTATACGTGTGTAAAAGGTATATTAAAGAATGTCATATTGGTTCTCCAAGTCGAAGTCTCATATTTCGTTTTAAGAAGCTGTTTGAATTTGATTACCTATTTGTATGCATATCGTAAATGTACCTTCTGGACGCAGAAAACAGATATAAGAAAAAACACTATACACATTTTGTTTTCCCATTCAACAAAAAAAAAAAAAAAAAAGGAAAAAAAAATGAATTTTACTCTTAAAATTTTGAGTTTTTTTTCCTGTTATATGATTTTAGAATTATGTCTAATTCCAAATAGTTTTAGCAAAATAATAAGCAAAGATGTGCCTGAGGTAAGTGGGTTCACCAATGTGCCTAATGGTATGAATCACAAAAAAAAAAAAAATAAAATAATATTTGCATGTTAAGAAGAAAATTCTGGTGGATACCATCTTCATTTTAAACAATTCTATAATTTGTTGGTTTATTCGCTTATTAGCCTATTTGCCTATTTGTTTATTGGTTCATTGTTGTATTGACCTAATTGCCTAATCGTTTATTCGTTTTTTTTTTTTTTTTTTCCTTTTTGCAGGTCCAGTAGACTTACCCGCTCAGCTGAAGCTCAATTTAGGGATGCGAAGATACAAGCATAACAATCCCTTCCACAAAGATGAGAACAATGATATGGAAAAAGAAATGAGCAAAGATGCAGACGAACTACAGGAAATTATAGTATAATTATACAATTTAGTTAATATTACATAAATAGAAGAAAATAAATACATAAACTAATTTGAATAATTTCCCTTCACACATTATACGTAGAATAAAGCTAATTTCCCTGGTTCACAACCTGACAACATGTATATGCAACATCAGGAAAATTATGTACCTTTCATTTTACATTACATAAATTTTCTCGGGTTCTGTTTGATCCTGTCCTCAAGTCCATGTGTATATATTCGTGTATATACTTACATATATATATGTTTATCTTATGCCTATACACATTACTCAGTAGAATAGAACATTCTCCCTATGAATAGACATTTCTGTGTCCTCAAAAATTTCTGTTTTTTTTTTTTTTTTTTTAATTATCTTTTTTTTTAGGATATTCCTCCATGGTTAGCTAAAATGATTAATTTATCAAATAACAGTAAAAGCACATTAGAATCACTAGGTTATTAATACATTCAAAAAAATTAAATATATTTTAGCACGCATAGGCAAAACATTGAATGGAGACATGTAGAGGAGAATTCTATAAAAAATGTGAAAAGTTTCAAGAATAACAAAAAAAAAAAAAAAAAAAAAAAAAAAACCTTCACAATGTTATTATCACTATGACCATTACTCCCATTTCAACATTTCCACAGGTGTTGCAAATTTACCGGATATTAACGCATGTAAAGGAATAAAAAATTTGAAGGAACAAATGTTGTGCATACTTGAAGGTATATAAAAATAAAATAAAAATAAATTCCTCTACTTGGGGAAAGCAGTTCTCACATAGAATTAGCTAAATATTTATGAAAATCACATCATGTGGATATTAAAATTTTTTTTTAAAATAAAAATTTAGCGCTTGAGGACATTAAGGGAGTCTATCAGGATGGTTGGGATGAGAACTGTTCTCATTTGCTATTTTTGCAAAAAAAACAGAAATTAAAGCCAAGATAGGAGATGATAACCTGTGCTTAGGATATATGTTACTTTTTTTTTTTTTTTTTTTTTTTTTTTTTTCTTCTTTTCATTTTTTCAACTTGTCAGCAAAGGACATAACCTCTTTAACAGCTCGTGTGCTAGCTGGAGGAAGGTACAGAAATAGTAGTCCCGACTCAACATGACCCTATATGTCAACTCCCTACGTTTACACATTTTACATCCTCTTTTTACATTTCTTTTATGTGTGTATCAACCCTCACTTCACGGAAAATATTTCTCACATTGACAGAATGGCTGTGCGTGCATTGTCAAGGCTGAAGACCCTGGCATCTAAGTTTGAAAATAGACAGCTCATGTTAAATAAAAATGCATCGGGACAAGTTTTCTCGTTTATACCTATTTAGAAAATCTCTCTGAAAATTATGTATGCAATACATCTGTCCCCACCGTACCCCAATACATAAATATATAAATATATACACATTTTTATGTAGGAAAAAACTGGGAACCCCAATGGTATAAAAGCAGCATAAATAGAATGATTATTTTATTTTTATTCTTTTTAATTATGTGTGCCTTTTGTACATTTTCTACTTTTATGTGAATTTTTTTTTTTTTTTTTTTTTGGCGTGTACCATGGGACATAGGCCTCACTAATTATGCTTCAACGAGAATCTACATCAGACAGGTAATGATGAAATAAGTCAGAAATCATAAAAATGAAAAATGTAGAAAAGAAAAAAAAAAAAAAAAGAAATTGAATGGATGCATATTTTTGAATTATAAACTCTTAATTATTTTCCACAACAGGGACAGGTGGTTATGCGGATCCATTTTAACTCTGTTAACAGATCTACCTGTTGTGTCAGACTTAGCTGATATAAAAACGGGATCATATGGTCATGTGAATGGTTAAAAAAAAGGGTTGTTCTTAGATATGATGTGAAAGAAACAGAAAAAAAACAAAAAATGTACATAAGTTCACATTAGCACATATGCTTGCATAATTCATTATCCATTAAGATTTCCCATATGTGAAAACATTTATTTTATTTTATTTTTTTTTTTTCCTTCTCCCTTTTTAACAGTTATTATGCCAAGACAATCTAGGGTAAGAAACCCTGATAGACATATTTTAAAATTACGAGAAGGTGCACCTCCTTCCAGCCTCATCGGTGGATACACAACAAGTTAGCAAGAAGCAAATAGAGAAAAGAAGAATGAAATTTTTTATTCTTCGCCTTGATATGAGCATATTATATTTTTAATATTGTTACAAAGTTACTTCCTTATGTTGAATTGTGAATAAACGCGTATTATTTCTGAATTGATTTGTCCCTTTTTTTTTTTTTTTTCCCCCCTTCTTTTCAGTTCAAGAAGAATACACGATTTGAATTTATTTCATTTTTTTTTTTTTTTTTTTTTTTTTTTTTTTTTTTTTTTTTATTTTTTTTTTTTTTTTTTTTTTTTTAAAATGTGGAAAAAATTTTTTTTTTTTTTTTTTGTAAAAAAAAAATTTTTTTTTTTTTTTTTTTTTTTTTTTTAAAATCTATTTTTTTTTTTTTTTTTTTTTTTTTTTTTTTTTTTTTTTTTTTTTTTTTTTTTTTTTTTTTTTGTAAATTGTTTTTCGTTTTCATTTTTGTAAAAATGGCGAAAAAGTTTTTTTTCTCTTTTTGCGAATAAAAAGACTTTTTTTTTTTTTTTTTCTCTCTTTATAAACTCAAATTTTTGTTTCATTTTTCCAATTTTTGTGAGGAGTAGAACTTACAGGGGTATTTAAAAAACTGGAAATATAAATAAGTATACCCAGACTACTCACATGTGTAAACACATACATAAATGAAAACATGCATTCTGATACGACAAAACTTCATGATTAGTTCCTTTTTTTTCATTGGAGATATAAATTAGATTTGTCATTCTTTCAATCAACATTTTTGTCACCAAAATTTGGTTGTTTGTTTGAGTGGTCTATAATAGGAGTAATCTTGCCAGAACTTTAGCTTGGGTTTTCCATACCCCTTAACCTCATGATATCTGTTCAGAGAAAAAATAAGAAAAATGAATTCAGATGAAATAAAAGAGGGAAAGGGCGTGATGAAAAGTGTAAAATAAAAACTGCCTCTCCTGTGCATATGCTTTTTTTTTTTTTTTTTTTCTTTTTTCTTTTTTCTGGTTCGTTTATTCCCTTAATCGGTAGCGGTTATTCTTTATTCGCTAATGGTTAATGGTTAATGGTTAACTGGAATATGTTCGGCTCACCTGTAAGGTCTGTACTTGTCAAAGCTTAGGAGCTTCTTACGCGTGGCCCAATAACCGTGTCTATGATACCATTTCCATTTGCTTGGCCAGTAAGTACCTGAAGATGTTGTAGAGACACGGGGGTATATGTGCTATGAGTGTGTCGTTACATCTGTGCAAATCTGTCGTGTTTTGTTGTATTGTATATTGTGTTGCGATTTTTTTTTTTTTTTTTTTTTTTTTTTTCATGGGGATGACAATATTTATCAACCCCCTTTGTGCCACATTCGGATGTGTGTAACCTTTCCATTTGCGACCCTTCCAAAACACAACGGATATGGAATCAATAAGGTTCCTTAAATATTCATTGACTCGAATGATCAAAATGCTCGTACTGATGTAATTGTTTTTTAAAATGTGGTAGTTGGTGTCATATTGAGGGAACTTATACCTGTAAAATATTGGGACTGTGCATAGAGACAACAAGGTTTCAATCAAATTACAGATGTTGTTTATAAATCTCACTTGGTCATTTTTAATTATCTGTTTCGCTATGCCCATTATATATAAGAAATGCTGAAAATTTTTGCTTCTTTTATTGGCTTTGCTATAGGTGCATGTATGTACGGCTATTATGCATATCTCTATAAAAATATTTCTATATAAATATTTCTAAGTACATATTTCTATATAAATGTTTCTATTCACATATTTCTATATACATATTTCTATGCACATATTTCAATATAAATATTTCGATGCACATACTTGTGTGGTTTTTTTTTTTTTTTTTTTTTTAACTTTATTTTCGTATTTCCTTTATATTTATGACACTTCATAATGTGTACATTTTGCGAAAAAGAAGAAAAGCTGAATTTACTGATGGTTACATTCTTTTAAAAAACAAAAATGTTTCTTTAAAATATAGATCTCCAAGTTTAAAAGAAAAAAGGACGAAAAAAAAAGGTATGACCAAAAGAAGAAAAACGAAGGATGTGGATGTGGCCAAATGCAAAAGCACAGTTAAAAATATGGGAAATAATATGGGAAAAAGTCCAAGCTAATGTGTTTAATGCATAAATCCAAATGCGCTTCTGAGGAGCGGGCATACAAAAGTGAAAAGAAATCACGAATCAGCCTTAACAAAAACAAATGAGGAGAAATATTACTTTCGATTTCTCTTAAGTGAAAAAAAATTCTGTATATTTTTTTTTTTTTTTTTTTTTATATTTTTCTCCCTCTTACCGAACAGCATTTACAAAACGGTTCATTACATGTTATGAGGACAGGTGCAGAGTTTACACACTTATTATGTATTCTAGAACTCCATAATGATCAAGTTTAAGAAAAGGGAAGAGAAAGAATTTGCGTTTCTTTTATACAATAAGTTTTGACTTTACGAGCTGCATATCAGCAAAGCCAAAGAGGTAAATCAATTCCTTGGCCTCGTATTGTATATAATTTTGATTTAATATTTTTTCAGTCTGTATTTTTGAATTTAGTTGATTATTCATCTTCAACATGTTATACTGGGTTAGTATATTTTTTTTTACACATTCGCAAATGGATAAAATGATAGCATAGGAAAAATCATCATAATTTAGTCTATTTTTTTCCGTTTTTTCTGATTTTTCCGTTTTTTCTGATTTTTCCGTTTTTTCTGATTTTTCCGTTTTTTCTGATTTTTCCGGTTTTTCCGTTTTTTCTGATTTTTCCGTTTTTTCTGATTTTTCCGTTTTTTCTGATTTTTCCGTTTTTTCCGTTTTTTCCGTTTTTTTTTTTTTTTTTTTTTCTATGAAGGATTGTAACAATTGTATTGCCATGTAGTTGCTGAAGAAATGTGGTATAACTCCGAACTCACGTAAGAATCGTATAAAAATTGTAAAGGAGACATATTTTGTCTCTCCCTTTCCTTCATTCGAATGTGTTATGGTCTCCTTTTCCTCTTTTTTATAACTATTCATATCAGTAGTGCTTTTTTTTAAACTTATCCTATCATCTTCATGGGGACATTTCATTTTTATATTATCAGGAGAAGAAGACAATTTTGAATAGTAATCAAACAGAAGGGGAAAGGTTTTATCAAAGTTTTTATGCTTAACGAGAAGAGGTAATTCGTTATTGAAATAAGTTTCTAGATCTAGGAGATTTATATGTATGTGCGATTTGGTTGATCCTACACTTGAGCATATATCTTTGGTGTTATCCAGATCGATTTCGTCGTCCATATTTTCTATTAAGTTTTGCTTAAAATTTTGAAAATTGGGTTCCATGCTAAGTTCTTCATAAAACTGAACAAAGTGATATTTCACAAAATGATGAAATGCAGAAAGTCTAGAAGGGTGATTCTTGTTAAGATATATTTTTTCATCCTCTTTATTAATAACAATAAATTCAGATATAACATAGAGCATATTTAAGTATGCTAATTCTCTGACAAATGCAATGAAGAGATATTTCGGTATGACACGTAAAAATCCATATGGATTATATAAATTTTTAAAAGAATTATTTTCAAGTGAAAATTTCTCAAATAACCATAGAACATTTTCAAAATCTTTAATAAAATATTTATTACATTTAAGATCGATTAAGAGTGCTATATATGCATTATATGTCAAATGAAAGTTACTTAATTCGTTGTGTGGTAGTATATTATTATTATTATTATCTTCGCTTAGTTCTATTTTTTTTAAATTGTCTAAATTTTCCACCATTTTTATTTCTTGCATTTTTTTAATTTGATAATCTTTCATTTTATTATTTTTTTTCACACTACAACTGTAGTAATTGAAAATTTCATCAAGTGAAATTTTTAATCTTGGGCAACTTTTTAGTGTTTTTTTTATGGTTGTAAAGATGTCATAAGTGGATGAATTCCTCCAATATTTCCTAACCATGTTAAAGATTTTTGTTTCCTCTCCGATATTTGTCTGGTCTTCTGTCATATCTCCTATTTTTATTTCTTCCTTTTCTTCTGCAGTTTTTTCCTTTCTTGATTCTATGAGAGAGCCAAGGAAACTATTTTTATACGACAAATAATCAAATGTTTGGATTGATTTATTATGTTTTACTGTACACAATTTGGTTACTTTGTCTATATCTACTTGTTTTTGTTCATACTTTTTTATTTCCTCTTTGATTTCATCCATTTTTTCAATTTTTTGGTCAATAATGTTTTCATACTTATCTAACATAACTTCCTTTCTACTTAGACTTGATTCTATATTGTGTAGATATAACTCTTGGCACATATTTTCACAACATTTATCAAAATCGTCAGCTAAATCATTTTTTTTTAATTTTCTCAATTCGAATGCGATGCCTTTGTACACTTTTATTAATTCTTCTAAACCACTAAATTTGACATTCCCAATTTTGTTGCAGTAATTTATAATATTATTTGTTTGATAAGCAAACATTTTGTTATATTCTTCTTCTAATAATTTTCTGAATTGCATCAGAATGTTATTTTCCAATAAGCTATTTTCATACTGTTTCGAATTAATAAAAAGTTTATATTTCTTTAAATAAATTAAGTGTTGTAAGACTATGTTACTCAAAGAGTATGCCAAATTCAAGCTCAAGTCATATTTCTTGTTTGATTTGCATAATTTAGATTTGTACAAAAACATGTATAACCATTTGTTTACAAATGCTGATTCGTTTATTTCTGAGATTATTTCTCCCTGCGATGAACTATCATCTTTTGGATATTCTGTCAATTTGTTAAAGTCTATGTTCGATACATTTCGCCCTTTGTTACAGTTTAGTTCTTTTCTCCATATTATTTGATCTCCCCCTTGTTTCATAACGCCTCTTGTAGGTATATACCTGATTGAATCCATTTCTTTAACTATTTTGTGATTGCTTCGTTCACTTGAATTGTCAAGAACTGTGTGTTGCTTTGCATAACTATCTATCCATTGGGGTTCATAATGTACTCTCTCCCTATTATCAATAAAAGAACCATTTCTTAAATCAATTATGTTTAGTGGTATTTTAAAGAAAAAATTTTTAGCTCCTAAATTGTTATGTAATCCATTTGTTGCAGGAAATGGAATAATGCTTGTGGACTTTTTCATGAAATTTGGAGATGAGCACGACCTTTGTTTGTCGTCCAAAAAATTGTTGTAAAATTCGTAGAGATTATCCATGCACAATTGATAATTATTTGAACTTAATAAAAATTCAAAATTTTTTAGTAGCAACCCTGAATAGGTAAATTGAAAATATAAATCATAAAAATGAAGAATATGAGGGATATTCATAATTATGGGTTTTATTGGAGAACCAAACATTTCTACCTCATTTATGTATATATGTATTTGGCTACATATTGGTATATCCTTATGAAATCTCTTTTGAAATTCTTTAATGATATGATTATCATAAAATTTATGACTAGAATGTAATAAAAATTCTTTGTAAAAATTAGTTATATCTGCTATTTTTATGTCTTTCACAATTTTTCTCGTTTTTTCTTCATTTATAAAATAGTTTATGTATTCTATATTATAACTACCATCATTATTATCAATAACATTTTTAATATGGGTTCCCTTTTTCCCTATCACTTTTACATTATCATTTCCAATGCTTATCTTTTCACCATTCTTGTCATATAACACCACTGTAAAATTGTTTACAATGTGTAATCCCTTTATGAACTCTTCACACCTTTTTCTATTCATTTTGTCAATTTTATTTATACTCCATCCATTTATTTCATCATAATATTGTGGATTTGAAAAAACAAAGTTTTTTTTCTCACTATATGCCGTCCTTTTATTTTCACATTGATCCTTAAGTGCTGTACCCAAACACTGTTCTATCAATTTTGTGCCTTTGTTTATATTATTTTCTGTGTTTCCTTCTCTTTTCTTTATGGAGATGATGTGGAGTTCCTTTCCTCCCCCATTCAGAGATGATTCTGCGAATTTATCTCCAGATGGTTCCTTCTCCTTGCATCTATCTCCAGGTGGATTCTCCTTCTTTTGCTTTTCTTCCTCCCAATCGATCTCTTTCTGCTCAGTCTCCAACATATCCATTTCCTTATCCTCCCCCAATTTTTTCAATTCCTGCAGTGTCCTTCTTGGAAGTAAAGAAGGTCCACTATGAACTATTGGTTCTTCCCAGTTATCTCCACATATGTGCACATCTGTCACCAAACCTGTCTTATCATGAGAATTAACAAGTATGTCTTCATCTATATGAACATGTTGATGAACATTTCCCTCGATTCCAACTTTTCTGCTTCCCTCCGATGGTTCATTATGTAGATTAAGAACTGGTGTTGCCAAGCATTGTGTAGCACCTTTTCCAAAAATCTTCGATGATTTTGGATCTGCACTTGCATGTGTGATAGTTACTTCATAAGGAGAACCAATAACATTGATTCCATCACAATATATGTGTAGAAGTTTCGTCCCTACCTTCGATACTTTGTATATAATATGATATGTGCCGTTTTTTAAATCCTCCACCTTGTAATCAATCATTTCATGTATATCATTAAATGACTTAAAGCAGAGCTGATTAATACTGTTTAACATTCTATTATCTCCATAAGGAATTACACTATTTTTACTTACCTTTTCATCTTTAAAAGGATCTACATCATAATGTAATTTTAAACAATCCAAAGGTTCAATTTGTAATCTTATATCAACATATTTTCCGCCATATGTATTATTGCTTTTATAATTTTTTGTATGTACATAGAAAGAGAGCCATTTGTTTAGTTCTCCTCCCTTGAGTCCCTTTCCCTCTGCAACAGCAAAGTGGACAACCTCATCCTGTCGATTCCATTGCACCTGAATATTTCTGCTTCTACTTCTACACCTGTTTCTGTTACATTCCACAGATACAATGTCACCCCGTTCGGAGTTCAAACTGTTGAGACGATTCTGCACTAAGTCGTGGGAAAATGTCGATTCATCCCTGTCATTAATCTTCATAATAGGAACGAAAAAGTGGCTCCTGAAATTAGGAATCACGTTTTCATTTCTTACATTGCCATTTGAAAAATGCAAATCATTTGTGAAATCGTCAAAAAACTGAAAAACAATTTGGTCTCTACCAAAATTCGGAGCTGAATAAGACGAATGAAAATTATCATCATCAATGTTACTTTTTATCTTATTCATGTAAATAAGTTTATACTTTGATGGATGGAAAAATGTGCTATATTTTGGATGTTTGTAACATGAAAATTCAACAACAGGTTGAAATTTATCTGTGAATAAGTCTTTTCCCTTCGTCTTTAAATAATAAGGATGAATTCTAAGAATCCTCTTTATTTTACCACCTTCGTTAAATGGTGTATCATCATTTATATCATTGTTGTGGCTAAATTCGCTGCTTCCATCAGTGCTTCCATTACTGTTTCTATCTCCTATCCGATCACCTTTATCAGAATCATAGTTACTTTTGTTTATGTTTAGAGTGCTTCTTGTTCCCTCATCGTGTGCTGGATTATTGTTGCACTCCAGCAGAGGAGTGTCATTATGAAAAAGGATTAAATTTAAAGCAGACGAAGACACATTTAAGTTATATGGCAATATAACTGCACTGTTAAAATTTAATTTTAACGATACAATATCCTGTTTTTCTTTCTCTACTATTTTGTTATCCGTATGATTAGATTGTGTTGTGAAATAATAATCAACCTCTATCCCATTTTGTGGTGTCAATTTTATAGTTCTGCTTTTTCGACATTTCATATTTTGAATGTTGTGTATATCCTTTGCCTCATCCTGCCAGAATATGACTAGATAAAAAAAATTGGCATTTAAAAAATTCTTTAGGGAACATAATTTCAGTGTCATATTAGAGACAGAATGTACATGTACTATTAGATGAGAACATGGAATTTCTCTATTTGGACAACCATGTGAATAGAAATTAATTGGATATTTTATCTTTAATAATCCTAACATTTTAAGTAATTTTTTTATGAATTTTTTTTTTAAGGCTTCCTTTTCTTTTGTATTATCCAATTTGTGTATATTATTTTCGAAATACGAAAAGGATCGATTCAAATGATTCGGATCTCCTTTATTTAATTCTACATCTATGTATGAAAACATATTATTTATTTTGTTCACAATACTACAATTTTCTTGTCCATTATTTATTTTATATATTTTTACATATTTTAATATCTTCTTCATGATTCTACGTGCATAACTTTTGTTACTCATTAGTGTGTTAACTATGTACTCTTCGTTAAGCAAATCGGAAAATTTTATTTCTCTTTTCACGCTGTGTTGAAGATTCATTCTTCCTATTGGTACTAGCTCATGTTCATACTTATTAATGAGATGAAATATATTAACCTTTTTATTTTTCTTGAAAAAATCTAAATAATTGTACAAGATGCTTCGAATTACGTCATGCGGGTATATATTATATCTGTCGCCTGTACATCTATTTGAGTATGCATAAGATTTCACTTGTTTTTTCCTTACGTCTTTTTCTTTCTTTTCTGCATTTATAGGAATAATGGAAGATCCCAAAACTTTTAGAAATTTTTTGTAGTCCTTTTCTGCAACAATTTTCTTTTCTCCCTGTGACAAAATTTCTTCTTCAACAATCTTTTTGCAAAATAATTTTTCATTCATTTCTGTTGGACGTGATTCATATGTATTATGTTTTACTTCTCCCAAATTTATGTTTTCATCAGAGGGGCGAAAAAAAGAATTCAATTCTGTACACTCAGGAGTGACAATCTTAGACAGAACACTGTCTACTTTTTTTACGCTCTTTTTACCATATTTATTTTGGTAGAAAATCTCGAATTCTTTTAAATTTACTCCAAATATGGAAATAAAAATGTACACTATAGTATCATCTAAAATGTTTAGAAATTCATTTTGTCTACTTTTTAAATTTATGCATTGATTAATATTTACATATGCAGACGAATTACTTTTTTTAATGTTTCTTTTTAGCTTAAATTCGATTTTGCTTAGGGAAGTGCATCTATTTTTCAATTCAGGAAGCCAATTTATTCCTTGATATAAGCTGAAAATTTCTAACGGATCTTCATATATAAAATATGATACACAGAATGCGTATTTGTAATCTGCACAACTAGTTTCATGATTGTCTAGTTTTACTTGTTCAATACATATTTGAATTAAATCATCTCTTTCTCCATATATGCTTGAATTTCCTGACGTGCCTGAAGCTAGCGAAACGCTGAATGTATCATCACTTTCTACATCCAAATTGTTGATTGATTTGTCTAGCAACCCAAACATAGGGGATGCAGTTTTATGCTTGCCATTTTTGCTGTTTTCACACGCATTTGTGTAAATGTTGCTTCTTTCATATGATCGTGTGTAAATGTTGCTTCTTTCATATGATCGTGTGTAAATGTTGCTCCCTTCACATGCCTTTGTGTTAATGTTACTCTTTCCACAAGCCCTTGTGTAAATGTTGCTGCTTTCACACGCCCTTGTGTAAATGTTACTCTTTTCACATTTTCCTATGTCAGTGTTGCTCCTTTCACATTTTCCTATATCAACATTGTGCTGTTCAACTTCCCCCTTGCTGCACTCGATACTTCTCCCTCTTGAACTGTCATTGCTACCGCTACTCCTCTCATTTGCACTTCTACCACTTTTGCATTCACCCGTTTTGTATTTTTCCTCTGAAATCATTCCTGATCCATTCTCCACCAAGGTATACCCAGAATCCAGAACCTCCTTTTTAAAACTTGACATATCCTTACTCATATTTTGTGGATCACTTTTTGGGTGAATACCATTTATTCTATCCTCTGTTCGTTCTGCACTTTTCGTCTTTTTTAATTTAAACTGACTTAATTGCGTATCCATAACATATTTGTCTTTTCCCTGAGCCTTCTTCTCATCACTTTGGCTTCGTTTACAGGTAATGGATTTACAAATCTTAGATTTTTTATTTTCCTTTTTGTTTTCCTGTCTCTTTCCATTTTTGTTTTCTTCTTTCTTTCCATTTTTGTTTTCTTCATTTTTTCCATGTTTGTTTTCTTCGTTTTTTCCATGTTTGTTTTCTTCGTTCTTCCCCTTTTGGTTTTCTTCGTTCTTCCCCTTTTGGTTTTCTTCGTTCTTCCCCTTTTGGTTTTCTTCGTTTTTCCCCTTTTTGTTTTCTTCGTTCTTCCCCTTTTGGTTTTCTTCGTTCTTCCCCTTTTGGTTTTCTTCGTTTTTCCCCTTTTTGTTTTCCCCTTTGTTTTTTTGCTTCTCTTCCTTTTTGTTTTCTCCTGTGTTTTCCTTTTTTGCTTTCCTCAATTTTTCAGGGTTGCTTTTTTTGGGGAATTCTTTTTTCATATCTTCACAGTTCCGTTTTTCTTCTTCCATGATATTCGTGCTTTATCTCACTTTATACTTTTATTTCTAAAAATTTTTAACTCCTTTTGAGTGTGCAATATTCTATATGTGACGTTTGTGTGAATTTGGAAAACGTTCGCATTTCTGTATTTTCCTTTTTACACACTTTTTAGAGTTTTGGGGGAGGGCAGGGGAAAAATGTGTGCGTTTTTTCCATAAGTTGAGAAAGCTGCTACTTTTTTCTTTACTTTTGAGAAATTAAGAGGGAATATCACGCTTATTGCTCATCATTTGTCATTTATCACTTTTCGCTTACCATTTCGTTATTATTTTTTTTTTCTTTCTCTCTCTTTCCTTCATTTCAGTTTCATTTCCTTACCTCACCAAGTTGCACCAGTCGTGCCTCCATACACTTTACCCAATTATTAGGAAAATCGAAAAATTGGTAAAGAGATGAAATGACCAACCATGTGATGAAACTGTTAAATGGAAAAATTCTGTCTGCGTTGAGATCTTACAAATATTCTGTGAGTTGTGAAATATGCTAAATAATTTTTTTCTTTTTTAACCAATTCAAATGTTTGCTAAGGTAAACAGATCATACATGAAAAAAAAAAAAAATAAATAAAATAAAATAAAAATAAAATAAAATAAATAAATAATAGAAAAGAAACAAAAAAGTAAACGTGAACAAAAAGCCGATCTTAAAAATTCCTGAACATTTAAAAAAAAAAAAAAAAAAAAAAAAAAAAAAAAAAAAAAAAAAAAAAAAAAAAAAAAAAAAAAAAAAAAAAAAAAAAAAAAAAAAAAAAAAAAACGTGAAAAAAAAACCGATCTTAAAAATTCCTGAACATTTAAAAAAAAAAAAAAAAAAAAAAAAAAAAAAATCACAAAAGACAACTAATCAAACTAATAATTCGAAAAATAAAACGCAATATGTGTCAAATAACATATGATATAGCAATTTACGGAAAAAAAAGGAAATTTCTGTCTTTCAATCTACTTAATACTTGTTCATTGTATTCTCTTCCATGTATTCCCCCAAATGAATGTTTTTAATTTTTATAGAATGTTTTTTATAAAGGTGTGTTGAAACGACCATGCTTAAAATATTTTAAAAAAAAAAAAAAAAAAAAAAAAAAGTGCACATCCTATGGTGTGGTAGAATCATCGTTCTTAAATTACAACTTCATTAAATTACATCTTCCTTAAATTAGAACTGTCGCTATTTGTCATGTTTCTGATCAAGGTTATAACCAAACAGTTAAAGTGCATAGCAATTTGAAAACCTGTTTTTGTTATGCTCCTTTTCTTTTGAAAAAAAAAAAAAAAAAAAATATTCAACACTCTTGTTACGTGACAAAAGTCGAGTAATTTCTCATTGGGTGTGCACGCTTTTTTCCTTAAGGGACACAGTTTTCCCGTCTGGCATCAAAGTAGAAAAAGTAAATGGGAAAAAATAAAAACAAACAAACAAAAATGTAGGCAAATACATAAGCAATGATAAAAATTCATAAAATTCATAAGATTCTGCTTCGAAAAAAAAATGTAATCTCCACGCTTATGTGGTTACAGGGAAAGAACTAGTGAAATTTATGCAAAAGTTATACCAAATTGGGGGAAAAAATACCTCCAAACTGATCTTATACTTCTTTTTTTATTTAAAAAAAAAAAAAAAAAAAACGAAAATTTAATAATGATGAAGAACTTCATTTCTTACCTTCTCTTTGTACCTCAACTAACAACATGTTTTTCTGGCAACCAATTAAGCGTTAGTAGAAACACCCTGATAGGAAATATCAGTAGTGGTCATCCACTTAAAGTATGCTCAAATGAAAAAAATAATAAAATGAAAAAAAAAAAAACAAACAATCAAACAAACAAATAAAGAATTTACACGTTTTATAATTAAGTCTTTGTGCATAATTTTTTTGAACAACAATTACATGTTCTTGGTGAAAGAATACAACTTTTATAGAAATAAAAAAAAAAAAAAAAAATCCTTTTTTTGCATTTTTAACCCATCTATCATATTACATGTTGACAACACTTGTAACTTCAAGATTGATCTACGTTTTCCTCTTTTTTTTTTACTTTTTTCTATTTTTTTTTTTTTTTTTTTTTTTTTTTTTTTTTTTTTTTCACACTCCTCTTTCTCCAACATGAATTAACCTTTTTGTTTCTAAGGTATCCGTTATAGGAAGTGGTAGTTGGGGAACTGTCATTTCAAAAATTGTAGCCGAGAATACGAACAAATCAAAGACATTTCACCCATTAGTAAAAATAGAAAAAACAAAAACAGTGTCTGCCAACGTGTATAATCAAATATAAACACACACACGCGCACATGTATATACATATAAATATATATATATATATATATACATATTTGCATCAGCAGAGGGGAGGGCGTAAAGCTCAATCCAAATTGCCACCTGCTGAGTAAATCCATTTCATCCTTACCCACATTTCCTACACTTCTCCCATGCAGGTTAGGATGTATGTGAACGAAGAAATTATTGACAACGAGAAATTGAGTAATATCATTAATATGAAAAAAGAAAATGTAAAATACATGAAGGGAATGATAATACCAGATAATATACAAGCCATTTCGAACCTCAAGGATGTGATAGAAGATGCTGATTTGCTCATTTTTGTAGTTCCTCATCAATATTTGGAGGTAACTCTAGGGGTTGTTAATGAAAGAGCAGAAAATGAAAATCTGCACAAATGCTAAGTAGTATGTCTATATTGCAACAATTCATTTTTTGTTGCTATGCAAAAACGTATAAACATCATCATATTGTCTCCTTTGCGTTCACAAAATATAATCTCACAAAATCAAAATGTTCGTCTCAGTGAATAATACTTCATCCCTCATCTTTTATGCAGGACGTACTGAACGAAATTGTCCAAAACAGAAATCTCAAAAAAAATGCAAAGGCAATAAGTTTGATGAAAGGAATAAAGATAGACAATTACAAACCCACCCTCTTATCAAATATAATTGAGGAGAAATTAGAAATTGAATGTTCAGCTTTGTCAGGCTCCAATATTGCCAATGTACGGTACACACGCGAGCATACACATATATATATGTACACCCCCGTGAGATCTATATAAATGCATACGTAAATTATTCATAATATTAGGGTTCGAACATGATGATCAACTCTTATATTGATACATTACTTTGAAAAAAAAAAAAAAAAAATGAGAATTTTAAGTAAACATGGAGTACATTACGTTGAAAAAAAAAAAAAAAAAAATGTAGCATAAAAGCAATGCAGAAATTTTCTTAAACCGATTTGCAAAAACGAAAAAAAAAAAGAAAAGGAAAAAAAAAATTTTCTTTGTAATAATTTCAGGAATTATCTAAGGAAAATTTTAGCGAAAGTACAATAGGTTTTAAGGATATTCAGACAGTGGAAATATGGCAAGAATTATTTGATAGAACTTATTTCAAGATAAATTGTATTCAGGATAAGCCTGGCGTGGAAGTGAGAAAATATGCGGGTCAAATACGCATGTCTTCGTTTGCTTTTATAAACTACATTCGTGCTTCTCCAAGTGTTCATAAATTCTGCAACCCCTTAACTCCTCAACTGGTTATCTCTTCCACTCACTAACTCTTCAACTCGTTAACTCTTCAAGTGTTGCACAATTTTGTTGTTTCTCCTTCACCACACAGACATGCGGGGCATTAAAAAATGTTGTCGCGTTAGGCGTAGGATTTGTAGATGCGTTCAGAAATAGCAACAACACACGGTCAGCAATTATTAGAATAGGTCTGCACGAGATGAAGAAATTTGCAAAGCTGTTTTTCCCTGACGTTCTAGATGTAAGTGCATAGACGAGCAAAATATAAATATAAATATATATATATATATATATATACTCCTGCGTATAGCATGAAAAATAGAATCAATATTCCTATATGAGGGAAAAGTAGTATTAAGTAAAATGTACCACGGATTCAAACCAAGTAACTTGCTTTTCTCCTTTTTTAAGGAAACATTTATAGACAGCTGTGGTTTGGCCGATCTCATAACAACATGCCTTGGAGGGAGAAACCTAAAATGTGCGAGAGAGTTTGCCCTACGCAAAGGAATGAATTCATGGGATCAGATTGAAATGGAGCTCTTAAATGGACAAAAGCTTCAGGTATGATTTCGAATGTAGATAGAACATGTGTACTAGTAAAAAGTGGATGCCATATCTGGAGAAGTATGCCGCTCAACGAACGGTGGTGAATTCTGGGCAATGTGCGCATATTCTTAAAAGTTCACCACTCTCACCATTCACGATTTGTTTGTAAATGATATTAGGGTTCATCGCCCCTATATGCGAGCATTACTAATCTCGTCATATCGTAAAAGGCATCACAAAAGGTGCAAGTGCCGTACAAAACATATACATATATATATATATACATACATATATATGTATGTATGTACACACATACATCCGCGAATGTTCGTCGTTTTTAATTCTACTCTAGGGAATCCACACAGCAAAGGAAGTGTACGGTGTTCTGGAGCATCACAAATTAAAAAACAAATTTCCATTATTCAGCACAATTTATGAAATAGCGTTTGAACATAAAAATCCATCAAGCATTATTGATGTTCTTTCAACAAAAAAGTTAAGACATATAAGGTATAGAAAATAAAAAAAAAAAATTTTAAAAACAATGGAACAGAATGGGTAAAATAAGAAAAGATCCACATTCACACATTTGTGCGCTTTCCTACATTAACTGTCCATATGAAAAACCCGAACATCAGCACCATGGATAAATATTGCGCATACTTTGGATACATGCAAATTTTTCGAATTTCATTCATTCTGAGATTTTGAAAAGTGAATTGATTCTCTTAAATACGGATGTTGTAAGGCCTGGTCTGGTGTGTATCGCTTCGACGGGTCAAGCATTAAGCATTTTTCTAGCAAATCTCCTAATTGCTTAATTTTTTTTTTTAAAAATTGCATCTTGGGGCTATTTCCTATAAAAAAAATAAAATAAAAAAATAAAAAAATTAAAACTTGAAACGATAGCGAACGCGAAGGCCCCCAACAAATAAAATAAAAACTAAAGAGGGAAATAAAACTAAAACTAAAAACATTAAAAGATTGAAATAGAATTCCTTTGGAGACACCCCACAACTCTGTATTCACTTACATGGACAAACGTGCTGTGTTTCAAAAGCGAATTCATTACGATGTGCACGCATGTGTGTGTGTGTGTGTGCGTTTATATTGTTCAACTCATTCGAAATTCACAAATGTTAAAACATATTATGACATATATATATATATATATATATATGTACATGCATGTGCACTGATATGAGTAATATACAGAACAATTTTACACGTTATAATTCATTCCTTATAAGGAAATTTCTTCTCAAAAATTGAGTCAAATGGAAAAAACAAAATAAATACGACATGCAGTTTTGTTCTCTTATCAGAAATAAAAGCACAGATAGGAATGTACATACACTAAATTTAATTAATTCATGTACTATACCTCATTTAATATCTTAGTTACAAAATTTGTTTTTTTCCTTACCTTTCAACCAATACTGATGTTCTAGCAAATCACATGTTATATTTTTCGTTGGCCTCAAATCAGATATTATACGAACAACTTCCTTTTTCGTGTAATAGTCCGTGTCCATATATATGAAATCTAAATTTTCGTTAAAATGCTGTGAATAAAATTGACCACCTTTTATCATTTTGTGTGAAAATTTTCCTTTATATTCCATCATTAATTTTATCATATGATTATTTGATTTCCCCTAAAAAAAAAAAAAAAAAAAAAAAAAAAAAATTGAAATAAGAGTGAAGCCTGATGTGCCGAAGAAAGCAATGTTTAATACTGTGGTGTGTGCGCTTTATACTTCAGCTTCTCATGGCCTTTTTATTTTGAATTTCTCTAGTCCTCTCTCTTTCGTTCATTATTTCTTTATTTCGCTGTTTCGTTGTTTGTTTCTTTTCTTCCTTACGGGAAAGAGGATTTTGCCAGTGGCAAGCTCAAAAACAGTAGCCGCTGCCGACCACACATCTATTTGTGCGTCGTAGCGAAAGCCAAGAATAATTTCTGGGGCTCTATAAAATCTACTAACTAGGTAGGAAGTAATTTCATTTTCTGATATATCACTTGCACTTCCTAAATCACATACTTTTAATGCATTAAATTTCTCGTTAATCAGTATATTGTCCGGTTTTACTATTAAAAAAAAAAAAAAAAAAAGTGGGTGGGGGGAGTGAGGGGTGTGCGAGAAAAAAAAAAAAAAAAAAAAAAAAAAATGAACACGCATGAGTGATAAGTATTTGTTGACGTGTCTCACATTATGTGGATATACCATATCCAATATTTCTCCATGAGTAAATATGTTTACATGAAAAATAAAGGATAAAATAGGGGGTATAACATTGTATGAATAGTAATCTCTCTTTTTCTTTTTCTTTTTTTCTTCCATTTTTGTTCAGAAACTTACAATCAGCGTGCATTATTCTGCATTTACGCATGTGTCTCAATGCTATAAAGAGCTGCTTCGTGTAACAGTGGACGGCTGTTGCATTTAAACCATATCCATTGCCGTACCTGAAATGGAAGGAGGAAAAAAAAAAAAAAAATAAATAAATAATTGTATCAAATATGATGAAAATGAAAAAATAAGACAAATGTGAAAAATGCAATAACAATTTTTTTTTTTTAAAAAAAAAGTAACCCCTGAAATGGAATACGCTCATGAACAACTATCACTAATGTGTATAAATTCTTTCAATTGTAGAAATAATTATTTAATTAGTGCATTTTTTTTTTTTTTTTTTTTTTTTTTTACTTCTTAAGGGCTATTCTGAGATTTCCCCACATCCACTCGAAAACCAAACATAGATGATTTTTATACTTGAGACTCCTCAACAAACGAACAATATGTCTCTTATTGTCTTTATCATAATCGTTTAATTTTTTTAAGATGGATATTTCTTTTTCTGCTGCTTTACGCATCATATCATTATTTCGAATAACCTTAATGGCTACTGGAAGCTTTCCTATCATATCATAACATTTTAGAACATTTGAAAAAACTCCTTTTCCAACTAATTCACATACTACGCTATATCTATTATCAATTACTTCTCCAACGATGGCCTATATAAGCAAGGGACGAAAAAAAAAAAAAACAGAGAAGTATAATATGCCACGATGGGTAAAAATGAATTGACAAAGGTGAATTATACTTATATATATATATATATATATATATATATATATATATACATGTTTGCAGAATATACATATCAAAAGGTGCACAAGCCTTTAAGGTTTCATTTTTTTTTTTTTTTTTGTTCTTTTTTCCATTAGCATGCATGTTACTCACCTTGTAATATCCCTCTGAGTCGTTCCAGTTATCTGACAAGTTTACATTTTCAGATGCATAATAATCGGTTATTCGAATATTTTCAATTTTTTTCTTTTTATCTGATTGGATGCTTGAGAACATATCTACATCGTCTTCATCATTATCGTTATCGTTATCTTCCATCTCATTCAGATGATTGTTCTTATCGTAAATTCGTCCTTTATTTGTTGTAATGCATTCTTTATTCTTATGTGCAAAGGAGCCCTCTTCCATGTTCTGTCGATGATGAAATTGGAGAGATGACATGTACTCGCGTGGGTTCAATTATGTAAGCATTACAATCATGCATGTATTCGATTATGTATATACACATGATGGAATATGTTTCAAAGTAAAATGTGTACATGCATGAATATGCAAAATAGCTAATAATGGTACCAAAGGAACTCACCATCTTGCTCCTTTCGTGTAACTCCTTTTGTTTAATTATAAAGGCCCTAATTTTAGCTTTCTCTTCCATAATCTTTTTTTTTAAATCATAATATAAATCACCAGATTCTTTAAGAGATTCGCTTTTTTCTTTGCTTGATTTATCTTCAATTATTTCATGATCGGACGATAATGAAGAACAAGTATCTTCCATGACTTCTTTGTTTGGTGCAAATATGCAAGCCGCGTCGCTTTTCAAATGGGGAAGGGGGAAATGATGAGACGAAATGGGAAGAGATAGGAAAAAAAAAAAAGAAAAGAAAAAAAAAAAAAAATCATGAAAAATGAAAGCAGTTAAAGTACATATACAGCGGATATGAAAGCGGCATGTATATACAAATACCAATTAAATAAACATGGAAAAACAATTAACACTGAAATAATAAATAATTCATAAAAGGTGATATCTCTTTTGATCAAAATGTTATGCATTCAGGGTGTGGGGAAAGAAACAAGGGGTTCTCTCCCTCTTCTACTACAAAGAAGTAAACACACATAACATAATTATAAAATAAACGTATTTACACAAAAATTCATACAAGCCTCCTTACACATCCAGAAGCAAACGACACAATCAATTGAAAAAGTACTTACTCATGGATCATATCATCCAACATATGGGGAATCTCATTTAGACTTTCAGACAAATCATTCTTTTTGTAACTTGCGTATAGGTCTTCATTTTCGTCATCTTGTTTTATATTATCGCCATTGTTACATCCATCATTCATACCCCTTATTGGGTCAACTTTACTATCAATCGAAGGATTACTGATAAGGCTAATGGGTAGATCAGCTTTATCCTTCTCATTATCATTCATTAAATCTTTAAGTCGTTCTTTTATTGCTTCTCTTTTTCTTCTCCTTTCTTCTAAAAATTTATCATCGTTTTCTTCCTCCTTCAGAATTTTAAATTCGTTCTCGCTATTCGACGCTGCATAAAAAAAATAAAATAATAATATCGAGATGGTATAACATATATATATATATATATATGCGAGTGCAAATAGTTATATGCATATGTACATATTCAAATGGCTATGAAAATATTGTGCACAGGTGTTTACTCGATCCAATGGATAATCCCATGTCCATGTTGTTCAAATCAGAATTGCTACTAGTAGAATGAGGAGAACTAAATGAATTTATATTTTCTTTAGAATTTTTCTTTTTATCTTTTTTTAAATTAAGTTTACTTTTTTCATTTTCGTAATTTTTTTTTTTATATGAACCATTATCCGGACCTTTCTCTGAATGACTCAACTTATGGTGTTTTTTTAGTGTCTTGGAATATTTTTCCTCATCTGATTCCTGAGAATTAAAAACCATTCTACCCCTCTTGTCTTTTCCCATATTTAAATTGTTCTCAATGAAGTTCTGTGTTATGCTTTATCGTTTTTTTTTTTTTTTTTTTTTTTTTTTTTTTTTTATGCAAAAACCGTTCGATGAATTATATACATTCAACCTTTTCTCTTATTCATCTGGTAAAATGAGGCATCTGTTCGTTGGTTTAATATGGTACATATATGTATGTACAAGTGCGTATATGGGTAAGTATGCACATGGGTAAGCATGCATATGTATGTACATATATATATGTCAGTACATATGGATATATATTTTTGTTTTCTTTCAGAAATTTGAGAAGAAGAAAAAAAAAAATTATGTTCACATAAGCGTAACGTGTACGAGCAGATAATCATATGTGCACATATGTGTAGCTGCGTTAATTTTGGAATAACTGTATGTTACTTTGTATAAAAGCTCTTAGATTATATAACTCTGTATGAATTGTGTTCACGTTCTTGTGCTCGTTCTTCTTGTGTACATTTTCTGTATGTCCACTTGTTACCACGTCATATGTATAATATGCTTGCAGCTGTGCATAAGGAATAAGAGGGAAAGGGGGATGGGAAAATCATATGTGCGCAAAGGGAAGTGAACAAAGGGAAGTGAACAAAGGAAAAAAAAAAAAAAAAAAAAGGGGTAAACAGAAAAAAATGGAAAAAAAATCCATTTCTGTAGACATACCTAACATGTCCGTACAGAATGAACAACTTTTTCTGCCTCGATGTGCTCAATCCTTTCATGTGTTTATATTAGAAAAAGGATCTTCATGTGATATAAATGGGAAAGGTTTTTTTTTTTTTTTTTTTTTTTTTTTTCAATATTTTTATTTCTTCAGTGTACGACTATTATGTACGGATACACATGGGCGCATGTGCATAAGTGCAAATATTGACATGAAAATATATATGCGTAAAAATAAAAAAAAATAAAGTCAAATAAAATAAAGTAAAATAACCATGTCCATTTGTATATAGGGTTGTGCGCAGATATAAATGTTACTTGAAGCCACTTAACACATTTCGTTCTACTAGCTATTCACATTCTACTGGATCGTAACAATTTTTCGAGTAATTACAAATTATAAACACCTCACTTTAAAAAAAAAAAAAAAAAAGAAAAAAAGGTATTATTTAAACTGATGTGTGTGAATACTAAATCATAGGAAAAATGTAAAAAATGGGGAACAATTTGACAGTGCTACGCAGCCATGTCAAATTGCAAAAATGTCTGTGATAAAAGGACGTAAACAAACAAATACAAAAAATGTATCATGTTAGAGATGTGTAAGCTCAAGTTCATAACGGTGTGATTCACACACATAACGTGTAGATGGATCATGTATATAAATATGCATAAAAATGTTTAAATACGTACACATGTGTAAATACGTATACATGTATATATATATATATATTCACGCCACGTGCGTGAATTGTATTTGCGTGATAGAATTTATGCACGAAAACTGAAAAATAAAAAAAAGGTTGGAGGGCGCAGCTATTTGATTTCTCTCCCTACATATATTGTATACACATTTTCAAATACATATTAACAATTTTTTTTTTTTTTTTTAATTTGAACATACTGCCTCACCTTTTTTTTTAAATTGCATGTTCATACACTGCGTAAACATTTTAAAAATCATTTTTTGTGCTTCAACATGGGGAATGGGATTGTTCAGTTTTCCGCTGTTTAATTATATAAAGGTATGCCACCTGTATGTATGCACGTTAGTACTTTTATAAGCATTTGAGTATGAAATCCTTCGTATACACAAATATATACATATGAGCATGGTTGAAATGTAATAAAAAGGCAACACAAATTATGCAGTAAAAAAGTCACTTTTATTGAAATTTTTTTTTTTTTTTTTTTGTCACATAACTCATTTATGTAGTTAATCAGATATTCTCCAAATGGGTAAGTGGGAAATGATTAAAGTTTCTTTTTTTTCTGAATGCCTGTCTTTTAATATATTGTCCTCGGTTTTGTCATTTCTGTGCATGTTTTTTTTTTTTTTTTTTTTTTTTTTTTTTTACAATTTCACCTTTTCTTTTTCCCATGTGCGTGTACACATACAATTCTGGTACATATTTTGACCCTTTAAAACAGGGAGGCTCGTATACACACTAGCTGTTATAAAAATGCATATAAATACAAATATAAATACAAAAATAAATACAAATATACATATATTTGTGTAGATATTTATATGTGTATATTTTTGCAAAAACACGTGTACATGTCGATGTCCTTAATTTACGCTTCTTTCACGTATCCGGCTGCGGTTTGTATGAATTTTCATTTGTATCTTCATACTTGTATGTTTAAACCATGCACATAACATACAAATGAACATGCTTAAAACAATAAATTGACGTATAACACACAAGTGAAGGTATGTATTTACCTAGTAGCTCCAACATTCACACGTTCATTTTGGCAAAGAGTTGTGGCATTTATATACCTTCCGCAAAATGTTACGAATGAGCTGCGTTTAAAAAATCTGCAAATAGCAGCATAGCAACAATGGCATATTTTCATATTCGTATTGAGTTATGCCTCTTCTGCACTTGGTCATCATATTAAATTTTTTTTCATGAGAAGAAAATGCAAAAAATTTTATTCATTTGCAGGGGGCTATATCATAAATATACAAATACATGCGAATGGATTTACAAACATATACATACATAAAACATATATATATATATATATATATATATATAGTACAACTGTATGTACATGTATGAAACACTACATTTTTCTTATTAGCGTACAGTAAAAGAACAATTTTCCGTTCACCCCTTTTCATTTAAATATTTAACAGAGGATATTGGGCAGAAAGAACATTCTCAAAGCTGCCCAAAGCTACAACTAAAAATGGATAATAAGCGCAGGGTGTTATATATATAATATATTAACATATGCTTATTTATGTATTTAATGTGAGCGTTTTATATACCCATATTTAATAAATTTTCTGATTTTGGATATGGATATTGGAGATATGAGGTATAGTAGTGCAATAGTACTTTCTTTGATTTCACCAAAATGGTGAATTAGCCAAGCACGAAATAAAAAGCACATGCATGTGAACATGAATATGGATTTCCATTTGCCTACTTTATGTTCATGTTTGAAAAAGATGAAATAAAATAAGTTGTTACTTAAGGAGAATTCCACATTTGTATATACTTCTAATCTTCAATTCTGAGTTAGTTAAGTACACTCCCCCACTTTTCTCAAAAGCGGAGAAAAAATGTGCGAAAAAATAAATCTAATCAGTACGAAAATGTAAAATGAATTAAAAAAAAAAAAAAAAAAAAAAAATTAGTATTACATAAAAGAATTACTCTTAATGTCCCCAAACTGGTGTTATTTTGTCACAATTTTTTTTTTTTTTTTTTCTTTTTTTTAATTCATTTTACATTTTCATAGAAAGCTTTTCCTAAGTTACACATAGCCGAGTGAATGATTCTTTATTTACAAGTATATTTGTGATCCATTCTCAACATGTGTAATTGGGTATATATTTATGTGAATAGTACGAGTTTACATTTTCTAATATACCCTCACTACGTAAGATAATTACATGTACAAAAAAAAAAAAAAAAAAAAAAAAAGGGTTAACTTAGATTAAGAATAAGAATAAGAATAAGAATAAGAATAAGAATACGAATAAAAATGCTCGGAGCGATAGTTGCTTCTACCCCCAAGATCCAAAAAAAAAGAAAAAAAAACAGTGAAATAAAGAAATAAAATATAAATATTAGAAGAAAAATATACAGACTTTGAAAAATTGCCCCCAAAATTTCCATGCCATTATAATTGTGCTGTAACCCATATTGGACACATTAAGGAGGAGACAAATGAATTCAAAAATAAAAATAAAAAAAGTCTATTGCGTGTGTACCGATTTGGATAATTTAAATTCATCTTGTTTCTCTGCTTACACCCCCACACAGCACTTTGCCTTATTCTTTTTTTTTTTTGTCTTTTTTGTCCCGTCCTTACCGTTTATCAGAATTGGGAGTGGTGTCATTACTTCCCAGCTGTGCATCACCATTACATTCTTCTTTCTGTCCTTGTTCCTTTTGAACGAAATGATTGGCAGCTTTTAACTGCTTCATTTTTATAATAATATCGAGTTCTTGGTTACTTAAGTAAATTAACTTTTCTTGTATATTATTTTCTTCATCTGTTATTTTTTCTAACTCTTTTTCTAGCTCATACAATTCGAATTCGTCATATTTAATGATATGTGAGTTCATATCTTCATTTTGTTCGATCGAAATTTTTTTTTTTTTTTTTTCTTTTTCATCGTCCATCCTGATATGCGAACTTAGGCTTGTTTCGTTAAGGAGATTCTCACCCGCATGATACTCCATTTCGTTAGTCCCTTGACTAATCCAATCGTTCTTTTCCTCTTCCTTGTGCTGAGTGTAATGTTTTGATTGTTTCTTCAAAGGGATTTGCATTTTATTGTAATGAGGAAAATGTCTTGAATTATCATCCTGGTGTACTTGGTTAAAATGGATACTTTTCTCCATCTTGCTCATTCTTGTCTTATTATTATTACACTCGACTGATGATTCTATTATTTGATTATTATCTTCCTCATTTGCATTAATACTTTCTATATCATTAATGACTTGAGCATTATTTACGCATGTACTTTTTACAATTTCTTTGAAAAACTTATGGTCCACACATTCCCTCTTTTCATTTTTTTCATATGTATTATCAACTTTATCGATATTCTCGGAATTCTTTTTACTTCTTTCATTTTGATCTACTAATGAGGTGCATTTCTGTTCTGACTTGTTAATAAATTTTTCATATTTAAATATTATCTTGGAATCACCCCTTCGGATGTACTTTTCTGTTTCTTTAAATTGAGAAGAAGTATTATATGCCTTTTTCAATAAGGTACCACCACCTCCTGTTTTAAAATTATTCCTTTTGATGATCTGTACTAGTAAAGAGTTATCACAAATGTGTGTATCTTTCTTTTTAGATGTTGTACTATTTGTTTGATTCACACTGCGCTCATTACTCATATCACTTTTTCTACCTCTATTGGAATCTAAAAATATTTTTGATTTAATTTTTCTGTTGACAACTACAATTTGTTTATCTGAATCATCACTCTTTTCGTCATCATCTTCCTCCCTTGAGGAATTTAATTCTTCATCTTCTCTTGAAATTCCATTTTTAATAATGAAATTTGCTTTATGCATGTTTAGTTTTAACATACGAAGACGTTTTTTTGCATGTGTGGACAAGGCGTACACAAAAATGTGTGCATAATGTGAGCAGTTTTTTTTTTTTTTTTACGGCTCTCCATATGCACTTATATATATCTACATATATATACATACGCGTGTGTACATGTGACACTAAGAAAAAGAGAAATTTTTGTTCGTTCCTAAAATTGCAATGCTGCGAAAATGACAACATTGGAATAAGTGACAGCTAATTCGTTTTCTAGATTATCAAATGTTTCCTTCGGACAAGCATAATATATATACACATATATATGTGCATACATATGTGCATGCATATGTGTACATGACTAAGTGGGAATTCCTTAATGGAACGTCAAATTAAGATACATTTTGGATGGGCCTTTGTTTTTGTTGCAAATGCACATTTTTGTAGACTCATTTATTAGCCTATTAATCCGACTATCTTTTGAAGAATATTTTCCACATTCGGGAGTAGAAGCTTTCTTACATTTTCAATGGACAAAAATCTCTTTCTATTTGATAATCTCAATTTAAGGTGCGGTCCGAAATGATGGGTGTAAAACAAATAGGCACACATGAAACTGAACTGCATCTGAAAGGGGTCGAGTAGGAATAGCATTTTTGTGGGAAATTTTCTTCCTCTTCCTTTTTCTCTTTCTATATTTCTTCCTTTTCCTCTTCCTTTTCCTCTTCCTTTTTCTCTTCCTTTTTCCTCTTCCTTTTTCTCTTCTTTTTCCTCTTAATTTTATGCCCTTCTCTTAAATGTATATTTGCGACGGGTGCATAAGGGGATGATTTTTTTGTGTGAAGGCTTAAACTTGTCTAAGTGAATTTTCATGATGCGAAAATGCTGTGTGGAGTATGAAATACAAAAGGGGGTATATGGAGATGGAAAATAGGTGCTAATTGAATTCATCACAAAAGTGCAATAAATCTCGGGTATTCACATGCGTGAGGTTCCTGTCTAACACAATTTTAGCCCCGGACAGGGATCACAATAGCACAAGAAAAAAAAAAAAAAAAAAAAATTTTAATTCGCAAATTAAAGAACTCAAAAATTAATAAGTTAAAAAATTAACGAATTAGCGAGTTAGCAAATTAACGAATTAGCGAATTAGCAAGTTAGCAAATTAATGAATTAGCGAGTTAGCACGTTAGCAAATTAGCAAATTAGAAAATTAGCAAATTAACGAAAGAACGAACTAACGATTGAAAGAACGAACTGACGAATGGACATCGCACAAATAACGCTTCAGCAAAGCGGAACATGGGACGAAACGAAAAAAAAAAAAATAAAATAAAAATAAAAAAGCAACTGTTCAGGTGAAAAATGAGACAAAAATATTTTCCAGAGGGGGAAGGGGGGGCGCTAATGGAGAATTTTGATAAAAGCTGTGGAAATTCATCTCTCACATCGTAGCCCCCACCTCTTTGCTGATTCTCCTTTTTCTTGATTTTGATAAAAGTAACACATGAGACATAAAGGTTTCAATGAGTTACAGAATACAAATGACTAATTTTCTTAGTAAGAGATATAATATTTTTCATTCCGGATTTCAGATTCCCTCTATTTAGGAGAAGAAAGAGGTTAATAATTTTTTCAACTTGAAAATAATATATTTTTTTTATCATGTCTAACTCTAGAGAATTTAAATTATCACAGTGATTAATATGATAGAAAAAGTGATTAACAAATAAGATGCATGAAATAACAATAACAACATCGTTATACTTGTTGTCTATATCTGGAATACAAATAACATCATTAAAAACTGAAAGAAGAAATTTGTTTATGATAAATGGAGATCTGGTAATAAACATCAATTCATACAGTAAGGAATATTTGGTAATGCTACTAGTAAGGTTAAAAGATAAAACATTTAAACTAATTTTTTCCATTTTTAAACTTTCTTCTTTTTCATAGTAAATGTTTTCTTTAGTTGTTGGTTTAAATTGGTTTATACTATCAGTTAGTTTTTCTATATCTCTTTTAGATGAATCATATTTAATTATGTAAAATCCTTTATTTAACAAAAATATGTTATAGTCAATTGCATTTAATATATTTCTTAGGGATATATTTCTTACCCATATTTTTGCATGCAAATATATACACCCTGCTATAGCATATTTAATGCTATTCAATTTATTTATATGTAAAAGTTCTGTTTTCTTTTTTTTGGGAAATAAAAATATTTCTGAAAATTTTAACTTAATTAGTTCTCCCAGTGGTATCTTACCATCAATGTTTTTATCTCCAATCGTTTTATCATCCTGCCTATGCACACAACACTCTTCGAGATATGTTACGTTTGTTTTCTGTGTTTGAATTTTGCTTTCTGGTGTATTTTCTCGGGGAGGAGGGGTAACATAACCACGCATCTTCCCTTCAGATAATGTCAAATCGTCCAATATTGTTTTATATCTGTACCTTAGTATAGAATACACAGTTCTGTAAATATCGTTTATGCTAACTGACTCAAGAATATGATTGTCCAAGAGAATAACTTCTGTGATGAATCCGAACAAAACTAGGACGTTCTCCATATCTTTTCTCAAATCCATATTGTGTGTCTCTTCCTTATATATAAATTCATTCATTTTGACATTTCATGGTGTTCCCATATTATTACCTTTCTGTTGTTCCTTCGATGTTACTGCTTCTTCGCGCCACTTTCGATGTTACTTTCCCTTGAGCTGCTGTTCCTGATTGATAGATTTTTTTTTTTTTTTTTTTCTTTTTTCATGATTAACTTTAGTAATACCTAGGTCTGTACCTCTCCCTCCCGGTGTGTGCATACTCTCCAAAGTTTACACAAAGTGTGATATTCTCATTCGCACAAGCATGTAAAAAAGTGTGCTGCCTTAAGTTAAATATATTCTGTCGGAAAAATTAAGAAGGGGGGAATAAAAGAAAAAAAAATAATAAAGAGGAATAAAGAGGAAAAAAGAGGAAAAAAGAGGAAAAAAGAGGAATAAGGAGGAAAAAAGTGGGAAAAAGAGGAATAAGGAGGAAAAAAGAGGGAAAAAGAGGAAAAAGGATGTGATAGTTTGGGACAAGCGTGTTGTGGAAAACGAAGCAAATTTTTCAACACCCCTCGTTTTCTTTCCCCAATGATTGGTTAACACATTTTCACAAAATGGGTATGTGCAATTGAGTGAAAGCCTTCCTGGATGAAGTCATTCGAAAATGCACAGAAGATGCGAATATGTAAATAAATTTACGACGTGATATATAAAAAGGTATGCTGACTCAACTATATGTGTATGATTTATGAGAAGGCAGCTAAAAAAAAAAAAAAAAAAAAAATCACAAAAATGGCAAAATGAAAAAATGGCAAAATGGCAAAATGATCAAATGATAGAAATGACAAGAATGACAAAAATGACAAGAATGACAAAAATGACAAGAATGACAAGAATGACAAAAATGATTAAATGACAAAAATGATTAAATGACAAAAATGATTAAATGACAAAAATGATTAAATGACAAAAAACGGAGGCTTTACTGCAAACGTTCGAACGGAAAATTCTACATATAATCCCTTTTCACGTGTGTCACAATAGATACGTGTGGTATGGCATATCCGGTGCTATTAATCTCTCATAAGAATTAACCTATATGTGAGAGGAATAGCTAGAAGGACATATCTGAATATATATATATATGTAGCTCATAACCGAAGGATGCTAATTCCATACACAAGCAAAATGATTAAAAGTTGGGTAAAGCATAATGGAAAAAAATTATTCTGTGATATATGTTGGGTAATTGACAAGAGACAGTGCTATTATTATATTTTTAAAAAAAACTTAAGCAGTATTTCAATGAACAAGGTAATGAACGGGAACCTGAAACAACAATGTGGGAAGAATAATACTCTAAATGATGAAATAGCTAATCATGTTAAAAATCAATATGACATTGATCCTAATTCAATCGATTTGAATATCCAAAGAAATAAAGAAAATAATTTGTTTGAATTAACTAACAGATGGAATACTTTTTTCAAATGTGAAAAAAGTTTATACAAAGTAATAAATAAATATTTAAAGACAAATAACATGGACTATTCCTTACATGATTATTTGAAGTGTACACCAAATGAAGGAGTGCAAAATTTGAAAGTTCTATCACATAGTTGGGAAAATGTCAAAAACTTGAGGAAAGAACAGTGCAACAAGGAAGAAGAAATTATTAACATTTTAATTTACATTATGACTCTTTTTCATAAACAAATTCGAGACTTTAGTATTTTTTCTATGCTAAGTGAGAGGCTAATATGTTTGTTAAATATGGGAAATAGTAAAAATTACAGTGAACAGACTACAGACAGTGATGTTATAAATAAATACAAGTTCAAGTTCAACTGTAGTAAGGATACCATTTTGAAAGCTTTTCACGTTTACAATTCTGTAAAAGTTATGAACGATGAGCTATTCGACATTCTCTTTGATAAGTTAAACAATTGTTACACAATGTGTCCCACGCAGGATCATCAACATGTTTTAATAAACGATGAGGAAATTCTACTCACGCTAATTACTTTGTATAACCAGAATTTCAAAAACCATGCCATTATTGACACTATTATTATGTCACTTAAAAAATCCTCACAAGTGAGTCCAGCTGTTCTGGTAAACTCTATTTTATATCTAACATTACTATCCAGAGTGGATATTCCTCTGCTTGATCAGATGAATTCCTCTCTTTTTTATGTTTCAGGGGGAGGGCAGCAAGACATGGATTACCATGGAGAAGAGAAGGAACAAATGAATAGAACAAAAAAAGTGTACAATACAACAAACACGGATGATAATAACATTTGCGAAAGTGAAATTGATAAGATAAAATTCAAATTTGAATTATCAGCCACAGATTGTATAAAATTGCTTTACGCCTATTTTGTCTTAGGAGAAGATTACATTAACTGGTTTGTTATCCATAAACTGCTTTTACAACTGTGCGACAATTTAAAGGATGAACAGAATATACTTTTATTAAAAAAAGAAAAAGAAAAAGGGAAAATACATGAAATGGTATGTATTATACGAAGTTTTTTAAGATATAAAAAAAGAAATGTTTATGATAATTTACCAAAAAGTGTTAAGAAAGTATTAAAAAACTTATGCAACCTTTATACGGATAATGAAAAAAAAAAAATTCGGGACAGAAATTTTGTTCACAAATTATCATGGCATTTAATAAAACTTCGCATTCCACATGTCATAAATATAAATAAAGGTGGAATTTTATTTGACGTATTAGAGAAAAACAAAAAACTCGTATGGCTATGTTTTTCTTATCATCATTATTATGTTAAAACTATTGATTTAACGGCTGAAAAGTTGTTACAGATGGAAATAATAAAGGCTATGAATTATAAAATTGCAAAAATACATTATTATCAATTTTCTAGAATGAAGGCAAGGAGAACTAGATTTGAATACATACGTATGTGTCGCTATTACTCTCTGCGAGATAGAAGAAACTACGACACAGAATTTGAGGGATGGAGTTTGCCATACATCAACTGGTACCACAAGAAAAACAAAAATGTTCACGTATCAAACTACTTCTACAACTACAATCCTCTCTCCGAGATGCAGTATTAACACTTTAGACAATATGTGTACATTTAGAGATATGAATGTGTGTTATATGTACACATATATAATGCGTCACATACGGATGAATTTTTAACGCATGGGAAGACCTTTTTTTATATTTTTTTTTTTTTACACCCCACATTTTTCATGATTTTAGAAAAGTCTTTTCCAATATAATTTTTAGAGGCATTAGAAAAACTCTATAACGATGTTTGTGTAGTGAACAGGGAGGAAGGGAAAAAAAATTATCTTCTTTTATCTTTCAATAAACTTTTAGAGGCTGTATATATTTTCACTGCCTCGTTCTATTTTTTTTTTTTTTTTTTTTCTCCCACGTTTCAACTATGTTTGGTCTATTTTATTTCACCATGATTTGAATTTATCACCTCCTTGTTACGCCAAGTGGGAAAATCATTAACACAAACTCAGCATACGTGTGTATACATAAGCACATATATTCGTGTGTGTATGTGTGTGTATTTTTTTTTTTTTTTTTTTTTTTTTTTTTTTAGTTTTTTACATTACAGTATTACTTTTTTGTTGTCGCAACCTTTGCGCAAATAATGTAAAAAAAAAAAAAAAAAAAAAAAAAAAAAATTGGCACACTAAAAAAAATGATATATATATTATCCGTTTTCAAAAAAAAATAACTTAATGTACTATATCACGTCATTTTTATAAAATTATTTTCACCTTTATGACTGACGTGATTTCTCCGAATGTGAGCACAAACCGTGTGTATGGGTGTATAATGGTGATAAATGTCTGCGTAAATTGGGAAAATAATTCCCCCATCATTATGAGTAAATGAAGAGTGATGTGATGCTTGAAATGATGAGTGAAATGGTGAGTGAAATGGTGAGTGAAATGATATCTTAGAGTAACGACCAGAACACTATTCGCACTGGTAAAAATCGAAAACCTTTTCTTTTTCCGCATTTGCGCATGTATATATATGTAAATATATTAAACAGACATTCTTCGCACAAAAGATAACTTTTGCATTGTTTGCTTCAGTTTTGCGTGTTGCATGTAAACATACGTGAAATTATATGCATGTGTTATGCGCATTAATTTCACGATTTGAAATGTGGGGATATTATGCCAAAAATTTACGCTAAATAATTCATTTCCAATTGTGAATTACTTTTTCCTTGGATTCTGCTACGATTTTGCTGCTTATATTATGCGTATATTGCTGCGTATATTGCTGTGCATATTGCTGTGCATCAGGTTATGCACACCCATTTTGCCTCACTAATTTTCACACGCTTGAAATATTCCTTTTTTTCGCCCCTTTTCGCATACACTATTTTTTATTTCCCCATTTTTGATGATTGCCCAACAGCTTTCTATCATGAACGACAAGCTCTCAATTAAGGCATCAATGCAAAGTACATATATAATACACCTCCACACAATACACCTGCATATAATACACCTTTACATAATACACCTGCATATAATACACCTGCACATAATACACCTGCACATAATACACCTGCACATACGTATACCTGGGAATAAACACAATAGCATATACAAAATCGTGCTGGTACGGCCAGATGCTTCACACAAGCATATTTCTCCCATTTAAGATTATTTGCAATCTAATAAAAAATAAAATCGGAAAATTTTGGAGTGAAATATATGTACGCGTTGTACTTTTATTTTACCTGTTAATAATACAATATTCACTTCGTTTCACTTTTTTTTTTTTTTTTTTTTACAAGTGTACAATATTTTTTTTTTTTTTTTTTTTAATAAAAAATTACGAAAAATTTGCAACTTATTAGCAAATGTGAAAGAAGAAAATTGAGCATACGGAATAAACTGCCCTACGAATTGCCAATCAAATGACACATAAATCAGTTGCATATTACATTATACAGCAAAATACATATCACATTATTTTAATTACTATATGATGTATAACGACACAAAAGAACAAGAATTAGAAATAAAAAAAACTAAAAAAAGAACAGAAAAAAAAAAGAAAGCACTACTATACAGTAACAAAATTGATAGCGAAAGGAAAAAAAAAAAAAGAAAAAAAAAAAAGAACAACTTTAAAAATAGTAAAGGAGTAAAACGTATTGTGTCACGAGTGTTACAGTACTATTTATAGTACTGGGAACAGTTTATAGTACCATCAGGACATTAGTTATTCATAGGATTAGTAGTACCTCTAGTGACATGAACAAAAGTAAAAAAACATATAAAATATATACACACAGAAAACAAGAATTGATGTACCTGAAGAGCATATAAATTTGTCATTAGAAAGCACATCGAAAATGATTTTTAGGCGAGTGTTATTCTATAAAAAATGAAAATAAACTTCTTCAAAGAAAAAAACAAGATTAAACTGAATAAGAATTTTGACCCTGATTCAGATAATGCTTTTTCAAATGCTAACCCAGAATCGAATAATTACTTGACGGCTAACAGTGGTAAGCCATATTTAGTAATGATCAATGTGAATTTAAAAAACAGAGTTGAAGAAAAAAATCTCAAATTAATAATTATATAAATTAATCTAGAGCACATTCGCATACTCTCAAATATCTGCACACATTCACATACCACAGTTGTGTTTTAATAAAATGAAGCAGGTGGGTCAAAACAACAACACATTTATTTCTTGTTTGCATCATCATCTCTCAGATAACGAATACGATCATTATGGATTCGAGAAGAATAAAGAATACCCAGCAGAATCCACTACTGATAAAGGGGCATTAGAAAAACATAAGAAAAAAATTGAAAAAAGGTAATCATTTTTCAAAATTTTCAAGACATTTCATCATACTAAGAATTTTATTATATAGACCACATATTATACACCGTGTCTAAATACATGAGTGTAAAAATGTTTGTATTCACAAGTATTAGAGAGTTAATATATATATATATTTTGGCCCCATTCGAGTAGGTGGCAATTATATTTTACTTTTAAAAGGGATATAAAAAAAAGCTATTATTTAAAAACATTAATTAGAAAGGGAATACCGGATAAATTAAGGTTCGTTATACGTTTAACGAGTTAAAAAAAAAAAAAAAAAAAAAAAAATTTAAGTATGCATTATAGATTAATGGATGTTGCAAATAAATGTGAAAATTAATGACAAGTTGTAAGAATTTTTTGTGAATAAATGAACACAAAATATTTTATGTGCACATATAAAATTTACGTTTTGGGAATTACTTTATTTAACAGACCGGATATATGGCCATACCTGTTAGATAGCATGGTATTATATCTAAAATATCCTACCATATATGAAAAGTAAGGGAAAAAATGCGAAAGAAAAAAAGAAAAAGGAAATAAACAAAATTAGTCGTGCCTATAGTAGTGGATACAGAATCCCTGGTTTTATACCATACGTGAATGCACGAATTGATCAATGAAAGCTGACACACTTGTCCCACGTGTACATACACTCGACAGTGTTGCATTTGCTTATGGATTCATGTCCCACTTGATCCTACTTATTTGTCTTCCCTTCCATACATACAAACATACATATATACATACGTAGAAACATACATAAATACACATATATACTCACACAAATTCCACATTTTTAGATGCCTAAACAGTGAATTAGAGGCGAAAGTTATAAGTCAAATTGAGTTGGACATAATCCGAACCTTCCCGCATAATAAAAACGTGTGTGTAGTTTTATTTTAGTATAATATGCATAAATTAACCCATGTATATATATGTATATGTGTGCATAACAAGGTTTTTATTTTTTTGCAACAGTTTATACCAATTTAAGATTATATCTATTTACCACATATTCTTATTTTATGTTTTATTCCTCTTTTTATTTCCTTCGAAGTATCGTATGAATTCTCCCGGATTAATTCAGCTGAGGAATGTTTTACACGCCTTTGCTGTTTATAAACCCAAAATAAATTATTGCCAAGTAAGAGAGAGAGATTTTCTTATTATACCACTTTATGGTGTGATGAGGATTATTTTTTTTTTTTTCAAGAGAAGTAAACATGTTGTTATATAAATGTTTAAAAGGAAGTGCTAGACGTAAATAAATATCCACACTTTTTTTTTTTTTTTTTTTTTTTTTTTTTCACATGAATTTTTTTTTTTTTTTTTTTTTTTTTTTTTTTTTTTTTTTTTTTTTTTTTTTTACAATTGAAGTTGCATATACTCCATTATAAAGTTTAATTCATATATCCTTTTGAATTTTTTTTTTTTTTTTTTTTTTTCCTTCTTCTTCCCCTCTTTTCTCCGAATTGTTTATCACAAGAGTATGAATTTTATTGCTGCCATTGCTTTAATATTTTTAAAAGAAGAATTAGCATTTTGGTCAATTGTCCAGTTAATTGATTCGGATTATTCCCACGAAAAAATTAACATTAGTGGTTAGTACATTCAGTTTAACTACAATACTCATATTTAGCATGTTTTGAAGACGAGCAATTTACCCATGACTGCAAACATATACCGTTGCATGTGCATATATACATGCATACATACGTACATGCATACATAAATATATCCAGTTTCGAAAATTTTTTACAGGGACGCGAAAGGCGTCCACCTTACAATGCCATTACCGCCATATATTTTTTTTTTATTTGGCTTTTCCTTTTTGTATCACCCAGATTATTATAATAATGAAATGAGAGGACTTCGTAGAGATATTATCGTCATAGAAGAATTGATACGATCGAAGTTGCCAGATGTGCACTTGCGTTTAAAGTAGGGCTGTTATGTGCATATGCAATATGACTAAAAACTCATTAGCTGAACATGCAAATTTTTTTTTTTTTTTTTTTGTTCTATTTCGTTTGTTTATATATATATATATATATATGTATTTATTTGTTTATTTTATTTATTTGTTTTACTTACGCACGTACTTATATATGTATATATTTATTCATTTATTTTTACTCATTTTCTCCCATTCCAACTTAACAGAGAATTCGACGTAGATCTTTCCTGGATATGTTCCGAATGGCTGTTGTGCTTATTTTGCACAGCCTTTCCGGTTAATTTTGAAATGCCCATTTGCACACTTGCGAAATGTGTTATGTGATAACGTATCCATCTGTATATCCACTTCTATATGTTGCATATATGTATATACGCACATAGTGAATGTCCTCCTCTTACACAAATACTTTTTTTTTTTTTTTTTTTTTTTTCGACATTTTCCACTATTCAGATAACAACAACGTTACGCATATGGGACTGCTTGTTCTACGAAGGTGATAAAATAATCTTCAGAATTACACTAGCCTTGTTTAAAATGAACCAGGAAAAGTTAATTGAATTAAATTCATTAGAATCTATCCTATTATTATTCAAGGAGACAACCAAAAATATGGTAAGAAAGCAGGAAACATATAAATAAATAAAGTAAAAATATGACAAATAAGGAAAATAAAATGAACAAATAAAATAAATAGGTAAAACAAAATAAATAAGCAAAACAAAATAAATAAGCCAAACAAAATAATAAGCCAAAAAAAACAAATAAGCAAAGCAAAACAAATAAGCAAAACAAAATAAATACGCCAAACAAAATAAATTAAATATGCTTATACACATCATCACTACACATTTCATTGGATTTAATTCACACACAAAATTTGCATGATGTGCAAAATTCTAGAATTTTTCCATTTCCTTCCCCCCGACCCGATCCCTCATTTCCACATTTTTCCCGTTTGTAAATTCATACAGGTCGAATGCGATAAATTGATGTATATCGCTTTCAACGAAATAGGCGTTCTTAAAAAAAAAAAAATAAAAAAATTAAGGGCAAAAGCTGAAGGTATTATTAAAAGTGTAACATGAAAATGTGTAAAACATAATAAATGCTCAAGCCCACGTCTCACCGACCCATGTGTATACGTATAATATATTACCACCGTTTGTTATTTAATTTATTTTACTCTTTATTTTTCTTTTCTTTTCTTTTTTTTTTTTTTTTTTTTTTTGTCACATTTTTTATTTTACAATTTTTTAAGTAAATTATAAATATTTTCGTTTGTTCCATAAAAAGTGTTTCAAAAAAACAAAAAAAAAAGAAGCTTCAATTAAAAGCAAAGCAAAAAATAAAACTAATCATTATGATACTGCCCAGTGGCCTTAAACTTTTTAAATGTTAATTTTCTGAAAGTGTAATTCTAATGTAGGACGCACAAGAAAGGATTAATAAGGATTAATGTGTATTATCAAAAAGATACTGCAAATTCCAGGATACAATTCCTATTGTAGTTATTCTTATGGGGTGTGCAATTTGAAAAGGTGCATTTGTATAAGGGCGAATTTCCTGCATATTCTGCGTTTCCTCAATTACTCACAAAAACAGAAAAAAAAGAAAAACACAAAAATACATGCTTTTATAACAATTGTCACCTAGGCACACAAGATACATGAAATGCACTTCACCTAAACATAACAGTTCAAAATATAAGTATACCCAACCCGTATATTAACTTTGTTCATTTTTGTTTAAGTAGACGATTTTGATTATAGAAATGAAAGAATTATACATTTACTCATATGTATACTAGTTTTATGCGTAGTTTGTCGCAGCGTGGTAAAAGTATGTTCATTTTTAAAATGCAAATTTATTCTGTATATTTAAAAACTAACAAAAAAAAAAAAAAAAAAAAAAAAGGTTTTACAAAAAAAGAGGGGAAAAAATTCGGAAGGTTCGCAAATAAATAAAACGGTTTAAAAAGTTATCGTTATCATTATCATCATATTATTATTTATTTATTTTATTCTGAGGCCATGGGGAAAATGATGAATACAAACAAATTAAAGACGTGTATTTTTTTTTTTTTCATTTTTTCATTTTTTTTTTTTTTTTTTGGGGGGGGTAGAAGGAAGATAATTTTGTTTCATCCCTTTTATGAAATCATATAATTTTATGATATTTTTCCAAAGTATGGACATACAAATATGCATGCACATAAACACCAGACGTTCTTATATGTACACAGATAAAAAGTCTCATAAAAATGTGAAAAGACGTTTCAATCTTGTGTCAGTATCCAAATTAGCAAGTGCGAGGAACGGTAAACAAAACAATTGGAGGGACAATAGCTAACAATGCCAAACATGTATAGGATGCTATTTTCAAGTGGTTGTACCACGACGGTTTATTTTCCATTTCGTTGTTATAGAGTATTCCCATGGATATACCTGCATAAAATGGGAGGCGTGTGGTGAAACGGAAAATAAGTACGTTTGTGTATGTTCTTACACATGTATGTACTTGCACATGGGATTAACATCTGCGCGCTCGGATATATATATATATATATATATATGTGGGTGTATTGATATAAACACGTAAATGTGTGCAGATAAGTCAGAACGATGAAGAACAACACGTATGTGCAACATTCCAATGCTCAAAAAGGAGTTTGCATCCCCCAATCTGCCTCATTTTATATGTAACATTTCTTTATATAAGCGCTTGCTATTTTTGAAGGTACATAAAATTTTCTTCCTTTTCATTTTAATATTTATTTTTTCATTTTTAATTATTTTTTTTTTTCCATTTTGCACATTCCTAGAAAGGAATTAAATTACCTGATAGCAATCCTCCCAAATGGCCAACATGATCAATATTCGATCCATTAAAAGTAAAATAGTAGAAAAAAGAAATTAAAGAAAAAAATATTATATTAAAAATTACTCTCTCCCTATGTCTAATAATATGCCAGAGTAAAATTAATTCAGAGGCTACGATACCTACCAGCCCCATGCCTGATGTACTTGCGCCAACTTTTATAGGACAATAAGTAACAGCTGATGATAGTATATTCCCATATATACCTGTTACAAAATATAAAATCATAATTTTCTTAATGCCGTAATTTTTCTCAAGTGTAAATCCCATTCTTAATTGAAAAAACACATTAAAAAATGCGTGAAATATGCTTGCATGTAAAAATATTGGCAATATAAATCTGTGAATTTCTCCTTGTTTTATCTTTGAAGCAACGTTTGCTCCTAGTGCTACTAGAAGAGAGTCTGTTAAGGGACGGAGTAAGAAAGGGAAAATTTGGCGGGATGCAAAAATATAAACGGATTACATTTCTTTCATAATTATCGCTGTAACAGATATCATTACAACTATTACTGTTACAACTATTACTGTTACAACTATTACTGTTACAACTATTAATGTTACAACTATTAATGTTACAACTATTAATGTTACAACCAATAATGTCATAGTTAGTATAATTTCTTATTTAATTAAATTTCGTGCTATCTTTCTCATTCTCCCTTCCACTCCCCTTGCTATAAGGAAACGAGCCTCCTTCGCGAGGAGATAAAATTTGCCACAATTTTTAGCCTTCCAAAAAGTTTGTCCCTTCTAATAAGACGTGGGTATATGGCATTCATTTCCCTCTGCAAAATAATATATTTTTATTTTCAAACGTACCCGAGGGGGTCAAAAAGTCCGCTGGATTTATGCTAACTGATATTATAAAAACAATTATTTGTATAACAGATAGAACCATGATAAAGCTTTTCCAAGTGAAATGTGGAAATATTAGGTTTACTACATCAATGGGTTTTGATCTTCGTATGAAACTGCTCTGGGACTCATAGTACTCTGGTGCTTGTAGGGTGGGCAAAAATAAAAAAGAAAAGGTATCCATGTGTTGTTGTGTATGGGCCTATATATATATGTTCACATGCAGTTGTCCAGAGGGGAGGTGTTCCAAAAAATTTCCTCCGTGAAATGAATATATTTTTAACACATTTGTATAGGATGTAAATAGTGTGAACGCACATATCATGTACTTGCATTTCAAGGTCGTGATGAGTGGGGTAATTTTGCATGTAAGCTTCTTTGTGTTTTTTTTTTTTTTTTTTTTTTTTTTTTTTTACTTCTATTGAATGGGAGATTTTCTCCGTAATCATCCCTATAATCGGCTAATGTGTGAATGTTGCTCATTGTGGAACTTTAATTTTAACTTAAGAAGATTGCACAGGAAAATTATATGGTAAGGAGGGGGTCATACTAGTTCTCCTATATATATTCCTCTTTCACTATATATATATATATATATCTTTTGTTATATCAAAACAAAACGTTCGGTTATGCGTTAGCAATCCATGTACAAATGTGTGCACATAGATTAGGGTTGAGCAGACCGCATTTGCAACGATGAGTTCTTATTTGATTTAACAGTTAAAAGGACACATTCAAAGTATTTGAAAATTAAAATGTTGAAAAAACATTAGTCATGGAAGGTGTGTGCGTGGAGTACAATCAAAAAGGAGCTCGCAGTTATACATGTATATATCTCGCTACAAGCACACATGAGTTTATATTTTTCCTCTCGTACGAAGGTTTACACACATATCTGCATGTGTGTACGTAAAAATATATTCACTAATTTATAAGGGCCAAAAAAAAAAAAAAAAAAAAAAAAAAAAAAAAAAAAAAGAAAAAAAAAGAAAAAGAAAAAAAAAGCAAGGGTCATTTATTTTTCACGAGAGAAGGGAATTTTCTTCACTAAAAATGTAAGGGAATCAAAATCTATCTGTAATTTTTATTAATATTAAGTGTATATGCGTTTAAAAAAAAAAAAAAAAAAAAAAAAAAGCATATAATTGTAGAGCATGCGTAATATATACATTAATTAAGCGCAACAAAATGGGAAAGCAAGAAAAAAAAAAAAAAAATCCAAAAGGTCCTTATAAACCTGTTACCCAGTATGTTTGTAAATATGTATGTAATATGTGATGTTTACATTCACTCACACGCATGCGTGTAACAAGAGCCGAGTTTTCAGATACTCTAATATGAAAAAAGAAAAAGCACTTGTGGCGTGTTCCATCTGATAGTTCGTTTTACTCACTACTGCCATTAAATTTGGATTATTTTGTGTTTACATGTTTTTGTGATATATGTAACGCTGTTCACAATATATAGGTGAATATATACAGGTGGAAAAGCGGCAAATTGTGTAAAAGATTTTTTCCCCTTTGTGGCGGAGATATAAAAAATGGTTTAAAACATGAAAAAAGTGACACGTGTTTTGTTTTGCTGCATTCTACTTTTTTATATATTTTTTCTTATTTATTTATTTTGTTTTTATTTATCATTTTTTATTTTGCCTTTTTTTTTTTTTTTTTTTTTCCCGTTTTTTGGTTTTGTTTTGCTCTTAATTTTTTCCGTTTCGCTTACACTGTAATAAGTGAATTCTTCTTTTACTTTTTGGAGTTGTAATTGTAGAAGACTTCACAATAAATATGCGTTCCATTTTTTCGAAAAGGAAAAACATACTCACAAACATTTATAGAAAGAATGTGTTCTCAACTGATTTTTTAAAATGTTAAAATGGTAGCAAAATGGGGTGAGAAATGATCAAAAGATTTTTTAAATGGCATTTGCCATATTTTTTTTTTGGTTTCCAGCTTTGTTCAAATAATGAAAAAAAAAAAAAATAATATAATATAAATATAGCACAAAAAAAGGAGGAGACATGACAAATATTGGAAGCAAAAAGGGAAAAATATAGAAGATACATAGATATAAGGACAAAAACCAGATTTGTGCGTGCAAGAAAAAGTCCCACAATTCCGCCAAGGAAAATATATCATCCTCTACACTTTTTATTTTTTATTATTTTATTTATTATTTTTTTTTTTCTTTTTACTCGTTGTACAACAGAAAGACCATTACTGAAACAAAAATAAAATCATTCACATATTTTGCGGAAATGTAGTTATCCGTTTCGACATTCCAGAGAGATTTGGAGGCAATGTGAATCTACATAAATAAAAAGAAAACGGTAAAAACGAATGGAATGAAATCGAATGCACGCGTATGAAAATGAATTTACATTCTAACTGCAATTGCAGCTTGAGACGCCCGATGTTGGGCTTCGTGCGAAGCGAACAAATTACTATTACATTCTCTCTCGCGCTGCAATAGTGTTTGTTCGTGTGTAATGATTTTTTGCCATTTTGCCGCTTAGCAGATTTTCCATTTTGCCGCTTGGCGGATTTGCCATTTTGCCGCTTAGCAGATTTGCCATTTTGCCTTTTTTTTCGTTTTTTCAGCTTCCCTCCTTTTTTCAGTTTTACCCCCTGTTTCTTGTTTTCTCCTATAATCGCCTGAACGACAATTTTATATCGCTCATTGACGTAAGGCTTCATGAACTGCTGCACATCATCGACTAAGTTGATGGCCATTTTGTCGTAATTGCTTTTAATAGGATTATTTTTTTCAAAATAATTTTTGTGGTGATTATCGTTTTCATTGGAAGAATCATCAGTGTCATGCTGGATCCCATGTAGATCATTATCTGTACATATTTTATGGATACCTTTTCCATTTCTTGTTTCATTTGCTTCAACACTACTTCCAGCCGTTTGAAACATTTGGTTTTCCGCCTTATATGTTAAGTCCACACAGGTTTTTGTGCTAAAATAATTCTCCAGAAATAGCCTTAATTTTTCTTCGCAAGTGTTAGCAAAGAATTGAAATCCGTCCATATTTATTTTATTCTCCTCCTTAGTATTTTTTTCATTGTCAGTCTTATCCGTATTTTTTGTATTTCCCTTACCACTTCCATCCATTTGATCGAACCTCTGGCCTTTTAGACAATTCCACTTGATCTTTTTATCTACCTCCTATTTCTGCGTCTGCCAAGTAGAGCGTTATTACCATAAGGGGAATTGAGAAATGCGGATAGTTGACCTTGTGCACATTTTCTCACGCACAAAAAGGGGCACACGCAGGCACATACGCATACATACATACATACATACATACATACATACGTACATACATACATACATACATACATACGTACATACATACATACATATATATATATATACATATGCACATAATTCTCTATATTTCCCCCTTATGCAATGGGACATTTGCTTCTTTACAGTTTAATCCATATGTTAGACTACATTTTACCCGCTTTTGCCAAGATGCATTTACAGTACTCTACTACATATATAGCGGCATTTTTTTTTTTATTCTTTATTATTTTTTCATTTTTCAATAGACATACCTTTATGATCCTTAAGAACTTGACAAATTATGAAACATTTATTTTGTTTGTGAGGAAATATAAATTATTTTTTAGAAGAAGTTTCGAATATTTTCCGACTATTTAGAAGTCCTTAGTGCTCTTATGTGACATATTGTGCTTCTTTGATTTTTTTTTTTTTTTTTTTTTTTTCCGCCCCCACCAAGTATTTTATATTTTTCTATATCACGCGTTTATAAAAGTAATAAAAGTAGTTATAAACAAAAAATGTATGATGATTTTAACAAAGCTTATTACTGTCTTATGAACAGGGATGTGTGACTAAAGCATCATTTCATTTTACTTATCTCATGTATTAAAAGGACACGTGTAAGAATAGGAGATATTTTTTAAAACAAAAAAAAAAAAAAAAAAAAAGGCGAAAAAGTGAAAAAAATAAATTACTATTCACCGGACCATTATGAAAATATCTCATTTCAGAACTTAAAAAAGGTACCAAAGAAAATGAAATTTTTTTTTTTTTTTGTCATTTTTGTTTGCATTATATTGTAATGTATAACAGCTAAATCATCTATACATAAAATGTTATATCACAAATCTTTCAATTACACATAGCAGAATTTCTAAATTAGCAAATTACTTGAAGCAATAGAATTTAAAGTGAAAGGAGAAATTGCTTCTATATTTCATTTTTTTTTTTTTTTTTTTTTTGGTAAATATAACATTTTTTTTAACATAAGTTCAATCACATTCTGATATTTTTTTTTTCGTGTTCAGAGGAGCCATATATGTACCAAAATGGACACATTTGCATGATAACTCTTAGTAGAGTCAAAAAAAAAAAAAAAAAAAAAAAGAAAAAAGACAAAGACTAAAATAATTTTACTACCTTTTCTGTAAAGTGTAATTTATAGTATTTAGAATAAGGAGAGTTACTAAGAAACTGATTTTTTTTTTTTTTTTTTTTTCTACAAGAACGAATTCAAATTTAATTTTTGATCTCCATTTCGAAAAAAAATAAATGATATCATCAGCTTGCATGACAAAGGACATTTTTTCATTTTAATGCATGTGAGAAAAAAAAAAAAGAATTATTACAAAATTGAACATGTCAATATAGGAAGTTTTTATATACAAGCCGTTACTTCATTTTGATACTTTTATTTTGGTGGTACCGTGGATGCAATCTTTCTCACCTCCCTCCTATCTATCCTATCTATCGACAATATGTATCTTCACAATACATTTTCATTGTGTATAAAATGGCATAATTGTGTGATAAATGAAAGTGAAGCTTCTTATATTATTTTCGATATATATATATATATATATATATATATAGATGGGTTTGAAGAGATAATAAATTTTCTTCTCTATTGAAAAAACTTTCCATATGTACAAATTGTAAAAACAAAACTTGAAGAAAATATCATGTACTGTTTTCCCAAATGAGTCACTCATTGAATTATTTGATTTTTCGTAGAAAATGGATGAGATGTAGATGTTTTATTTAAGCCGCAAAAATAAAAAGGGATGGAAAAAGTAGCAAAAAAAAATATAACTTCTTTTTTTTTTTTTTTTTATCTTTCAGAAATTAAGACACTTTCCCTTATGCTTGTATTCAAAAAAAATGTGCGTGCATATGACGAAAGTGAATGTGTGTGTGGAGAATTTCCTCTTAAGATTGCAAACTTCGTGTATACACATTTTACTCCACCTACACATGCATGTAGTGTTCTTCTTCTTTTTTTTTTTTTTTTTTTTCTTTCCACGCCAAAGAATGTATATTATCAGTGGGTGAAGTACTTAACTTGAAAGCCCATCACCACCATACATTCTCATAAAGGAAGTATTGGCTTTCCTTAAATGTATTTAAATTCGTGGAAAGATGATTTAATGTTTTCTCTTTAAAATATGAAAACTTTTTTTTTTTTTTTTTTCTTTTGAAGGAATTCCATTATTAAAAGAAATAAATTTTTTATTTTCTGAACAAAAATAAACTTGTCTTGCATAAATGAATTCATTTAATTGATTAAGTATGTAAACGAATTGTGTATTACAGCAAAAGTGTAGTGTGTGTTCAAAAAAGAAAGAAAAAAAAAAAAAATGAGGGTGATTATGAGGACATATATACATACATAGATACATGCACACGTGTTTTATTTATTTATTTTTTTTTTTATGTCGAATTCTCTTAATACTACTTTTGTATCGCTACTTTTTTATCACTGCTTCTTTATCACTACTTCTTTATCACTACTTTTTTATCACCACTTTTTTATCACCACTTTTTTACCACTACTTTTTTACCACTACTTTTTTACCACTACTTTTCTTTTCTTTTCCATGTCAATAAAGCAAAGCACGAAGTGTAGATTTTAAAAAAAATAGCTATCGAACATATTTAGATAAATCTTCGTGTGAAACAATGTGAAGTTACACCCTCCTTTCTACAATCATAAGTGTGTACTTTCTTTTTTTTTTTTTTTTCTCCTTCACACATTTAAAAGTTATGATAACCTAAAATTAAGCCATTTTAGTAAGAAGTAAACTATTTTTTACATTTCTATAATAACACAAAATTGGCATAACACAAAGGTGTACTTCTTACCAATACATCAAGCGTGCAGTAAAAAAAAAATAAAATAAAATAAATCCTCCTTAATACACATCGTATACATTTATTAATGGGTTGCACTAAAACATAGTGGCATATATATATATATATATATATATTAATATGCACTTATGTATGCACATGTAAACATGTCACATAATTGAGAATATAATCCCATGTAAAAAAAAAAAAAAAAAAAAAAAAAAAAAATGTTGAAAAAAAAGAAAGAGTTTTGCAACCCAGACGTAGAAGAAAAAAATGCTAAGAAAAAAACTAGCACAGCTATTAAATCGGCTAACTTGAAAAAAAAAAATAACACAAATAAGGAATCCACAGATAGAGAAGAAAAAATAGAAAAAAATGGCAAAATCAGTGAGAAAAAAAGTTTAGACAATATGAAGGGGAAAGCACAAAATGATGTTAATAAACAGTGCACTATTGTAGACAAAAAAAAGGATGAAAAAGGTAGAGCTGAAAAAGGCAAAGATGGAAAAATAAATATAAAAGAAGCAATTATAAAAAATGTAAAAGTTCCTGATAACTATGAAATTAAACATTTGATAGGGAGAGGGTCTTATGGTTATGTATATTTGGCATATGACAAAAACACAAATAAAAATGTAGCGATAAAAAAGGTAAATAGAATGTTTGAAGATTTAATCGATTGTAAGAGAATTTTAAGAGAAATAACTATACTAAACAGATTAAAAAGTGATTACATTATCCGGTTATACGATTTGATAATACCTGATGATTTGTTAAATTTTGACGAATTGTACATTGTCCTAGAAATTGCAGATTCGGATTTGAAAAAATTATTTAAAACACCAATTTATCTAACGGAAGAACATGTAAAAACTATTCTTTATAATTTATTATTGGGAGAAAAATATATTCATGAGTCCGGTATTATACACAGAGATTTAAAACCAGCCAACTGCCTTCTAAATCAAGATTGTTCTGTTAAAATTTGCGATTTTGGATTAGCTAGGACAATTAATTGTGATAATGATATTCATATTGTGAATGATTTAGAAGAAAAGGAAGAAAATGAAGAACCCGGTCCTCATAATAAAAATTTAAAAAAACAGTTAACGAGCCATGTTGTTACAAGGTGGTATAGAGCTCCTGAACTTATTCTTTTACAAGAAAATTACACTAATTCTATTGATATGTGGTCTACTGGTTGTATATTTGCAGAATTATTAAACATGTTAGAGGCACATGTAAATAACCCCACAAGCCGTTTTCCATTATTCCCTGGTTCCTCCTGTTTTCCTTTATCACCTGATCATAATTCTAAGAAAGTACATGAAAAAAGTAACCGAGATCAACTTAACATCATTTTTAATGTTATAGGGACACCATCGGAAGATGATTTAAAAAGTATAAATAAAGAAGAAGTTAAGAGATACATAAAACTATTTCCATCCAGAGAGGGTATCGATTTTAAGAAAAAATATCCATCCCTATCTGATGAAGGCATTGATTTATTACAATCTATGCTTAAATTTAATGCAAAAAATAGAATTACAATTGATAATGCTCTGAGTCACCCTTACCTTAAGGATGTTAGAAAAATCAATTTAGAATCATTTACAATCAACAAAATTATACTTCCTTTTGACGACTGGATGATATTATCTGAGACACAATTGAGATATATTTTTTTGAAGGAAATTCAATCCTTCCATCCTGATATGATCATTCCGGTCAAGTTCACAGTTCACGAAAATATGTTTTATAACAATGCTTAGATGCTGTGCTGATAATTATGAAAATGAAAAACTTTGGAGACGAAAAAACCACAAGATTGTAAAACCACCGACAAGCACACACTTTGGTGTGTATTTATTTACAACTACCGAAGGGTTCTAATTTGTATGCACTTTTTAATCAGCTTTCCCATGTGCCTTTTCACATAATTCAAGCACAGGATAAACAAAAAAAAAAAAAAAAAAAAAAGAAGATAATAGTGACTTGTTTCCACATCTAATTATATACACCTCTATATTGTCGAATTACACACATTTGCCATCATATGTTTAAAATATATTCCATCGTTCGTATTTTTCGACAAGTGTGCGAGGACATAGAATGTATGCTTATTCTGAATTCTCCGCGGTGCATGTTGAAAGTGTTATATTTTTTTATTATTACTTATGATTAGGGATGATGACTTATTAGAGGTTGTTACTGTTTCGCAACTAACAGTGTTTCATAATTTCCCTCCGTATCTATCTCTCTCACCTTTTGCACAATATGTACCAATTATTAATCCTCAAAATTTTTGAAAACACTCAATTTCATTATGAACCTCTCCTTATTTCTATTTATTAACAATTCTCCAAACTTCTTATATATGTGTACGTTGCTTGAACCATCGTTTGCTCCTTCGCATAAGATGGAACGGAAGCACTCAGTTGATGTCTGCAATTTTCTGACACTTTTTCGAATTCGTCTTCGAATTCGTCTTCGAGTTCTGTTTCTGCTTCTACTTCTACTTCTGCTTCTGCTTCTGCTTCTGCTTCTTTTTTTTTTTTTTTTTTTTTTTTCTGTTCTTATTCAGAATCGTCACCCCAATTAATTTACCCCCATGTAAACATTTCAGAACAAGGAGTTATTTCTTCTCCCAGAGTTCTGTTGCTTTTACCACCACCCCACCCCCTTAAGTCTAATTTTTAAAGAACTTTTTATTTTAATCATTCCGAAAAACATCAAGACATTTTTTTTTTAAATATAAGTGAATATAATATGGGTGTATTTATATTCATATTCTTCTGCACGTACGTACGTGTGTAGGTAAGTAGGTGGGGATTTCTTTTTAACACACCTTTCATTTTTCAAAACTGTGAAAGAGGAATTGACCCATGGAAAGTAGCCTCATCAGGACTAAGTTCTTATCAGCAAGGCGGAAATTATTTGTTTCTGTTTTAAATTCCTTTTTTTTTTTTTTTTTTTTTTTTTTTTTTTTTTCTCTCGGTAGGGGAGGGGGGAAAATACACTCAGCAACATTAACAAATAGTGCAGTGATGCACATCAAGGTGTGGGAACACTTAATAAAGTCAATGAGAAAAAGATATGTTTGTATCAGGAGACGTGTCCAACGTGAACATTCGTGTATATATATATATATACATATACATATGCATTATAATATCACTGTTGTACCTGTTGTGAAGGGGTAAGTCTTTCCTCCCATTTCTCAGGTACATGGAAGACGAGAACCAAATTTTAATTTCCTGTGTACTGCTTCACTGAATAAATTGCTTATGTGTTTGCGGTAAAATCGTGCATTTGAAGCTGTAGCAAAAAAAAAAAAAAAAAAAAAGAAATGAATGAATGAATGAATGAACGAATGAATGAATGAACGAATGAATGAACGAATGAATGAACGAATGAATGAACGAATGAATGAACGAAGTTTGAGAATGCTCGTCAAGTTGCGAATGTTGAGAAGACTCCGAAAATTGTAAAACCGCGAAAATCACACCGAGCTGATATGCTTATCGACACGCCCCTTAAAATGGGTGCAGTGCACGCCGTGTTCAATATGAGTCCCCCCATTGTATGCTCATTTCTTTCTCCCTTTTCTTGTTTTTCTTTTTTTTTCCTTCTTTTCCCTGCAGTGAAGTACAAAACAGTATCTCCTTGAAATGAGAAATTTATGCAGGGGGTTCACCATAATACACATCTGATCATGCAGCGAAGATTTTTCTTTTTTTTTTTTTTTTTTTTTTTGTTGCTTTGATGAATGTAATTTTGTATGCTTCTTCATCTTTTCACCATTTATGAACGCCTTCAAGAGTTTGGCGATAAAATTATGCTTTTTTTTTTCGTTTTTTTTTTTTTTTTTTTTTTTTTTTTTTTTTTTTTTTTTTTTTTTTTTTTTTTTTTTTTTTTTTTTTTTTTTTTTTTTTTTTTTTTTATTTTTTTTTTTTTTTTTTTTTTTTTTTTTTTTTTTTTTTTTTTTTTTTTTTTTTTTTTTTTATTTTTTTTTCTCTCCATGTGAATGATAAAAAAGGTGAGAAGAATAGCAAGAAAAGTGACATAAATAGTAAAAGATATGCCTCTAAATAACACATATGCTGAAACAGCAAGAGGAAGGAGAGAGAGAGCTATTGCACAGTCACACAATACTTAGAAGTTAGATATTCTGTAAAATAAAATGCACATGTAGGAAGAGCTAAATACATGTAGTGAAGTAATAAATATATTACTTCATAAGAATGAGCAAAACATCATGCGAAACAAATTAGCTGCTTTCTTTTTCCAGAAAAAAAAAGTATATATATGTACATGTATACGTGAATGTGCATGTATACAGGTATGTATACATATGCATGTGTATGTATATACATTATTCACATATATACGTTACGAGAAAGGTCGCATTATGGATGGTAAGGAAGGCCTTGTTAGTAATAGCCAATTAAACCACAGGAAAATATCTAGTAAAAAAAATGCAAATGATAACGATGAGAATTGCACCATCGAAGGAAGGAGAAGCAGCAATCGAGAAGGGAAAGAAAAAGAGTCATACGATAGTAGTGAACAACAAAATGGGATAGATGTAGAAAAGATAACAGTAAGTACAAGAAGTATTATTCTATTTCAAATACTTTTATTCTTCGTGTTCTTTTTCGTGCTATTGATTGGATCATTTAATTTTAGTTTTAAGCTGTTCCAAGTGAGAGAAAAGCACTTGTATGAGCTACTTAATAATATAAAAGATTTAACGTCGTGCAGACTTGATGATATCTATGCAGAGGTTAGAGAAGGTGATAACACTTTCTTTTACAAAAGTCAAGATAAATTAATCAACACAAATAATGACATTTTTGAAGAAAATGTAAATTTCAAATATTATTTCACAAGAGGGAAACATTATAAAAAGACAAAAAAAAAAATGAAGAAAAATAATGGAGATATAAAAATATTCATTTGTTTAAATAAAAAAAAGAAAAGTTTTTACTTTAATAATTTTTATGATATATTTTCAAGATGTAAGAAATGTATATTCAAAATTTTTATTTTTTTTTTTAACGAAATAAGAAATGCTTTTTTTCTGAAAGAATTTGATGACTCCACTGACCCAGAATCAAATCATCTATTAAATGATGATTATGTAAAACATAATGCAGAAGTTATTTCCAAATATATATACTTCAATAAACATCTGGATATCAGTAATTCATATAAAAAATATTATGTCAATATGGAATACTTATTTTACTTTTATCTGAACAACATATGTTATTATCACGATTTTGCATATTTTGGTGGAAGCGTACAAGGTGAGCATAACATCCATATCTTAAATGAAGAGAAGACGGAAGAATCATTTCCATTGGATGAACGAGCGTATGGTAAAATTACAAGCTCGTTATATTCGAGAGATAAAAGAGACATCATAATGGTAATCAAACATATTAGCAAATATTTAAATGACGAAATGTTACTTAATTTATTTCACAAATTATACTTTGACATATGTATAGACGGCAATGTTTTGTCGAATTTATCCAAAAGTGGAGAAGAAAGTAATGAAAAAGAAATTAACAAGATAAATAATGAACATATTTTAAAAAACATAAAAACGTATGAAAAATACTATAATGTGTATCACAAAATGGAGAATATGAAGAATGTAAATAGGTTTAACGATTTTCTGAACATATTAAGAAAAAAAATAAGAACAGTAACAATTTTAAAAGGTTTAAATAAATGTTTAACAGATTATATAAAAAATTTAAAAAAAATTCCATTCTATTTTTTTTTAGATGATTTTTTTGACACTCCATGTTATGTGTACAATAAATTAATTAGCAATATCTTGCGGTACTATTATAAGGGAATATTTTTATATTTCATAATATTCATTGGATGTATTCATGTATTTTTTTCCCCCTTCCCAATTACACTTGTACATTTTCGTAGATTTTTTATTTATTTTTTAATAATTATGTATCGTTTATTTATTTTATACTTTATTCCATCCATAATTCAGTATATTATTTATAAATTTCATTATTTTAAAGATGAGGAATATATGCACATATTTGATTACTCAGATCATGTTATTTTGTTTTCTACCCTCTTATTTATTACATCATTGGAAGCAAAAGCAATTGAGTATACCATCAAATATCAAAAAGTGAGCTCAGATTATTTTCATTTTAAATATAATAGAAGATTATGCATTTTCTTATTGAAATTAGTCTTGTATTATTATTACATACTTATATTTTTTTTCTTATATACTAGTTATTTCACTTCTAAATATTTTCATACCACAAATGAAATATTTGTTGCATATTTCTTTTCTACGTTTTCCATATTTTTCATCTTTTATTTTTTTTTATATAAAAATTATTTTAGTTTTTATAGTATAGGAATTACATCCTATATGCAAAAAAATATTCTTCATGCTCCATCCCATACCTTTCATGCATCTCCTTATACCTACAACACATATATATCCATGAGGGATAAGTTCCCTTTGGATTGATTAAATAAATATCAACCAGCGTGCACAATTAGTTGGATTCAGTTCTGTGTGCAAATGTTCCACACCCCAACTAGTTGCGCATTCAGTGTATTCATGTGTTCCCTGCCGTTGTCCACACTGAATTTATATTCATCATGTTCCTACTCTTTTCCTTACTCCTATTCATACCGTCGTTTGTATCTTTTCAATTTACACAAGTACATATTTGTGAACCTGCATCAGGTGTGTGGGGAGTGTTTATATATACATTTATACACATATATATATGTATATTATGCTTAATTGTGTGAATGTGATATTTGTACTTAGACAAAAATGAATAGGACTAAATGTATATACAGCCTCCTCGCCCTGTTGATAAATTAAGTATGCATTCCTCGAAATCGATTAATTCTTGAGCTTATGTTATATCTCCTTGCATTCTTTTTTCCCCATGTTGAATACCCTCACGCATAGTACACATTAAAAAAAAGAAAAAAAAAAAAAAAAATTTTGATCTTATTAATATTTCTATTTCTTACGTGTCTTTCTTTTTTCTATATAACCATTTTATTGACTCCCCTACGGGCAACCAAGTTGAAAAGTATGAATATTTTAGCTTCACACTGTACTGGTTCGTTCCAATGGTGTTTTTTTTTTTTTTTTTTTTTATGCCTTGATTTTTTATGTCTCACCATCTCAGCATTACAATACTAGAATCACCACATTTTTGCAGCATTATCTATTTACCCCCTTTTTTTTTTTTTTTTTTTTTTTTTTTTTTTTTTTTTTTATTCTTATTTAAAATTTGTTTTTTTTTTTTTTTTTTTTTTATTACTTTATTTTTTTTTTTTTTCCATTTCTATATTTTAATTTTTGATTTTCCTTTTTTTTTTTTTTTTTTTTCCCCCTTTTTTTTTTTTTTTTTTTTTTTTTTTTTTATTGCTATGCGAACCTCTCCACTTTTGGCATTTCAGTTTTTTTGTTGTTAAAAGAAGGTGTGTGATTTACATATTACCTCCAACCTTCTTCATCCTCGTTCTTTCTTATAAATTAAAACCTTTTTGTAAAATCCAAAACGAACAAATCATAATAATTGACTGTTAAAAGTTTAAAGAATTATCACATGAATAATTGGATTAGATATTGATATGCAGCTGAATACGTGTCATAAAAAAAAAAAAAAAAAAAAAAAAAAAAAAAAAACTGTTTCCACTTTATTTCTTATATATTTATGTGTATGACTGATTATAGGTCATCCAAAATATAAGAAAAACAAAAGAAACATGATGCACGGGTTAGACCATAAAATGGATTTTTCTCCCTCCCTCTGACAGACAAACAGACGGACAGACGGACAGACGGACAGACGGACAGACACCCCTGTCGAAGGGATATGTAAGAAAGGATCTCATCTTCCAGAGAAAAACAACCTTGAGGAGAAACCAGCAAATACATCTGAAAATGAACCATATATATATATATACAAGTGAACAAAAACGAGTGGAGTATAATTTAACATGTCAAATATGTAAAAGTATATCCGTACTGGGACATTTCATTCCCACTATTCAATTGCAGAAAAATTGCGACATTTTATTTGCACTATTCAATTGCAGAAAAATTGCGACATTTTATTTGCACTATTCAATTGCAGAAAAATTGCGACATTTTATTTGCACTATTCAATTGCAGCAAAACTGGGACATTTCATTTCCACTATTCAATTGCAGAAAAATTGCGACATTTTATTTGCACTATTCAATTGCAGCAAAACTGTTGCATTTCATTTCCACTATTCAGTTGCAACAAAAAGATGTGCCTCTTTGAATTAATTCTATGAGATAATTGTCAGGGTCATAAATAAAAGCAATATTATTCATTAACCCCTCGCTTAATTTTTTTTTAAAAGGAATATTCAAATTTTCTAATTCTTTGCAATAATTCACCAAATCGTCCACTAAAAATCCAATGTGACCAAATCCCCTAGGTTCGGTATTTCCATTATGATATGAAAAATTGTCGTTATTTTCTGTTCCATGGTTATGGGTTAATTCCAGGACTGGCTCCCATGAAGTTTTAAAGTTTTCATAATCTTCATCGGATTGATACGAATTTTTTAATTCATTAAAATTGTAATATTTTTGGTTTAATTTCCCTTCCTTTGCTGAATTGTCGATGTATTCATTTTTATTTTCCAAATATGGGGACTTTAAGAAATATAAAGAGAAATCTGTGTTATGCTTAATGTGAATTAATTTCATACCTAATATGTGTATGTAAAAATATAAGCTCTTTTCAGGGTCCTTAACTCTAATCATGGTTTGAGAAAAATTTGTAATGTCTTTATTATTCTTCCAAATCACTTCATTGGATCTTTTCACTATTTCAATCCAGTACTCATTTGGATCTAAGGCAAAACCAATACTTTTCATTTTCGTTTCATGTGGTAATTTGTGAAATTTTACATTTTTTTCTTTAAAAAGATAATCACATAACTCTACCACATCGTGGCAATTGAAGGCAATGTGTCCAAATCCTCTATCATTGTCATTATTTCCATTACTTAACTTTTCTTCACTATTATGATTATGTGTTAATTCTAAGCAAACTGTTTTTAAATTCCATAAGTATTTCTCAGATTCCTTCGTGTTCGGCATGGGTAAATTTTTCCTTTCTTCTTCATCATATGGAGGGGTTATCATAAAATAAAGAGAAAAGTTGTATTCCTCAAAATGGTATGTGTGAATATTAATCATCCCAAAATTCTTTTCATAAAATTCCACTGTTTCTTTCGGATTGTAGATACGCAACATTGTTTGTTGCCATGTTATGTTGTATTTCGCTCCGAGCATTAAGGTGGACTTTTTTTCTTCCATTTTGCGATAGCCCTGCTGGAGTAGTATATATATATATATATATATATATGTGTGTGTGTGTGTGTGTGTGTGTGCGAATGTACGTTCTCAATAAGCTGAGCAAGGTAAGTAAACGGGAGATATTATGTGTTTGCTTGTGATGTGATTCACCAACTTTTAAATGTTCAGTTATATCAGCTCGTTTCTCTATTTATTCTAGAAAAATGAAGCTTTTGTTATTTGGAAGTTCCTAGAATATCTGCATATAAAGTGGAAAAAGAAATGTAGTGTAGAACGCCACTATATCCTGATGGGGTTTACTTTGATAAGTGTTTCTTTTTTTTTTTTTTTTTCTCTTCTTTTAAATAACCTATGACTGTACCTATCATCACGTATCAGCTTACAAGTGTAAAATATGATTTCTTTGTGTCATATTGATCGAATTTGTTTTCATATATACTGTATACATTTCTCTGTTCCTTTTGCGTTTTTTTACTTTTTAAATTTTTGTAAAGTGCACGTATTTTTTCATTGGTTATATTTCGTAGAGAATAATTTTTTTTTTTTTTTTTTTTTTTTTTTTTTTCCTCTTTCCATATTATGAGAATATATATGGAAACGATTTTTCCAAGAAATCTACATTAAGTATACAAATAACCTTCTTTTACAACATTTTATTTTTTCAAGCTTTTGCAGGTATATACAACTTTAATGCTTTATTTATTTATTTATTTTTTTAAAAAGGTTATAAAACGGAACAAATATCAAATGAATTGTGAAAATTTCTTTCATTGCGCAAAAAAAAAAAAAAAAAGTGAACCAAAAAAAGTGATAAAATAGAAAAATAGCAAAATGTTGAAGTAACAAATAAGACAAACTATGTAAAAAAAAAAAAAAAAATAAATAAATAAAAAACGTGGGAAATCTCCACTTAAAGTATATCCAATATATTCCTTTTCTTTTTTTTTAATTTGTTAAAATTTAAATAATTATTATCACTGTTTCCTAAGTTGGGTACATTTTGACCTTTTTTATGAGCACTTAATCTATTTGCACTATTCTCATTACTCGTTTTATAAAACATGTTGACTGTATTACTCCTTTCTAGGGAATCACTTAGGCCATCTATTTTTGTTATCTTTGTTATAGATTTTAATTTCCCATTGGCATTATTGTTTCCATTATGCTTTCTTTTTTTTTCAAAGTTTCTATTTTTGTCTAAAGTGTTCAAGTTTTGGGAATTCCTATCATTTTTTAAGCCACTGTTTTGTCTCACTATCGAGAAGGGTGAAATATTTTTCAAAAACGTAGTACTGTTTGTACCATAGTCAATTGTGAAAAGGTCTTTCAATTTTTCAAAGACAATTTCTTGGTTGAACTGTTCATTAGTGGATTCGATGCTCATTGAAGGAGCATACTCTTTTATGCTATCTTCCCCATGTGGACTACATATTGGGAAATCTTCTTTCCTGTTAATGCCACTCTCTTCTCCATCGATTGGAGAGTTTTTCTCCGTTATGATTTCTTCAACACCTGAGTGCGTGAAACTTGGAGTATCGATAATTGAATCTTCCTTATTGCTAATATTTTTTTCCTTTTTTATTTCATGTTCATCAATTTCGTTAATAAGAAAAATACCCAATTTGTTAGGGTTTCTTAAGGCATTCCCTGTTTTATTAGTCCTGTTGAAACTATTTTTTATTTGATTCCCACAATTTCTTATATTAAATCGTTTCTTATGATTGCATAGTAAACATTTGTACACGATAACATTTTTATCATCAAGATGCGTTATTTGGCAATTGTAAAACGGGATGTATATTAAATTACAATAATGACAACATATGTTATCAAAAGTTAAATTATTATTTGTAATTCTTTTGATTAAAGCAATATATTTCATTGATAATTTTGCATTTTCATATACACTTAATATGGCTAAATTCCATAAATATTCAACTCTTTTATCCATAATAGCATTTCCTGTAATGTCTGCAAGTCTTATTCTATTCACGTAAGAATCTAAAGGATTTTTCTTCTCCTCACAATTTCTGCCTTTCATTCTTTTTAACCCCTTACAAGCGTTTTATACATGTAATTGTATATACAAAATGTATACTCTCTTATGTTCATCTGCAAGTAGTGAACCCTCAAATCTGCTATGTACTTTATTTATGTTTTCATTTGTGGCCCCTGAGGGAAAACCTTTCTTTGACAGGTGCACAAATGGGCTTTACATTTGCATTAGATAATACATGCATGCGTACATATATATATACGCACACACGATTTGTTTTTTTTATAATAACATATTTATGCCTCCTTAATTTGTGTAAATGCTACAATGGTTTGTGTTAACGACATTGAAGGGATACAGTATCAAATACGAATGAAGCATCACTTGCTGTAATGAGTTTTCTCTTTTTTGCCTCTTTCTTGGCCCATTCAACATGGTAGAATATTTTAATTACAAAAATAAAAATAACTGATATTAGTTTTGTTTCATATGCATAACGTGGGAATTTTTTTTGATTAATTGTAAAATATTTTCTTCAGCCCCCTTTTTCTTTCTATATTTATAAGAATTTTTTAACCCAAAGAAAATTTACTTTTTTTTTTTTTTGTGTTTTTCCTCAGAGGTGCTTCATTAAATTGTGAATCATTTTCCTTTTTATACAAGATGCATATATATATATATATATATACATATATATATTATAAGTAATGAGCTAAATACCTTTATTAACATCTGTTTTTGTAGCAACTACATATATTTTTCATACGAGAAAAGGGTGGGAAGGAAAAAGGAAGAAATTTACAAAACTGAATATGCGCTACACGGGCATTAGTTAACACGAGTGACGTCTACAAATGAAGTGGAACAAGACAAACAGAGAAAGTTTATGCATCATGCTATATATATATATATATATATATATATATACGAAAAAACAATATTACTCTACAAATGCTCAACCCCAAATCATTTTTTCCCCGTAGGAACTATTAATATTGTATAACATGAAATTTAAGTATTCTTTTAATTATTTTTCGTACTTAAATGATCACCATAATCGGGGTAGAATAATTAGGAGCTTTTAAAGAACACAAAAAAAAAAAAAAAAAAAAAGGTTAGCGACTTGGATTAAAAAAAAAAAAACCCCATAATTTGACGCGAAAAAAAAAAAAAAAAAAAAAAAAAAAAAAATTAACACAATAAAAAAATTCATGAGAGCTTTCTCTTATCATATAATACAACCCTTTTATGAAGAATACTAGAGGAATATAAAAATTAGATACGGGGAAGAGAAGTCTTCAAAGTTTAGAATAAAATTTCTCATGGTTACATTTTTTTCTTTTATTAATTGTGATAAAACCGGAATGATTTTTTTTTTTTTCTTTCTTTTTTTTTTTTGTGTAAGCACGTAAAAATGTTGCATTCGTCGGGACACGGGATATTTCCCTCTTGAATTCCCTATATTGTGATTATCTTCAGTTTTGCATAAATGAAGGAATTTCAAAAATATGGCAAAATATTGGAAAAATTCTACATGTACCTTTCCCCTTTTCTTTTGCCTCGATAAATGTACTTATTCGTCTGATATCTCTGATTCGTGGCATTCAAACGGCACGCAGATGTTCTGTCATGTGGACTTCTTCTCTCTGCATGAGCAAATACTGCTTAAGGTCACTTCCTAAACGTGCCGAATGTCTCGTAGTACTTCTGCAAATTGCGGGGATTCTCTACTAATTTGATAAAAGTTGTATTACCGTCACTAGAATATGAAATGGAATTCGGAACAACATTAAAATTTTTCCTGAGGTAGGGAATCCTCTCGTGAGCTTCTTTTGTCAAAAATTGAAGTGTTAAAACTCTAACATCTTTAAGTTTTTTAATTCGATCTTGAATAATGTTTACAAGTATATCACAATTTGTGCCAACTTTGGCCGAAATGGGTAGTGCATTTATTGGCTTGTTCTTATACAAACTAAAAACTTGTTGGTCTGATAATTTGTCTATCTTATTCCATACTTCGATCATATTGTTTTGTAAAAATTCATTGGAAAAACCTATTTTACTTAACGTATCAAGGACACATTTTTTATGTTGCTCCATGTAAGGATGACATACATCTATTACATGAACTAACATGTCTGCATTTTTAATTGATTCTAATGATATCTTAAAAGATTCATATAATGAAAAAGGAATGTTCTGAATAAATCCAATTGAGTCAATAAATATGCTTGGATGGCCATCAGATATATTCATGCTTTTGAAGGAACTATCGAGAGTTTGAAATAATATATTTTTTGCCTTTAATTTTGATTTTGTTAAATAATTTATTAATTTGGTTTTTCCAACATTCGTATAACCTACTACTGCTATTAAAGCTTTGTGTTTTCTTGAACTACTCTGTAATGTATTATTATTTTTACATTTTGTTAATTCTCTTCGTAGTTTTGAATAAAGATTATTGATAATTCTTTTTTCATATTCTTTGTATGTCTCTGAACTTTTTACATAATTGCTGGTGTATCCCAAATGGTCATAATTTTTCTTTTTATTATTCTGCTTTTCTCCATTGAACTCGTTTAATTGACTGTACTTCTCCTCAATGTCAATATTTGATTTTCCCAAAATATTATTTTCTACATATTTTATATATTTCATTCTCGATTTATTATCCTCTGAATAAGTATTAAAAATAAAGTTTGCCCTGGCTAGTTCCACCTGTAGTTTGCTCAGATTATTTTTCGCCCTGCTTTTCAGAATATGCAAAATGATGCTGTATCTATCGAATAACTCCATGTACAGTGGTACAATCTTTTTTTGGTGAAATAATTTATCTTTCGTCGATTCACCATTTCGATTGATTTGGTTATCATCGTTAGGACTGTCACCTTCGTCAGCCCATGCATTTTCTTCTTCCTCTTCCTGCTTCTCCATATAATCATTATACAAATCAAGGTATGTGCGTGCTTCATTCATCATATCGTCAGTACATTCATTATCTTCATAAATAAACTCTGTATCTCTAAATGTGTTGTGTGTTTCCCCTTTCTCTCTTTGTCTTTTTAGTTTCAACTGATCATGATAACTTTGCAGTATGCTGTTAAATAGCATATCCAAATTTCTCATCTGTTCAGGTGAAAGCAGATCGTTAATAAATATATATGGCGTTGGGTTTTTTAGAAAATAACTTGTTAATTCATTTAATTTACCTTTTCCAAAGTAAAACTTACTATCTATTTTGTTTACTTTAATCATAATCGACTCTGCAATTTTTTTTTCTATGTCATCGTATTGAAGATTCGTTTCCTCGAAGTAGTTATAATGTACATTGTCTCTAACATTCATAGAGGTGCTTTTACTTATTTCTTTTCCTGTTTTTTCTATTTCTTTATTATGTTTATCCTTATCAAAGGACGGGATATATACCCTTACATTATCATCATGTGTAAGACAACTTTCCCCCTTATTTGGTGCCTCTTCTCCAGTGAAAATATTCTCATCAGTTGTTTTTTCATATGATTGACATGGTGCCGTAACATTACCTTCTTCCTCCTTATGACATTTTGCTAAAAGATTTAGTTCGTTTTCCTTCCTATAATCACTTGAACATTTAAAAAATGTCCATCCCCCTATAGGCATAGAAATTCCATTTGCAATTTTGAAACCAGCTGATCGAGCTAACCCTAACGCTTCCTGGGCATCATATAGTATTTCCTTAAACGATTTGTTGCAGTGTTTCGATTTTTTTAGTATCGGGTGTAAAACAATAATTTCCTTTTTTCTTTCTCTGCTCAGTTTTGCTTTGCTTCCATTGATAAAATGCCGCTTCTGCGTGCGTGCAAAATTTCTTAACACAACGGGTGAGCGGTGCATTTCAACGAATAGTCATGTGGATGGATAGATGTATGGATGATCTGTGTTCACTTATATGTGTTGCAGGTGCACATATTGGTGGGGGCGTAAGAAAGTGTGATTGGAAAAAACGTGCAAATTATCATATTATTTTATTTTATATATTTACGTTACGAGTAATTTTCCCATTCGTTCAACAGGACAGACATTCTTCTCTTTCTAGTTTCAACCGGTATAGTTTTTTTTTTTTTTTTTTCAAAAATAAACATTGGACTTTAATTTGTAGATGGGCACAAGTAGACAATACCTGTACTGTTTTTTTAGTTTTTAAAGGACTTGTAACATTTAAGCCAATTTTGCGCTAATTTTTTACTATAATATGATTTTTCTCCTTTTCGGTCCTCCTTGTTATAATAAGTTAACGTGCAGAACAAAATTTATCAAAATGTAATACTTTAACATCCATTTGTTCAAAGGGTAAACTTTATAATTTGTTGCACAAATGTGAATAATATCATTAGCATGTCACATTTTTTTTTTTTTTTTTTTTTTTTGTTCATATTTTGGAACTCCTAAATGGTGTAAATATTGGACCTTGTCTGTGTGGGGTATACTACGAAAAATATCTGTACAAACATAGGTACACATATTTTATTTGTATACACCCCTGATATTTGTAACGTTGGCAAACTGAAATTCAAAGCCACTTGTGGTGTGCCAAAAAGAGGAATGTAGTTTTATTTTTAGCAGTAGGGAATATTAACGTGTATTTTATTTTGTGTGCAAAATTGCTATCTTATTTTTTTTTTTTTTCTACAAGTATTTTTTTCTTTTTTTACATTGCGTCAGATAGATAAGAAACTGGGTGCAATATTGTTAAGGTTGATCATGTGGAATGATTCAGTTTCATTCGTGATGAAAAATTACAGTATCTTATTTACATTCTTTAATTTAAAAAAAAAAAAAAAAAAAACATGACATAATATGGCTTGGCATAACTTGACATAATATGGCATAGCATAACATGACACAACATGCCATCTGTAAGTCGTCCTCCTCTTTCTCTTCTTCCATTTCCATAGAAGAATTGCTTCCCCATAGAAATGTCCCGCAAAACATAAGTAGAATTGTGAATGATTCATAAAACAGAAGCTCGAGGAATTACATTATTTATTAACGTTTTTTTTTTTTCGACATATGCATAACCTTAAGAGAGAAGTTATAAGCATAACATCATATATGTTCGAGCGTGCGTGAGTAATGTGAACAAATTACGTGTCGCTACCACGAACATGTTTTTGAAAAACAGTAACTCTAATAAAAACTTATTTTTCTCCACTCATGAGAGGGCAAAATTTATATAGGATATTTTTTTTATAAGCATCATATATGTTTTTTAATCGTAGCAGAGATTATTATTCGAGAGTTATTGCGCTTACACAAAAAAAAAAAAAAAAAAAAAAAAAAAAAAAAATCAAAACCATAAAAAGTAAAGCGTAACATACAAAATATATCAAACAAAAAGAAGAATTTTTGCGACAAATTCCCTTGAGTAAATAAAGAGTTATGCGACTACATGCAAAAGTGCCACAAGAAAAAAAAAAAAAAATTGAGAATTTCAAAATGCATATCACAAATTGAATGTTACAAATTAGGTGTATCAATTTTATGAACAAAATTTATTTTGAACAGTTTTTATCAGTTCAATTCGTTTTAAATCAACAATATGCAATATTTTTAGAAATGATATTAAGGAATATAACTCGGAGTTTCGCATGTCCCCTTGAGCTATAATAATAACCCCCCCTCCCCATCTCTACGCTTACAGAAATAACAAATGCATATTATATAGCAACAAATACATACATATGAATAGAGTATATACACATACATATATATGTACCTATTTTATGAATATATACTACGAACACACAAATAAATACACGAGATTAGGCTAGTGACGATAGCATTTTCTCGAAAAAAAAAAAAAATAATAACTCTATTTTCATTCCACAGAAGGCAAAATGCCGATAAATGTATCATTTAAAGTTACAGGGGGAAAAGAATTCACAATTTCGATTGAACAAGAAATAACTGTTTTGGAATTAAAACAAAAATGTTCTGAACATGTAGATATCCCAGTTGAGTGTCAAAGGATTATTTTTAAAGGTATAGATTAAAAACGGAGAAATAGTAGCTGCAAAAAAAAAAAAAAAAAAAAAAGAAAAAAGACATTTTGTTGCATACGCGTATTCATTTTAAGAAATATATATAGCCTATGCCCCTTGTACGATTGGGTTGCATATAGCTCATTTTTTGATTGACATGTGTATATATGTTCCCCATGATAAGCTCATATCTGAGGAATTACTCATACATTTGGTTACTCTCCATATCTTCTCTGTTGCAGGAAAAATATTGAAAGACAAAGAACCTCTAACAGTGTATGGTGTAGCGGACGGCATTACCATGCATTTGGTTCGCAGCGCTGCACCTGTGAAGGAGCGTAAGAAAAAAAAAAAATAAAATAAATAATAAATAAACAAATGAATAAATAAGTTCACATATACCTATAAGTGTGCATGACTATGTAACAATTTTTTGTGTATATCTCAGAACATGCAAAGGTAATTATGTCCACATGAACAAATGCGAATTTTACACACATCTTGCAGCTGAAACCGAAAAGGAGACAAACAAAAATGACAGCACAGACAATACCATAAACGCACCCCAAAATGCGAACGTTGGCACAAATCCAGGAGCTCCTATGAACAACTTTGGAGATAATCCTTTAGTTCAGATGTTTATGCAAAGTGGGGCAGGAGGTACTTATTAGCATGCGCGCCCCTTTTTATATTTTCAATATATATATATATATATATATGTATACATTTATGTAGAAAAAATGTATGATTCATAAAGATTTAAATGAACATTTCAGTATACATGTTGAGATGTGTTTTCCTGTTTTTCTGTTTTTCTTTTTGTTTTTTTGTGATTTTTTGTGTTTTTTTTTTCATTTTTTGTATTCACACGCGAATGCATTATTTCCATCGTCGTCCTACTTGTTCCCATTCGAAGGAAACATGAACCCGAACGCGGGACTAGGTGCAGGAGACAACCTGAACCTTGGATCTTTTGCTAATTTTCTAAATCCAGGCGGAAATGGGGAATTAAATAGAGACAGCATAAGTTCACTATTAAATAATCCACTTGCGAGATCGTTAATGAATGAAATAAGCAACAATCCAGAAATGCTAGCCAATATAGTATCTAACAATCCACTTCTGAGGAACACATTTTCACAGAGCCCAATTATGCAACCCGTTTTGGAAAATCCAAACCTGCTAAGAGAATTAATGAGACCCGAATTTCTACAGGCAGGTTTACAATTTGAAAATGCTTTAAATATGAACAACAGTGGTGGTAATAATAACAATGCAAACAATGCTAATAATAATCAACGGGGATTAAGAATGGAAGATCTTTTAAGTAACTTGAATAATTTCGCAAATGCAAATCCAGGTTCAGGTAGCGGAAATCCAAATGATAATAGTAATAACAATATGAATAACATGAGTTCTCTTTTCCAATCACCTGAACTATTACAAACATTTCAACAAGTTATGCAAGCTAATCGTAATTTAGGAAATTTTAATTTTCCAAATGCAGGCCAAAATATGGATTTCAGTGCACCAAATGTTGCAGATAATAGACCACCTGAGGAGCGATATGCTTCTCAGTTGCTAAGCCTTCAAGAGATGGGTTTCATTGACAATGATGCTAATATTCAGGCTTTGCAAGAAACAGGAGGGGATGTAAATTCTGCAGTTACAAGACTTTTGGAGAAGGGCTTTAATTAGAAACGTACTAATTCAAATGCTTTCCCGATTTTTATTTTTTGGGGGGGCACCTAAAACGTACGAAAAAAAATTACGCGTTCATGCATATTAAAACATATATATAATGTGCTTATACTTATAGACTTAATATATGTGCATTTAATTATTTTTTTTTTTCATTTCTGCCAATTCCCCCATGTGCTTATCCTAATAAGAAAACGTACACGCATCAGTCGTTATATGTTTATATGTATATATATATATATATATATATATACATACATATAATAATAATGTGACATCCAAATTGCACTTTTTCCCTTCGCTAACACATCTGCAGTGTTATACACATTTGAGATGCGTAATACTAATCATCACTACCGTTCCTTTTGCTTATACGTGTATATAAATATGGATATGCATTAATATAGATATACATAAATATAGATATACATAAATATAGATATACATAAATATAGATATATGTAAATATGGATATATGTAAATATGGATATATGTAAATATGGATATATGTAAATATGAACATGCGTTAATATGGATATACATAAATATGAACATGCGTTAATGTGGACATGTATACACATCTGTGCATGCGCCCATTGTACATTTTCCATTTTTTCTTCCCTTTCGCAATTTTTTCCTGTTTTGTATGTGTAATGTTTTCAAACAGTTTATACCTTTTTACAATTTAAAAGTGGATATAACAAATGCTAACGTTTGTCATTTGTAAGAGGAGTTTAGTACACATTGTATTCTTCGGCCAGCGGAGGGTCCCCTACCGTTGGTTTGTGCGAATAAAAAATGAGCAAAAAAAAAAATGAAAAAATAAAAAACGGGGAAATAAAAAATGAGAAAATAAAAAATGAGAAAATAAAAAATGAGAAAATAAAAAATGAGAAAATAAAAAAGGGGGAAATAAAAAATGAGAAAATAAAAAAGGGGGAAATAAAAAACTAGGAAATAAAAAATGGAGAAATAAAAAATGGGGAAATAAAAAATGGAGAAATAAAAAATGGGGAAATAAAAAACGGGGAAATAAAAAATGGGGAAATAAAAAATGTAAAAACGTGCACGTGCAACGTATGAGTAATAACGAAAGTTGTTGCAAGAGAGAAATAGCTACCGCGAATCCATACAATGGACAAGCATATCCACAAGACATATACATATGTACATGTATGTATATAACATGTAAATATCCGGGGTCACTTCGTTTTAGTGTGAACCTTCTTGGCTTGCTGCTTGAGATAGTTCTGTATGATAAGCGTTGAAAATATCATGACAATACAACCCCATTGTACAGGCTTCAGAACGTGGCCAAATAAATAAACAGAAACAACAGTACTTAAAGCCTTTCTAAGAGTTGTAAACAAGCTGGTGTATAAACTTCCATACACTTTGAGCGAATAGAAAACAAAAAACTGGCCCAATGTTCCGCTTATTGAAAAGGCTATAATATAATAATGCGAATTTGTATATTTTACTAAGAAATTATATGGCTTTGCACCTTCAATAATTAATGATGCTATAAAATTAAAAAAAAAAGCAAATATATTTACGTAAAACATTAAGTTTATTGAGTTTACATTGTATTTACTTAATAATTTGTCTTGTCTTGGTCCTGTCAATCCATCACATATTAATGATAAAGATAAGAGCAAAAGTCCGAAAGTTGTTTGATGAACTTCTTTCGATGTTTTTGTTCTTAACAAATTGAATATTACTAAAGAAGACGTAATTAAAAATACCGAAATGTAATCATAGTAGGGATATTTTTTGCCAAAAAAAAAATAACCACCAACAACTATAGGTATCATTTTACCAGACTTTACAAGTACTTGCGTTGGAAAATTCACATGACTTAAAGAATAATTTGTTGCTATCATTGCAATTGAATACGTTATAGATATTAACATTATTTGCTTTAGGAAATACATGTCCACATTTTTTTTTAAATCTTGTAAAAAACCTTCATTATTCATTTTACTCTTAATAAATACTGCTGTTAAACTGCATATGCTATTTGAAAGGCATAAAATACATATTAAAAATATATTGTAATAAAATTTGTCCTTGCCTTTACCTAAATTTGGCATTTTTTCTTGATAATACCCAAAAATTAAAAAGAAAAAGTATATCCCACTAACACATATCAGTCCATTTAATAAATTATAAAAATATGATCCTTCGTTAAGGTCCCTCTTCCAAAACATTACATTTTTTTTCAGTTTCGCCATGTTTTTTTTTTTTTTTTTGTTTTCTTACACAAATAATTTCAACTACTGTCAAATGGTGGCCCAATTAAATGGTATGAAAAGAACAAATATCCTCTTAAGTTAAATGGGAAAGGAACAGTCTCATATGTGTTTGCAGTTATTCCTGGTTGACACTCTTGTATGTTCAACTAACATGATTCACAAGAAATATGACTTTAATGGGATGTGCAAACGTTAGCACATTTTGCAAAACCATCCCAAGGATTTCTTAAGTTACGCGCAATTTTTGTTAACAAATTAAGTTTTTATTCTTACAATCGAACCCTAAAAAATTTTGTTCCTCTGTGTGTTTATATGTTTTTTTGATATATACCTCTGTTACTCGTATGTGTCCAAAGAACATTCATGAAAAAAAGAAAAAAAAAAAAAAAAAAAGGATACACAAAAGGGATACAAAAAAAAAAAAAAAAAAAAAGGTTAGAAAAAGAAAAAGATAATACAAAAACGCACACATTAATTTTTTAATTGAAATATTTTTCCACATAAACTAGTGCATAACAATTTTTTTTTTTCATCTTCCTCTTCCTATATATTTGAACATTTTCTTTAAAGTTTCAAGGTGATTTCATTAATCAAGTAATACAAAATAAAGGCCCACGTGAGTCAATCGCATGATGTGTACAAGGAATGAGAGGTGTAACTGGAAACAAAAAAATTCGTCATTTTCTTTTTTTCTTTTTTTTACTATCTTGTGTCCTAAGACGTTAAATCGATGAAATAATAAATATCTCATATAAAATTACTATAAAATGGGAACTCATTTGATTATTCGTCATCTCCCCATTTTCCTTTTTTTTTTTTTTTCTCAGTGAATTTATTAGGTTCCTTTACCATCAAATGTATCACCTGATGGGTTTTTTCTTATGCACAATCTACTATTAAACTATGCCGTTTAGAACATAAAATCATATAATTTTTAAGGGAAAAAAAAAAAAAAAAAAAAAATTTTTAAATTAAAAAAATAGACATCTTTTTCTTGTTTTGGCAAAAATAACTTGTTCATCGTTCCTTCATTCGTACAAAATTGTTTCCATTAAAATTTCCTTATATTGACAATAGTAACGAAGTGTGGTACACAGCATTTTGTATATCTTTTTATTTTTATTTTTTTTTATTATAGTTTTTAATTTTTAAGGGGAAATATATTATCCAGGAATGAACGGAAAAAAAGAGTAAAATTGTTGGGGTACGAGGCAATGTTTCGTAAAATTTTTTTAATACGTTTCTTATTTTGTATATAACCAAATGAAGAATGACAAAAAAAAAAAAAAAAAAAAAAAAAAAACAGCTGCACACATTAATACTTAGATATATGGACATATAGGCACGTACTTGAATGTGTACAAAGGTGTTGCTTTTCATTTATACATATGGCGAGAGGTGGACAGATGAATTTCCAGGGTATCGCATATATATATGTATCTGTTTATACATGCATGCTGACATCTAGAACACTTCGCACTGATGAAACTGATACAAGGCTCACTATACATATGTGTTCATATCTACATAATTCACATATAATTGCGTAACCTTTGACAGCGCCTTATGTATCTGGAAATTGGTATGCATGCGTAATTAAAATTATGGAGCTCTTTGATAAAAAGGTCGCGAAATGTTTCACTGGTAAATAGGAATGTTGTGGTCAGTAGACTCTTAACTAGTATGTCTTACATGGTGTACTAACTGCACAATTAAAAGCATAACGGCATGGATTGAATGACGAACAAATATTAGCGATATCTTAAACTAACGCGTTCTCCCAATCTTTTTCTTTTTCTTCGCAAGGACAACCTTGTTTTTTTATTTTTAAAATGTAATAATCCCTGTGTGTTTAAAAAAGAAAAAAAAAAAAAAAAAAGTGAGGATTTTTCAATTCTACTAAGATAATATTTATGTACTGAGATCGAAATGTAAGCATGATTGTGTATGATGCGATGGAAAATATATTCATTTCAAGTTATTGCAAATACATGAAAGTATGGGCTATCGCATATTTGCATGAACAGTATCACAGAATACATGCACTTATGTTGTTGTACACTTTTTTGCGCGATGAAACGAAGCATCATTTTGTAAAAGAAATGAAAAATGATATAACACCTGTCGGGTCTTTTCAAAAGATGATTTTTCTTGGTTTTCTTTTTTTAAAATAGGCATAAGAAAAACGTTATTCAAAAGGATTAAATTTTTTAAAACATGTTCGTTGTAGTGATGGTCTTCTCTTGCTGCTGATAACAGCTTATCATGGTGTACAAATTTTGCAATACCATATTTTGTTAGTAAATTATTTTTTTCAGAAAAGATCAAATGATTTAAAGAACTGGTGGTGTTTTTCGAACGGAAAAAAAGATTTCTATTGGCAAAATTGAATTTAGCAAAGTTCATTTTTTTCAATTTTTTTAACGAAGTATTTAAGCCGTGAAAAAAACAAACGAAGTGTGATAAGAGAATGGGTGAAAAGTAAAAAAAACAATTCTCTTCTTTTTTTTTATGTAAAATATATGCTGTTGGCAATTAAGAAGTAACGCCTGTAGCGAATGCAGAAAAAAATAAAATAAATATAGATGATATGAAAAATTATTCCAAATATTTAGGGAACTTAAGGGTATCTTTTGCTCCCATTTCCCTATCTACCATAATTTCCACAAAAAAGGAAAAATAAAAGAATAATGTTTAAATTCATGAGAACCAACTTGGAGCGAAAAAACATAATTCTTAAAATGTGCACCTTTTAAAAAGGGACAAACGTAAGCAGATTAAAAGGTGGGACATTCAAGCAATTTGCCATAAGCATCTCTGTTACTTTAGTTAATAAATATGTCAGCAATAACTGTGGTTTTCTGTTCAAATGGTTATGTATTTATATGGCTTGTAAATGCAGGGTTGTTTATAATGAAGTGCAACGTGGAAGGTGTATATAAAGGTAAAAGTATGTATAAGTGTATGTGCAAATGTATGTAAACACAAAAAAAAAAAAAAAAAAAAAAAATTGCACATAAATGTTCAGAAACTTTTTACATAATACACAAAAATGTACATAAATTAAATAAATATCCATATAACCCTATACGTGTTGCATTATATTTTAATATGATATCCCGAAGTACCTCTCTTTTTGAAAAATTTACTTTAAGTTGTTATATATCTTTAGTTTTACGTGGTAAAAATGAAGATAAAAAACTGATTCCAAATGGGCGAGTATTTCAAGGTAAAAATGGACGTAAATTGGGCCCAAAAATGAGCGCAAAAGTGAACACAAAAGTGAACACAAAAGTGAACACAAAAGTGAACATAAAAGTGAAAGCAAAAGTGAACATAAAAGTGAAAGCAAAAATGAACGTAAATTGCGACAGAAATATAAAAATAAATATCTAAATGTTCATATATTACATATATATACATATTACATACACATAATAATATGTACGTATAATAACCCCTGGTTCATTCACAAAAATAAATTGCATGCAGCAAAATTCCATAACGTTACTATTTATTGTTTTATGCATGTAATAAAAATTTTGCCAATCTTTCAGCAATGTTATATATATAAAAAATATATATATTTACGCATTTCTTTTTTATAAATTTTAATTTATGATTTTCGATAATTTTCCTATTACAAAAAAAAAAAAAAAAAAAAAATATATATAAATAATCAAGCGCAACGAGCAAAACAGTCAAAATAAGTAAAGCGAGAACAAGTGAAGAAAGTTAAACATATAAAATATTAAGAAAACCTTCATATAAAATCTCAAACAAATGGATAACAAAGCAATACGTGAGTTTTTGTCCCATCACCATTTTTTTTTTTTTTTTTACTTTTTTTTTTACCATTTATATATATAAAAACTTATATGGACCAAAGTTTTGAAAATTTCAATTTATTAAATCCATAAACAAAAGTTCCCCCATCCCCCACAAACAATTAACATCCATTCTTTATTTTACGAAAACGTTAATACTTATTTTGTCATATAAAAAAATTTAAATTTATTTTTTCTTCAAATTGGTAAAAAAAAATATATAAATTATACAATTTTACCCCTCTAAATAACATACCAGTGATCGGATTATCATATTAAACAACCTGTCAGAAATTAAATTTTATTATATACATTTTTTATATATCCATATATCGTCCGAATATGCCCATATAGAGAGCTTTTTAATTAAAGTTTAAATTCACTTTATATAAAACATTAAATCAGAAAAATAATATTCATAATACACTTGTACTCACAGATAATTATGAAAAAACAAAAAATAACAAGAAATAATTGCATTTATTATAAATCTATATATAATATACAGCAAAACATATTCCACATATCATAAAAAAATGAAATAACGATAAGATAAAGTATAGAAGTATACAATTTTAACCAAGACTGGAAAAGCAAAAAAAAAAAAAAAAAAAAAAACACACAATATCTGAAAAAGCTATCAATCATCTCATTAAATATATGAATTATGTGTATATGTATTATTTATATATAAGGACATTTTGGAAACCGCATGTTTAATAAAAAAAAAAAACAGAATTATACAAGAATAGACATAACGTTTTTTTTTTTCTTTTTTTTTTTTTTTCCCCACATTACTTTAATATGCATAAGAAGATTATACATAAAGTTTCCGAAGGTTTAAACTTTTGTTTCTTAAGTTATATTGCTAAATAAATTAAATGGAAATAAGAAATGTTAAAAGTATTTTATATACAGGGAAAACTATATTTTTATTATCAGAAATAGGAAGAAACGTATGTTGGGGGCGAACATACAAGTGTATAACAAAGAGGAGGAAAGGAAAGAAATGACCTACATAATTTTTCTTGATGAAAAAGGATATTAAACAAATCGTATAACAATATATATATATATATATATATATATATATATATATTTTTCTTTTTTCTCCTTTTACGGTTATGGAATATAAAATATGAGAAAAGAAAAAATTAATAAAATTAAAATATCCTTGTAAAAACAAAAAGAAGTTAATTAATTTAAGTAAAATAACACGTTGGAGTTAGAAGAAAAATATAGACATTTTGTCCACCAGGAATATTAGCACATGGACTTTTATGAGACACGCTCAAATTACTAATTTGTATTTTTATTTTAAAGAACAAGTTATTTTGCAAATGCATCTAGACGCATATAAGTAGATGGACAAAAAAAAGCAAATAACTAAATTAAGCAATAAAAAAGTAAAAGATAAGAATAACATAAATGATAGCATATAAACACATTACATAAATGAGAAATAGACAAGGAAAGAAATAAAAAATTATGCACACATCTTAAGTGATACGAATAGAGAGGAAAAATATTTCACATGTATGATACATTCTAAGGGCACAACAATAACAACAACAACAGCAACAACAGAATAAAATAAAATAAAAAATAGAATAAATAAATAATATAAGGTGCACGTCAAATGTTAATGGCGAAGAAAATTATATAAAACGTATAAGAAGAAAACATACAGAAAGAAATATAATGCTTTGTCATACATGAGCTTATACATTTTAATGGACAATTTGTTACTTCTCATTGAAGCTGATGTATACATGATGTATGCATAATATTGAAAAGAATTATCATGCAAAGCCAAAGCACAAAGTGGAAAGAGATATAAAGATATCAAGTACACTATACAAAATATTAATAAAAAGTATAAAAAGAAGAAATCTATATGCAGTTTAATAAGTATATCCTTTTATAGATTGTACACATGTAAATATGCTTATGTATTAAGACATATATATATATGTGCACATAAATATATAATTCACGAATCATTACAACGTTGCACGCATTCCACATCCCCACTCATATTTTAATAAACTGAACATATACCAATTTCATTATAACAAGGAAAAATTTTTTTTGTATAAAAGCGATACAAGACATAGTATCCGTATTTTATATAAAATCATTTGTTCTATTTGTTTATTTATTTTTTTCGAATTCTATTTTATTAAAGTTAGCTAATCACACTTTTTTTTCTTTTTTTTTCTTTTTTTTTTTGTGTTATATGGAGTAAACGCCCCATGCAAATGAACCCGTTTTTATTTGTAGCCATGTGAAACATTTTCCACTGCAGTGTGCGTGCAGAAACGCACTGCCCGTAGGAATGGTAGAATTGCAGTTGCCTATCGAAAAATATACATGAGTTTTACATGTGCTCACATTTTTATGCACAGATGCGTATGCACGTGTGTATGTAGATATACATATGTATATACATGTATCCATATATGAATCCATATTATATATACAAGCTTGCTCAAGCACATTTGTATACTTGTACCATCGCACACACGCCCATTTTATGTGCTCATTGATTTATTCACGCATGCCCAGTTGGGTGCACATTTTTGCTCTACATCATCCAATTACGTTAATTTTTTCATCCTATATGTATTTTTCATCCCTCATTTAAAGATTACATATAGAGTACATATTCACATATAGTGTATATGATCACCATGCATACATATATATTATTACATAAAATTTACACAGTACAATGATTTATCAGTTCCTTTATAATTTTATAAAATATTTTTATATATTTAATGCACAAGTTATAAAATAGATGTAATAATAATTTTTGAAATTGAATCATTTTCCACGTAAAGTTATGAATAAAAAAAAAAAAAAAAAGTGCACAAGCTTAATGTTATTTATATGTTTTATATTTATTCATTAATTTGCATATCCTACAGTTTATCATAAGAATTTCCCGTATTTATTCCTTTTTTCTTTTTCTTTTTTTTTTTTTTTTTTTTTTTTTTACGTATAGGAAAAAGTTATACAACTATAGGACAATTTTAATCATTTCATCTGTTATTAATTATTAATTATGTGTTTATGTTTGGAGACGTTTTCAATGTTGTGTATAAATAGTTTCTACATTTCACGTAACGTTGCATGTGTATTTTTCCAACGCCCATTTAGTTATATCCCCTTTTTTAGTACATTTTAAAATTGGAAAATACATGAATATGTAAATGTGCACAAACAAATGATAGCAGTAGTAATATATTTCCGGCTGTCTAATTAATTGTGCTTACATATGGAATCATCAAATACGTGTTATATGTGTGTGTATATGCATATGTATACGCAATATATATTCACATATTCTTGTGAAAGCAGTGCTAAGTAAACTTCTCTTTATGAGCATTTAAGGGTACATCCACATTTGTTTATTTATTAGTCCTACTCATTCGAGAAAAGAAATAATACTTCTTCTCGCATTTGTTTATAACATGTATATGCTACACGAAATAGTGAAGTTATTTTTAATTAATAATTTTTATGTTTGAGGTTTCATATGTATGTGTGCTCTAATGTATGGATGTATATATATATGCATACTCATATTTACGCATATTTGCTTAGTATGAAACACGTTATACGAATAATGTTACGTCCCTGTTAACGTGAACACACCACGGTTTTGTCCTATTGGTGTTTTTTTTTTTTTTTTTTTTTTTTTTTTTTTGAGAGTTAGTTCTATCCAGTTAGTATCATTATTAACGTGACCAAAAGCTCGAGTTAATCTCCCATCCCTCCCAGAAAATAGAGGGCAGTTGAAGTGCATTAATATACGTACACCTTATTAGAGGCTACATTAAGACAGAATTCCCTTTGTTTTGTATATTATATTACAAGCATATGTTTATATGCTCATTCACATATACATATGCATATATATATGAATACAAAATAGAGAAGAAGAAAAAAAAAAAAAAAAAAAAAAAAAAAATCAGACCTACATGATTTACAGGAAGAAAATTTACTCTTCTCAGGATATATTAAATCTAGTATAAAGTAATAATTCCTATTTTTTACATCACTTTGGAAAATGCCAAACAGTATTGATTACGATTTTTTAAAGACATCTAAACACCTGTGTATTAGTTGCACCAGTGGCAAAAGTCATAGATGTAACAGGACCAGCAATTGTAATCGAGACATTAATAGTATCAGTGAGAAAAACTACAACTCTTCTAACAACTTCGATCAAGTTATTGATAAAGTACATGTGAAGAAATATTTCGAGATGGAAAGGCATTTTGGTAACATGAATTATAATATGGATTATCTGAACCCCGTTTTAAATCATCCAACGAAAATTGAACATGGGAAAATAAAAATACTCATTTTAGATGCCCCAACAAATGATTTATTGCCACTGTATATAAAAGAAATGAAAAATTTTAATGTGACAGATCTAGTACGTACATGTGAAAGGACATACAATGATGGAGAAATAACAAGTGCAGGAATAAATGTACACGAATTAATATTCCCAGATGGGGATGCCCCAACTATTGAAATCGTGACCAACTGGTTAACTATTGTAAATAATGTAATTAAAAATAATCGTGCAGTTGCTGTTCATTGTGTAGCAGGATTGGGTAGAGCCCCCGTTTTAGCTTCCATTGTACTTATTGAATTTGGTATGGACCCAATTGATGCAATTGTCTTTATACGAGACAGAAGAAAGGGAGCAATTAACAAAAGACAATTACAATTTTTAAAAGCATACAAGAAGAAAAAAAAAAAAAAAAACTGCCTTACAAAATGTCATTTTATGTAATTTTTTTATATATTACATAATTGTGGAGAAATTCATATAGTTACGTAGTATATACTAAAAAAAAAAAAGATAAGAAAAAAAGGATTAAAATACTAAATTAGGTGTTGATAATTATAAAATTTTAATTTGTGAATTAAAAAGTATGAATTATTATAGTGTTAAAAAAAAAAAAAAAAAAAAAAAAATTCCCTTCCCGGTGTATTATTTTTTTTATTTTTTTTTTATTATTTTTTTTATTTTTTTTTTTTTTTTTTTTTGTACAAGACGATGCATTTGTATAAGGGTTTATAATGGACCATGGTCTATACTTACAGCTACACAGCAGTTATATATATTTATGCATATGTGCAACTCCCAATAGGTGTGCAAATATATATCCATATATACTACCTACGTACACGTGCATACTCTTTTTTAACTATATGTGTAAAAATTTAATTCATAAGAAAAAATAAATTTTAGTTTATTCCAATTCGTCGTTCCAAATGGAAGCAGAATGTTTAAAAATGATTATCCCGTTTAGGAAATCTGCATTAAAATGGTTCATCGCTATGAATTATGTAAGGAAGTTAAAATAAAAAATAGTTAAAAAATGCTGCTTTATATATAGTGGTAAGGAAAATGTCTGAAATTTTTTTGATTACAATTTCTCAATGGGGTATCAATTTTATAACGTTGAAAGCTTCTGTCCAAGTGTGCACCATTTTAGCCTTCCAGAAAATCTTGAACGGCTTTGGGATAATATTTATATGCATATGAAATGAGTATGTCTATAAAATTAATTTCACCAATATCCATAAAAAATCTGTAAACAGTATTTTCAGCATTAAATTGGCTTATGAATGATTCCCCTAATTTGATCAAATTTGTACACATGTATGATTGGAAAAATGGTTCACCAAGAATGTTAGAAATAGTTCCTGAAACTTTATTCAAAATATCTATAATGACCTTTAGCAACTTCTTTTTGTATCTTGAATGAAAATACAGTTCCACAGTTTGTATGGACGAAATAGTAAGATAGGATATAAAATTTCCAAATAATTTTTTTAAAGTAACATTACTTGATAATGCTGAATTTATGTGTTGAATTATTTCTTCAATAAAACGAGCATTTCCAATGTATTTCATATGTATAATGGCAATAACTTGAGATAATATTTTCTCAATTTTGTCTTCATCAATTATGTTAAGAATATTTTTCATAGATACCGATAAATTTTGTAAATTAAACAAACACATGTCGAATAAACTATGCTTTATCGTATGTGTATTAGTTAACGATGTCTTCAGTTCATGATCCCGCACTATCAAAAATAACATGTCTAAACTCTGTATTACATTCATTTTGACATAATAGGTGATGTACTTTGATATGTAGTTTTTTCGATAAAAATACAGACTTTTTCTTAAAAAAAAATCAAAACCATGCACAAACGTGAAGGAAAATACACCACCTTTTAATTTAGAGTATAAATTATTCATCCTCACACCAAAGAGGCTACCAACTATGCTACTGTCTGTGTCTGTTTTCACTTCATGTTCAGTAAAATTGTATACTATTCCTCTGGAATTTTCTATACTATCTGTAGATTTTTTCGCGATTTCAGCGCCTTCTACAAGACCATTCTCTTTCCCATCCTCATGATTGCATCCCTTGTAGTAGCCATTAAAGTAACCACCATCGTAAGCACTGTTGTAACCATCAACATAATCACCATTATTCATTTCATTCGTACAACATATTCCTGAGACCTTTTGTGGGGATAACCTTCTGATTTTATAATCCTTGTGATGAACCAAACTGGAATTTCCCATTACTCCTTTTTTTACAGCATGTATTTGGTAGTACTTCTCTTTATTATTCTTCTTCTTAGCGGCCTTTAGTGGGCTATATTTCTGATATTTCCTATTCCTTATGAAAAATATTTCTTTCCCCTTTTTATCAGAAAATGTACACAGTCTATTATTGCAAGATGGTCTTTGCAGTGACGACCCCTTCCTCATTTGTGGATTTATAATTTTCCCTTTTTTACATATTTCTCTAAACTTTTCGTTTAATTCAAAGCATGGTATGCACCTTGTGTGTTTTTTCTTCAAACCAGGAACCATGGGAAAGTTGTTCATGGTTTTATTTGAGTTGTTCCTTTTATCTAATAGGAGGAGACGTTTTTTTGTGCAAGAATTCCAATAGTGATTTCGTTTGACACATGTATTTGTGAGTGTATACGGATGTGATATTGAATTCGGTTTTTCAATATTCTTGCCAATCTTCACTATTTCATTGCTAGTTTTGTAGGTTCTTTTTTTATCAAGAGATGTAATTGGAGTGTCACGTTGTATGAAGACATACTCGGAACTCATTTTAGGTATGGTATTTTTTTTTTTGAAATGTTTTGAATTAGAACCCATTTTCATCAATGTTGGTTCTTGATCAATACTTATGATCTGCTTTATAGTTTTGTCTACTTTGTAAGACCTAGTGGAAGCTAAGAAAACAAACTTTAAAAATGATTTGATCAGATTAATAACTGTGCTCTTTTCATTAATATGCTTTATCGTTTGCATATTATAATTGATATCAATTTGATTTATGATATGTAATAAATTATTATTTTTGTTGTGGGAAAAAAAGTATTGTTTGACATTGTTTATAAAATTTTCATAAAAGGATGAATGTTTACTAATACTAAAATTGGAAGGATAGTTATTTAGTATATAAATATAATTTTCAACCATTACTTCTACAAATGATGTAATTTCTGATAAATCGATTGCTGTGTATACTTGTTTTTTTTTATTATTTAGTATGATCATTAATTCATTTATTTGCTCTTCTGTAAAATTAAATATAATATTATTCCTATCATCTTTATGAATGAATCGATATCGTATAGCACATTTGTAAACAAACTTTGCAATTTCTTCATGATCTTTATTTAACACTGCTCTTTTTTCAGGATCTAATTTAAAAGTTGTGTACCTTTTAGTTCGATACATATAAACAGAGTTGTTGCTATCAATGATTCTGTTAATGCTGGATTCTAAATTTACATACTGTCTTCTGGTCCTTATTAAATCAGAGAAAGCATAATAAAAAGAAAATAGTAATAAATGATGAACTTTATAAACATCAAAATTGAATGGTGGGGATGTTTTTATAAAATGATGGTAAAAATCATTCTTCTTTAGTTCTTCATCTAATGCCATTTTAAATGCATCTAGTATATTATCATCTTTTAGGAATCTATTTAGATCCATTAATTTTACTCCCTTTATGAAGTAAGCAACAAGATCATGCTGTACTATTAGTCGTTTAATGCTGTCTATTTGTTTCTTTTGCATCCATACAAAATCGCTAATTTCGTACGTACTATTTGTACCCATGCTCGTGGAAAAAAAATTTGTACCACGGATAGAACCGTCTGTCCAACCATCAAGGGGTTGTTCTCTTTTCTTAACATTTCCATTCATCTTTTTATGATCTGGAGTCGTTGAAAAATTGTTTCCCTCAGAGGATGCATCTTCCGTTTTATGAAAAATAAAATTATATATAGTTCCTAAGGGGTTGGAAAATTTTGTTGCAATTTTAGATTGATTTGTATCCATCTGATCCAAATTATATTGTGTTGAAGAATTAGAATTTGTTTCTCCCCCAGAGTATACTGATGTTCCTTCCTTTGTTGAACCCTCGTCATTTCCGCTTTGACTAGCCTGAATTATATTTCTAATTTCTACTATATCTATATCTAATAACTTGAATATTAGATCAGCATTTTCTGCTACTTGTAAAAGAGATTTTTGTATTTCTGGATAATATGCTAATAAAATTAAAACAAAAAAGGAATAAACTTTTGTATTTTCTTCCCCTTCACTTATATATTCATTTGGATTCGCTGACAATTTATATCCATAAGCATCATCACTAAAAGGTTTATGATTAAAAATAAGGATGTCTACTGATTCACTAGGAAAATGTATATTTCTTAAAAAGACATGTTCATTGTATAACAATTCTATTTCTAAATATAATGTACTCGTTTTACTTAACATATGTTTCATAAATTTTGAATAATTTTCTTTTTTATATAACAGTTTAGTATATTTATTTCCAACTGCACTCAATTTTTGTTGAACACGTAATGGTTTGAATGGTCTTGTTTCGAACATCAATTTGTATATCATTGCTGTGTATATATTTTTATACAATGTGTAAATATTATATGCATTTCCATTGCTTATTCCATCTTTTTTCAATTCATAATATTTATCCATTAACTGTTGTAACACGTTGAGTGTTCTGTTTAGAATAGTAATTCTACATTTCGCTTCTTTTTTTTTCTCATATTCTTTTAACTCGTCTATGTCAGCAAATCCGTAACATCTGATTTCACTGTAATTATTTCCTGTATAATTATAATTTTTTTTCGAAGAGAAAGTGTTATGTAGCATATCGATCCATTCTGTGTTTGGTCTAAATTGTTCATCACGCTCTTCCAATTCATTTTCGAAGTTGTTTATGCAAAAATTTTGATGATATTCATCTAATTCGCTTAAATTTTTAGAATTAAATATAGATTTTTCACATTCATATGAAAACATAGCAATATTTTCAATTTTCTTCTTTCCTATCGAATCATCCAATTCTTTTCCAGAAAATAAAACATTACTTCCGTAAAAACCTACTTTTTTTTCACATAATTCTATTTCATATTCCATTTCTTTCGTGCTCGGTAATTTCACAGATGTGTCTATTTTGGATGTATCTTTTAAGTTAATTTTTTCTTTACGCATCAAGTCATAAATAAGAGGACATAAGTGTTTAACATTTTCTAGCTTATCCAAATAAAAACTGGAAGAATGTATATTTGAATTATCATTGTAATAGAATTTGTAAAAGAATCTATTTATATTAGAAATTTGAGAAGTTAAGTCTTCTAAAAAATTGTTTAACAATTTTTTTTTTTCTAAGGAAATTTTTAAGCTTTTATAAAATTTTAAACCTAACAAACATTCCAACTTTTTTTTTATTATATAATGTTTGTTTTCTATATATACATATTTCTTGTTAAATAATTTATATTGATGAAATTCAATATTTTTGTATTGTTTGTAATCAGATCTTAAAAATTCGTCACTTAACCCGCTCATCTTTTTCAGGTTACTTAAATTATTACTTTTAATTATTATAACAGAAAGTAGGATTAGTCTGTATTTAAGTAAAGCACAATTTTTATCCATTCTTGTTTTTATAAAATAATTTTCTTCTTCAGTTAGAGGATATATCTCACTGAAATGTGTAGCGTAATCAGTAAAGTATCTATCTTTAGGATTCCTTCTTCCATATGGTTTCAAAATAGTGTTTGCAATGGAATCCATTGTTGTTACATCTGTAGTTGGATTTACATTTACGTTATTTCCCCCTTCTTCTGTTTCATCTCTTTTTTCTATTTCTTCCACTTGCTCATAATTCTCCTTCGAATTGTCTTCTCCGTTTTTTTTTTTATTATCTCTCTCGTTCAATCTTTTAAATAATTTCAAAACATTTTTTATATCCACATTTGTTTCACATAAAATTTGGCTATTACAATTTTTTAATTTTAAGGGGTTTATTGCCTTTACAGATAAAATAGCTTCAAATCTTCTTTTGTCATGATCCTTGTACCACGTAAATTTTAGGTATTCCTCGAAATGTTCTTCTACATTGTTGGAACTCCTTTTTTTTTGTGCCACTTTGTTGGTTTTATCTTCCTCCTTATCGTCACCATCGTCATACTCCTCCTCTTCCTCAAAGTCTTCCTTGTCTTCTTCTTCTTCTTCTTCATTATTTTTATCTTCTCCTTTGATGTTTTCATTGGAGGTTGTGTTTGAATTATGATTTTCTTGCTTCCTCTGGTCCACAGTACTTCTCAACTTTATATATGAGATGTTTTTAATTTCAAGATTAATCTTAAAAATTTTTTTTAAAATAAAGTTCAATTTGGTGTACTTCTTCAACCTCTGAACAATAATATCCTTCACATTGCTTTTTTTAATAAAATAATCTAGTTTTTGCAAAGACTCTATATTTTGATTATTCTCTAAATCTACCTCGTAATAAGTTTTTATGTGATAATCTCCAAGTTCCAGTACTAATTTGATGTTTTCATTATTTCCTTTCATATTATCAATAGTAACACTAAAAGTGTTGGATGTCCATTTTATGGAATGGAAATATTCAAATTCCAACAATTGATTTATTATTTTTTTCTCTGTTAAATATTTCAATGCATCTCTCATTCTCCCTATGTTATCATTGGAATCATCTTTTTTTTCTCCCTCATTTGGTTTACTCTTTACTTTATCCTTGATTTTTTTAATTCCTCTTTTAACACCTTTAAGCATCTTATTAAGCGTTCCCTTTAAAGCACCTTTTTTCTTTCTGCTTGGTGAAACTTTTGTTGAAATTTTTTCAGTTTTAGCTGAGACATAATCACGAATATTCTCATCATTACCCAAATCCTTGGAATTCATAGAACTTAAATGACTTCTACCTCTTTTGTCATTTCCTCTTATTCCTTTAGCTTGTGGAACTGGAGCATCTTCTATGATTGTATGTTTCCAATTAATGCCACTTTCATTCATCTCTGTTGTATTTTCATTTTTATGGACTCCGATATTACTATTTCCAATTATGTTAAAAGGATATTTGTACATATCATCATTCGTGTTTGTCTTATCCCTTTCGTTACCCATTTTATTTTCTTGCATAATTTTATTTGAATTCACATTATCAATATCATCAAAAATTTTATTTAAATAATCTGATATATCATTAGTTTGGTAAAATGGGACCAATTCAGCATGGTAGCAAATATGTATATTTTTTGACCTATGTTTCTTGCTATTAACAACTAGGAAACATAGTTCATTATTTTCTCTAAAAATGTTAAAGTCAACAATAGCATTTTTATACTTCTTACTTTTTATTGTATATACTTTTTCATTCTCAATATAAATTTTGAAATGTAGTTCACACTTTACTGATCCTACTTTTGTCGTCAATAACAAATCGTGTGTATATCCATAAGTAAATATAGCCCTTTCACTTAATTTTTTCATAGAAATGTTTTTTAACTGTACTGTCCAATTTTGGCTATAGAAAGAACTACATATTTTAGTTTTATTTTCTAATGTTTCTGAGTTTATGTCAAAAGAGTGTAGAAATATTTTTTCCAAACAACTTAGTGTTCTATACCTATTTGATTCAACAAGGTAATAATTTTTAACCTGATTCATATTTTTGTTTTCTAAAAATGACATTTCGTAATAACCTTGTTTTTTATCCTTGCTAGAATGTTCGACTGACTCATTTTTCTTATTTTCAATATTCCTCTCGTGATGTGGAGAATATTTATTATCATGTAAAAGACCATCTCCCTGTTTCTTTCCTATCTTATGTTTCTTGTCATTTCTTCTGTTTTTATTCTTCTTTTTGAATATATTTCTTATTATCGACTTTGGATTCATAAAGAGGTGATCACTTTGGAGTTCATTGTGTTCGAAATTTTTTGTTAAAATAGGTTTATCTGGTACACGAGTTTTAGGCTCGTCGCCTTTGGCATAATTAGACGTGCATCTATGTATGTGTGAATTTCCATTTCTTGGGTAATACTTCATACACTTGAACTTTTCATTGAAATGAACATTATTAGAATCATTGTTAAAATTACTTCTTAAGTCATTTAATTTTGTTTTTGTTTTTATTTTTTCTGAATGTATGGAAGGTTTTTGAAAAAAGGACGAACCGTTGTTTTTACGTGAAATTTTCAAAGCACCTCTTTTAACATTTTTCATTAATCGTGTTGGAAATTTACTAATAGGATGATATAGTTCGTCATATTTATTGTATAAAGTGTCTAGAAATTGGGACGTGGATATTTTTACACTTTTTCCTTGTGAAAAAAATTCTCTATGTTTGTTAATAGTATCAATTCTAAGATCTGTCATAAACTCTTCGTCTTGTACTAGTGCTATAATATTTTGATATATATAGATTATACTTTCTTCATCATTGAAAGAAATAAATTCAAGTAAACTAATTCTTTGCATTTCTATTTGCATTATTTTTTCAACTAATTCTGATGAAAATGGTAACAAATTATTCAAAATTTTGGTAATAAAATATTTAATGTAGGTTAAAAGTTTTTTTTCAATGTTATCATACAAATGTTGAAAAAAATTAACATATGTTCCAAAATTTAAAAGGAAAAATCTTTTAAAATTTATGAAAATTTCTTTTATTTTCTCCTCATGATTATTTATAAATTCAACAATGAATGGATATTCTAGTAAAAAGTCTAATATCGCTTTAAAATAGCACTCTTCCACTAAGTTATGTAAGAGAAAGAACAAATTTGAGAAGACTCTTCGATAATCTATGCTATCTAATATGTCTTGAATTACTCCCATTTCGACAATGTAATGTAAATTAATTAGAATAATTGTAAAAATGGATGTTAATGCATCTAGCGATATATTAAGTTTTATCAAAATGAGTCTAATGACGTCTAAACTACCTCGTAGTAATCCCTCTGAGACAATTACTTTAAAAATGTCTTCTTTTGTACTTCCTAATTTTAATACGCTATATATTACATGGGACAGTACATTTATCAAACTTTCATTCACATTAGTATTAACAAATAATCGAAGGAACTTAAAAACAGAAGAAGTTGAATAATAGTTAGTATACTTAGCTGGAACCAATGATCTGATAAGGATATTACTAACTTTTACATGTTTAATATCTCTTTTCCACATGTCATAATTAAATATGGATTCTATATACTCTTTAGTTATTAGAGAATCTCCTGATATGAATACTCCCTTAAGCATTAGCTCATCAAACAATATGTTTGTAATTCGATAACTTTTGTACTTGTTAAATGTTCTCTCATCAATTGATTCTACAAGACGATGAAATATGATAATAGCTTTGTATAAATTGTAAATATCTTCTTTCTTTAACAATGATACGTATTGAAAATCGGTTTTATAATTTTTTAATTTTGAATACATATCTTCAAAGTTTGTATCATATCCATTGATACAAATTTCAGTATTAAAAAATTTCCACACAACAGCTATTGCATACTGTTCCCTATTTAGAAGAATCGAATCTAAACCTTTTTCTGCTTTGCTAATAATTTTCACATCAAATAAGAGCTCTTTATATTCACTATATGTTAATTCGTGACTGCTCAAACGTTTTATATCTTTCGTTTCAATGTACAGTTTTTGTTCATCCAACTTTTTCGCCACGATTTCTTCAGTGAAATATTTTGCACCATGTTTCCAAAAGGTTGCTTCTTTCAAATTTTTAAAATAAACTAATTCATTTTTTTTAAAATGATCAACTTGAATTTTAGATGCAATGGAATACCATTCTTCATAATCTAATTCTTCATCTGACAAATTTTGCAAATTTTTAATATAATTAATAATTTTAATATTGTTTTTCTCTAACTCTTTGAAGTACTTCCTGGTTAATTCGGTTGCACCTAACTCGTTAAAGTCGTACTTGAGACAACAGTCATGAATTATTTGAACCTTATTTATGGTTTCATGTTCTACATTTAAATTTTCTGATTTATACACTATGTGATTAATAATATTATCTAAATTTATTTCGATGTATTTCATTAGGTTGGAAATGATCTTTATATGTTCACAAATTATGAGAGATTCTAGACTTTTCAAATTGTGAATGTAATTTCTTCTCTTCGTATTTTCGATTAAGTTATACGACGATTCTATTTGAGAATTTTGAGCTTCTATTTCTATTTCTATAGCGCTGAGTAAGAAGTCTAATAATCTTAAAAAGGAGTTGAATTGATATTTTTTATGGCTATTTATTTGAAATATCCTGGAATAGAATTTTTTAATTTCAAATCCGAAAATTCTATAAGTATCTTTATCAATAAAATTTATTATATTGTTGATAGAATATTTGACCAACGTATTTGGTGAGTTGAAAATATCTTCAAATTTAAAATCCACATTTAGTTGTAGCTTAGAGTTAAGTACTAATATAAAGTGATCCATTAATTTTAAAAATTTCACGAAATTTTCATAATATATGAAATATTTAAAGTTTAGTATGTCTTTTCTTATAGACACTAATAAACTGTATATATGAATCTTTTTATTTAAGAAAAGGTTTATTTTTTCTTCAATAATTTCAAAGTACGTCTTGTAGTACTTATCTGAATTAGCTGTATTTTTGATAGAATCATCTAAAATTGGTACACATTCTGACAAGTTGGAATACAGAGGGGACAAATATCTTCCATTCTCCGTCGCGTCATTTTCGTTCTTCAATAAAATATTTGTAACAATACTCAATATATTGATGTGTATAAAATATGTAGGTAAAACAAGGAACATTTTCTCATCTTGAACTAAAATCTGGATGCTAAATTTCATAGTGTTGTCATCCTGATATTTATACAAACGTATATCCTTCTCATTCATGTACAATATACTCAAGGAACTTTTAAAAAAATTTGACAGAATCGGTATTAGCCAAATCATTTTTTGGTTAAAAGGATTTTCTCTGAGATATCTATCAACAGCATCTTCAGCAATGTTTCCATTATCGTGAAAACATGGTTCATCAGGAGCACAATTAAATACAGAGTAGAAAAAATCATACACATTTTTAATTAAATAATTTAAGTAATATTCATGTACTGTATACTTATTTGGGTTATTGTCCATTTCTCTTGCGCTGTTAGTATCTTCTCCTTGTTCTTCATTTTCGAGTTCTAAAGGATCAATATTTACATTTTCCTTTGATAATATAATTTCCCCAATTTGTTTTTTTTCTTCTTTACTAAATTTTATTTCTCCATCTATTACCATTTTTTTCCTCTTGTAAAAAAACTTCATGTACAAGTTCATTATAATATTCATCAATGTATTTTTCACATCGGTTAATTCATTTACATAAAACAAGTTAAACATTTTACGTAAGGTAACGGCATTACTAGAAGAAACAGATGAATGTAGACCTAATTTTAGTTCATTAAATTTTTGGATATATGAATGTCCCAATCCAATTAGAGAAATAAAATAATAAATTTTCATATCATTTGATTCTATGGAAAATTTATATTGTTCGATTTCTTTCAATATTTGTTCTCTCAAATTTTGATCAATTTTGAGCTGTTCAATTTTGTTTCCAAAAGTATTATATTTTATCTCTTTTTTTTTTTTTAAAAAATCTGGTATTACTTTTTCAAAATCGAGGCTTAATATTTCTTCTTCTTCTTTTTTATTTTTAAATATTTCCATAATACTTTCTAGTTCATCTTTTCCTAATGTATCCTTAGATAACATATTGTCTAATGTCTTAATCATATACCTTACAGCAGAAATGAGAGCATACAATTTATCGTATTCATCTACGTCGTTTGAATGCTCATTAATTTCCGACACCGTTGACTTGAACCATTCTAAGAGACCCTTATCATATAAAAATAAATCTTTTAGTAAATTATCCAAATTGCTATATGGCCCAAATCCAAAGAGCGAATATATTTCCAGGTACAACATATGTAGGTAATTATTTTTAACCCTCTTGTTTCGATGCTTAACAATATCTAAATTTATTAAATTTCTTAGATTTTCTTTTTTCATATTTCCTATATCCTTTCTATTTATCAGAGCCAATATCATTTTCTGTACGTTTGTGTAATTCTTTACATTGTTATGTCCCCTCATTGTGATATGTATATCCTCCAATAACATGTTTGAGTTATCTGTATACTCCTTCTCTAGAACAACGAGATAATTCTTCATCTTCACTAATTCTTCGTAGTATACATGAAAGGTGGCTACAATCGAAGGACACAAGGATGATTGGTGTTAGCAAGGAGAAGAAAAAAAAAAAAAAAAAAAAAAAAAAAAAAAAAGGGAAATAATGTAGCAGTCGTTAGAAATAAATTAATACTCAGAGAAAGACACATGTTTTTTTTTTTTTTTTTTTTTTCATATTTTACTTCACTTATTTGCACAGAATTTATGCATGTATATTTTTTTCTCATATGAATATTTTTGTTAACTTGCAGAGTGTTCTTTATTTACTGGACTAATAAATTATACTCTTCTAGTATTGTGAATTTTTTTCCCTATTTTTTTGCACTTACATGCATCCCTCAAGTGATACATTTCATAGCTGAAAAGTGAACTATGTTGGTTGTACACCTTGAAAGTATGTCCCTCCTTGAGTATGATGATTTTGTTACCACCCTTCTTTCGTGGGGGATTAAAGGAGTAGACATCATATCCTCCTTTGATATTTTCAGAAAAGTATATTATTTTTTCTCTAAAATGCTGACTAAATATCTCAGTTAGGTACAATAGAGCGTTTTTGGAATAATAAAAAATAGCAGATTTCTGTTTTACATTCAGGACGTTATCAATTTTGAAAAGTAATTTGTTGGATATATCATTTCTCTTGATATCCATTAATGAAAACATAGAATCGAATTTTTCTTTTTTATTAAATATGTTATGTAATTCGTAAGCCAATATGCTTAACATAATATTTGTTAGTGTATTCAAATGAGCGTAACCAGTGCTTTGTTGAATGCATGCTTTAAGGTCTTCCACATTCAAATTGAATTTCATTTTAATATTTGATAAATATGATTTACCATTATGAAACGTGTGTTTATACAACCATTGATCTCTTATGCATAAGTATAAATTGCTACTACCCTTTCCCTCTTTCAAAGGTTTTTTAATTCCTATTTCTATTTCATTATATTTCAACATAAAATCCACCAGTTTGTGTATCCTGCTACTTTCGAAATAATACCTAAGTAGCCTCTGCAGGTTCACTTTGCATAATTTGGAGTAGCTATCTCCTGTCACTAAGAAATATGGCAAAGGTGGAGAAAAAATTATTTTACAAATTTGACTGTGTACAAATAGGATAGGAGAAAATGGCATTCGTAACAAGCTACTAGAGGCTACCCCCTCCCCTCTGTGCTCAAACCACGTGCATACACAAGTAAGTGTATATATACAACATTTTACATGTAATAAAAATGCAGAAATATGTCAGCAGTGTGTGTATCAAATAAGTACCACTCATAGGATAGTGATATTCTAAATATAGCAAATTTAAATTAGAGTAAAAAACATAATTATTGCTTGTGAGCCTCTACATGCATGTCACCACATTCAGATGTAACTACTTTCAGATGTAACTATTTTCAGATGTCACCACATTCAGATGTAACTACTTTCAGATGTAACTACTTTCAGATGTAACTATTTTCAGATGTAACTATTTTCAGATGTCACCACATTCAGATGTAACTACTTTCAGATGTAACTACTTTCAGATGTAACTATTTTCAGATGTCACCACATTCAGATGTAACTATTTTCAGATGTCACCACATTCAGATGTAACTACTTTCAGATGTAACTACTTTCAGATGTAACTATTTTCAGATGTCACCACATTCAGATGTAACTACTTTCAGATGTAACTACTTTCAGATGTAACTATTTTCAGATGTCACCACATTCAGATGTAACTACTTTCAGATGTAACTACTTTCAGATGTCACCACATTCAGATGTAACTACTTTCACATGTGAACCAGTATCTCTCCCTTTTTTTTTTTCGCCACTTACCAGTTTTTCCCCATAATTTACTTCTCTCAACGAAGGACTCATTAATAGACTCTTGTTTAGCAAAATCAAAAATGTGATTGAACAATTTTTCATTATATTCTTTGGAAATATCAAATGCATGATATAATAGACTTATATTTTTTACTCTTTCAATCAACATTGACATGTTTTTATATGCTTCATCATTTTTTTCTTGAGAATATTTCAAATGAGAACTGGTATAATCAGAATATGTATATTCTATTAGATCTAAGAAAAAAATATTCTCAAAATTTCTCACCTTGCCATAGGATATATCTATGGGAAAATTGTAAGCAACAGGACCCTTAAACATTAGAAAGGATTTTTTTTTTTTTAAATTCTTAGTAAATTTTGATGACAATTTTTTACTTTCTTCATTAATAAACTTTTTATAATATATAAATATATTTTTCATTTTCTTTAACAGAGTTTCCATTATTATATTTCTAATATCATCACCTATGATATCATAATAATAATTTTCATAGCTTTCAAATATATTTTTAACAACATTAATTATTTCTTCAATATGAAGTTTAATGATGTTTTCTTTGTCAATTAGCTCTTTTAAGTTTTCTGTTCTCTCTATTTTATTTAAGACTTTATGAAAAAATACTACTATGTTTATTATATCCATTAAATCCAAAATTAAAATTTCACTGTGCACTTCTGGAACCTCTTGTCCCATGCTCATACCTAGATCCTCAACCTTCTTCCGAAAGAAAATTTCTGAAATTGTATCAAGGACCTCGATATATTCAGGATTTCCTAAAAAGTAAGGGTGGACGAAGTTATATATAGCAATAACAAACTAGATGAGGATTCATCATACGACGGGGGGTGGGGTGTTTATATGTATGCATATATATATATATATATATATATATATATATATATATATATGTACAGATACGTGGGCACCAGGAAAGATACTATCTTGAACGAAGCACCCTTGTGATGCATCTCTATGTTACTCCCTCTGTCTATCTCTCTCTTATTTTATTTTTACCTCTGTTCAAGTCATTTAACATAGTGATAATATTTGCTATTTTTTCGCTGTACAATTTATACTTAAATATAATTTTCTCTAGGGAATACAACTGAGACTGAGTTTTATATTCTGACACGGTTTTCTTTAATATGTGCATTTTAATTATATTGTAGACAAACGAAAAATGGTATCTAATTTCATTTTCATTTGATATTTTTGTAATATCTCGCTTCATCCCATCAAGGTAAAGGAGTAGAGTTGCCAAGACTGCATCAGCGGACGAGGAAAACGAAATTATGGTGAAGAATAATGATGAAAAAGTAAGATATCAATATGAGCAAAAATTCATCTAGTAAAATCAAATACAGAAAAAAAAAAAAAAAAAAAAAAATTATAAGAGACAAGGTAAAACATTGTTTGTTGTGTGTAAAATATATTAGTCCCTCTTAATTTTCTTCTTCTTTTTCCTCACTTACGTATTTTTTCATTATTGTAAAAATTGCTAAAAACATTTTCATAAGACTGATTGCTTGATATAAATGCATTATTTTTAAAACTTGTGTTGTTATTGTAAAAATTATACACAATGGAATTAATCTTACTGCTGAAAGAAAAAAAAACTTCATCTTTTTTTATGCATTCCTTTACTATATTTATTTCGTATAACTGTCCACATATAATGGACGTAATTAAAGCTGGTATATCATTAATCTCACTTGCATTTTCATTTCTATAAATGGTAAGAAAGGAGTACTTCTCCGTGTTCATCTTATTATTTGTGTTGTAAGTTATACTCCCATGTTCTATTGATTCAAGTAGTGAAAATATGCTTTTCTTCGATAGAGTAAGTTTTGTTTCTCCTTCCAAATCGGATTCTATCCAATTATTTGAGCTGAAAATTGATTTGTCTACGCAAATCGGGGTTTTGAAAAAGGCGAATCATAAAATTATTAGGTGTCTACACTTGAGCATGCAAATTTCATGTGCGTCTAGTCTTAGTCAATCTTAACCTAACGCATAAAGCCTTCCAACTGAATCTATACATCAATGCATGCATCCGCACGAAGAAATAGACACACAAGCAGAGATAAACACACAGGGAGAGATAAACACACAGGGAGAGATAAAAACACAAGGAGAGGTAGACACACACGATGACATAGATCGACAGGGTAGGAAAATAAATTTTAAAATTTCGAAGGATAAACATCTCTTGCACTCATTTGAACTTACCAATGGTTTTAACCGCATAGAAATGTAAACCAAATCCTGCGTCAATTTTGTTTTTTGAATCCAAATTGGTATTCAAAATTTTGACGCCACAATTATTCTTGTACACAAAATAAGAGCCATTGTGTCCACGAGCAATGTGCAGAGGATCCATTTTTAACAAGGAATCGTTTTGAATATCGAACGCTTTATTGTGGTTAATATAATACACATTTTTCCTAGATCCAATTAATAATATATATATCATGAAAACATCTGTAAATCCAAAATAATTTAGCACATTCAAGTGATTTTCATCTCTATTTGTCATAATTAGGGAATGATACATACTTGAGAGGAGGTGTAATTCATTAGTTGCAAATATGTCTAAAACTTTCCTCAAATAATTTGTATAATGGAACCATACGGTGGTAAATACAGAGTATAGTTTCGTTTCAATTTTTTTGATTACATTTTGACTTGTATTCAAACTAAAAAATGATAATATTTTTTTTTTACTTAAGAAAACATTTCGCAAGTGATAAAAATATGTATTTAAATCACTCATATTGACATTTAATATTTTTTCTAAATTTCCTATCTCGTACGAAGACATAATTCTAATGATTGCGTTTTTCATTTGAATAGAATCGAAAAATGTAGATTCAAATATTTTTCTCAAGTTTGATTCACTTAGAAATAATAAATTTTTATTAAAAACGCTATATTTTGTACGCAGTAAATCATTTTTTAATTCTTTTATACTTTTTATCTTTTCTACTTCCATGATTTTCTTTTTCTTGCACATATTTCTAAAATACCATGCGTTTTTTGTTATTTCTTTATTATTAGATTCATAACTTTCTAGTTCATGTATTATATCATTATATTCACTTTTCATATTAGGCATATTAAGGATTGAAAATTTCATGAACCCTTTCCATTTTTTGTCATCTTCCGAATCGTACGATTTTTCCCCTTGTGCAATATTACCTGAATTGTTGTTAAGATTTTTCAATTCGCTTGCATCAGAATATGCATATGATGTAGAATGGATAGTACTATCATTGTCTAAAAAAGGTTCATCTTTCAAGTTTTTCTGAGAATTATCTAATAAGAAGTCATCCGAATGGTTTCCTGTGCTACTAGCAGAGGTGTGAGATGTATTTGAAGAATCTTCACTTTCTTTTTTCATATTTCTACTGGATGAATATTCTACATCAATCGAATGTGGCCTTTCAGACATCTGTTGATCTTCATTATTTCCATGCAAATCTTCATTACTTCCATGCAAATCTTCATTACTTCCATGCAAATCTTCATTACTGCCATGCAAATCTTCATTACTGCCATGCAAATCTTCATTACTGCCATGCAAATCTTCATTACTGCCATGCAAATCTTCATTACTTCCATGCAAATCTTCATTACTTCCATGCAAATCTTCATTACTGCCATGTAAATCTTCATTACTACGATGCAAATCTTCATTACTGCCATGCAAATCTTCATTACTTCCATACAAACCTTTGTTACTGCCATTTGACAAATTAGATGATTGATTATTCGTTGAGTTCTTAGATATAGTAGAAAAGGAAGAGGATAAATTATTACTTAGTTCTGAAGTAGATATATCAGAATTGGAATCAGACAAATTTTCAAAAGAATTAATTTCGTGTTTACTAGACATGTTTGATAAATCTGATAAATTGTTAGAGGAAGAAGGAATGGATTCTTCATATGGAGAATACATTTTATTTTTATCGGAATTATCTGAATTGTAATTTGATGAATGAAGAGAAGACATCATTTTAAATTTTACTTCGTCTGATGGGTATTTTGAATTTTCAGATTTTGTACTATCAACATCCGAAATTGAACTTGTAGAAATATTTGAAATAGATCTGTATAAATTTTTCAATTTCTTATTTTCATAGAATTGATTATATGAAGAATTTTCCATAGATCCATTATATAGTTCATCTTCTTCTAATTCTCGATTATCAGGATAATAGAAATTTAATCTTACATCTCTGTAATATTCTTTATTATTTTTTGTTCTTCTGTTTTCATCCCAAGTCAAGTCATCATTTTGGCTGGTATATTCCAAATCGTCATCTTCCAATTCCACATCTTCACAGTATTCATCAAGATAATTAATTATTTCTATCGAAAATAATAAACTCAAATTTGTTAAGTTGCCTCTAATCATGTTTAGTAACAATAGGTAAATATCATTCTCTGTTATTTCTTTGCCCCCGTTATACTTGACCAAAATTTCCCCTATTGATTTGTAGTAAGTGAGATTTGCCTTTTCTTTTTTTTTAGAATTTTGAAGTAATTCCTCCTTCATGCATTTCGTGATTTCTTCGTTCTCTTGAGATGTCACAGAAGAAATTTTTATATCTGTAGTTTGAGTTGGATGGGGTTGGGGGGAGGGGAAGTAGGAAAGGTAGAAGATAAACATTTGTAGAATCGTGGAAGGGGATACTAAAGCATGCGTGTCATGATTCATTATCGTATAACATGTTTGAGAAATCTCATAACATGTTGATCGATCTCATAACAAGTTGAGCGATCTCATAACATGACAGTGAAACACACAAGTCTGCAGCTTCCACATGAACTTACTTTCGTTCATTATGGTGTACTTATTATCAGAGAAATGGAAGGAGATATCATTAGCATTTATAGAAGTTATTTCGAAGTTGTCTAAATGATCTAAGATTGGGAAATCCTCATGGACTAAAAGATAAGTAATCTCGTCAAAGTGCCTATGGGGAATCAGAGTGTCTGAATAATATTTCGTGGAAACTAGCTGAATTAACTTATCAGGCAAAGTATTTATATGAATAGATGTAAGAATTCCATTTTCGTTTAAAATAGCAACTTTAGAATTGTGAACTTTGGAAATAATGAAAGTTATGAAACTGTCAAAAAAGTGGTGTATATTCAGAAAATAACTTGCTTGATTTTTATATATTATTTTTTCCATATTATTACATATAACATCATCTAAGTATTTAAAAATATCGTATCTAAAATCTTCCCCCAATATAGGTAATACATGCGAATTGTAGGACTTAAAATATTGTAACAAATTTTTTAGACATATCCAATAAGTTCTTAAAAAAGAATCATTAATCACTTCTTCACTTCCACGAAAAAAGGTTTTCAGCAAAGTATAAGGTTTTGGAGATTTTAATATCTCATCAAAATTTTTAAGTACAGATTTGTGATCTATAGTTATATTTGACGTGTCCATTTGTATTAAACTAAGAATAATTTCATTTGCTTCTGGATCATCAACTGAGGATAAATTTATAAAACTTCTTAATTTATATGCCATATTAATTTTATTAAAGTAAAGTACACTATTCTCATCTTTTTCAGATTTTTCTTGCTGTAAAAATTCTTCATATAACTTATCCACTAAATTTTTTTTAAAATTTTCTTCTTTCATTTTACTTGCTTCTGACACTATATTGTTTTTAGTTAGAAGTAAATATTTCACTTCTTTTATTAACAACTCATTAAGCTGTGTTAATGACTTATCTATATCTAAATACGTTTCTGTGTATAACTTCTCAACAAATGAAGTACATGAATTGGTAAATTTATCGTAAACATTTTCATTATATTTACGAGATTCATGAAGCTTCGTAATAAAATCTGAAACCCTATTTATTTTTATTTCTTCTATTATGTTAATACTAGCGTTGGAGAGAAGTTTGTGTAAATTCAAAAGTCCACCATAGGAATATTTCTGAACTAGCATGTTCCCTTGGAGTTCTTTTTGCAAGTGAAGGTAAAGATATGTACAGATGTGTATGCATGTAAACATGTCATCATATAAAAATAATGACATGGTGTGCTTCTCGTTCGCGATGAGTACATACTACACATGTGTGTACATTTATTTCTACATTTATACAAATCTTCTAGTGAGCAAAAAAAAAAAAAAAAATATTTCTCAATTCTAGAATATTTCTAATATATATATATACAACACAGCTGGTTGTATGCTTCCCCATTTCATATTACCTTTTGTGCCCCTGAAGAGCTAAATCCGAGGGAAATATTATGTTGTAAAAAAGAAAAAAAAAAAAAAAATGATGTTTATTTTATTTTATTTTCCCCCCCTTTTTATTATGTGAATGAGTTACAATACATTGGTGTGATATATATATATATATTTTTACAAGAGATTCATCATTTTATTACCTTTTTTAAAATCGGATTCCTCAGTGCAGTATCATTGCAATGTACATCTATACACAGGTGGAAAAAGGAGTTATCAGAATTGACACGTATGAAATATATACATATATTTAGTATACTTTATAAAATCACGTTTGCCCATGGTGGCTGTTTTATTATATTCCCACAATTCACAAATTGAAAAGTATTTCTGTCGTATAATAAAATATATGTCATTTAAGGAAAAAAAAAAAAAAAAAAAAAAAAAAAAAATCTTTTCTTACTTTTCTGAAGAATGCAAAAAAAAAAGATCAACCTGAAAATGATTATTTTATGATTCATTAGAAACATTTTTAAATACCTTCGGTTAATTAAAAAATTTATGTTTCTATATAAGTTAACTTATCCCAGTTAAGTATAATACATAAATACAATTAATTAGGTCATGGAATGACATGAAGGATTATAACAAGTGACATTGGGGACCCATACTATGGGTAGAAAAGAGCCTGTATAGCATGCAACCTATATCAGCATGTTTTATTTTACACTTATTAAGTCAACTGCTTGAGAGTCTACAAACATGGTGGTGTATATAAGTTTTTATATACATATAATAACGTGTGTATCAAAAAATGTAAATTGGACAAAAGCTAATTATTAAACATAAAATATAATAAAAAAGAAATTCTTTTTTATTTTTTTCTAGAGAGAAAAAAGATAAGGTAGGGAAAATGTTGGCATAACTGTGACGAATTAATGATCTATTTGTCTATTTGATTAAGTATTAATAAGAATAAACAGCTAACAATTGTTAATGTTAAAAAATATCTTTAGGTCCCCAAAAAAAAAAAAAAAAACTTGTTTCACGATTTTGGAGAAAGAAGACACTTGTTATTAATATTTTAATTTAATAAAAAGTTACACATAGATAAATACACAAAAAAAAAAAAAAACATTGACAAGGTTAATTATCGCCTAGTTAGCTGTGCACAATTGCAACTGCAATTGGGGCTAATAAGACGAAAACTAAACAGTTTGGAAATAGCAAAAGAGGGAAAAGTCAAAAGTGTGGACAAGTGTGAAAAAATGAAAAAACAAAAAATTTTTACCCGGGTATGCACATGCTAAGTCTTCCTCGTTAGACATAACGTGTGACTATGACAACCAAAGTATACATATATGTGTATGTATATATATATACTATATATGTTTATTTTATTTTTTCCCCCCCTTTTATTACTGTACTAATACTTCAATATTCTTAAAAAACTACATGTTAGAGTTTGTTTGGTCGCATACGTGATTAATTCGGGGCATGCAGAATAGTCCAATTTGATTACAGTTAGAAATTGTTGATATGCACTCTCATGCATATGAACAGAAAGAGAATGCCCCATTTTACCCACATTTTTAAGGTGAAAAGAAAAAAAAAAAAAAAATTATCTTCACAGTACTTTATGGTTAAAAAATTCATCCTTTTTTTTCATTGTCGCCTTAACGAATGTGTTACTTTTTGTTGATTGTTTCATTTTTTCAATGAATATCTACATATTTTTTTTTGTATGATGAGATGAGTATATCCCCAAATGGTCTCATCGAAAATTTAGATGAACAAATCGAGGCAAAAAAAAAAAAAAAAAACAAGAAAAAAGAAAGGGTTAGCAAAAATTTATAGTGCAAAATACATGTACAAAAATCATTTTATTTTATCTCATAAAAAAAGTGTAAATTGAAGGGAAAAATATTATTAAATATAAATAAAATTAAATCATGAATGAATATAACTTCTCTCAAAACATGGGTATAAGACGACAGACGTTTATTTGCAGCACATGCAATTATGTAATAAAAAATGCAAGTGTCTTTTCTGATTATAGGCAAATAAAAACAATTTAGCCAAAACAAATTTTCCATAACTTGGGATAAAGTTTTGCAAAAAAAAAAAAAAAAAAAAAAAAAAAAAAAAAAAAAAAAAACACATATGAAGAGCTTTTTGTATGAGGCAAATATTTTTGCGAATCAGATTTAACGGAATGGAGTAGACGCTTTAACACAAAGCAAAAATATCAATCCTTCAGTTATTCGCATATGTATTCATATATTCGAAGAACTTTTTTTTTTTTTTTTTCACTTTCCTTCCTTTTTATTCCTCAAGAATTCATTCTTGTGTGACCCATGCTATAATACTTTATAAAATTTATGTAAAAATATAAAGGGCTAGGAAAATGAAAAATAATAAAAAACAAAGTGCAGAAAATGTTGAAACATCCTCTAACATAATTAAAAATCTGGATATCCCATTATTAATAAAAAAAAAATTGCATTTAAGGGTAAATTGATAGGGAAGCGGAAAACAATTATAAACAGCATTGTAAGTAGTAATTACACGCTTGCGTGCATACCCGTTTTCGTAGGATTTAAGACTCAAAAATAAAGACTTAAGTGGGAAGCATGCGGATATTAAGAAGGTCCTTCAAGAGAAAGAAAGTTACTTTAGGTTCGACTATGCATGCATATACATATGCATGTATATATACAAGAGAACGTTCACGAGAATGTGTAAATAACGATGGGAGCATATGTTAGGCAACCACAAAAATGTATGAGCAAAAGTGGGCATTTATTTTAGTGTAATCTACACCCTCAACTGAAATGTGTAACTCGAAAATGCAAACAAGGCTATGATTCTAACAATATCTATAAAAAAAAAAAAAAAAAAAAAAAAAATACACAAAAAATATTATTATGTAATATCATTTCTTTGAATGCACAAACTGTTTTAAAAAAGTTTTAAGGAAAAGGTGTATAATGAAAGTCGAGAAAAAATGATAAAGGAATATCAACTGGCTATGAAAGTAGGATTAGGGACTCAAACAGGAGAAAAAAAAAAAAAATGAATAGAAAATGTGCGAAAACGCTTTACATGTTAAATTAAAATGAAGAAATAAAATATACAAAAATCTATGAAACATACATGTTGCTCAGGACAACCTTGACAGACAAATCGTTTTGGAAGAAAAAATAAAAAGCAAAGAAAAAAAAATAAAGCTCTACGATTTGGAAATTAACAAGTTTAAATTGGCTATAGCGGACATGCACGAACGGATAAAAAAAGCGGATTACGACACGTTAGAAAGTAAGGAAATGATTCTGTGCTTGTCATATATATGAAAGAGATAAAAGGGAGGAAAAAAGAAAACAAAAGAAAAAGGCGATGAAAAGGGGAAAGAAATAATATCCCCTCTAAATGTTCTCCACTCCACTCCCCAAATACATGTTCTAACATATAAACACAAAGCAAATAAATTAGCAAAAAAAAATATTTTAATATGCATATGGTTCATACACTTGTGAAAAACATGTAGGGGAAAAGTGCCTCAGCTTTCTGAGCAAATTCAAAGAGAATTCATCCGAGTTCGTTCAGTTAGACATGTTCGACAGATTAGAAACTATATTTAGTTCGCGAGAATTTATAAAAAAAAAAAAAGAATGTCTTAAGGAAAAGATAAATGCTGTTAAGGCTAAGATAAAAAATATGGAAGAAAAAAGCAATTTATCCCTAATGGTATGTCATCAATGTTAGTTTTTTTTTTTTTTTTTTTTTTTTTTTTTCTCTTTTTTGTTCACTTCTACGTTGTTATTGTACTTGGTCTACTTGAGGAAAAAGGAAAAATAAACATATAACATCAATATACATTGTTCTATTAAATGTGCATTTTTTTTTTCTTTTTTTTTTTTTTTTTCCCCTCGATTTTAATTTGCGTCATTTATTATCGCTCTCCTACAGAATAAAGAAAAAGAATATAAAAATCTTGTAGAAATCTCAGAAATCGTTTTGAAAAAGGAAAAGGAAATATCCGAACAACTCAAGGAAAACATAAATGAACATAATAAAAATTCTCTCCTTTTGTATAAAATAATGTCATGTGTAGATAATTTTCTGAGTCGTTTTTCTTCATTTCTTCCTGAACTTCGTCATTACAACCTTAAAAAGGATGAGGAAAAAACGTACTTGAAAAGAAGCAAATATTATAAATTGCCCTTTCAAGAATTTATATAAATGTATATATATATGTGTGTATGCCTATTATGTACGTGTTTGGGAATATTATCCTATTTACCCATTCATATGTGCACATTCAAATGAACATATTTACCACTCTTTTTCATGAAAGAAAAATAGAAAAAAAAAATAAACTCCAAGATATAATGGAAGACACACAATCTATCGACACCACGAACTTTAACCATTTGGAGGAGGTAAAAATTCTAAATGCTTTTATTTCTTTAACACACGAAGTAATAGGGGTAGAGAAATCCATATTTTTTGCCTATCTGTTATTTAATATATCACTTTCGTAATAATATATAGTACCTGTATCAGCAATATTTCTATTGTATGTCTATTCCCCATGTTTTTCATATCAGGAAATTTTGAAAAAATTGGATGTTATATACAAATATATTAAGGATACCATATACATAATAAACAAGGCAAAAAAGGAAATTTCGCTGAAGGATGATAATTACCTGGAATCGATGAAGAACAATTTTGGCAAGAAAAGAAAAGAAAATTCCGCTGTCCATAGCAGTGTCTCTTAACCGTGTGCAATGTTTGGGGATACACATTTTTGTGCATAACCATGTGTTGACTACGCAACAAATGCGTGCCACTATACATTTATTCAAATTTTGAAATTTTCTTCTTTTTTTTTTCAGACGGCAATATTGAATTTTTTACATATAATAATAATGTCAAAGGCAAAAACATTTAGACCCTTGGGAGGTAGAAATACTTTTCCACTGAAAAAAAAATGGACGAAGAAGCGGATGAAGGGGCGTTTGAAGGAGCGTGCGAAGAAGTGCTTAACTGTGTATTCATTGGGGGAGGAAATATGTACGCCATTTATTTTGTCTATAAGGACGAATAAAACTAAAAAAATGATTGCCCCTTTTTTTTTTTTTTTTTTTTAAAACCCCAGTGAATACTATTTTATATATGTCCATGTAACACTGTTTATGCATATAGGATTACACGATTAATTGTATCCTTTTTGATAAAACTTTAACTTTTTGGCATTTTAAAAATGCTGCAGTTACACACATTAAAAAGGAAAGAAAGACAACGGTGTTTTAGCGTTTTGGTAAAGGTCCATTTGAGAAATACATATATTTCTTATCCCTCCCTGGGCATACGGGATATGTCCAAAATTTCGCATGCAAAATTATATAAAAATTGGTCATTCACCATTCTCCTTTCCCAACTCAGGGTTTTCCCTTCCATCTACTTTTCAATGAAGCTGCAATTCGTGGGTATTATTCCATTTAAATAGGACACTTCAGAGAGAAAGTTCAAATAGGTATTTAACTTTTCCTCATCAGATAAAAAGAAAGGGAGTATGTTATTTTTTACATCTACACATCTGGAAATTTTGTTTAAGCACCTTAATCCTATATTTCCTGAATACAACAAATGAAAGTCTATATTTTTGTACCACTTTAAGATGCTATAGGAACCAATAAAATATAACTGATCATGATATACACTTCCATGCATTCCTGTATCTTTTAATCCTCGTTTTACCCTTGCACACATTTTAAAACAAGTTTCTGCATTTTTTACAAAAGTGTTTAAAAAAAAGTAAAGTTTTGAAAAGGTATAAAAATTACCCAAGCAAACAGTTAAATATTTTAAAGCAGGGTAAACAAGGAAGAGATGATTTTTTTTGAATGAATACATGGAATTAATAACAGCTAATCCTTCTTCAGTTGCATAACATGAATGGAAATTATACATGTCTAAATTGTTCTTATCGTGATTTATCATCCTTAATAAATGTGTCCCTATTTCGTGATTACACAAAGAATACATCATTTTTTCCTTTACATTTTTTTGATCTTGTAAATGTAAAAAATATTGATTCTTTTTTTTGAAAATTTTCGCAGCTGATATTAAGTTTTTCTTGACTTCTATCTGTATTTTATCATTTATTCCATTATCTTTTAAATATTTCAAAATGTATTTTCTAAATTCATCCATTGTCACCAATTTATTCTTATCAAAAATGTTCTTTTCGTAATTTTCATACGTCTTAAAATTATCCTTAACTATTTGTATTATCCTTCTTGCTTCATGAAATAAATGAAAGTCTATTCTTTCACCACTCGTTTTGTTAAAAATGTCATTTACTTCTTCATCAGAAATGTTGTAAAGAAACACTGGATTTTCAGTCATCTTGGATTGGTAAAATTTCTGTTCAGCTTCTAACAGATTTGTAACTGTACACATTTTTGTCGTGTTCATTTTTTCAATTGCTTTTGTATATATAACTTCGTTAAAAATTGTTTCAATCAAATTTTCCACTAAATTTAACAAATCTTCATCAGGTATAAGGAGTAATTTTACGTAGTTTGGGCACACCAGGTTAAATGTGTAGCTTTTTCCCATGTTATGTCTCCCATTATTTGTTACATCTATATTATGGTCAACTTCTCTACTATCCTTTTTGTTATTTGTTTGGTCTGTCATGGTTTCTTCCTCTGTTTTGATGATGATACTTAATTGAATGCATATATAGAGGGGTAAATGAAATGAGGATCTGTGGAACGCGAGCTATTTACTTATGCATCTCGCATATATTCATTGTTCACCTTAGTTCTGATATCTTCTTTATTTGCAGGACTGGTTATGTTTTATTTTTTCTATATTTTATGATAATATAAGATTTTTCTTGTTTTTTTTTTTTTTTTTTTTTTTTTTTTTTTTTTTTTTTTTTCCTTTTTCTTTTCTTGCTTATACAACGGATTCATTGGTTCAACTATCCTTTTGAAACAGATATAATTTTTTCCTTTTGGTTCAATTCCCTTTGAGTAAAACCTTTGTACATATGGCATTATATATGACACTATATTTGCATAGCGGTTTATATATATATAGGTCTATATATGTATCCTTTTTTTTTTTTAATTTTTTTTTTACCCTTAGAGCTGTATCTCGTCAATGTGTTTTTTTGTTTTTTCTTTATTAAACATATATAATGTTTGATAATTTTACAATTTGTACATGTGTTGCTAATTTTGCGAATTTCACAATTTTTTTTTTTTTTTTCTCCATATGGAAGTTTCTAAATTGGTCTGTGTTTTTGAGTGGCTCTTCTTCAATTGTGCTCTCAATGGATTAAACAAATATTTGAGAATACGGGAAGGAATAATAATGGAAGAAAGATCCCGTGAAATTGAGCAAAAGCGATAAGAATGTAATAATATTACAAAATATAACGAACAATGTCGGAATTGGAATGCATAAGGATTGCATATGATCCGGGAGAGATGCAAATTTCCACACACGCTAAACAATTCCCCATGACGTGAACGCAGACATTGGGGAGAAATAAAAAATTAATTTATGGCGAAGCCCGTTAAGTAGTTCCAAAAATTGGGTATCTCTGTTATTAACGTATGAGCATCTGCCGTAATGCACAAAATGGAAAAACTTGAAGAATGCAACATTGGAGCAGTGCAACAATGAAGAAATGAAACAGTGAAGAAATGAAACAATAAAGAAATGAAACAATGAAGTAATGAAACAGTGAAGTAATGAAACAACGAAAAAATAAAACATGTAGTAAATGACGTGCGAAACACAAGTTGTAAATCTAATCGGGAAAAAAAAAGCACTTGGGAAATGCGTGTGTACGAAAAAACTGTTTTTTCCTGAGTATGGCACATACCCTTCTCTTTTTTATCCATTTTCCACGTGCGAAGGGGATTATACCTTGGGGGAACGATCAATCATATGGGTACAAAAATGTAGGTGCATCAATATATACATGTATCCGAACGAACTTCCATATTCCGTTGCACAGTCTACACTTGTTCTTATACAAAGAATAGGTTGTTTTTTTCATTCGATCCGTTAACTCCCAAATGCTTCATCAGTTCATCCTTGTAAAATTTTGCATGTTCTGTGTACTCGGTGGAATTTTTCGCATGCTGAAAAAAAAAAAAATATATATATATATATATATATATATACATATACATATGCATATATATATACACACATGTATATGAGCACAGAAAAATGCACACGTAATAATGAATGTGGAATATAACAATTACTGTGACGCGTGAATTTTTTTTTTTTTTTTTATGAAATGAATTCAATAAATTAAGGGACACATTAAATGGGAAACATTGAAAGGTGATAAAAAAAAAAAATAAAATAAAAATAAAAAAGTAGGACCAAAAAAGACCCAAAAGAATGAGACGAAAAAAAGTGAAAAAAAAATTCCCCTAAAAGTTACGAAGGTGTAATGATGAGTCTTTCGAAATGTCAATTTTTTTATTATGCTAGTGGATCGGATTAAACTCAAAATTGTGCCAAGGTTTTTTTTCGTCTTTTTTTTTTATCTTCTCCTACCACCTTTTTTGCAAACATAATAAAAATGTTTTATATATGATATACAAATGAGTCCATTTTAACATGAACATGCTGCAACATGAATATGGACTATGGAGAGCTTGTCCTAGTGTAGGTATGGGTAGAAAGTACCTTTATGAAAATGGCCTCATTGGAATTTATTGTTATCGACAAGGTGTGGTAAATAATTTTGCTAACGCTCGGGCACTCGTCATCCATGTGAAGCAGTAAGCGCGGATAAATATTCTCACACGCTTCGTGATCTAATATTAGTGATTTATTTTGAAAAAGAGAATACATAGCACCTGCAGACAATTTACGAATTGTCTTATTTGAATCATCCAATAATTTTAACAAAGTGTTCAACAAATCGAGTAATATATTGTTGTTATTTATTCCCTTTACAATTTGTCCATATATCGATATAGATATTTCCCTATTTGCATTATTCCACGTATCATCAATGGATGATTTAAGTACACACACTAAATTTTCAATTAGTACATTATTTTGAAAAGTACATGTGCCAAATAAATTTTTTACGAATAATGTTCTTATGCAATATAGGGCTCCTTTTCTTGTTTGTGCTTCATTTAATCCACTCTTCCAAGTACACAGAGGCAATAATATATTTTTTAAAATGTGTTCCGAATATTTTAAAAAAAAATTTGGGAAAGTATTACTCGAACAAAATAAATTTAAAAATAATAAAAATTCCGATTTCATGAATGGTTTTAATTCTTGATTTGTAATTAGCAATAAAAAATTCATTAAGCAGTTGGATTGTTCCATCATGACTTCTTCACTTATGTTACTCAAAAGTGTGTTTAAAAATTCAATGTTATACTTGAAATTATTAAAATCATTGAAGTCTATTATATTCGCAGCATTTTTCACGAAATGGATGTATTCATCATTGTAAAAATCAATTCTGTTTTTCTCTCCATGATAATGATACTCAATTTTTTCAATTAATTCTTTTATTTCTAATTGAGAACAAAAACGATTATCAGATTGTAAAATAATTAAAAAGTGAAATAAAATTTTACTATATTTCTTGCACTCCTTCCCGATAATGTTTAACAAATGCTTTAATGATATTAAAAGATAGGGAAAAGAGTCCACATTTTCATAATTCATATTTTCGCTTATTAAAAATAAAATCAAATTTATATATTCGTCGTCTAATTTGTTTTCACCTAATTTATTTTCGTCTATATCTTTCCTTATGTGGTACCCAGCTAGGAATTGGGACAACATCATAAGGACAATTTTTTTATTATGATTAATTATGGGAGTGTTACAGTATTCGTTATTAGCACAAAAGGGGATTTCTTCGAATACGGATTCTTCGTCGATTTGATTTCCATGAACGATGTATTCTTTTGTTTGATGGTTTTCCATTGGAGGTGATTTTCTCTCTTCTGCATCTTTCACTACAGATTTTATTGATTCATTCTTCGATTTCTCTTTCATGAATTCCCCACACAAAAAACGTCTGTCTTGAGAAACATCATCAGAGTCTCTCTTTTCTGAAGAAAAATCGAATTTATAATTCATACTAGTGTTCTCTTTCAAAGTAATGTCGATTTTCTTGTGCATACAAAACATTTCGTATGTTTTCGTCTGATATTTATGATAATTCATATTTGAAAAAATATATTTTGCACAGTCATCATAATTCTTCTCAGTGAAATGATCAGCGGAATCGTATCTCCCTTTAGAATTTTCATTAGTTGAATAAATCGGTGACGTATCGCTAAGTTTGTAAAAACTTTGTGCAGCCTTTTGAATGTTATAATCGCCTAAGGTAAATTGTGCTATTTCAGGAAGAAGCTTATTTATAGGCATTAAATACCCGCAGGTAATAATTAAATAAAGAAATTTGCTCATGTACAAAAATGATTCGTATTCATAGCCATAATCTGAAAAGGCGTCCTTTGGGGAAAATTCATTTCTGTCCATGTTTTTCTGTGCAAAAGAATTTAGTAATAAGGGTGTTGTTGGAGAATCGATGTATTTAAAGAGTGTTAGCGATTTGTACACAAACGATATTATATACTTAATAAAATGAAAAATGTCAAAATAGGTGTAAAACAAAAACATGATTAAAATGCTTGCAAAATCGTCTTTTCCTTCACTCCATGAATTTCTTTCATTATTCATAATCTCGTAAAATAATTCTTTTTTTATTTCCCCAAAGAGCATATGAATATCGCTGCATATAACATTAGAAGGTGAAGGGATATAAAAGCTTTTATTCATTTCCGCGAAAAAATATTCATCTGTTGCTTTTCTAGAATGTTTATAAAATTGTTCCTTTTGTAAACATATTTTCCTTTCAACGAAATGATGTTCATCATGAAGATGTATTTTTTCAGAGAATCCTCCTTCAATCTGTTCTTCATCCTGATTCGAATTTGTTTTTATTTCAATAGAAGACGTATCATTTTGAATGGCATTGTCTTTACCTACACATTTCTCATTTTTATGACTCTTTAATCCCTTTAACGATGTGGCTATTGTTTTTAATACATTATAGCACCTTTCGTTGAAGGAAGAAGAAATATTTGCATTCACACACAAAAGGACAATAAATACCAACTTTGCTCTCTCACGTTTGTTTAAATCTTTAATATTTAAATTCCACACTTCAATGCAATCCACAATTTGTAAAAAAACACTGCTAGATTTTTTTCTGCACAATGTTTTTAAACATTCTGACACGTCATCAAGAAAATCTCGATTGCTATCAAAACATAGCAGTTTTTTTAGGCATTTTAAAGCTAGCTAAAAGGGAGACCAAAAAAAAAAAAAAAAAAAAAAAAATTGTTGCTCATGCGTGAAGGTCCGTTCGCTTAAAGACAGGGGTAACACGTAGGACGAGACAAGTGCCTTGCTAAATTGTAAAGTTACAACATTGTGAAATTACACAGCTGTGTAGTTGCCATATTGGTACATTATTAAGAGTGAATATGAAGCATACAAATATGCTTGAGTAGTGAAATATGGAATTACCTCGCGAACGTCATTCTGCCTTGCTGTTAAGGTGTTAATCAAACTTTTTACGAGACTTTTGTACAACTGCGAGGATGAAAAACAGAAAGGACTCCTATTGAGTACATGGATTACACTGTGGATATAATAAAAATTAGTTAGCAGTATGATAAATGCTTTTTTCAGATTACATGATTGAAGTCTTTTTGCTCTTGCTCAAAATGGAGTTCATATAATAACTGGCAGCTAATTTTTTTTATAAGAGGGAAGGGGTCTTTAATTAAAATTGTTAAAGCTGTTAAAATATCTTGAAGGTAGGGATATATATTGAGAAGTTGTTGGGAAGTTTCCATACAGTTGTTCCTAAACCTGTTGACAATTTTACACAAAAATTGTACAATTTTTAGTCTGATTTCTTCTTTATCTTCTACAACTCTTTTATCTTTATTTTCCTTTAGTCTGTTCGTGCAGATATAGAGAAAATTTTCATCTCTATTTACATTTTTAAATAGCAAATAATCTAGCAGTGTATCGTTAAGATTTTTTTCAATTAGGAAATATATGTCAAGAGCAAAATTCCTATATTCATCAAATTCTTCATTAATCCATTTGTGTAATTGGTGTAATAAATAGTTACGAAAGAAAACACAAAATTTTTCTTTTTCCTCTTCATTACAAAATGTAAAAAATTCTAATAACTTCTCATAAATTACCCTTAAAGCGTTTAATTTTTTGTCTTTATCTGATATTTCTGCGCTATTCAAAACGTGTATGTGGTGTTCAAAATCTTTACGCAAGTCGTGATGGTAATTTTCTTCGTGAAGCATGTTGCTCATCGTTGGTATTCAGCAAAATTAAAATAGAATCAAAGCTGTTCGTGTAGGTATATATACATATGTATGTTTGTATTGCATATGCATACCAGTTAGTATGCTACGAATAAAACTGCGAAATTCTAAAAGATGGCAGTTTTTACCGAAAAAAAAAAAATGGTGTTAAGAAGCAACAACAAAAAGGAAAAAAAAGTGATATTGTGCAGTGATAAATAAAAAGAGAAAAATGGTGTGGACATACATTTGTTAGAGGTGCATTATCAGATATATATTAATGGTAATTAATATTGTTGATTTTTCGTAAATCCCTTATTTATAAAATTTTCACTATGTTGTCAATTTTTATTTATTTAACAAAGGCAATGAGAAATAGGAAACTAAAATAAATCACACACACACATGTGACTATTTTAACCACAGTGCACAATGTCTCTCCATTCTGTGATATTTCTTATGAAAAAAAAAAAAAAAAAAAAAAAAAAGGCAAAAAAAACCTTCCAAATTGAATACGACATTACATAAAGTTTCGTGTGACAAACTTTTTTTTTTTTTTTTTTTTTTCCCCGTTTCTACGTGTATTTCTAGAAAAATTTTAGCACATCAGGTTCTTGTGTACAAGCCGGTTCGGATAAGTGAAGAGGGATTTGCTTCAATGCACTACGATATTGGCAATTATAATGATATAATAACACATCTAGCATCTGATGCATCGATTCATAAAGTGCATTTTCTGCCTTTCATCATTTAGTATTTTAACGAGTTCTCAGTTCGTAATTTTTTTAACTTCATAAGTTATCATATAAACGATTGTAGCAGAAAAAAGAGAAATAAAAGCCCATATTAAACATTCGCATGTAGCTTCAAATATATATATAAAACGTTGATAGTATATGAATTGTGTATTTTTTTTTTTTTTTTTTTTTTTTTTTTTTTTTTTTTTTTTTATACGTATATTACTTTCTCCTATCCTCCCCCCCTATATACACATGGATATAAATATATTTTTTTTTATTTTCCCTTTTTGATGATCTAAGATTCCAAAAAATTTCCCCGACTTATATATATTCAATAATGATGCGTGTAGAATTTTCGCACTCTAGTTTCTTCTGTACATTGTTCTGAACAAATGAAGAGAAAATCTGTTTTTATGAAAAGAAATGTCATAAAGTCTCAAAATACGTTGGATAAATTTGGCATTTTTAAGAAAGTGAATGTAACGAAAAAGGAGCACGTGGAAAAAGAGATACCATGCGAAACAGAGAATGAGAAAAAGGTGGAAAAGTGGAGAGATGCATTTAAAGTGAAAAAAGAAATAAATAATGAAGAGGGAAATGAAAAAAGAAATGATCATATTCTCAAAAGTGAACTTAGCACAGAAGAACACTCATCATTTATGTTTAAGGCAAAACCAGAAGATAATTTAACATGCGAAAGGTATAAAAATGAAAAAATAAGAAAACACATTATTGGAAAAGGTGAAAAACAAAAACATGAAGATGGCGATAACGATACTACAGAAGCAGATGAGGACAGCAGAGGTGATAATGACAATGGGGTAGGTAATGACAGTATGCCTTATGACAAAGACAAAATTGAAAAAAAGAAAAAAAAAGAAGATAACGTTAATGAAAATAGCACACCATTGCATAAGTTGTATCAACCCATTTATAAGGAAGATTACATAAACGAAATTCGGAGCAAAAGAAATCCTCTGTTGACGACAGTTTTAGATGAAGACTTAAATTTTAATTTAATTTTATGTGGACCACCAGGTTCTGGAAAATCATCACTAGTGAATGTGATAAAAAATAAAACAAATAATTTATTTATTTCTTTATTTCATTTAAATAATTTGAATAATGAATTAAGAAAGTTATATGATCAATCAATTATTAATTATAAATTATCAAAAAGGAAAACTATTTTATGTATAAAAGATATAAATAGGCTAAATAAAAATCAGCAAGAGAATTTACTGTTAATTTTAAAAAAAGGATATTTTTATCTTCTTGCCACATGCTTATTCAACCCTATGAATATATTAAACGCATCTCTAAGTTCACGCTGTTTATACTTGTACCTAAATCCTTATGACAAAATAGAACTGGCTTTAATTATCAAAAGAATAATTAACAGGTTAGACATAGAAGTTGAGGATAATGCTCTGAATGTAATCATGAACCATTCCTGTGGAGATGCAAGAGTGGCCATAAACATAATAGAATTCGCAATAAAAAATATGAAAAGAGAGGAGCTAAAAGAGAAGGAAATGGAAAAGGTGAAAGAAAATGGCAAATGCACAGATGAAAAGGAACACATAGAAGAAATAAAGAAAAAATGTGATATTGTTACGAAGCAGCTAAAATTGGAGGATCACAATGAACTGCACAAATGGGGATCTCTTCAAAATGAAAAAAAAGTTATCCAATTAAATAATATAAAAAATTTCTTACAAAATTTTCCTTCAAATGATAACAAATTAGATCATTTTAATTTCATTTCAGGATTGCATAAAAGTATAAGAGCTGGAAACATAAAAGCAGCAATACTTTATTTAACAAAATCTTTAAAAAATGGGGAAGATCCGTTATATATATGTAGGCGATTAATTAGAATAGCTTCTGAAGACATTGGACTAGCTAATCATGATGTTCTGTCCATTTGCATTAATACACATTATGCATGTAAGGCTATAGGGATGCCTGAGTGCCAAACGGCATTAATATACGCCGTTATTGTTTTGTGCAAATCTTCTAAAAGTAATTACATATACGTTGTTGAAAATAATGCTAAGCAAATATGCAACGAATACAACTTTGATGTCCCATTTCATTTAAGAAATACATCCAATAGGTATGTATACACAAACCAACCTGAAATTCTGACCTTCGAGGAACATTTGAAAAAGTACAAGGACGTGCAGAAGTACTTGCCAGACTATATAGAAAAGTTGGAGCTCTTGCCGGAGATCTGAACGTGAAGAAAAAAAATGAGCAATAAAAAAAAAAAAGCATCAAAAGTGAATTTAGGAATACTCTCAAAATGGGAACAAACACGTTCACGTTTATGTGTTCCTAACCACCCTGCCGCCCAACTACACATAATGAAACTCTATATGAGCATTTTATTTTTCCTATATACATATATAAATGTATATACACTTATGTTATGCCGCCCCGTTTGAGTTTCTGATTTTTTTAAAAATTTTTATGTAACACAACACACTTTGCAATTTTTTTTTTTTTTTTGCATATTTTTTGCCCTCTTTTCTGATTAAATATCCTTTTTTAGAAAATTTACTTATGAAGATCATTTTTTTTTTTTTTTTTTTTTTTTTTAAACGAAGCAGTTGCCGTAACACATGATATTGACGTGAATACAACATTTAAATAAAAAAAAGAAAAGTCTAATTAATGTTTGATTAAAAAAATAAAATAAAATAATGGAAAAAATAAGGACATCCAAATATATACAAGTGTGTGTATACCAATAGGTACGCATATAATTACAAATGTGCTATCCACATGGGAATCTCAGTGTCCACCTTCTCCTTCTCATCCTCAACTTCAGCCACAACTACAACTACAATTTAGTTTAGGATCATCTTCCCACTTTCCCTTGTTTTATATCTATAACTGGGTTATACGTTAATATTTGTATTTCGTTCAGAATTTGCTTTATGTGTGCCTTCCTCTCCTTGAGCTTATTATTAAATAAATATCTTATGATGTAAGCAAAATCTTTCAAATCCTTATTGGACACATTTATATTAAAATTAAATAAGCTTTCATAATGCTCATTATTTGTTTTTTTTTTATTTTTCAATTTTTCCTTAATTGCATGTAATGCTGATAGAATTATGCACAAACGATTTCTATCATCATCCTGGTTGTTAAAAATAAGTAAAGGTATATCGTTTTTTTTAAATATTTCGTTAACTTGTTCAATTATCACTTTTATATTACTACTTTGTTTCCGTTGTTCGTCCATTTCAGCAAGGCTGAGGTGATCCAACTCAAAGAAATTTACAACTGCATTTTCATTCATCACTGAATTGTTATTATCTTCCATGTTTTGAAAATTCCCGCAAGTGTTGTCATTTTCATCGTTATTATCACCATCATCGTAGCATATAAGATCCTTATATTCATCTATTAAGGCCAGTGTGGTCAAGCTGTTCAAAATATAAATCCTAACCTCTACATCATTGCTCATGTTTATTTTGTTAATATTGTGTATATTAATATTTAATTTCTTTAGATATTTCAAAATGTGTTCATTGTAGTTTCTTTCCATGGTGTAATTAATTTTTTCTCTTTCCTTGGGTTTGTACAAGCGAATTTTCTCCTCTTCTAATTTTAGAATCATTAGATAAAACTCGTCCGTACGTATGTCCACAGGATCATAATTTAGAAGTTTCAGCTTTCTTCCCAGAGAATTCATTTGGGGGTGGGCAAACTAAGCAGATTGAGTATACTATATCAGTAAAATTTGAGAGCATAAAATTGTAGTGCAAGTGTGCCAAATTGTAATGAAACTAAATCGTTCATAATGAGTGGAATCAGCCAAATTGTGTCATTCAGATTGGAAATAAACACTTGGAAGGGAGGGAAGATAAAAGTAGAACATTTGCATGCAACATTCGTGATGCACGTAAAATTGTATGCACAAGTCTGTGCATGTAGATTTCTCTCTATATATATATATTCATATATGCATATATGTGTATAGAATGCGTGTGCTCCTTTTCTCCCACATAACTATTCCGTTGTGAACATCACGGTCAAAAAAATATCAACAAAGTGCCAACAAAAGCATTTCTTTTCATCGTTTTTTTAAGTATTTCTAAAACACATTCATGGCAAAAAGGTGGGAATTCAAACTTCAATCACTTTGCATAAGCTGCAAATACGATATAATTCGGGGTTTACTGTGTTGGTCCTCTTATGTTCATAGAACACACCCAGCTCATAAGGAAAAGAAAGATATTTTATAGGGGCAAAAAATTATACTGTTTAAAATACAAACAAATTATAACCAGTGAATATATGATAAAATGTCTGCCTCCAAACTAAAAAAAAAAAAAAGAAAAAGGAAGCATTTTTCTTATAATTCAAAACATCTTTTTTCATATATCATTTTTATGAACCCTCTTCTTACGCGTGGCTATATTTTAGTTAGAAAAAAAAATTGTCAAATCGATGAGTTTAAATGATGGATGGAAGGAAATAACAGTAGTCATAGATAGGAGGGGTGGAGGAGAAAAAAAAAAAAAAAGAAAAAAAAAAGTCTTTGTAATTAAAGGAAAAAAGCACATAATTAAATTCTTACTATAGGAGATGAACAAAATTTAGGCAATGAAGTTATTAAGCCCATATTAGTTTCACATAAAGAAATACAAAAGCATGAGATTTTTTTTTATATGTTAATATATAAAAAAATATATATCCACACTAATTTTCTCATGACTATGAGAATATATATCCACTGTGTAGATCGATAACACCAAATGGATGATTCTTCTAAAAGAGATTACTTTTATTATGTGTTGCATGAGAATGTATGTATGATGAAAAAAAAAAAAAAAAAAAAAAGGAAAAAGAAAAAACAAATAAAAAAACTCTAATGGGATAAAAAATTTGCTACTTTTCGAAATAGTAATGGGATGAAATATGTTCATCACATTTGTCCCGTTGTCTCCAGGAGAACCCCATCAGTAGATGATGCTTATGCAAAATATCTGAACAGCATATCTGAGATAACACAACCAATATATTTGAGATTAAAATTTATCGAAAAAAAAAGAGAGAGGGTTTCATCATTTTGACTTATGAAAAAAAAAAAAAAATATGGATAAATATGGATGGGAATAATGCAATATAATTATTTTCGTAAAAATAAAAAAATTAAAAAAAAGAAACTAAAAATATACATATATCATACATGCATATAAGATATGTGTTAATGTGTAACTATTTCTTTTGTTATGAAGAAAACATCATCATGTAGACCTGATCATAGCACACAAAAATGCAAAGTGTAGATTTTTGAATGTGCGAATTTATGTTTACCCACCTTACAGGCATACATGCACACCTGTGCATGTTTGCAACCAGTTAAAAAAAAAAAAAAAAAAAATTAAACATATGTAGATTGCATACGTAGACTAATCTGTCCTATACTCACCATTATGAGTCAAAAAGAGGGCATCGAATGTGGGTATATAAACTCAGCATAAACATAGTGCAAACTCCGTATAGTCTAATCAGCGATAGGGAAAAAAATAAAAAAATAAAAAATTCAGTAAAAAAAGGAGTTAAAAAATGGGTTATCATTATTCTGTACGATGGACGCATTATCGTCCTCATCATTTTTTGCCTGTTCGTCTTCCATCACAGGGTTTATTTTTTCACTTTCTAGAAATTTTAAATAGTTATGGAAAACTAATAAATTGTGATGGCATAAATAGTTAAGGGAATTTAGCTTATTAATTGAACTGATTGAAATGGTTAAGTCTTCATTAATGCTTACAGTATTGCAAATGCCGAATATTTGTACAACATCATTTACTTTGATATCTTCATTTTTTTCATTACATGTAGTGAATGAATAAGTTAAAAGTAACTTTGCTCTTATGTAGCCGGTTGTATCATCAATTGTATATACTATAAATTCTTTTTTTTCTTCAATATTTAACACAAACCCTACTATTTTAATAAGGTTTAATTTTTTATTTTGGATGGTTAATTTATTTCTGTCTTTCTTGTACGCTCTTATTAGCATGCTTATATTAGCATACATAAAATTTGATTCGTTTGATTCTTCCTTTAGTTCATCATTAAAATAACCGCTCTCGATATTTAGGTTTGTCATTGCGCCTGATATGTTATGTGCTTAGGACTGATAGAAGGGGGGGGGGGGGTAAATGGGTATGTGTATGTGCAGCTAAGTTGTAATGGTTGAATTAAAAATAAAGAAACGAAAAAAAAAAGAAAGCAAAAGAGAAAAAATTATTTAAATGTGAACGTGTGCGTATACATATATATATGTACATATATGCGTCATCCTTGCTGACTTAAATGTAGGCACACTAAAAATGTACACGCCCTTGTAGGCGTACGTACCAATGCAGGCTAACATTTCAAGAACTCCTGAGACTATCATTCCAACGTAAGAACATGTGTGTGGTCAATTAATCCAAGAAAGGTAAGGCTTCTACTATAATTTGTTATCATTAAATGGGAAGTTTGCGTTGACAGGGAAATTGTGTAAGAACGTAAGAGTGGTTTAGCGTGGTGATGAAACTGAAACATTTACACGCACATTATACGAATTTGCATATATATATATATATATACACACAGTTATATGCATACAAGAATAATTGTCGGAAAATGCTTTCTCTGGAAATTATATAATATGACACAAAATTTTTACTATGATAAATACTTCTCTGTTTCAGTTCTCATGGAAATCTATAATGCATTTCAAGGTGCTTATATATATATGTTAAAATGGAGATAATGAGTAGGGGGTAGGGTGGGGGGGGACATATGTGTCGCTAACGTAAATGCATTCCATGAAGAAAAAAAAAAAAAAAAAAAACACACAAATAAGCGAAATAAGAGAAAAAAATCAAGGGTAAAGATGGTAAAAAAAAAAAAAAAGAAGGAAACTATTAACAGTTATGTGCTAGTTTTTCCTTCCACTCGCCTTATTTTTGTGTACCACATTTATAGCCCCAAATAAAACCAGCACAAAGAAGAGGGCTAATTTTTGTGCAGTTTGCTGTACATGTTGAAAAAAAAAAAAAAAAAAATAGAGTAACTCCTGTAACGTTTTAAAATATATACATAATGTAGAACCACAGCTCTTTTCATTATTCTTATCTAATGAATTTATCTTCTTACAGCTTATTTAAAAAAAAAAAAAAAAAAAAAAAAAACGATCCTTATAGTGATTTACTTGGCATAATAACATCACGTAGAAGTTCAATTCAAAAAGGAAAGGGTGATTACCAATATATAATGCAATTAGAGGTATGAACAAAAGAAATGATTGATAAATCCCAGAAAATGATCACATGAATTATCACGACACTTACACGTAAGGTCCTATGACTTCATGTGCCTTATTATTGGAATGATTTATGTCTATTCAAATATAACTGCAGTTAAGGATGTGTTGCTAAAAAGGGTAGCATATATACAAATGAACTTACATAAAATAAGAGAAGGAACAAGAATATTTCTGATAAAAGGGTGATAAACTTATTAACACGGTGCACTATTAAAAGGTGGGGGGAGGCTGTTCTCCAGAGATATTGTGATAGGAGTATCACTCCAGAGATAGCTATAACACACGGGCACTCTTTGAGGAGAACACAATCATTCTCTGTCATAATATGCCCTCCAAAGGGGTAGTATATCTCCATGCGTATGAAGAGTTAAAAAGGGTTTTTAAAAAATGGCAAATTTATGAAAGTGGTATATTCAAAGCCGTATGGTGTGCGTATAGCTCAACCCGTGGTAAATATAACAAAAGTGAAAAAAAAAAATTTCTCATATCATCATCCAAAGTGACTAATGATTTTAAAAATGAACAACGTGCGAAGAGAAATGGCACAAGCTGCAAGAAGCTAGATGACACACACCGAACGAACCAAAATGGCATTCACAGTGAGGGAAATTTTTATCTCAACAAAATATTAGATAGAGAAAACGAGAACGCAAAAAAAAAACTCGAAAAAAATGAAATAAGAGAAATTGTACCAGTTAACAGAATAAGTAATAGTTATATTAAATATTTGTTGCAAAAGAAGGGCTTATATTATGTATACACATATCAGTATGCACTTATTGAACTACTAAATTATAGCAATAACCTTTTAATCAATTTGTTATATTCTGATTGTATGATATCATATATTACTTATTCAATTTACAAAATAAATGCACCTAATGTGGATATACAAGAAGGAGAAGAACTTTCGAATGAAGAAGACGGAAGCATAATTTTCTCAAAAGATAAGATAAAAAAGAAACAAAAAAAAAATTATACACGACAAGATAAATCGGTTCTGATTGTAGCCTCATCTCAATCACAAAGCTGCGCAATTCATGAAACGATTATAAAATTAAAACCTCCAGATATATCAACATACTTGATAAATAACAAAGGAAACATTCAAAATGTACAAAGTAATTATTTTCTTTATAATATAATGATTTTAAATATGGAGAAATTCCCCACTGAATATGATCTTTCTATTTTATTAGATCATGTAAATCTTGTCATAATTGATGATGTAAGTGAATTATATGAGCTAAAAATGTGCAATGTCGTAAAAAAGCTTTTAACAAGCTTTAAGGAAAAGCACGACAAGGGTGATATATCACAAATTCTCATAATAAATAAGTTGTATAACCAATGGGTTATAAATGATTTGTTGCAATATTTAAAAAGTATAAAGTATGAGATTCGCTCAGAGGACTATTCGAGTTTCCTTAGTTCTTATAACGTTCACAATGTTTTTAGTACCTCTCGCGCTGATACAAAGGGAAGAAATATTCGTGAGAAAATAGAAAGCTACTCGATTCCTGTAGAAGAAAATATTCGCACAAGAATGAGAAGTCCCTTTCACTACTTCAATCTACGAGAATACAAAAAGAACAACTGTAAACACCTCAGTGTTTATGTTCCCATAAATGAAGACAAAAAATTTTTAATTTTGTTTTACCTATTAAGGAAAAACAAAGATAAGAAAATTCTAATTTATTACAACAAAAGTGACATATACTCATTCTACCGATCTATCAATTCATATGTATCATGTGTATTAATATCGAAATTGTATAAAGCAGACTACAAGAATAGTATAGTTAAGACCTTAAACAAAACGTGTGATTACGTGTTAATTACTGATGACAGCAGTATACAGAAGGCTCATCCCGTTTATGTTCATTTGTACATACATTACACGTTTTATGAAAGTGCAAATTCGTATGTGGATACATTGTTTAATGGTTTTTCTAATGTGGGGGAAGTTGACATAAGTAAGAGTTACAACGTGAACACTGTATCTGGAATAAGAAATTCTACAAACGACCATGTTGGAATAGTTCACCCACTCCCTGATACCCAATCCATCTTGTTCTACAATAAAAATCAGCGCAAAGAGTACGAATCGTTAAACGCTATTTTTAGTTTCAACCATTATCCACTACCATCAATAAAAGTGATAAAAAACAATTTCATTAATTTTTTAATAGAAGAAATTAAGGATGTAATTATTGAAGATAATAAACACATTGAAGAGGCGAAAAAAATTCATGAAAAGTATGGACAAGCCTTTCTCTCTGCAGCACTATATTATATACAAAAAAAGAAACTATTTAAAAAGAATTTTAAGAAAAAAGATTATTGTTCCAATATAACTTTCATTGTAGAAAGAAATATTCTGTTAAATACGAAGGATAAGACCATTAATTTTTTAAATGATCTGTTAAATTTTAAAAAAAATGTTGGTGATATAAATTTTTTTATTCAAAATTATGTATACTGCAAAAGGGGATATATTCTATCCGTTCCTGAGGATATATACAACGTAATTCACAAGAACAAAAATGCAGGGGCAAATGCAAACAGATATGCAAATGTGCACATGTACATTTTGTATAATAATTATGAAAAGCAATTCAGAGCTACCCACGTTAAGAGGGGGGGGGAGTACAAGTCGAAAAAATCGCTTAGGTATGCTGTTGCATATTGCAGAGGGTTGACATGTTCCCGTTTTTTCTGTCGTTTTTCTGTCGTTTTTCTGTCGTTTTTCTGTCGTTTTTCTGTCGTTTTTCTGTCGTTTTTCTGTCGTTTTTTTTACATCATGAAAAGGACAACACTTTGCAAAACATGGATGCATGCTCTAGTATCTGCGTTTCGTCGTGATAACACTCATGTTACACATCTCTACTATTTGCTTCTATTATCCCTGCAGGAGATTAAAAAAACGGATGAACATGAAAATGGAAAGGATTGAGATGAATAAGCTCAAGAGTCGGATGACTTCCACTTTTAAATTAAGCAAAAGAAATTCAAAAATGGAAAAATCACGAATGGGAGAAAATGCAAGAACAGAAACTTCATGAAGATAGCAGAAAAGAGTTATGCGTGTTCATCTGCTGTATGTTTATTCTTTTGCATATATTTACCAATTTGGAAGGCACAGATAAAACAGAACAAAATTTACAATTTTTCGCTAGAACAGAGAAACACACTGGTGGGAGGTATACTCCCTTGTATTAAATTCAAACAACATTGAGATTAAAATTTGGATATACGCTTAAAAAAGGAAGGAATGTTTTATTCTTTTTAATATAATAAAATATGTAATAGCCTTGGCATACACACGTCGAGTTGTAATACTGAAGGGAAGTATTAACTAACTGGCATAACATGCACAGCATATGCATGTACATGTATTTATGGACGAAAAAAGTGTATATAAAAAGGTGTATATAAAAAGGTGTATGTAAAAAGGTGTGTGTAAAAAGGTGTGTGTAAAAAGGTGTGTGTAAAAAGGTGTGTGTAAAAAAGTGTAAAAAAATGTGTGTAAACAAATGGCATATCCGGTGCAGCCATTTGGGCAGTGGGGCCAGCTTCGCATCTCTCCAGATTGTCAAATTTCTACATTCGTGGCTCTCATTTCTCCTGCTACCCACGCTTCGGATATATGTATCAGATGTGCTTAATTAATCCCAGCCATTAAATTCAAGTGAGAGGGGAGGGGAGATATGTTGTATGTACGCCTGAACAAGTCGATATCTTTGTCTAGCCATTTTTCAATATGAATAGAATGGAGAGGTTTAGTTGTTGATATGCCAGCTTTGTATGCCCAAGGATATAACTGACTTAGCAAGGTTTTCCTTGGCTTGTACTGAAAAAGAAAATACTTTTTTTGCAAATTTCTTAAAAATACATATTCTTTGTTCAATTTATCATATATAATATCATTATTGCTTTTATTTTCGAATCCGTATATTATAGAACCACGAACAAGGGAAGAATTATTAATGTTATGAAAGTAGTACTTGTATATCTTTGAATAAAACTCAATATCATTTCTTTTATCAACATGAAAATAATCTGTTAAATTGTATTCATATTGTTTAATGGATAGTTCGTCTACATAATTATATGCATCATTATACGTATAATCAAAGTTAGAGTTTAGAAAATTTGATGGAAGCGAATCCTTAAATATGTATTGAAAACGATACAGAGGTGTCATAAAGGGTGCAACTAAAATAGCTAGTAGCGTTATAGGTAATTTTGTCTGTACTAATTCAATTAATTTTAGAGCTGCTTCTGATTCGATGGATATATTTAAATTATAGACTACGTGACCTATATCATGAATTTGCCTATATCTTGTTAGTATGTAAGAATAATTTAAATCTGTAAAAAAATGAGATACTTCTCTATCATGTGCATGCAATTTATATGTTTCTAAAAATTCCATATACTTATATCCAAGCGTGTTTTTTGGCAATTTTTTTAATTCATTAAACTGAATATCCTGTCTTATTAATAAAGGTTTTTCTTTTAATATCACTCTACCCTCATCATCATTAATCATACAATTATAAATATGCTTAACAGCATATATAGATGATATGTCAGCTGCATGTGCCAAGAGATGCGTTCGAGCCGGTGTCTTATAAATTCGTAATATTGTTTTTAAAAATATTTCAAATTTGTTTATAGAATTTAAATCTATAAAATTTGATCGAAATATTTTTATGAAATTGTACATTTTGGGAAGTTGTGGATAAACATCGACGGCGTGATCATTTAGGGTTTGCTCATAAGACGAAATGTCCTGGTGGCATTAAAGGGAGCTACAATCAATAGGAAAAAATAAAACAAAATTACAAGAAATAACAGAAAATAGTAAGAAATTACGAGAAATACTACTACACTACGGGAGTATATGCCCCTCCCTTCCCCATAAAGCTAAAAATATGACTAATTTGTAAGAAAAAAGAATTGCCCTTCCCACGCTTGCTCTCAGCATTTAATCATTTGTAAACGAATTGTCATATCAACCACTATGTCTTGTGTGTGTGTGTGTGTGTGTCTCTATTATTTTTTCCACTTATGTTCGAAAATGATACCAAAGAGGGAGGGGGATATGAAACGAATGACAGCATGGGAGGAGGTTTTAACGTTGTTCACGCGCAAGTTTACCCCATATATATGTATATTTATACACACATGTATTATCGTTTCTATTTCACAATTCATCAAGAGACTCAATTTTATAATAACATTTTGGTATTTAAAAACAACGAAACGGTGCCTTCTTCTCCTCCTCCTCCCAAAAAAATATATTAATCCTTGTTTTTGAAAAAAACAGAACAGCATACATTTTACTTGCTCCTACGTGTTAATAATTACTCACTAATTTGAAAAAAAAAAAAAAAAAAAAAAAGCGTTTGTGTTGATTATTTTCACGATTGTTGAATCTACTTATAAAACTGCTGTTCGTGTCATTTTGTATATATGCACTTTCTTTTTCACTTTATTTCCATAATGTGATGTTTGGAAAATAAAACCGTAAAAAAAAGAGGAAGCAAAAATCATGAACAAATTAGGAATTTAAAAATAAAAAAACAAAAAAAACATGGAACTGCTTTAAATGTCGCAGCATTCCTTAGGTTTCATCATAAATTGAATTTCAATAAATTAATAAAAAAAAAAAAAAAAAAAAAAAGAAAAAAAAAAGAAAAGCATTAACCAAAAACGAAAAAGTGAGGGAGAAGCATTTTTTAAAAATTCATACATACATTTGTTTTGTACATGAAAGTAAAAAACACGTGAAAAAAAAAAAAAAAATATACACCTATTACACGTATGAGCATGTGGGTGAAGGGAAAAAAACGGAGATGGGAATGGGCGCAACAGGGTTTACATGTAAATATATATATATATATATATATATATATATATATATATATATGTAGCTAGTTTATATGCATATATTCACATGCTCATGTGTTAGTAAAGTATGTGTACACACTAGACGTTGTATATTTTATTATATGTAAAACCATAAGAGTTTATCAGTCAAGGTGCTCATATGAGAGAGGCACATATTTTATTTCCCGAAGATATCAATGTGGGAAAAAGAAGGAATTTTTTGATAAAGAACAATTTCGAAAAGTGGTAACATCTGTATATACATACACTTCTAACGGAGTGGCTTATTTTATCCCTCAAAAAAAAGTGGAGACGTTTTTGATCTCATTTATCAAAATTTCCTGCTTATCCCTGTCATCATCAAATATTTTTTCGATTACCCTTTTTAAATACAACAGAATGCATATGGCCTTCTTTTTCATGAGTTTGTTAATATACCTTGTAGATTTTTTAGTGTCGTTAGCACAACATTCTTTTGCATAATAACATTCATCATTCAATTTCCTACATTTTCGTCTGTTCTCTTCATGTTCAAAAAATATCATTTTTCTTTTTAAGTTATTATTTTCGTCTTTGCTAATAGCAGTGTAAGAGTAGTTTTCCTTATCATTAGTTACAAGTTTTGTCTTTTGTATGTTCTGCTTCGCATGGTGGTACATGTTCTTTTTAATGCTTTTAAAATTAGAAATTGAATTTTTTATAAAGAAATATTTACTATTATGTTTCGATGGATTATCATTTATTTCTCCACTTTGTCTATTTGAGAATGTTGTTCTTGTAACTCCCCTTATAGCATTGTTTTTCCCTATATGCTTATCATCTTCGTGCTGTACATTATTAAAATGCTGCTGATATTGCTGCTCACGTTCATGTTCATTCCACTTCATTTCATTACCACAATCATCATCATCATTACAGCGCAGGTTATGCATTCCGTTGGAATCACTACCATCATCTGTGCTTGTGTTGTCGTGAAAACATAACTTGTTATTCGCCTGCGCATCTACATCCCTCTTTTGAAGATTCTTATTGCAAATGTTCACATTAGCATGGTTGGTTTCATTAACCACCTCGTTGCAGCTTTCCCGATGTTCATATAAATTACTGTCAATTTTTTTCATGAATCCATCTGTCTTCTCCCTGCGATAAGCAACTTTCCGCCTATGCTGCCCCCCATCCCCATGTTGTATCTCTTCCCAGTTGTTTTTACAAAAATCGAAGTAATAATTTTCCGTTTTATTCAAAACCTTGTTGTGAAACAAATTGACCTTCTCAGAATTTCTACTAATATCATTTGAATTGTAATTAATGGAACTCAATTCATAAACATTACAAAAGTTTAACAAAAGGTGAAAAAAAATTTCCCAAAAAGTTATATATTTTTTTCTTGAAGATAATAATTTTATGGAAAAATTTTTTATTTTGTTTTCTTCGTTATGTACAACGTAGTAATTTTCATTTTGCTTCTTCACTTGATTAATATATGCGTTAATTTTTCTTGTGTTTTTTTCATCTATGGGTATATTTTTGGAGTAATCTATAAAATAAATATCATCTGAATTGCTTCTACTTAATTCTCCATTTATGTGACTACATTTATTTGTTTCATTTTTTTTTATCTTCCCATTCGTATTTTTTCCTTTTGCATCGCCATTGCTGTTGCAGCAATTCCCCCTGTTGATCTTTTCCTTATGATGAGCATTATGTTCCTTCAGCTTCTCATGATCGAAATGGTACTCTTTTTCCTGAACAATATTGGTCTTATAATCCTTATAGTCTTTTTCGACATTTCCTGCTTTTTCGAGATTTCTTCCTTTTTCGGCATTTCCTGATTTTTCATCACTTTCTGCTTTTTCATCACTTTCTGCTTTTTCATCATTTTCTCCTCTTTCATCACCCTCCTCCCTCTCCTCCTCCTTGTATGCACGTTCCTTTACCTTTATAAATTTCTCTATTTCCTTACATCTATTTTTGCTGTTTGTGCCAGTGGGTCCGTTTTTCTTCTTTTTATTATTTGCGTTATTATTTTTAACAAAGTTGTTATTGTGTGTTATGTATGTTAGATCCAAGTTATCAAATGTTACTTTATTTATGTCCATAATGTTATTGTCATATTTATATTTCATGCATCCTAGATGTTTGTAGTATAGCAAGCAGCTAGCCACTTGCGCTATACCTATTAAATCTATATGATAGTTGAAAATAGAATCTGTTAAGAAATTATAGCAATCACAGTTTTTTATTCCATAAAAGAGATAATTCTTAAAATTTTTTACATCTATTCCTCTACCAATGTCTATTAGGTATATGTTCAGAGGGAATTCTTTTCTTAAAAATGAATTCGGGTTGTTGGGCAGATCATTATTTAAAAAGCAATCAAACCGAAAATTTTCACGCTTGTACGTTCTGGCGTTATAATAATTGCTATTACTACTGCTATTATTATTACTACTACTATTACTGCTGTTACTATTACGAATGTTACTATTATGACTGTTGTTATTATGACTGTTTCTACTGTTGATGCCAGCACTATTACCATTTTCCCTAGCCATTCCTTTCTGTTCTCTTTCTCGTTTGCTTATCAATCCACTCTGATTAGTATCCTTATACTTGTTTATCTCATGTAGCATTTTTTCATTCTTTGCAATTAAAATGTTGTCTATTTTAACATCACCGTGCAGTACATCTAGGAAATGCAACTGCAACATGGCTACTATCAATTGGTACACGATAAATAGTACCAGTTCTTCATTTATCGATTTATAATTTTTTTTAATAAATGTGTTTATGAATTCGTTAAGAGACGTCACATATTTGTGTGTTCCCATTAGTAGTAAGGATGTTCCCTTTTCTGCCTCTTCGGCTTTATCTTTCTCATTTTTTTTTTCCTCAAGCGTTTTTGTTTTTTCATGTTTGTGCCCACTGTTGCTTCCACTTTTGCTTGCTTCCTCCAAACTACGTGTGTATTTAACAGAATTTGCATTTTCATTATATACTTTGTAATGTAGCTCGTCTGGAAATATGTACATACATTCCTTTGCATAAATTTCAAAGTATATCTCACTGTTGCAATTAAAATTGTTGCTACTACCCAAATTACTTCTACTGTTCTTATATTCATTTCTTACATCAGTCAGTTTTGAACCAGTTGCAAGAATTTCCCTTTTGCAATTGGTATACTTACATAATTTCATATGTCTTCTTGTTTTCAGTATGTATGAAAAGAATATTTCTTTTTTAGAGAGATACAATTTTTGCTGAAATTTGCATGCTAGTAATTTATCATCAATGGTACATTTGTATGTGCAACCATTTAATCCCTTACCCTGTTTATTTAAAATTTTCATAATCCTCGTTGTAGTTTTACCACCTAATAAATTTATTTCTGTATTTTTCTTTAGTGTACCTATGATTAATTCTTTATTACTATATTTAAATATTTTCGTATGACTTATATCGTTTATATTTTCTTGGGTACTAACAAAATAGTTATACCTTCTTTTTTGAACACTGCTGTACGGATTAATTAAAAATACTCCACCAATTATATAATAATTGAATAGATGAATTATAATTAATTTTAACTTATCTTCTGTATCTTTTGCATAATCGATTACTCTTTCATTTAGATACACTTCATTGGTGTCAACAAATGGCTTATCAAATTGAGACTTATCACCCATATATATGTTAAGTTTGTGATTTATGTATTTATTCAAATCGTCTTCTTTTTTAATATTTTTTTCATTTAATTCTATTACACTGGGTAATTTCTCTATTTCCTTATCTGAGGGGTTTTTATCTTTATAATGAGTAATATGAATTCTTTCATTTGTTATATTTGTTATATTTGAACCAACTTTCTTCAACTGAATCATTATATCAGATCCATTTTTATGTGGTGTGAATTGTTCTCCTATTTCACTGTCATTCAGAGAAAGGTTAAAAATTAGTTTTTTACTATTCCAACATTCAATTCTTTCGTCATTTGGGGTATTAATTTCGTTCACATTTCTTGTTTTCTTTGATTTGTATATATTCTCTTTTGAAATTTTTTCATCGTTACTCCGTAGCGTTTTTTCTTCCGTTTCATTTCCATGTTCACTCTGTATTAATAGTTTATGCATATCTTTTATTTCTTTTTCGTCATTGCACATGCTTCCTATCGTTGGTAGTGCATTATTTGATTTTCCTTCTTTATATTCAAGATCCTCTATTATAGAAACTTTAATTTTTCTTTCCCTCACTTCATGGAGATTCGAATTATCGCGATCCACTGAATGATCAAGTAGGGAGTCTATCGATTTCCTTCTCCTTATTTCTATATTTTCCTCATAGTTATTTTTAGACTCTTTCCTTTTGTCAATACATGAGTGCTGCGACTTCTTGGTGTTCTCTCTACTCAGTTGTTCACGCTTCTTTATCTCCTTCTTTGTTTCTGTCTCTTTCTTTCTCCTCATCCTTTTCTTTACCTTTTTTCTTGTCTTCATCTTTTGTTTTTTTAGTTTTTTTCTAGTTCTATTTCTTTTATACGGATTATAGTCTTCCGACGATATATTGCTCCTGCTAGAATCACTCGAAAAATAAGAAGCATATACCCCCGCTTTATATTTATTATTTTGTTCTACTAATGGTTTATTATCATGTTTCTTCTCTTCTGATGAACCTTTCCCCTGATGGTTATAATTCTCATCGTGTTTAAGAAAATATTCCTCTTTATTTGTTGAATCCTTTGTGAGATGATCATCGGTTTGATAACTGTAAATGGAAGAAATAAAATCATCCTTATCTTTCTTTTGTTCAATTTCATTTTCAGAAAATAATGACGATTGGATTTCTCGTTTTAGTTCCTCTTCCGTCGTTATTCTCTTCTTGTGACATTGATCACGGAGCATATTGCTATGTACAATTTTTGTATTCTTAAAATTTTCGTCTACGCTCTGATCCTTGTTCTGATATGCCCCTTTGTCCATGCTCTGAAACAAATCCTCATCTATATTCTCATCTATTTCTAGTTTCGTCACCTCATCCATTTCTCGTTTTGTCACGTCATCCATATCTAGCTTCATTGTCTCATCCATTTCTCCCTTCATAACCTGATCCATATCTCGTTTCAAACCATGGCTCATGTTCTCACTTACTCCAACTCCATAATCACTGCCTCCTCTTACCTCTGCTACTTCTTCGTATTCTTGGCTTCCCATACCCCCAACTGTTTCTCCGAAAATTATATCTGATTTGTCCTCATAAAGTCCTTTTTCTAACAATTCGTCATTTTCCAATTTGACTTCATTCTGTGTGGAATCATTATGGAACATATTAAAGGATTCTGGAGTGTCTATAACTTTTTCATGTTCGTTCGAAGCTGCCTGAACAGAACATGTAATTTGTTCTTCGTATTTGGAAATAACTTCGCCGGGGGCAATGAAATGGATGTTTTCATTTTCATTATCTGCATTTTCGTTATCTACATTTTCGTTATCTACATTTTCGTTATCTACATTTTCGTTATCTACATTTTCGTTATCTACATTTTCGTTTATCTCCTTATGATCCTCCGTCGTGTCAGTACTAGTATTTGCAATTGTATTATTTAAAACATATATATTACTTTTGCGTACATTATCCAATGCGCAACTGAATAATTTGCTTATAATGTGTTTCTCGGAGAAATTTTTATTCTCATAAAACGGTACTTCTTTTTCTTTGCAAATAGGAGGTCTTTTTCCTCTTAGGGCATCCCCATTGTGGTAGTTGTGTATCACCCGGTTATGCATCGAATAGTTCACTGTATTTGTTTGTATATATACAAGTCTATTTTGGGTTGTGTTTTTTTTCCTTTTGGCTGTGCTTCTAAATACGGTTCTGTATAAGAGAGCATACCTTTTCATGTATTCATTTCTGCTGGTATGAATGAAGTTAATTCGTTTTTTTGAGAATGATGTGATTTGATTTGTATGCTCCATGAGGTTGTTATTTCCATCTGCTTCCTCTCTTTGGACCTTTTTTCGAATCATTCTGTGATTCTTTTTATTTTTTTTCTTTTCCTTTTTCCTTAAAAGGAATTCACTGTTATATTTGAGTTGTATAACAGAACCATTCATGTGAAGGAATATAAACTTTTTCACCTGATTTTTTACTTTTCTATTTGACCAAACTTTGTCGTAATTATCCATTTTGAAATACGTAAGATTTAAGATTTTTCTGTATTTTTTTCTTTCAGAGTCTTTAATCTTATTTTTTAGAAGTGTTATTTCATGAATATCTTCTTTGTCTTCATCTGCATCATTAGCACCTTCAACCCATTGAATGGATGTGTTATCCAAATCGCTCCTTTTCCTCTGCCTGTCAACATAATGAACTATCTTTTTGTAGATTCTTTTCATGTTTTTCATAATATTTAATGTATTTTTATTATTTTTATTTTTAAAAAATAATAAATAAATATTTAAGAAATAGTGAGACATATATTTTGGTAGATTAAAATATAAATATATAATAATTATTTTTATAGATTTGTACAACGTATAAAGAGATATTTGAAAAATAGCGTCAATATTTTCATTTAAATAAAACATACATTTTTTTACTAAGTAGAGGACTAAAACTAATTCATAAATATATGAAAAATTTCTCTGTAACATTTTAACATTTTTAAAACCGTTACCAACTTGTGTAAACCTTTTAAATGTTTTATTATTATACCTATTTACTTCATTTTCGTAAGAATTGAAAAGGTGGTTATCATTGAAATGATCGTGTAATTTACAATTTTTTAAATAGGCATAAGAACGCATTTTCTTCATTATATAACTTCTAATATGCATTTTCGTCAATTGGTATATGCTTAATTTCCCTTTGATAACTTCATGACTCTTGACTACTTCACTATAACTACTAGTTATGGTGTGTTTTATTATATGTTCTCCATATGCACATACAAATAAACACACTTCATTGCAAAAGAAGCCATCACTTTCAAGCATTTTTCCTATACTTTTGTTTTTTATTGGGGATAAAAATTTCCTCTTTACTTTTGCATCATTTTCAGTTCCATTTTGAGCCTTAAGGAGTACTTGTATCCCATTCTCATTCTGTTCTCTTTGTTCATTCTTTTCATTCTCTGTCTTATCACATAGTGTATTCCTCTTGGTATCATTTAAGTACACAAAAATGAGCAAGTTTAATGGATTTAACGAAATCTTTAAGTAACTTATTAATAGCGTGATAAAATTATTACTAATTTCTCCAATTTGTGTAATTTGCTTTTTTATATAATATAATAAAAATTTTATACTTCCGTACATGAACATTACCCGTGAATAGTTATTCATCGCCACCTTCTCAATGTCATTTTTCGTTAATTTATTTATGATATAATAATTGTTTACGTCATCTTTTATCATATGGTTCTTATATTCTAAAATGAACGAATGAAATTTATAGCCAAAATGGTCAACATAAAAATCTAGATATTCTTGTAATATGTTTGAAAAATCCATGCCATGCTTAAGAGCTTTTAACTTTTTTAATTCCTTATCATATTTTCTTATTTTTATCAGAACATTGACAAAATCTTTGATGTCTTTATAAAGAACACTACTATTCTTCTCCTCAATACTGCCATCTGCCTTGCGTCTTTTTACAATATAAATATTCTTGATACAATTTTTTATGTAAAACTGTTGGATATCTTTTTTAAACATTATTTATGATTGAGAATAGGCATGGACGGAGAGATATGAAACATACAGAAAAAAAAAAAAAAAAAAAAAAAATGGAGAGACATGGGTGGTGATAAAGCGGCAAAACTGTTCAACAGTGAAACAATGATACAGTAGAATAAAGGAACAAAATTTTATAAAGAAATGAATATTGAAAAATTTTCCGTATACCCAGACATTTGAAGATGAACTAGAAATAAATAAAAATTAAAAATAGTAAAGCTAGAAAAACATGAACGAATTCAACATAAATTACAAGATGTTTAAAGAATATACAGGGAGTAAATAAATGTGATGTAAAAAGATAGAATATGGGTGCATGTATGACATACACATGTATGCATACATGTAAGGTCGTGTTTATATGTACTTATTTATATATGTGCAATGTGCATGGAAAATACTGAATTAATTACACATGTATGTACTTTCAGAACTATGTTTTGTAAGTAACTTCAAAGCTTTGCAACAAGCATACAACTTAACAGTTGAATGGAGAAATGGGAAGATACACACCTTGTGAATATTTTGAGTTAAAAAAATGTTTAATGTCATATTTTTGAATTTTCCGCTGGGAATAGTATGGAGTATTTTAACTTTTTTTTTTTTTTTTTTTTGGTTACTCGTATGTTTTTTTGAATACAAAATTTTAAAATGGTGAATATTTCATTTTGATGTCATTTAAAAATATTGAAAAAGGGAAAAAATCACAAAATGAATTGGAAATAAATGAAATGAAATTTAGCGTGATAAAAATGATTGAAATAATATTCGGTGTGAACTTAATAATAAAGGCGTACGTAAATTAAAGGAAATAAAAGCTATTATCAAAAAGGGAGCACATTGCAGAAAAAAAAAAAAAAAAAAAAAAAAAAAAAAAAAAACAAATATATAATAATAGTGTTACATTAACGAAAAATTAGAAAATTAAATAATACCATCTTTTTCCACATATTTTAAATGTCAAAATTTTATTAAACAAAGATCATTTCTTGAGGATTTCCTCTTAGTATTTAAATTAAGACATTATATAAAATCGTGATAATACGATTTGAACATTAAAATTGGAAGTACCACGTTGTGTGTATTCTTTCATACGTCACACACAACTCCATATGTCCATTATTATTTACCTTTTTTTTTTTTTTTTTTCGTGCGAATTATACATTTTTATGGCTTTTGTAAAAAAAAAAAAAATAGGAAATAAAAAGTACATTTAAATTGTGTGGTTTATTTATTTGTATCAACTATTCGTAATTTTTTACTCAACTCAATTTAAATTTTCCACATATGTAATAAAAACCCTTTGTATGTCATATATTTTTCTTTTTTCTTTTGCTTTTCTTTTTATGTGTATTTATCCATATAATATTTTTCCATGCATTTTTTTAGTATTCTCAAATCGTTTTAACAGTGTTTATTAAAATAACAACATAAAAAAAAAAAAAAAAAAAAAAAAAAAAAATTATTCCATTAAAGGAAAAAAAAAAAAAAAAAGATTGTATAAAATAAATTAAAAATCTAACTTAAAAAAGAAAAAATGAAATAACATAGTGTAATACTATATTATATGATTTGGTATTATATTAAAATTTATGACATTTCACTGTAATAGCATACATTTTGCGTCCATTTATGTTTCTATTGTACATCATGCTTAATGTTATGGTTTGTTTAATACACCTGTGTCACAAATGCTTTTTTTCCCAGTTGCTAAAAAAAAAAAAAAAAACAAAACAATAATGTAGACATGTATGAATAAAAGGGGTGAAGCACTTTTGTACATAATACATAAGTATAAGACATTATCCCCTCTCTACAAATTGTGCCTCTGTTCATTAAAACCAATAAACGTTTCTTCGATAATCGAACATGCTGTTTTTAAGTACTGTTTGGGCATGTTAAGTTAGACAAAACATCTCGTGCGAAATACTTTTGCGCACATGCTCGAGTGTATGCACGGACATGAATATATATATATATATTCATATGACACATTTTGATACCCTTTTGCCCCTTTTTAAAACACCAAATAAACGAATGCAAATTCAGTTATTTTATTTCATTACGAGTAAAATGGATCATAGTTAAATTTATCGACGCCAAAAAACATCATGTCAATTATTAGTAGTATGGATGTACATATGCTTGCAAATATCCTGAACAGGTAAGGCAAAAAAAAAAAAAAAAAATTACATATAATAATCTATTGTATTTACAAAAAATATATATATGTATAGCAATTATGTTTTCCTTTTTCTTTTTGGGTTAATTTTTAAAGTCCATGTTGTACCACATGTATCTTAGAGTCTCAGCTGTAGCAAATGAGCAAAATATTAGCACAGCAGTAATTCCAAAAAGAATGCCTAAAAAGTGTGTATGTGGTGAAGTAGGGAATTAAAATTGTGTACAACACAATTTCTGCATTTTTTTTAAAAAGCAAAATTCATGTTATATTTTGTGTGCAAAATGGAAACTCATTATATAAGTTTTTACTTCTCCTGGATTTGTCGCTCATTTTGGTAATTTTCTCTAATTTACATGAACATTACACTTCGGATAATCCTTTTCTTTTGATTATTATTATTATTACTACTCAATTAGTATGTATATAATATATATATTGTGTTATTATATTACATTATATATTACGAAATATGCTGTTCGTTTAACAAATTACAAATTTAAATGACGAAGATAAAGAAAATATTATACATTTTAAATGAACGCTCCAAAATGAAAAAAAAAAAAAAAAAAAAAAAAAGGAACTTAAAAATTTGAAAATTACCAATTTACTTGGAAGTTACTAGCGTTCATATAATTTTTTTTTAATTTTAAAAAGTGTAGTTTTTTTTTTTTTTTTTTTTTTTCTTTTTTCATCTTTTTCACTCTTTTTTTTCAATTTTTTTTTTTTTTTAAAAAAAAGGGCTGTTTTGTGCATGCACCACAACGTTATGACAAAATTATTTGAGACTATGCTTATCCTTTTTTAAAAACTTGTATGATATAATTGTCAGATTTATCGAATTTATTATCCTTTATTATGTTTATTAAATGTTTGTTTATCTGTAAAAAAAAAAAAAAAAAAAAAAGGAAAGGAGGTAAAAGTAAACAAAAGAATGTGTATATATATGTCCACGATATATTCAAGTAGTAATATATGTATATAAGTAATATACATATTAGCATATATATACAAATATATGAAGTTATGTAAAAAAAGTATGATAGCTTAAAAAAAAACACATAGATTGGATAACCAATTAAAGAAAATTAACAAAGGATGCAAATGGAATTATGTATATATAAAACTATTTCATATAGTAATATTTAAACAAAATAAATGTTATATTTTTTATTTTTAAATAAAATAAGACAAAGGGAGACTTTGTATGCAACTTTTGATTTTTTCATAAATATATTCCCTTTAACTGTGTAAAAGTTGTTCAGTGAGAACATCCAACATGGAATACTTTTTTTTTTTTTTTTTTTCGCAAATAAATTTATACGTAAAACATTATTCCAACCACCTTATGCAAATAAGGAATCATATCAAAAAAAAAAAAAAAAAAAAAGAAAAATATAGAGGAAATATATTACAGTTCATATACTTCTGGACACAGCTATGTGACATAATAATGAATTGTGCAGGTCCATTAACTATTTAATTAGCAAACATTTCTATTAAATCTAAATTTACAGAAGCATAATTCCCCATCCATGCACACGGACATTTATTGGTGTATTTTCTGGTTTTTATAATGTATACCTCTTCATTAGTAGGAAATAAAATGGGTTTACTAAGGGAAGAATCCAGCTGGAACCACATTCCTGTTATAGGCACAAAATGGGGTGGACAAAAATGTAAATGATTTACACATTAATATGAAAATGAATAAACAAAAAATTCTCATTTAAAGCACAAAGAATTCTTGGTGTGTTCTTCTACATGCGTTTTTTCTTTCCCCTGTATATGCGTTTACTACACAAATTGAGCATTATCGATTTTAAAAAAAAAAATTGAATACCTGAAATTTTCCTTATTGTATAAAAATGCCTATGGTGGTATAGATGAAAAATATTCATCCGAACAACATTTATCACAAATGCGATTAATTTTTTGTCGTTTAAATGGTTATCATCAAAAATTGTGTTGCACCTGCTACTTTTATTCTTATTTATTTTTTGCGATATCTCCTTATTATCAACCCAGGTCAGTTCAATATTGTGCTTGTTCATGAAGAAATATAAAATGTTTACGTTAAAATTTCCAAAATAGTGTACACCTCTTTTAATATATGTGCGGATACTATTATAGCTTAATATTTCTTTTGTATTTAAATCTACTGATTGTTTGATGTCATTGTTATAATCGTAATTTTTTTTGTTACAATTCTTTTCATTCTTGTCATTGTTAGTATCATCGCCCTGATCGTTTAACACGCCTACCCCTATAGGATCGGAATCAAACGTGCTCTCGGCGTCTTTAAAATCGTCAGGTGAATATACATGAGCTTGTAAGATATTGTTTGCAGTGTGAACTAAGCAATAGAATTTGCTTTGTTTTTCAAAATACACGTTTATCGATCCCCTTTCCGTTTCAATTGCATATATTTCATAGTTGCACATCTTGGGAGTTAAATGTTGCGAAAGTATTAGTATATTTTACTGCTTTAAAAACGGAGATAAATGAACATATTTATGCGTCATCTATGTAATTTGATGTGCGAGTCTACCGTTTTTTTTTTTTTTTTTTTTTTTTTTTTTTTTTTTTTTTGTCATTGATGATGATACCAAATCCAATCTATCATAAATAAGTGATTTTTTATAGGCAATTTTGCTAAAAACAGGGTTAAACGTGTACACTTATCGACATACACAATTGTGCCTTTGTCATAAAATCATGTGCTCTTGTTGCATTATGTTTTTTTTAAATTATGACGCGAAAAAAAAAAAAAAAAAAAAAAAAAAAAAAAAAAAAAATGGCATTTCGTTCAACCTGTCATATGCGTAGCATGCAAAGTCTTGCCTACTCAAAATGAGAAATTTCAATCACGATACAACAATTCATAAGAACGGAAAAAATAATGAGAGGGCCGTTTAGTTGTTCTCCCTCAAGGAACAGCAATATTCACACACTTATGTATTATATTTGCACATGTACATATGTTCATAAATATGAATACATAAACAGTTGGATATTTGTATACATGTTTAAGCATACTTGTTAGGTGGCAGAACACTACTGCATTGTGATTCGTCTGAACACTCATTATGGGATAATAGTTTACCCCTATATGAACACGCCTGTAAAATGAGTGGAAAGGTCTTATAAGAAGACAATTTGTACGGTACCATAAAAAAATAGCTGAAGCACTAAATTAGATAATCATATGTGTAAAAGCGTGTTATTTTTTTGCTGGGATATAAGTATACACGAATAAGTAATACACAAGGAATAAAATTGACAAGGCTGTAAGAAAAAAAGTGAAAAAAATTTTGTACGATGTAAAAAGGAACATAAAAAGAAACAGTAATAAAAAAACAAAAAAGCAAACAAGGAGGTATAAGAACACGTTGTTTAATAAAAGGATTTGTGTATAGCTTCCAAATGCTTTTGACTCATTTGTTGTAGAAGTATTGATGTATTCCTTCATTTTATACGTATTAAAGTTATGATTATTTTCCGTACAATTTAACAGCTCGACGCTATTGTTGAACTCATTTTTGAAATCGTCTTGCATGGTCATCATCGGTTTATTGTTACATTCATCCGAATGCTTGTCTTCGCTATTCTGGTGATTTATTTGATTTTTTTCGCTATCATTATTGGAAACCATTTGTTGATTCATTAAATTGTTTTCTTTATTTTCATTAGAAGAAAAAACTTTTGAGCAAACTAATTTTTCCTTCTTATTATAAATTAATATCTTTCTTTTTAAAGTAAGTAGGGAATTTTTGACATATTTGTCTGCCGGGTTTATCTCTAGTACTTTTAAGAACTCAATCTTGGCTTCGTTATACATATCCAGGCACATATAGGCTTGTCCTTTTCGGTAGTGGGCTTTTACGTTATTTTTGTCGAGGTTGAGTACCTACAGAAGGGGGGAAGGGGGAAAGATGTGGAAATAAAATAAAAAAAAAAAAATAATAAATAAGCTGGCAACCAAACAGCCAAACATACAGGGGAAATAGCTGAACAAAAGGCAAACACACAGATAAAATATCCTAACGTACAGACAAAAAGTGTAATCCCTATGGAATAGCACCGTATGAAATAATAAACTGGGGAGAAAAGATGAAATCGCGTGGGGTAACATTAAAAATATACAGAAAAATTATGCAAAAATGAATTCAATACAAACAGGCACGAGAGCACATGCATGATACCGTTGAACATTCACTGATGCACTCGTAATAGTTAGACATGTGAAATTTGGTTATGGCCATGTTCAAATGTAAATTAATTTCAAGCTTGCTTTGTTCATCTTTTTCTTGTTTTAATTCTGGGAAAGAGTAATCCAATTGTATTAATCCTTTTCTAAAGTAAATACAAGCAAGTTTATAATTTTTTTCGTAAAATGCTTTTTTCCCTTCTTCATTAAAAGCATTAGATGCTTTTATATTTTCTTTTGAATCTTTTTCATATAGCTGTCTTTCCTTTGAATGATCATGTGTGCATGGGTTCCTATTATTTAAAATGTGTTGCTTCTTTTCTTGTATATTCTCTTTTTCCTCTTCATCATCTTCAATTTCTTTAAGGCAACTCTCAAATTTTGAATAATCAAAATTGTATTTTGATGGCTTGTTTTTCGACTCACATGTGTTTTTTTTTTCTTTTTTAGGAAGTTTTTTCGTATTATCTATTTCTTCTTTTATTTTTATACAGTCTTTCACAAATTTGTACACATCTTCTGATGTTTTAATATTCATTTCAAAATTGGATTTTCAATGGAAATCGGGAAAAGTTGTGTGCGCTTCTATTTTAGTTCAACAAAAGCAAGTGAGGGGAAGAAGAGGCATGCCGAAACAAGTCATGTGCTACTATTCCTAATGTATCAAAATTTTATGAGCACATCGTTTGTATGGAGAGAAGCAAAACGGCATCCGTTGGTTCGAGGGAATTAAATAAAAGTGAAACTGAGAGTAATGCTTGAATATGGCGTGGTCTTTATTTAGATGATATCATAGTGATCATATATTTAATCTGTATGGTGGTCGTGAAAAAATCCCAATTTAGTAATCGTATGAACATACTCATTCTCGTCATATAAACACGGGCATACAGGTTATACAAATACAAGCATATTGCGTCATGTATCCACTTCAACTTGTGCGTGACTTAAGTGCAAATGCATGCATGAGATAGGAGAACGTGATTTTAAAAAAAAACAAAAAAAAAAAAAAATGAGGGAAACGTACGCGAATAAGTGCGAGAAAAAAATGTGGAACGAAATTTTCCTAACAAACATGATCAACAAAGTGAACATTTGAAATGCATAGAATAAGCATTTAGCAACAATAGCAAAAAAATCCATAGCTTCTGCTACAATTTACCTTTTCAAAAATGTTACAAAAAGAAGAAAAAAAAAAAAAAAAAAAAAGGTATTGCAACTTTATTTCGTCGTGCATGCATTCAACAATTTTTACGCGTTTTTAATTTAATTAACACTTTCAACTTGTTCATCTCCCATAAGATAAACATTCTCTTTTTTGCACGACAAAAATTCAAACGTATTCATGTAGCTATGTTATGATTATGTAAAAGCCAAGGGGTAATATGCAACTGTGCAAAGCAACCCTATATATGAAGAAACATGTAGGAAAAAAGGAAAAAAAAAAAAAATAAAATAAAATAAATACATAAGAAGCCTAAGTGTATGGAGGACAAATTCGACTACGGCATAAATCCCCCCACATTTTTTTTCCACTGCTTAGAGAGACTTTTTTGCCTGGATCTCGCAAAGTAAATGTCATAAGAAAAGTGGGAAGATGCATTTCAATAGTAACGAAAAAGGGTTCCATAACAATGGTCTGATCTACAAAAACATAGAGAGAATAGACATTTTTGATGTGAAAAAGGCTACAACGGAAAATGGAGAACCCATAGATTATTTACAATTTTTAAGTAAAAAAAATTGCTTGAAGAAGATAGAAAGCGTGCTAAGCAGACACGTTATAAATAGCCAAATAGTGATAACTAATTTTGCAGATGAATCAGATGAACTTATAAACTGTGAATATATGTATGAAACCGTTTTAAGAAATAAAATGTGTTTCTTTTTAAAAAATGTATATTTATCAAGTTTTTTTACGAATGATTACATGAATTATATCCGTAAGAATTATAACCAAACATTGTTATCCCTGAATTGTAAATATGACAACAAAATATACATGAACAATAACTTTGTCTATTTATGTGTTAACGATTTGACAAAGTTAAGATTAACTTCTCACAGAAATATATATAAAGATAGGTTCAAACAGAACCACGTCGTTGTTTTAGATATTTGCAATGAGGAAAAGGTAAATACTACACACGACCATGTGGAAAGGAAGAAATGTGGAACCCCAAATCAGAAAAAGGGTAATGAACCAGGTAGAAATTTAAATGAAAATATAAGGAATGAATCTAGTACCCAGAATAAAATCTTAGGAGAAATGAATTTTATTTCTCATAAGTTGAACCAAAAAAAGGAAGATAAAAAAATTTCAGATAATTTGGATAAAAAATGGAGCACCAGTATTTCGCCAAAATTGAGAAAGAAATATGAAGATTTTTTCACAGATATACACACATATCCAGTAGATTTATTGGGTTTATACAACTATGGAAAGGATTATAAAACATTTTGTGAAAGATTAAAAAATGTTTTAACTCTTAACGGGTCTAAGGATGCAGAAATTTATGCAGTCCATGTGCAATGTCATGAATGTTTTTACGAAGAAAGTGGATATACTTCCGTTCTGAAAAATCGCACACGTGATGAAGTATCTCCAAACAAACAATCCAATGTTGATAATTGTTATAATATTGGAAACAACCCAACGAATACTTTATTCAGTGAATTTAACATGAGTAATGTTGCAGATATTTATAAAAATATTTTTTTCAACTCATCTTCAAATGAAACAGCAATAAATGTAAACAGTTTAACGAATTTTTACAACATGTATGGTTTGAATAATGGTGATTGTGACATCATAGTAAGTTCAAGCGATTCAGCAAACAATCATGCAAGACAGACGTTAGGTATAAAAAACGAATTAAACTATATGGATATACCAACAAGGAAGAATTGTAATGAGGAACCCTTGTCTTATGAACTCAATATGAATTATATAGAGAAGGAATTCCTTTCCAGAATTTTCCCACCCCCAAAGGAAACGTGTGAAATAATGAAAAAGGATTATATTAGCCTCAATGATATGGACATGTGCAAGTATAATGGAGTGGTAGATATATACGATTTGATATCTTTAAATAAATCAAATAAGAAAAAGAAAGTATACAACATAAATGGTAAAACATTTTACGTTAATTACAAATCTTGTAGTAGCAGTGAAGTGAGTCTAAGCTGCATTCGAAGCACCAATTCTGGTACAACTAAAGGGGTAACATCAAATGAACAAAAAGGTTCTAACATTTTAAATACTTCAACAAGAGGAAAAAATTTGAGAGATTATGTAAAAGGAGGTTATCAAAAAAAGGAATATTTCCAGAATTATGGAAATAAGGCATGGGACGACCAATGCACTCAAAATTTTTCTCAAAGAGAAAATGAAAAAAATAAAAAAGTGTATAACATAAAACCTCGAATGGGCATAAAATCGATAAAAACTGAGAGCAGTGATTTAGAACGAGCGAAATTAAAAAAAATTGACAAAGTTTTGAATTTTTTAAAAAAACACAAGAACTACTATTACAAGAACAATGAACGTATGTTACAAAGAGAATATCTTTACAAGCTTGTCAGCAACATGTCAGATGCAGATGCTAGGAGCGTAACCAAAAGAAAGGAGATGCCAAATGAAACCAAGTGGAATAGAGAACAGAAATATGACGAATTTGTAAGTTACCTAATTGAATATATAGGAAAAATCCTGCTGGATATAAAAATAAATTACAAACATAACGAAAATATGCTTATTAAAAAAGAAAAAAAATTCTATAAAATCCAGAAAATAATGTTTAGCAATGGCATAATCAGTAATTGCACTGTTCGTAATGTATGCAACTACCTTATTGGCAAATTAGTTAATAAAAAATATAGAGATAAACGAAAGCTCTGTTATGTTTTGTCCATATTTGGACAGTACTACAGTTTTATCAATTCTGATAAATATTCACAGGAAACGTGCAGTCAGGTTTCCAGCCATCTATTTTTTTTCAGTTCTCCTAAGACAATATATATAATGATTTTAAATACTCAAGACAGAGTGCTATAATGTGTTGGAGGTTCGAAGAAATGTGGGTGTAATAAAAAAAAAAAAAAAAAAACAACAAGACACATATTCGATGGAGAATTATTCCGTAGAGGTACACATATATGCATAACTTTGAGCTTGCTTATTTGTTAACCCCCACAGCTTTCAAAGTTTAATTTCTCAAAAGTTTCCTATTTATATGAGTTCTCCCCTCCACCACCCCCCCCCTTATTTGTAAATTCGGCTTAACGTATTTTCTAGCTCATCCAATTTGTTCTTTTAATTTTTACGTATGATCTAGATTTTTTCATTTTATTTTATTTTTGCAGTTTTTAATTATCTTACATGGGAGCACGATGTTTTAAATGTTATTTGATTTTTTGTTAAATTTTCATCACGTGAAAAATAAAATACAGAAAAAGTAAAAAGACGAAACAATTTTTTTTCACCTTTTTTTTTTCACTTTTTTTTTCACTTTTTTTTTTCACCTTTTTTTTCACTTTTTTTTTTCACTTTTTTTTTCACTTTTTTTTTTCACCTTTTTTTCACGTTCAACATGCACGCAAATAAATTTAAGCTGAATTAGCGTGAATATGAGAAGGATAAAAATCATTTCTACCAACACGAAGAAATAACTCAATTTTCGATTTTTTATTTTGTTTGAAGGATGAAATATACTAATTGGTTTACATGTATAAGGAACACAGTGCTTCATACAAATTTGCATTAATCCGCCTTACATATAACACCCTTACTTTTTTTGAAGAAAAAAAAGAACAAGTCAACTTGTCAGTAGACTTTGGTGTATTTACACATATGTGTCCCTATGTATGATGAAACATTATTCCTCCAATACTACAGAGTTTGTATGTGTGTGTACTATTTTTTTGTTAGGTACGTGTAGGAAGAAAGGGGGAAATAAAATGGACTCTAAAATTAAGAGATACTCTAAGGGATGCCCGAAGACAGGCCAAAATATAGCACTATTTTTTTTTTTTAACGCAAAGGGGTTTGCATGGCCTATAGATCATTTATCTCTCTTGTACACATTCCACGGGGAGTATATTCCATTCTGAATGCGTTAAGTGTAACCTTTGTTGACGGAATTTCATGATCATTCTTCATTTTGTACATTTGAAAACAGCAAGAAACGGGACTGTGATCACTAGCCATTAATATGCCTTCAAAGAAAGGAAACCCCCCCAAAAAAAAAAAATAAAATAATAAAATAAAAAATAATAAAATAATAAAATAATTAAATAATAAAATAAAAAAAAGTTGGTATAGGAGTGCATGAAATGTGTAAATGAATCTGTCATGGAAGAATAAGAAAGGGAATAGTAAAATAAATGATGTGAAGTGGATCCTATATGATAATCCACAAATACAAATCGTTTGCAAAAACGTGTTTTTAGTGAATTCAATTACTTTTTTCCTGTGTCAACGGTGAATGGTAGGAATTAGGAACAAATATTAGACATTGTTTGGTTTTTTCACAGGACCATTTGAAAATTCTATCTGTCCACTGCAAGGAGGAAAAAAAAGTGGAAATATCAGAATGTGCTAGAAGTCGACAGATTTGTGAATTGTGTAAAAATTTACAAATATTCGATGTGTTCCAAAAAAAAAAAAAAAAAAAAAAAAAAAAGGTGCACAAATATATGGTTCTTGTACTAATTCCGTAGTTGACTAGCCAAAAAAATGGAAAGGAAATCTTACAGAAGGTATACGTGACTCCTGCCTCCCTCCTTTGTACCACTTGATGTTGTGGATAAGCTTATACTCCTTCTGAACCCAATTGGCATCGTTCCTATTGATAACTGGACGATTTCCATTTTTCTTATAAGTTGGAAGAAAGGTAATAGGAAGTTCCTGAAAGCTTATGGATAAATCATATGAATAAGCGGAATGGCCCTCATCATATTTTAATAATTCTTTTAAATTATTATTTTGTAAGCATTGAACAGCTTTTTCTAAATGTATTCCGTAAACCCTAAAGTTAAAATCTCCCATCCAAATGACGTGATGAAAGACATCCTTAAAATTGGTTGTAGTTTTGTTACTAAAGTATTCACTTAATTTAGTGAGAATAAATTCTCTGGATTTTTGTCTTATTTCTCGATCTTTCGCTGGCATATGACAACCAATAAATAGAATATATTGATTAAAAATGTTGAATAGTATTGATACACAACCTTTGCTATTATTTAATTTGTTAAAAGCTATAGATTTCGATGCACATAATTTTATAGCACCATTTGGATGTAATTTAGATTTTCTGACCCAAGCTGCAATGGTTGTTGATTTCATCTGTAGAAATGCACCGTCTCCATAACCAGACAATTTACAATCAGTTAGTGGTAAAAATTCATATGTTTCTTGGTTTATTTCTTTCAAATAAATGGACAAACAATCGATTATATTATCTGATATGGATTCTTGTAAACATATGACATAGATGTCATAGTAGGGTTGTATCCAGGTAGCAAATACTTGTTTTTCTTTTGATGTGTGAAGCCTTTGATAATTTGTCTTTACTTTGGAATAGTTGTGGTTTCTTTTTTTGAAGTCATTAATATCTCCTACTTCTTTTTCATCCATCCTTGGGTATTCTTCTACTCTTTTTTTCTGATTTAGACATATTTGATAATTTTCAAAATTATTTGTATCAAGATCCTGCTTCAACACATTGTAACTCATTGGTTCTTCCTTTCCTGTGCTTCTATTTGGAATTTCCAGTTTTATATTATTTTTAAATTTTTTACTCTCCTTTTCTTTGGAATCATCAAGGAGAGAACAACAATTTTTAGTATATCCCATCATAATAGAATTTTTTCCTTTGTGAATATCTGCATCTTCTTCACATTTAAAAGTTTCATATGTAGTACAACATTTTTGAGGATTCCATGTGCTCCTTACATTATTAAGATAATTGCGTGATAAATTGTTCCTTTCAATGCAGACACTAGGAATGACCGAAGTTGGTGTACTGCTCCTTTGGTTTCTTTTGGAATCGTTTAGGAAATTCTTTTGTGTTTTTTCGAATAATTTCTCGTTAATGTATTGTATATGTGTGTCACTTGAGTGTCTAGAACCCTCTAACTTTGATGTAGAATCCGTAATCTTAAAATTGTGCATTTGTTGGGCATACAATTGGGGGTTTATAGATCTGAGAGAATATCGATCATTCTGCTTTACAGAATAAATTTCCTCTTTTACATCCTCTATAATAAAATCAGCTGTGTGTCTCTTCTTATCATATGAATCATTTTTGGAGAAATCAAAATATTCACAATTCCAAGTCCCGACAAATACACTAATTGGGGTATTTTTTAAAATCTTTGAATCATCAACATTTATTAATTTCTGTCTGTGTGTGAAGTAGTTATATCCCATAACATTCTTTTTTTCCTTTTTCCAAAATCCATTTTTATTATTGTTCAAGTAATTGGCACCAATCACGTGTCCTTTAAAATTGGAAACCTTGTCCTGACTAGACTTATTATTAGTATCGTTTCCACTTGCATACGCTTCTACATCTCCTTTCGTCTCATCATCAGCGGAGGAATTGTTAGCAGAGGAATTTTTAGCAGTGGAATTGTTAGCAGAGAAATTGTTAGCAGTAGAAATGTCAGAAGCTGAATCGTCAGAGGCTACAAAATCCTGATCGTTACTTTTGTCACTTGAATTTGCAATCGCATCTGTGTCGCTTGTACTTTTAAGCTGGGAATCCGACACATGTGATAGAGAGCTGCTAAAGACGCTGTAACATTTGGTATTTGTTAAGATTTCTTCTTCCTGATGTTCATGGCTCATGGATTTACAAATCGAATTCGTTTTCTTTTTTCTATTTGTCTCCTCATTTGAAAGAATCAATTCGCTTTTGTCATTGATTTTTGAGATAATGTTATTAAGGGCATCATGAGACATTTTTTTTTTTTTTCACAATTGGGACATAACGTTTGAGTACTATATTGATGCACGCTCACGAGTACATTTGTCACATTCTTCTATTTTGGAATGTTTCTATTTTTGCATATTTCTACTAGTTTTTCTTCTTGAGTCGTTTCCAGAGGGGTGTGATTATCTTCGTCTATATAACTGTTTTAATCGCTTTTTACACATGAAAAAAGGTATGATGGTGGGGAACACATCTTTTTCTATATTTACTGGGATAGTGCACACAGAGGAGCAATAAAATGCTTAAAAGTTGTACAAGAGAAAACGTCCTAATTTTTATAGTTGTAAAAATGTCTTACTTCGAGTGGGAAACTATAATTTTTTTTTTTTTTTTTTTTTTTTTTTATTTGCAGCTTCTTTTACCCCGAACGCTGGTTACTTGAACATATACACATGCATAAAAAAAAAAAAAAAAAAAATTATATTTGATTATTTTTCAAATATACACCACACTACTGTATTGTGACGCAAATATTATAAATGAGTACACAGAAGTAAATAAAACATAGGAAGAAAGAAGAAGTGAAAAGTACAGATGCATATAAGTAGATATTTGTTTATAGCAGGATGCAACACAAAGGTAAAACTATTTACTCTTTAAGAAGTAGGAGTTCAATATAGTACATAAAAAAGATGTCTTAAATGAGTGCCACTTTAACAAATGTAAAGAAGATCTTATCATATCTCTCATATGAACCTTAGATCTTTCTACTAGTCAATTCATACACTCACTGGTTAAGTGTAACATGGGGGAAGTTTCACCATGGCTTGGTATCATTAGAAGATTTTTCAATTTGAAAAAAAAAAAAAAAAATTGAATCGAAAAAATATTCAGATAAAAGTAAATGTGTATAATTACCTTAGCATCATGCTAATATTAATTGAGTTATTATCAGAAAGTTTCGCTTTTCTTCTTTTTTTTTTTTCTTTTATGACTTTTTTTAATTGTACATAAGGGATAGTCTAAGTCTACTTTACAACACACGGGATGATGAAAATGGTCAAATATGATGGAAATAAAATGAGGCTACAAAAATATGAAAACGATAACACAAAATGATTGTTGCGATAAATCCATGTCATAACATGATGAGTGAAAAAAAATATAAGAGGTAAAATAAAAAGGCAAATAGAATACAATACTGCAAAACGGTTGTAAATAAAAACGACAGGATGTTAAGAGGCGAAAGACAAGAGATACAGGACAACATTATTTTAAAACGTAATGTAAGTTCACGTATGTGGGTAAAATAGGGGTGATGAATTAAGCCTAAAAAAAAAAGGGGTGGAAGAGTAGCAAAAAATCTGCTTTGTTTATTTCATGAGATTTTATATGCACCTGCTTCTTTATCTTCTTATTTGTCTATATATACACACATGTCTATTTCTTTATCTATATATATATATATATATATATATATATATATATATATATAGATAGATAGATAGATAGATAGATAGATAGATAGATAGATTCCTATTTCTTATTCTATATATATGCCTATTTCTTAATCTATTTATATGCCTATTTCTTTATCTATATATATGCCTAATTGTTTTTCTTTTTGGAAATTCACATATGCACACATTTATATAGGAAGGGAAGCGTACGAAGCTGGATGAATTGCAAAAAAGGAGTGATGAAAATGGATGCAATCAAGAAACACGTTTTTGTTCTTTTACGCAACTTAGGGATGTTATGTTGCACATGTAGACATGTACAGACGGAATGCTTGCAAGATAAGTTGTCTTTATGTTCCGTTTGTTTGATCAGGTTGTTTGGTTAGATTGTTTGTTCATTTTGATTGTTCATTTTGATTGTTCATTGTGTTTGTTTATTTTGTTTGTTTATTTTGCTTGTTTATTTTACTTGTTCATTTTACTTGTTCATTTTGCTTGTTCATTTTTTTTGATCATTTTGTTTGGTCTTTTTTTTTAATTTTTTTTTTTTTTTTTTTTTTTTTTTTTTTGGTGTACTACCCTTTACACACACGCTGAAGGCCACTAAAATAAGCACCACACACTAACTGTAATCTATACAGACTTGTAATTTTTTTTTTTTTTTTTTTTTTTTTTTTGCGAAAATTTGAAGTTCTTAAATGTGTTAGTTTAAAGTGGATGTCATGATTTTTTCCTTAAACATGTTACAATAAAGAAAGAAAAGAAAATTATCTTTCCCATCCTTCTGAAGTAGAAGTTCACACATGTATATCATTCTTTCAAGAATTTATGTAAAAAAAGAAGTTTCGTACACTAGTTAATGTAATTTCATGCGTATAGGCATTTTGCAAATGGTGCGAGGCAAAAGGTGTAATAAGAAGACGCTTTAAAATTATTTCCGCCTCCATAAGTTGTAATACTCATAAAGAAACATGAAAATGCTAATATCACTTGTTTCTACATGTGCATTTTTTTCTTAAATGGAATCTCAATCATATTACGATTATTCTAATGCATATGTTTCATAGTGAAAATGCCGAAATGTCAGCAACGGTCTATTCACACATTTTTGACTTATACAAATGGGTGAAACACTTTATTCAGTACAATCGATACATTCACCCCCCTCAGTTAACTCGTAGTGTGCAATTTGGAACATACAAATAATGTTTCGCATTTTATAATGTTACTTCTATTCTAAATTTCCTTCAAATTTTACAAATATTTATTTTATTCCCCCCCCCCCCCCCTTCCTCCTTCCCTCTATGCCTATTTTGCTGCTAGGTGACACATTATGTAGCAGAAATGTAGATATAACAGTTACAGGTCTGTTGGAAGGTGTTGTGTGTGTACGATTGATTGTTCAATAAAATGCTGTGGAGTAAAAAGTGGATGAACTTTAACTAACTCATTGTTTCAATGCGTCCATTTTGGAAGAATATTACAAGCGTCTATTCATGCATATATTATTGTACGAGGATGTGAATATATATGTGCATTTATATTTGTATACATTTTCCCAGTACACTCTTGAGAAACTCTAAGACGTTTTGATAAACCAAGTAAAACCAGTGTGCAGAGAAAGATAATGAACGAGGAAATACAATCGTATAGTGAGACTAACACACAGATAGCTCCATATAACCTTACTCGAGTTGATTTAACTTAGTGCATATTTTGAAGAAGCATGTGGATATTTCTTTTTCTTCTTCTTCTTCTTCTTCTTCTTCTCCTTTTTTTTTTTTTTTTTTTCCTATTCATTATTACCCCATTTTGTTGTTGTATTGTATGATCAATTTTCGTTATTCGAAAATATTATTCATATTATGCGTGTTGTGTGCATTTTTCTCTTTTTTTATTTTTATGGAAAATGTTAAATGAGCATTGTAAGTCCATGAAATTGTTACACGATCTTGGGTGAGTGTTAATGCACTGAGTACCTTTAGCTCGTGTTTATAAGTGAAGAAATTATTAATGTTCGATCATTGCCTTACATTCAATAAAGGAGGTATTCTCTAAAAATTGATAAGTTGTGGAACATGTTCAAAAGAAATAAAAGTTTTCAATATAAAAGAAACAGCTTTTTTTATATCCCTTAATTAAACACAATCATAAATTAAGTGATTTGTGTCACACTCCATCCAACCACATGAATTTTTCTTTTTTTTTTTTCTTTTTTTTAAATCCTATTTATAATATAGAGAAATCAAGCTTACCCTGGTGCGCAACGTTAACTTTTCTTTTAAGCTTAAAAAAAAAAAAACTCAAGTAGTTAGATGGACTATGGACACAAATCACTTAAATCATCATTGTGCTTAATTAAGAGAAAAAAAAAAAAAAAAAGAAAGAAAAAGCGTTTCATAATTTTTCACGCAGACCCAACATCACCCCACTCTCCACCCCTTCGCGCTGTTTTTGTGGATAAATTGAACTGACGGAAACGAATGCGGGTGATTAACCTGGCCTATTCACTATTTTTATTTCCTCAGGCAAAAGGTTCACCCAACACAAAATACCTTTTAAGAAATTTCCAGAGTTCGAGTAAAATGATACATACCTTTGATTTCGAAGTTTTTGGAAAAGTCCAAGGTTAGTGAGAAGAAGAGAGAGATGGCGATAATGAGAGAAAAATCTGTGAAAGAAAAATAAGGACCTTGAAATATTAGATTATTTTTGCAAGGTCCAGGAGGATGACCAATATAATTTTTGTGTGTCTACGTTCACATCGTTTTACTGCACTTTTTTCCCCTATTTTATTGTTTTCATTTGATTTTATTTCATCTTATTTTGTTTTTTTCCTCTTTGCTACTCAAGAACGAGTGCACATTCTCTTGAATCATCTTTTAAGGGGATTGAAAATGTGTAATTTGTTTAATGTGCATTTCCATTTTGCCTACTTCATCTCACACATAATGAATATATATGAGTGCGTGTGGTACGTAATCACAAGAATATATATCACTGTACAGTAAAGAAAATCGAAGCATTTCTTCATAAACACTTTCCCTTGTATCACATATCATGGTTTAGGAGTTTTTTTTCGAAAATATACAAAGTTGGAGGCAGACAAGTTAAACATAAAAGGTCATGTTCAAAACACAGATCGGAACACAGTAATAGGAACGGCAGAGAGCAATAATAAAGAATTGTTGGAGCAGTTCAAGAAATTTCTCAATAATGTAGGAAGCCCATCATCTAGAATTGATAAATGTTTAATAACGAATGAAAAGACAGTTAACACATATTCGAGTACAGATTTTGTTATAAGACGGTAAATTGGTGTAGTTGGATGTCCTGTTTTATATACCTCTTTTTTGTTTTTTTTTTTTTTTGTCAAATGTTGAATTTTTGGAGAATACTTGTTATGGGGACAAATAACATGATTTATTCACCACAGGAATTTGGCACATGATAGCACACTTTTTTTTTCTTTTTTTTTCATATATATAAACATACATATATGTACATGACAAATTAGGAATTTGTAAAGATATAAAGGAAAAAACGCTTCAATTTTTTTTTTAAATTATAATAGAGCGCATGTATGTGTGGTGCTAAATATACCTCACTATTTTTCAACCTGCCGCCCGTCTCCCCTTCCGATTATAAACCCCTCTTGTGTAACAAAATGAAGCGACAAAAAACGACAACAAAAATGACAACAAAAATGACAACAAAAATGACGACAAGGACTCTTGATTTGGAGAAGTCATTAAGAAGAAAAGGAGGGAAGTTAAAAACAATTTACGAAAAGCATAGTGATGCCGAAGTTAAGATGTTAATAGACGAAAAAATAAATTACATTTGGAATTACATTACTCATATTGATGACATAGTAAGTGATGAAGAATTTCTCAAAATTGACATTAAACAAAAAATAGAAAAAAAGCAGAGCTTAAAAAGAGTAAATTATATGGATGAAATTATTTATTATAATAAAAATATGAACAACCTTATTAACATACAGAAAATACGGAAAACGTTACATCATTTTAACATTCATGTTAATATGGACGACATTGTATACATGTTTCTTTACTATACAAATAATGAATATTTTAAAAATAACATAAAAAATGAAATTTATTTTAATGATTACATTGATAAACGGAAGGAAAAATATAAATTTCATTCTATAAATGTTAATAATTTATACATAAATTATGATATGTTCAGGCATATATTTTTTAATATTGATCTGAATATTGAAAATAACGGGAAAATTTGGTAATAACAATGTAGTTAGCAATTTTATCGCTCCGTTGATCACTTTTTTTTTTTTTTTTTTTTTTTTTTTTCTTTTCCATTGTTGTGAAATTGGTGTTTTCCAAGATATTCAGTTGCGTCTAAATATTTGTTTTTCCATTTCGTTTTTTTTTTTTTTTTTTTTTTTTTTTTTTTTTTTTTTTTTTTATGTCTACCCAGTGATGTATGGAACGAACAGAGATATGTGCCATTTCTCTGATGCTTCCCATTTGATAAGATATTTATATGGTAATATGTTCCTATATTAATATACATTTGTTCATGAACGGACCTCCTTGTGTTATATGAGAACAGTGAAAATGCAAACCGTAGCAACTTACGTGTTTCTGCATTTGAGAAATGATTGGGAATTTACCAATTGATGGAAAAACATGAAACTACATTCTACCCCAAAGAAATAATTGTGTGTATTTTTGGTACTTGTGGATGATGGATATATAAAAATCCATACATTTATATATACACAATATTAGATAACTTTTCCCAACTTTGCTTTGAAGAATGTATGTTGAATCGCACCACCCCCTAGTTAACTTACTCTAGGTATTTATATTACAAAATAAAAAATTATATGTGAAAAAAAAAAAAAAAAAAAATCGTTCCGTTTTTTTTACAACTCCAATGTAATTTTATTAAAAATTTTTATCATATATCAAACTGATGTTTTTAGGTCTACTCACACGGAAAACCTTTTTTCTCGCACTCTTCTCTTCATTATTATGAAAAAAAGGGAGAAGTGTATATCTTTTAAAAATAAGAAAAAAAAAAAAAAAATTAATTTTTATAGTAATGTACTGAGATCGGATGTAATATATTCATACTAATTACGTATTATATGTGCGTTTGTTCATACGCCTACATTTGCTTTCCCAATTGACATAAGATTCATTCGCTTTATTTTAAGGGCCGAGAATATTCATTCTCTCTGCTTGGCATACCCCGCATTCACAGAAAATGCACATACATATGCGTGCATATGCATACATATACATAAATACATACATATACATAAATACATGCATATACATAAATACATGCATATACACAAATACATGCATATACATGCACATGTTATTTTATTTTGTTTTTTTCAGTATCAGGAAGAAGCATATACATTATTTACTATTTCCCACTTTCTTGCAAGTGCCGAGTGTTCGTTGTATTACATAGTTAAAATATTTTCCATAACAAAACTCGGCTTTTGCAAATCAAGTTTTGTTTTATTTTTGCTGCCCATTTTGCTGCCCATTTTGCTGCTCATTTTTCTCAGTATATATATATACATGCTGCATCACAATTTTTAGGAGGAAAAAAGGGTTTGTATTTTATTTCGTAAAAATGTTAAATGGGATTTTTTTGGGGGAGTGAGGAAGAAGTGAGGCCACTCTGCCAAAACGAATGCAGAAATGATATTGAGGATTTAGCAAAATAATATTTTCCTTTTCAGTAATGCCGCGCCAGTATCTTGAGTAGGCTTCCAAATATTCCCTCCCAACTGAATCCCCCTTTTTTTGAATAAGCGTCCCGAAGAAAACGCTCAAGGATCTGAGGTCGAACAAAATGAATCCAAAATATACAGCTGTGATGGACGATGAGCTTAGAAATTCTGTAGAATTTGTGAGAAATGATTACGCGAATGGTGTAGAATCTAAGAGGGTTCCAAATTATAGGAATTATGATAGCAACATCAATCAAGTAGCATATGGAAATGATGAAAATGCAGCGGCATATGCGGATAAGAGCCTGAGCAGCATTTACGGGAAAATCGTAAAAATAAGGAAAGAGCTGGAGAAGTCATACAATTTGTTTTACTCATACAATTTAATTGTTTCGAATGAAGGAGAAAATAACAATTTGCATAGTAATTATTCTAACATGTACAAACGAAATGATGCTTTAAGAATAAATACAAATACCAAGAATAATTTAACTTTAAATAAAATAAATGCTTTAACAAATTCCTTCTTTATGAATGTCGAAACCTTAAAAAATACATATTCTTTTGTAAATGCAAATAATATGAACAGTCAGACAATCAAAAATCATGAAAATGTAATATGGGAAAGAAGAGTAGAAACATTAACAAATGAAGCTAATTCTTACATTAAGACTTTGGATGGAATATATAAAAGCAACCTGAACAATTCAGAAAGAAATAAACAAAATGAAATGAAGACCAATAATTCGTATAAAGACTCAAGGAAAAACAAGAAGATATACGGAGCCGATTCAACTATCGGATATTTACACAATGAAAAGGAAATTTTAAAAGAAGTAGAAAACAATTTAAATGTATTCCACGTTCAAGGAATGAGCACCTTAGAATTAATTAGAAAGCAAAATAAATTTTTAAAAAATATTCGTAAAAAAGTTATTGATATATACAATTATGTTGGCTTGTCGTCTTCTTTAACGGACGCTATAAAAAAAACACATAAGCAAAATTTGATTATTGTTATTGTTGGTATGATCTTGTGCTTGTTTTTTTTTTATCTCCTTTTCATCCATTTTTCCGGTTTGTTTTTTTCGCATCATTTTGAATTTTTTTTTTTTTTTTTCTACTGTTTAATAAACAGACATTTATAATTTGTAATAATGCAAAACTAAAATTCGAAATTCACAGTGCACACTTGGGGAGACATATCCATTTGTTTATTTGGTTCAGGTTAACACCATCAAAAGTATGTCACCGGTCACAGTTCTATCCGTTTTCCATTTTTCGGGTACACACAGCAGTAAGATATAGACTAACTCTTTTTTTTTTTTTTTATAGTTTTTGTACGGGGGAAAAAAATAAAAAAAAAAGATTGAAATGTTGTGATTCTATATATTATGTTCCTAACAGGATTATCAGATTTATATATATATATATATATGTGTATATAATTTTTTTGTTTAGATTTTCATTGGGATAGTATAAATGAAAAAAAAATAATAAATAAATAAACAAAAAGGAAAAGGTACACATGAATGGTATCTGGTGATATGAAATTCTCTTTTGCCTAGTATTCTAGTAATATCAAAGAAAGGAATAAAAAAAAAAAAAAAAAAAGAAAAAAAGTAAAAGTTGGAATAAGCAGAATGATGGATGTGATGAGTGATGACGTGGGAGTGGACTCTGGAAAGGGAGAAAATCAAATGAACGAGGAGGTACCACATGTCGACGTTAAAAAAGCCAAAGTGGACGAGGTTATTCCACATGTCGATGCTGAAATAGCATGTACAGGGAAGTATGATCACTTGTCAAGGGAAATGCAGGAATACTATGTAGGGGTGCCATACAGCTGGGAATATGTAGAAGACAGCAAGGGGTGGTTCGTAATCGAAACGAGCAAGAATTATAAATTTTATTTTAATAAAAAAACAAATGAAAAAACATGGAAGTGTCCAAAGGAGGTGGAAATTTTGATGAAGAAAAAACAAGGCAAACGAGCTATTAACAAATCGGGAGAAAAGAACGATAACTGCCATTTTAGTGACGAGCAACATTGCAATGGCTATGGAACTACAAATGACTATGCTATAGGAGATAACAAATCATGTGGCATAACAAACTCTAAATGGAGAAATAGTTATGGAAAAATTGATATGGAAAAAATTTTAAGGGAATATAAAGACCTTCTAATTGAGAAGAACATGGACAAGTTTTGTAAGTACGATAATGTGTTAGCACATATTTTGTATGACCAAAGGTATTTGAATGTGCCAAAAGAATTGAGGAAGGAATATTTTCACAAAATAATAAAAGAAATTGATGAAGATAAAAAAAGAGAACTAAAAATGTTAATAGAAAATTTTCAAAATTTATTAAGTAAGGTGGGTGACGAAATTGTATACCCATTTAATGAGTCAGATGCAATTTCCCTTTTGAAAGGGAAAGAAGGGTTTGAAGGGAATCACACGAAAAATTGGAATTTTACGAGAAATAAATTATTAAAAGAATTTTTAGAAAAAAAGAAAAAAGATATGGAAAAGGAGATGGAGCAAAATTTCGAAATTGTTTTAAATAACCATTTGAAAGAGGCAAGTCCGGGGGGGTGGATTAAAATAAAAAATAATTTAGGAAAAAATAAAAAGTATGAAATTTTATCTTATGATAAAAAAAATCAAATATTTCAAAGCGTAAGTCAGAAACTGTTAGAAAAACGGAAAAATAAATGTTCACCAAATGATCAGGAATTATATCCCCAAAGATCTCGTGGATCCCGTACATGGGAGCATGATGAGAAAACCTCAGTTCGACATTCAAAAGACGGACGTGTTAGTGGAAAGGAAAGGGCAAATATGGATGAAAGAAACCTTTTTTTAAGCCTCTTACACGAGAAATTAAAGAAGCCAACTATGGACGAGAACATTTTGAAATATGACACATTTCCAATGAAAAAATATTCCAATTTTGAAGATGCTTTTAAAATCCCAACTGATCTTACAAAAGATGAAAGATACAAAAATATCCGTTTAAGTGACATGGAAAAATTTGACTTGTACAAAAAATTCATTAACAGTTACATAAATTCGAAACGAGATATGTTCGAAAAGCTCCTACACGAAGTTCCTATTAATTATGTTAACAAGTCTATACATGATATTATAAAATTGGTCGACAAGGAAGACAGAATTTTTACGTCCATAAAATTGGAACATTTGGAAATGGTTTTTTCGAAATGGAAAAATTACAAAATTAGGGAGGCAAAAAAAATGTTTACGGATTATTTAAAAAAATCGAATTTTGTTAAATACAATTCGGACGAACGAGACAATTACGAGAGACTACTTGGAGTCCTATCTCAGGATCTAAGGTACACTATGCTCGTCAGCGTGTGTTGTGCAGGCGATGGCGTATGTATATGCATCTTCCAATACTTCACACGAATGTTCAATTATTTCTTTCAATTGCCTATTCATGATTGTGAACTTTCCGTTGTTGTGGAATTAATTTCACTGTTTTTCTATCCATTGCACATTTCGTCTATATCATTATGAGCCTCTGTTTTTTCTTCATACACCTCCTCGCAGCTACGAACTACTGAAGTGCGTTCCCATGGAAAGAGAAAGTATTATAAAAGAAAGGATTAAGGAGTTAAAAGCAGAACACGAGAAAAATAAAAATTTAGCAGAAAAACTGAACCGTTAACTTTTTTATAGTTTGCTTCAGTGTCCACAAAGGTTGTTCTAGATTATATCATAATGGCGTTAAAAATAGACAAGATTCTTTTTTATTTTTTCTTAGGTTTTTTCAAACATGTATTTGCATATGAAGAACAAAATGTAGTAATATATATATATATATATATTTTAATCATCCTTCATCACGCATTCATTTTTTTCTTGGTATATGCTTTTTTATGAAATCCTTGCATGTCGCACATTTCTCGAATAATATATTTTTGAACACTGTGTACGATGTGGGGTAGTAATTATGCATGCACATACACACGACCTGTGGGCCCCTTCCCTCGCCATTAAAGTGACAAAAAAAATGAAAATATTGTATACCTTGTACTCACACTTTTCTGATTACCCTTTATCATTTTGAGAGATCACTGAAGTGGATCCTTACGTGTATTTGGATGTTCATGCGGATGTTCATGCGGATGTGCACATGGATATGCAGAAAGTTATTTGTCTGTGTACCTATTTATCCACAAATTGTGTATTTACATTTTGTAAAATCCTTGCTTAAGTCCCTCTAGTCCTTTTTTATAAAGACACATGATATTACACCTTTGCATGCTTCTATATGTTTGTTCTTTTTTTCTTTTTTTTTTTGCTCTTTCTCTCTTTTGCGTTTTACTTTTTTTTTTTTTTTTTTTTTTTTTTTTTTTTTGCATATGTTTAAAAATATTTACGTCATTTTTCCCTATTTTTTATTCACTTTTTTATCTTTACCCTTTATTTTAAAAAAAAATTGGTAAATTATAAAGCAAATTGGTGAATTTTGTAAAGTCGATTTCAGGCAAGAGGTATGTGAGAACCATGAATAAATCCTCCATATTATATGAAAAGAAGGATTTTTCGAAATGACATATTTTTTTTTGTTTTTCTTTTTTCTTCACTATATGTAAGTATCCAATCATACATATTTTTCGGGTGTGTAGAAAAATCTTTATATCATGTAGTATAACATTACTTTGTTTACGTGTCCAAATTGGTTTTTTTACAAACCAAGATATTAATGTGTGCCGATGTTAGATTAGGGTGAAGTTTAGGGGTAGAAAAAAAAAAATAAAATAAATAAAAAGATGTGAAGAGAAACATGAATTATTTTTTCTTCCTCAAAACATTTTATTCGCGCTGATTCCCTTAAGTAGGGGCATATCTCCCTTCTCATTTTTAAGTGGCCTCAAACTATTTTTTTATATGTTGCACAATTTTAATGCGCATAACGAAGCGTTTTTAAGAGTTTTAAACACGGGTGTAATTTTTGGAACCGGCCTACATAACTATGCCAATGCATGTATGTGTATACATAAAAATGCAAAAATACATAAATAGATATTCGTATCTGTGTGCACGTGTGTCGAAAACATATGAGGATACCCTTCTTTACGAATTTTACATGTAGCATTTCCTTTTTGTTTAAAAATTTGTGTAATCTATAGGAGGGGGAAAACAATAAAAGAGAAAAAAAAAAAAAAAAAAAAGAAAAAAAATGCTAAGTTGTTACAATCTCCCCAACATGAGATCTGAATAAAAAAATATATAAAGCAAATTACAGCACGAATGCACGAATGCACGAACACACACGTCACAAAAATAGTAATTCGTGCGTGTATGTTTGACAAAACAACACTATTGTATATGCTTTTTCGTTTTCAAACACAGGTGTAGCTTTCGCACAAGTGCTGCGCTTCACTCATACATAACTTTATCTGGATGCTGAAGTATTGTGGAATGACACAAGTGGAATAAAAACCAAAAGGTATTATAACAAGGGGAACACACATAATATGCCGACTTTGATGATTCCACATGAATTATGATTATATTAAGAAATCTCCCCATTCCTCCCTGTGCATGTTTTAATCATTTATATGAGATGTACATGTAAGCAGGGATTGGATACAAATAATAAACTCATTTGCTAACGTGGTGGGAAGTAGGGAGGAAACGTTTATTATTCATTCTCTAGTGATATATAGACGTAGCCACGTATTAGTTAATCTAAATACCTGTTGGAATATTTTTACCTATGTTATTGAACTCTGTTCATCTTTTTGAAATTTTTTTTTTTTTTTTTTTTCTTTTTACTCCCTGCCATACATATATCCCACATTCCCACGTTGTTTGATCACTGATGTTTACACCCCCTGTAGACATTTCTGTTCATATTAATTTTTCCATTTATTGCTTATTGTATTTTTTGGTACCAAGGTATAAATGCCTCAATTAACATTAGGGGTTTATACTTGGTCTATGTGAATAAAACTTGGAGAAATCAAATCGATTTGACAATCAAGCGGATTGAGTAAGGAGTCGAACTGAGTTGAAGCAACCTTTTTAATAAAAATCATCTGAACCCCGCTTCTCACTTAAAGTTTATATTGACAAAAATGTGGCTCGAAAAATATGCCCCACAAAGTTTAGACGAATTGAAAATCCATAAGGACATAACAGAAAGGCTAAAAAAATTAAGTGCACACAGAGATTTACCACACATAATTTTTTATGGTGCTCCTGGTGGTGGAAAAAGCACAAGAATAGACTGTTTAATAAAAGAAATTTTCAAGGAAGAAAAGATTATAAGGAGACCAGAATGCATAACAAATGCAGAAAATAAAATAAATGTAAATGTAGTTCAAAGTAATTACCACTTAGAATTACAATGTTTTGAATTAGGAATAAAAGATAAAATAATAGTTCAAAATATAATAAAAGAACTATGTAGTTATAAATCCAGCGCTTCATTTTTTTCGAAAGCACCCATGTATAGAATATTTGTTTTTAAAGATGCAGAATTTTTAAGTGAAGGGGCACAAGCAGGATTGAGAAGAACATTAGAAACGTATATAAGAAATGCTAGAGTTATTTTACACTTGGAACATTTATCAAAAATAATAGAACCTTTAAAAAGTAGATGTATTTGTATTCGAGTACCTCTACCCACTGAAGAGGAAATTTTTGATGTACTAAAAAATATTTGTGAACATGAACATGTTTCTCCATCCTATAGTTCAACTGATTTTTTCAAAGTATTAATTAGCGAGCATGGAAGAAATTTACGTAAATGTATTATGGCTCTAGAAATGACAGTATATGCTAATTCTGTAAAACCTCATAAATCTCTTTCTGTTGCATCTACATACATAAATGAATTATGTGATTTTGCTTTTATCAATCCGACTCAAATTAAAATGAAAGAGTGTGTCACAAAAATCCAGAGCTTAATAACTTGCCAGATTCCTGTTAATTTTATTTTCGAAGCAATTATTAAATATATGTTAAGGAGCAATTTTAACCAAAAGCTCAAGCACTACTTTCTGAAGCTTAGTTCACATTTTTCCTATCTTTCAGAAAATTCATTTGACAAGAGCGTCTCCCTTATTGCTTTCATAGTCAATGCAAATACAGCCATTATTAAGTATAACTTGGCCAAGAAGTAGAAATGGGCTGGAAATGAAGTGAGAGTGGGAGTGGGAGAGAGTTGCGTAAAAGTTGAACAAATACACAAACATTCCTTTTATCCCCACCCGCCGCACAGCCTACTGTCCTGAAAAAAAAAAAAAATAAAATAAAGCAAGAAAAAAGTAAGAAAAAAGCAAGAAAAAAGCAAGAAAAAAGTAAGAAAAAAGTAAGAAAAAAGCAGGAATAAAGCAAGAAAAAAGCAGGAAAAAAAACATGTTGCTAACACTCCATGGAGAAAACAAGTAAGCCTCTCCTATAAAGGACGAGAATTTGCAAAATGATGGATTATTATTTATTTATTTTTTTTTTATTTTAATTGAGGACTGCTCTGAGATGAGGGGACAGTTACCAGCAGCGTTAAACGCTTAACATATATATCTTCACCGCTTGAACCATCCAAATTAATATCTTTTAAAAAATTTATATTCGAAAATAATTTGCTTCATCGTGGGACCCTAAAACATTTTAATTTATTTCACGGTCTTGTATAGAGAGTAATTTCTTTTTTTATTCTTTTACGACAGCCACAGAGGCTGACTATTCCTCCCCCTAGGGCTACTACCTTTTTATTTTACATTTCTCATATTATAACTTCTATTACTTCTATTGCTTCTATTGCTTCTATTGCTTCTATTGCTTCCATCGCCTTTATTGCTTCCCATGTGTGTATGCATGTATGCGTGAACATGGCTAGTTCGTTTTTTTAATGTGTCACTTAAAAAGAGGGTTATATGAAATCCACAAATTGGTAAAGGCAAAATGAGCAAGGGGCAGTACGATAATTGTTGCAAGCATAAAAAATAAAATAATGAAACGATGAAATGGTGAAACGGTGAAATGATGAAACGGTGAAATGGTGAAACGGTAAAATGATGAAACGGTGAAATGGTGAAACGGTAAAATGATGAAACGGTGAAATGATGAAACGGTGAAATGATGAAACGGTGAAATGATGAAACGGTGAAATGATGAAACGGTGAAATGATGAAACGGTGAAATGATTAAACCATGAAATAATGAAACGGTGAAATGATGAAACACTGAAATAATGAAATAACTCCCTATTCAAATTTTCTGAATTTTGCAAATGTATAAAATCCCAAAGGGGGACCTATCTGGCAAGGAAATATATCCATATTTGGTTTTTTCGAAAAAGGTTAGGAAGTGCATATTTGCTTCCCTTTGGGGTGGTATGTGAGGGATCTGATTAGTGGAGTAGTCTCCACCCGTTCGAAATAATTCCTCTGTATTGTGTTTATTATCCTGCTCTTTGCTGTTTTTCGTATGATGGGTAAGTGGCTGTACTTGTTGCATATGTTCATTTGGGAAGAATTGTTCTTCAAAAAAATTGGAATCTATGTTATTGTCGTGATGGAGGAGAGAATACCTTTTTTGATACTCTTCCTGTATAAAATCTACAATTTTTACGCTGTTTTTATATTTTTTTAAAAACCTTTCAATCACATGATCGTTCTCATAGTGGGAAATGGCACATGTTGAATAAATAAGAATTCCATTTGTGTGCAACAACTGAAAACAATTATTAAGTAATTCAAATTGTATATTTGCGTTATTTTTTATAACATTACTAGTCCATTTGTTTAATAAATCTATATTTTTTTTTTTCATTAAATGTTCGTCAGTTGAACATGGAACGTCTAACAAAATTTTATGAAATTTTGGAAATCTCATAAATGAATTTAAATTTAATCCATTGTAATTTGTTATGTGTAAATTATTAGATGTCAATAAATCTTTAGGTAAATGTTTGAATAATACTTGTTTCAATCTATCGTACCGTGTTTTGTTAATTTCGTTAACGACAAAAAAACCTTGTGTATTCCTTGCGTAATAATTAACCATGTTTAAACAGCATGTGATTTGGACACTTGTATCGTTTATCCATTTAACATTTCTAATTCTATTTAGTGCATATGTATCATAACCAAATATTTTATTTGCAATAACTAGCGATTTTCCCCCCGGGGCTGCACACATATCAAGTATATTTTCATTTTTTTGTATATTTAAGAAATATGCTGATAAAACAGAACACGGGTTTAAATAATATATAATCTTACTTATATCTTCAACTTCTCCATTATGCTTTACTATGTCATTTACATTTATCAGTTCTGATTTGTGTATAATTATTTTTTCGTACTTTTCACTTGTGAGCGAGGTTATCCTTGGTGACACTGCTACATCCAATGATGAAGGTAGGTTATCATTCTGTTCTTTTTTGGCAGTAGTGAAATTTTTCCCTTGGACAAATTGTTCATTTAGAAGTGTATCCAATTTATGGGCATCCTTTTGTTGTTCATGCACATTCGTCAGTAGTTCGTCAAATTTGGCATCTCGGGAATAATTTCCTTTTTCACTCCCCCTGATAGTTGCGTGGGCGAAATCGTTTTGGTTTTCGTTATGATTTTCATTTTGGTTATGATTTTCATTTTGGTTTTGGTTTTCTCTTTGATTTTGGTTTTCGCTTCGGTTTTGTTTTTCTCTTTGGTTTTGTTTTTCGCTTTGGTTTTGTTTTTCTCTTTGGTTTTGTTTTTCGCTTTGGTTTTGTTTTTCTCTTTGATTTTGGTTTTCGCTTCGATTTTGGTTTTCGCTTCGATTTTCACTTTCGCTTTGTTTTTCTCCTTGTCGAATCGGTTCCTTTCCATTTTCCGGTGTGCCGAAATGAGTAAGCAATTTTTCATAATCCTTGTCTACATACAAACCATCGAAACTTGTTTTCACCTTATTTGTATTTATCATATGCAAGAGAATTTTCGTCAAATTGAGAAAATCCACTTTTACAAAATCTGTTACGAATGCCCCTTGAGCTGTCTTTTCTTCCTCCATAGCCCTTAACAGAATAGTTGCTCTCTCTCCATATTCCTTTTTTAGGTTCAAAAAATATCCTACTTTCCCACTACATTTCATCGTGCATATTTCTACATGGATTAATAAAATGTGCTTAATAGTGTTAGTGTAAGGAAGAGAAGAAGCCACAAAGTTCTTAAATTTTGAAGCTCTTTAGCACGCAAAATAAATGTACGTACGTGGGGATGCATTTACATATGTATGTCGAAATGTTGTGTTATATGTGATTTCCAAAAGGGTGTTCTATATGGTCTTATAAAATATTTCAATTATATAGTGTTCCAGGGAAGACACCTAACCTGGTAAAATTTGCCAAGTTTAATCCCCTTTTTTCTTTTCTTTTTTTTTTTTTTTTATCTTCTCCCCTCCGTGCTTCATTTTATATGTTATTATTAGCATTCAGCTGTTTATATATTGGGAATTGGTTACATGTGATTCGTCCTTTGGAAATCACCTGATGCATTGCATATTCATGAAGAGACGAGTATGTTAAGTGTTTCTGCACATTTAGGGACAGAATGTGGGAATATTTTCTTCTTTCATTTTATATCATTTTATTTTACTTCATTTTCTTCTTTTTTATTTCATTGTATATGCAACATATTGTAGCATGTTCATAATTTTTGAATACCTGCGTTGGCCATTGCGAGGTAACCAAGCGAGGAACATTCGGAAGAGAAAAAAAAAAGAAAAAAGAAAAAAGAAAATTTATTCATCATTCCATATACACGCTCGCCTGATCTTACAATAACAAAACTATAACAAAGTAGGGTTATAACCTGAAGTCACTTCTTTGGAACCATTTGGGTGCAAAAAAAAGAAGAGAAAAAAAATTAAACTTCTTTTGCATGTACAGCACAAACAACATGTAGCATCCTTTTACAATTAACATATAAACTTCTCGGGATAATTTTTTTTTTTTTTTTTTTTTAACTTTTTGATTAGCTGCTTAAGTTCAATAGTTTCAATTAAGTCAACTGCTTGAATAACTCAATTTTTTTCATGTTACAATAAGAGTGGAGAGAAGGAATTACTGAAAAATATGAATGGTCACAAATGAGACTTAAAGGTGATTGAAAAAGTGAAGATAAAAATAGAAAAAAAAAAAAAAAAAAAAAAAAAAAAAAAACTTCAAAACCCCGTATTGTAGTTGTCAATTATGAATTTAGTTTAACTTTGTTTACGAATATTCCTATTTTTTTATAAGATTTTTGAATCTTTTGGCAGCAAGTTCAAAAGCATGCTATCGAATTTTTGTGCAGTTACGTACCAAAAAAAATGCTGGAGAAATGTAAACATGCCCATGCACGTGAAGTGATCGCACCGTGAACAGAAGCTTGCATGGAAGCTTGAAACCCAGTGTGAAGTCTACTTGTAAAGGCAGTGAAAACAAACCGTCTTTACATATGTACGGATATGCATTCTATGCATGCCATGTCAGAGACGTATAAAGTATATAGACATTCTGAAGGATTAACAAAATTCATATCGTTCATGTGCAAAAAGAGGAAACCGGGGGAGAGAGAGGGAGAGAAAAAAAAAAAAAAAAGGAAATGTCATTACACTTTTTTTTTTTTTTTTTTTTTTTTTTTTTTTCTGTATATTAAAAATTTTAGTATTTCTACCTGGGGACAAGGAATATCACAGGGAAATATATAACACCTTAGTGATAAGTTTTCCCCAAACGAGCCTAGATCCAAGAGTTAACTGAATGAACAACATCCTCCCTAACCTCATATGAACAGGAGGAATAAATGGGGATAAGTAATCGGATTGCATATCCCTTCTACCAAATAAATATGCCCATTGTCTACACGAACTTCCATTACCTGAAGAAGTAACTTAGTAACGTGGCTGTTTATATGCATAAATGTATATATATATATATATATATATATATATATATGCCGTATGCATGCACCCAGGAGGAGGCACATATTGAGAGTCTGCAAAAGTAACAAAGTCTAAGTGGATGGAAGAGTCGGGGGAAGGATTGCCTCGAGAAGAGGATATCAGCAGACATGAAATAAACGAAGACGAAAATAAAATTGTAGTAAGAGAGGAAAGCGAATACAAAATAGCGAGACACCAAAAAAGAAAAAAAAAAAATAATAAAATAATTGAAAATGATGAAACTACTTTGGAGAAATGTGAAAATGAAAAAATTGTTTTATTTGAAAATAATGAAATAGTTGAATATGATGCTACTAACTTCCGGACAGGCCATAACCACATCGTGTTGCTTGAAGAGGATTATTTAAGTGTATTGGAATATTTAATTGAAAAAAAATTCTATCCAGATTTACACAAATTTAGGGAAGATATCACTTCAGGAAGGGATGAAAACGGCTATGATCACACGCTAATTAACACGAATCCATTTACCAATTATGATCATTATTCACCTGAACAAATCAGTAGTTTTGCAAGCCCTCAAGGGAGAAATAGGAACTATAGGCAAATAAGTGACTTTTCCCCGAATGAAGGAATGAGAAGTTGTAGTTCTCTGGAAATCTATCCGTGGAGAGATGCAAACAGCTATTCTCAAGGTAATAACTACGATTGCCAAGGGAAGCAAAATAATCTTGAGAATACCACCTTGAAGTTCTACAGTGAAGGGAATACAGAGTTTCATGATAAGGAATGGAAAAATCAATTCCTGTGTATTCCTGAAAAGAAATACAAATTAGTGACTCTAGCGAATGGAAAAAGACATAAAATTAACCTGAACATGAATCTAAGGGATTTTCAAAAGAAATATACTTCTGAAGATAATAAATCATTTGAATATTTATTAAGGAATATGAAGAATAAGAACATCCAGAAGAATATGTATTCATTGATTCAACGAGATGAACATAACAAAAGAATGAAATACATTGAAGAATGTACAAAGAAAGGAATAAATTGTTATCAGGTGAGTACAAATAAGTCTGAAAACGAATTGAACGCTATGATGTTTTCTTCAAATATTAAGCTTAACTTAATGGATAATTGTACAGAAAATAAATTACAAATATATCATGATAATACGAGATTTTCAAAAGAATATTGTGAAGATATTAAAAAGCAGATAAAAGAATGTGAACAAATTAGGGAATTAAAATTGTTGAAAAAAATGAAAGAAAGCAAAGAAGATCAGATGGTTGAACAAGGGAAATTTAATTTATTATCAAGAAATAATAAATATGAATATGTAAGGACCCCTGTAATACACGCAGGAAAAGGAGTTGATAAAAATCCAATAATAACATGGGGTATTATTGCTAGCACCCCAATTCTGGTAGAAAGTGAAGATGAGGAAGAAAGTGAAGATAATAGTGATTCCTATGATTTTCAAAATAAAACTAGTGGTAGAAAAGGAAATAGACAAGGAAACGATGAAGATGATGGTGATGATAATTATCTGCATTCTAATAAGGAATTTAATTTACAGAAAATAAACGATAGAGAAATTACTGCACACAAATTACAAGATAGGTTAAAAAATATTAAATACAATAAGGAATTGTTAAAGAAAAAAAATCTAAACATCTTAATACATAAAAATTATAGCTCACGCATGTCAAATACGTCATTTAGAAATTCCGTTCTCTCCAGGGAGAGTCGAAAACGGCTCAATGAGTTAGCATTAAAATGGCCTCTGGCATCCCAAATTTTGAAAAACAAAAAGAGGTGAATTTCCTATGATAAACTTTTATAATGGAGACCTACGAGAAGATTTCCAAGGGGAAGTAGTGTTTCTGTTATGAACATATATATAGGTTTACATAAAACAAAATGGCAAAAAAGGAAAAAAAAAAAAAAAAAAATTCATGTAGAAAGAAAAAAGATTAATCAATAAAGTTCCCTTAACATTTTCTCCATGGGAAAAACGTTCCCTTCCTCTCTTTCGGTAACTACAATTGAGCTTCATCGATTCTTTTTTTTCTTTATCCCTCCTACTTCTCATATTAATTCAATTTTTTAGTAAATTTAACTAAAATTTTTTGCATTGGATTCATTATACTATTTTCCATTGTGAAAAATATCCGTTGGGGTTATTTGAGACATGTTCATCGTTTAACTCATTGCAGAAACTTACTGCATGTTTTTTTTTTTTTTTTTTTTTTTTTTTTTTTTTTTTTGCCCACATAGAGGTATATATATGTAGAAAGATATGTGCTTATGTAGACACACATTGTGTTACACCCCACAGGGGATTCTAATTGGAATATTAAACCTGATGTAATGATACTTTTTTCAGTTTTTCCCTTTTTCTTTCCATGCGAATTTCATTTTTTTTTTTTTTTTTTTTTTTTTTTTTAAATAATATGGAATCTTAACTATCTATTCCTTTATAAATCTTTTTTTGTGCATAACATAACAGTAAGAGGGCACATATAAGAGTATGAAATTTATGTAGTGTTTGTCCATATATATGTATACGCTTGCACACACCCCTGTTCATGCATTATCCCTAGGTGTGTAGGTTTATGAAAAAAAGACATGGCGTATACCATTTTTGATAAACTCGTATATTTTTGTTCTTTTTTTCAATTCATTTCACAGTAAAGTATAATGGATTTTGTACAACTAGCCCAATATGGCAAAAGAGTATCACACGAATATAAGTCACTTTTAAGGTTGTAAAATGGAGAATAAAATGCACGACCTATCGTTCTTCAATCTTGCAAAAATTTTTGCATTAATTTTGTATACATATATATATATATATACATGTGTGAAAATTCGCAATAGGGATAAAAAGAAAAACGCAGTAAAGGAAATTCTAGCTGCTATAAAAATACAAAAGTGTTACAGAGGATATGTTATCAGGATGACGTATCTCATTTATAAGTAAACATAACTGCATATATACATACAAGTGTGTAAATGTATATAATATTTTTTTTTGAATGATTTAATCAAATTAACTTCATTCGAGTGAATATATGAATGATTTTTGCTCCCCCATCTTTGTCAGACAATTTTTGAAGCATGCAAAGGAGAGAATAGAAATTTTATCATGCAAATATTTATTTAAAAAACTGAAGCAGCAAAGATTGGATGAACAGATGTTGTTGTTCATGTCGGATAATGCTACTAAAATACAGAAAATGTAATAATAAAAAAAAGGAAGAAAAAAAAAGAAATTCAAATGTCCGACACATTTTCTGATACATTCTATGTTGTACACACACACGACACACAATTTTTTTACTTTAATAAATACAGCTTTAGAGGCTACTACTCGAGGAAATATATTCACGACTTCTTTAGGAGAAAAAGGGAAATAATCGAAATAGACAAAAACGTAGGGATATTTAAAAAGGAACAAAATAAAAAAAAAAAAAAAAATACACAGATATACAGATATAGCAAAAGGAGATTATTTTCCTAACCGAACATTTCGAAATCTTTCACATTCACAGGTTAAAGAACAAAAGGATATTATGCTTCTAGGACTTGAGGAAAAAAGAAAAAAACAATTAGTAATAAATTAAACTAATCAATCTAATTCCTAATTGTAAAAAATGCAAGTTCATATATATATATATATATATATATATATATATGTATACATCCATATCAATCTGCTTATCTTCTAAGAGAGAAAAAAAAAAAAAAAAAAAATTCCCTACTGTTTTGTAGCTGTACGACAATAAAATGAAGGATATGAAAATATATAATGCTGCAAAGAATTTACATCATTTAGTTTCAACAAGAGCGCAAAAAGGAGTTTATAATTACAAGATCGAAAATATAATAAAGGAGCAGGTTATCAATTCTTAAATAAAAAGGGGAAAAAAAAAAAAAAAAGACACACTATAAAAAAAGGTCAATATTTTGCTACATGTACAAAATGATGTCGTTATATGTAGCATAATAAAATAGTATAACATGTATATTTTTTATTTTATTTTTTCCCTTTTAGCAAGAAAAAATTAATAAACTCAGCGAAAAAAAAAAAAAAAAAAAAAAAAATGTACGAAAAAATAAGTAGTGTTTATTACAAAATAACAGAAAAATGACGAAAAAAAGAGACAGATCAAAGATATTCCCTAAGTAAGCTTCAGAGTTGCCTATGAAATTAAAAAATGGTAATGTAGGGGGGGGGGAGGAGAGAAAAAAAAAAAAAAAAAAGAAAAGTATGCATGCTTGTATTTATACTGTGTACATATCATCATTCGGGGTTAAGGGGGCTATATTGGTGCACAAATCAGGATAATACGACAAAAATTATCATATGTGACGTGGGGAAGGGTGCCTGTGTGTACTCTCAAATAGCACTTTATCAGAGTTATAGAAATGTGCATACATTCATAAGTGCAACCACGAGCTCATTAGGATGTGCAGCCAAAGGCACATATGTATATGCACGTGTATATGCATATTGAAAAAGCTGTCGGATAAAGTATGAACCGTGATTAAACGAATGGTTATAGATAGCTAAAAACCACAACATCTCGATGATAACAAATATATGGAAAAAAAGGTGTGTATAGTTTGTTCTCTCTCAACTCCTTTTATTTATTTATTTTTTTTTTTTTTTTACACTCCTGTATTTATCAATTCTGGACCCCACTTTTGTATTTATTTATTTATTTTTTTTTTTTTTTTTTTTATCCCATTACTTTGATCAAAAAAATGTTACTTCCAATCTCCTCGTACTCTTCTTTTGATATCCATAAGCCTTCTTGAGCTTCCCTTAGCTCGGGTTGTGAAAAGATTCTTGAACCACACCAAGCCATAATAGCTCTGTTTTCGTGCGCGTGAACCTGTATCGAAAAAAAAAAAAAAAAAAAAAAATGCGAGATATCAAAGGTGAATATGTTGTTGGTATGTCCTAATATCTAGACATAATTGTAATCATGTTCATTTTTATTAATGCACATAAGATAGAAGCAAGTGCCTCTTATAGATGTAAACAATAAGTCGTTCAATCCTCTGAACTACCTTTACAGCTGATCTGGCATTTTCCGGAGCATTATTTTTCACTTCTCTCTCTAATCGTTCCTCAAGATTTGGGAATAGGGAAGATCCCCCCGAAAGTACAATATAGCTAGTTAATGTCTTCCTATTTTCAATGGGGCATAATAAAATAGATTTCCACACAATGTCAACGATGCTTAGGCTATCTCTATGACAAATATTTGGGTTAAACAAGGCCTCTGGAACGTAAAAACGCTCATGTGATATTTCCACAGAATTGTATCCATCTCTTAGAACATCTCCATCTGGTAAGGTATATGTAACTGCTAAATCATCTCTCATTTGATCTTTTGGTGGATTTAAAGAACAAAAGCACAATGTTTCTTTGATAGTTTTTATATATTCGAAATTTTTTCTGGTTGTCATACTATAACCCATGTCACAAATTAACTTTTGTAAAAACATACTTAGTTCTTCACCACCAAAATCAGAACGTATAATAGAATTTTTTTCTATATATCCATCAAATACTGGTATACACTGCGTAACCCCATCCCCTATATCTAACACTAATCCTGTTGTTAATCCAGTAGCATATATAGACATTAACCCTGATACAGAAATATTTATGTTTTTAAAGTCAAAATTTTCAAAAAACATTTCACCCATTTTTGTTCTATGAGATGTTGAACACAAGGGGGGTTCGGTCAAAAGGATATTTTCAACATTTCTACTTTGATCAACACATTTTATTGCATATTCCCACGTGATTTGGGCCAAATCCCAATCAGATATGTGTCCATGATCAATTGGTCTATGGAATGATAATTCGGATTCATGAAAAATTGCTTCATCTCCAACGTAGCTTTTTTTGATTTCATTGTTTCGATGATGTCCAACTATTGATGGAAATACTATGGTCGGTTCATCATAAATATTCAATCCGGCTTTTATGTAACCTACAGGCGGAGATGATTGAATGTCGAATGGGGAAAACTCGAGCGAGATATATGTGTGCAATAGTTAAAATGCTCATTTTAGGGCTATTTTGTATAGCCAGATTAGTGGCATTTCAGCTTTGTTATTTTATTTTTATTTTTTTTTTTTTTTTTTTTTTTTGCGCATATGTGTGTATTTTCATATTATGGCTGTCCTTTTTATATTCCTCACCAGAACCGTTGTCAATTACAATTGTCTGTTTATCCATGTATGCTTATTTGTGACAGTTTTTATGTATTTTATTGTTTTTTTTTTTTTTTTTTTGTTCTTGTTGTACAATTACATATTATTCTGTTTGACAAATGGTTCATTTATTATGCCTAATCTATGGGTATACTTGTAATTATAATATCAATCGAGTGAAAAATAAAAAGGGTTGTAAAAAAAGGGTTCAAATATAAAGGGAAGAAAAGAATAAAATGTTGTGTAGTATAATGAAGTATATTACAGTGTAGTGAAGTTAAATGACGTGAAATGAAATAAAATGTGCTATTTTTGCAACTTTTTGTGAAAAAAAGAAATGCAGTTCATAATTTATCATACATGTGTGAAAAAAAAGAAAAAATAAGAAAACGCAATAAGGAATTAGAGGTGTGTAGGCTAAAAAGGAATGTAAATGTTTTTCCTGTTCAGAACAAGCAAAAATAGGGAAAAAAAAAAAAATAATGTTCTTATTCTATAATAAGGATGAAAATGTATTTTAACTAAGAACAAGGAAAAGGTGAGGAGAAAAAAAAAAATAATAAAATAAATAAATATAATAATAATTGTTATACATAATTTTTGTGTCATTGTAACATGCTCACAAATGAGAAATAAAAAAAAAAAAAAAAAAAAATTATAAATATGGGAAAGGTTGAAATAAAATAAAGTTGGTCCCCATCCCTGGGTTTAAGACCGAGCATAATGAATAAAGAAAAAATGAATTTTGTGAAGGATTATTTTTATTTATCTTGCATTGCATGCGTTAGATGAATTTGTAATATTCTCAACAACAGAGAAAGGGAGAAGAGGTGATAATTCTGAATATCTAAATGTTGCAAAGAAAGTAAATTCATAAACATATATATATCACACGAATTAAAAAGAGAGGTAGCATATGCAACACACAAATTGAATGGCTCATCAAGCATAGTGAAAAGTGATATATTAAAAACAGGCAAAAAAAGAAAAAAAAAAAAAAAAAAAAAAAAAAATGGAAATTAGGACGTTTCCATATATGTTATATCGTTGCTACATTTTTGTCATATAGCACTATCCATCTTGTTTTAATTTATACATTTATGTGTGTTAAATATAATCCCATTTTCTATGATATATTCTTTAGTGTATCTCCCAGGGGAGAAATTATATTTATGCACAAAATATAATTAAAACATGTGATGACCTTTTCACCTCAAGCTAAAGGTATTTATGTTATTCCTTATTTTATCATGCAAAAATGTTTTGAAGTATGATAAACATAAGGAGATATTAATTCAAGGGCTATTACTGCATAGAATAACAAACAAAAAAAAAAATGTTAGCTGCATATAGTGTGCTTTGCTCAATGGTCAGTTGAAGAAAAAGCATATATGCTTGAATGTGTGTACATATGTAACACAGGTTTGTAATCTTCCATCTATGCTAGCTTTCAAGCATACTTGTATGCATGCCATGATCTAGTTTTTTATGTCTCACATGCGAACCCATTTTAGTAACATCTTTCTTTTTATTAATTTATTTTATTTTCCTTATTTTATCATATGTTAATGTATATTTGCCATTTTGTAGGTAATTCGGATAAGAATCCCAAAACGTACACCACCACAATCACCCCTTAAATAAGTAATAAAAAAAGAGATGTCAAGAATTGGAAGGTTTAATTTAGTAGTTTTATCTGGCTCTGCCAAACCTAGTGCAAGCATTGGGCAAACACTTGGCCCCTTAGGTATAATTATGCATAATTGTGTGTAGATATGTATATAAACATTTTCAGGAAAAGGAAAATAGACTCCAATTTGTTTCGCACAATACAGCAAATGTTGATTATATCAGGGTATTTTTTCCAAATTTCGTAATTCACAAAAATTACAGGCATAAATATGATGACGTTTTTCAAAGAATTCAATGAAAGAACAAAAAATATATCGAAAAATGTGCCAATTCAAGTAACACTGGAGCCGCTGAACGACAGGTTTGAAAACATATCGAATAACCTGCAATCATTGCTATTTCAATTTCATCCCAACCGCTCTAATTATCATCTGTCAGAGCTAATATTTATATGTTTCATTTGAAATTCTGTCCTTCACGAATCCTCAGTATGCACTACTATGTGATATACACTTTTTTTTTTTACCACAAAAAAATATTACTATGGAAATATTTGTACTCCATCAAGTGTTCTCAAGTGTTTTATAAAAACGATGCATACATATATGTATGTATACATATATATGAACACATGAGCATGTGGAGACTTCAATCTGTACATATCCATTTTTGACCTATTAGAACATACAGATTTTATCTGAGAACTCCAACAGTCGTTTGGTTTATCCGAAGATGTGCCAGAGTACCCATGTTCAGTCCAACAGCAAAGCATCACACCGTCGGTTCAATTACTCTAGCAGAGGTAAGTTTTGTGTCTTGGTAAATACTCATAAAGTGTCACGTTGTTTTATTCTGCATATATTGCATTAGTGATATTTTTTCTTTTTTCCTTTTTTTTTTTTTTTTGTAAAAATGTTTACGGGTTAGTCAATCTTCAAAAGAGGACGGATTTGTGCTAAGTCTTTTCATTTATTTCATTATGATTGAATTGGGGCCCAGTCAGATAAATTTTTAAGCCTGTTTTGAATAAACCTATATATATGTGTATATATATATGCATATATGTATATATATGTTTTTTTTTTTTTTTTTTTTTTTTTTTTTTTTTTTTAATTAAAAAGGTTTTTTTTATAGCCAAGTGAAAGGGTATGGATTCCTCCTTTAATAAATTTGTCGCTCAAAATAATATGAAAATATTTTATTGGTAGAAAAAAAAAAAAAAAAAAAAAAAAAAAAAAAAAAAAAAATAAAAAAAAAAGAAAAAAAAAAATGTAATTAGTGTATGGGAAAAACGTTATCATTTG